TGGTTTCTATGTCCGTGGAGCGGAAGTTTGGAGCAAATTCTGACGATGTGGAGGCCGGGTTGATGAAGTATGAATACTTGATGAACTCTGAGCAGGGCGGAGGACAATTCGCGGAACTCACACAGCAGCTGCAGGGTATGAGACTTTACTTTTACTACTTGCAGCTTTAGATAGTATTATTTTTCGTAGGATGATAGATGAGATGCATCGACATTTATTTTGATCGAGAAGACGACGGGCTTCTTGCAACAGAAGCCGAGAAAAGCAATGAATCACCCCACTTATCTTGATCGATCATTTTCCTATCAGGTTACATGTCTGTGCTGATTTCCCACGCAAGGCCACGGCTTACTGCGGAGAATTTCCGAGGGCTGCTGGCCGAGCTGGCCAGACAAAACAAGAAAATGAAATCAAACATGTCCGAGATGTATGCCGCGTGGAGCGTATCCTGTGCAAAAACATCTCCACCCCAGAGTTGTCATTCAGATCTGCAAGCACAAGAGCATTTGTAATGCGCATCCCCATGAGAGGCATTTCCCATCGTGTTTTGGAACTTGTAATGCTGTGAACAGGATAAGGAGATGGATTTGTTATGCGGCTTCCCTTGAAAAACTGCATTACACTACAGCCTGCAACTTGTCATGCGTGGCTCCCAAAACTTTAACGTTTGTGTTGCAAAATCCCCGTCTTGACTCTGGGGTGGGGACGTTTTTACACATGATAGAGCGGCGGCAAGAAGTCGCTGCTCGATTGCTACCGAACGTTCGAGGGGCTCACACAGGAGATCCACGAGGCCGCGGCGCAATTCGAACAGATAAGCCCGGTGGAGATGCGAGAACACTACGACCTGTACGATTTTTGACATACTATCTAAGTACCATGCTGCTTTTGATCCTTTTTTTTCCATCTTGTTTGATAAGCGGGGATAAATATTGTGCGATAAAAATTCATCGCAGGGTACAGACTCGCACTAGGAAGATTGGAAAATTCTTAGGTATAAGGATGCCTACCCGGACATGTCAAAACTGTGGGAGCAGTCCGAACAAGAGCTGCAAACGATGATGACCATGGCCGCAGTTCAGGGCTCCTGGGGCCCAGGCGGGATGCCGCAGATGCCGCCGGCCGCGATGGCCAAGCCGGGGTCCTCGCAGCGGTCGCTGAAGGTCTGTAAAATGAAAGCAGCGGACGTCATCAACATGCAGGAGATGATGGTCTCAGAGCTCCAGAAACTCATTCAAGCGGTATAGTTGTTTTCAGCGTCAGAGATGTCAGAGTCCACTTGGAAGGAAAGTGTTAGAAAAGGAGCAGGCTGCTAGAGTTTTAGCTACCATCATGTAGAAGATGCAAAAAATCGGCGCAGATGAAAAACAAAAAGACGCAAACAGATTTTTGGACCATCATGAAACAAATCTCGACAACATCTCCACTTCACAGCTTTCCCAGACCCTGCGCGACTGCGCTGGCGTGGTACAGTTCAAGGACCAGCTTTTGGTGGGTTTGGTGCAGTATCAAATGCAAAAATGTCTGGGTCTGGAACAGTCATGCTGTTTCTGCATGACACAGAAGGTCTGGCATGGAAGCTCTAGCATCACAGGTTTCGAGAAGCGTTCGCAATGCCGAAGCCGCATGACAAATCCCTGATTTTGGTGACAGAAAGTGGGCAACTTTTGCTGCCTATGCATGAGAGACTTTTCTGTGTTCTGAAATGCGCATCACAAGTTTGTATTCTTCCAGACCCAGACACTTTTGCATTTGATATGCAGGGAATGGCGTCCACTTCCGTGGACAAGAAGTTCCAGGTGTCGGCGGACGAAATGGCACTGGCGGGTTTCATCCACGCGGCGCAGCTCGGGCAGAGTGAGCGCTTCATGCAGAGCACCATGCAGCAGCAGCAACTGTTGATGAGTATTCCGGTGCTGATGGAAAACCCCGAACAGGGATGCAGCCTGATGTGAAGACGATCCGCGATCATGGAGGATAGATTGAGAAATCGTCTGGTGCTAATGAAATGGAAGAACTTCTTGTTCAGAAATGCATGACGTCGTTATAGTACATTACCACAGGAGGGCGTCGACATGTATCATGCGAACAAAGCGAACTTTTTTTTCTGTGGTCACGAGGGGTCGCTCTTCTACTCGTATCAACAGCGACCAATCAGATCATCCTATCAAGATTGCCTGCCTACCCGACAAGAACCCCAAAATGAGTACTTCGCTACAACATTTCGACCCGCTCTTGTGTACTAGTTGACTAATCAGCAGCTGGCAGCACAGGCAATACTTCAATGTCCCCCCATCTCTGACGGAAAATAAACGTACGAATCTTCGACACAACGACAAAAAATCAACGAAAAAAAGCGACAAAACACAAAGAAGAGAAACATGCGACAAGTAAACCAATTTTACCATACCGCGCACCGGAAAAATCATTCCAGCGTTACAACGCAGCCCTGATCTACTTGGATGTCCCCGCTCTCTGCGTTCGGTTTTGGCTTTGGGGATGAAAAAATGGTGATCAAAATTTGCCAGTGCTGAGAGATTTTGTCGTTTTAGGCCTTGTTACATTCGTGGTGGCAGCTTCGTTTTATAAATACGATCGTTGCAAAATTTTTGTTCGCTCTTTGAATGCAATCTTCTCCTTGTCTGTGTGTGTGTAGCGTGCGGCGGTGCGTGCAGCCGCACAACTACTTACCGCCCCGTCGAAGTACAATAATTGCCTTAGTAAGTCGTGTCGTTGCTCCTCTTTCATCAGCACGCTCCCTTGCGGCCTTCAAGATTTCGTGGTGGGACACGGTTTTGGGGCGTGGGCAAGACGCGCAGCGCATACCCTTGGTAGAACACATTGGCCAGCAGGAGCTGGCGCATACTAGTGCTGGAAGCCGGGAACAAATACAAAACCAGGGTCTGAACCCACCACCACCAGCTCACCACTCAAGTAGGGACCCTTCCAGCCGCCTCGTAGTTGGTGGTCGGCAGCTGTTGCGCACGAGCCCGCAAGACGACGACGACTTTTATCAGGAGTTTCCAGAGGACGAGGGGGAAGAGGTCGAAATCCAAGAAGATACAATCCATTCGCAGGGACATCAAAAGTACCTTCCCAATTCAGCCGGCGCTTCTATCAGCACGAGCCAATACACGGTAAAATACAACCGCATGGCGACCACTGCAGGCGCGACTAGCAACGCGGCGCAATCCCGGCGACAGCCGGACGTGATTCTAGATCAGAAAGCCTTTGACGAGCATGTCGGTCGCACAGGTACAACTTCTCGCGCAGCCGGGCCCCCGGCCTCGCGGTACAACTCACCCCTGTCTCCGCGCGCCCGACGGCGGCAGAATTACATCGGGTTCTCCATTCTCGCCGCCGCGTATTGTTTTATCTACCCGGGGCTCTTCTGGCCGACCTGCCACGTGCACACCGGGTTGTTTTCCACGGAAACCGAGATGACACGGTCCACGGTGGAGTTGGTGAAATTTTTGTGGCAGCAGGGACCGGCCTACTACCCACCGGCGTTTTTGCTCTCGCTGTTTTCCGTGTCATTGCCTTTCATCAAGGGGTATCAACTGCAAAAATGTCTGGGTCTGGAAGATTGCCAGGTTTGTCATGCGTATGTTGAATGACCCAGGATGTCTGTGATGCATGCCCTAGCATCACAGATTTTTAGAGGAATTTGTGATGCCTCTACCGCATGAGAAATGCCCTCTCCGCGTAGCACAAAGTGGAGTCCTCTTGCTGGTCATGCAATACAAATTTTTTTAGAATCCAGAAACAGCATTACAAGTTTAGAATCTTCCAGACCCAGCAGACATTTTTGCATTTGATAAGGGGGCCATGATTTGCTGGGGCGCCTACCACGAAAACGGAAAGCTACTGTGGTTCGTCGCACGGTTGTCCAAGTTTCAGTTTGTCGACACCTTCAGCACTCTGTTGAGCTACGTCTACCTGAACTTGCCCGTTATCACGACAGAGTTGCTGGTAGGAAAGAATGAGGATTTTTTGCTAGTAGTGCTTTTTTTTTTGGATTTTCTACATTCCACGTGTTGAATCAATGAGATGCACCCAATTTTTTCGTAGCGATAAAGCAAACTTCATCAAACCTAAAACTCCACAGAGCGGCGTCTACTACTTCGCCGGCTACTGCATTCTTTCCGTGATCGGAACCCAAGTGATCTGCTACGGCTACGACACGGGCCGGGAAAAGTCCGTGCAGAGCATCTGGCTTCCGGTGGCCGTCATCCAGGTGACCGCCCTGGTCGTTCTGTACACGTGGAGCCCGATTCTGGGCGTCTACGCCGTGATTTTTGGCTCGGTCCGGTTGACAGGGAAGCGGGCGACGCTGTGCGAAATTTTGATTGAGTTGAACCCGATCTGCCGGTGGTTCATGATAACGACCATCTGCGTCCTGCCCATGGTGACCTACGTCTTGCTCCCGATTTTGATCCGTTTCTTTTCCTACGAGAACGGATTCCGGAAACTGCCCTCAAAGAACTGGTACTTTAAACTCATGGACTTCTGCCACGACTGGGCCATGGGGGACGTGTTGCTGATTGCGTACTTGGTGGCCTGGATGTCCTTCAACGCGTCCGACGAGACGGGAACGCAGGCCTTGCCCGCGGGCAGCTACTGCGTAGTTTTGTACGGGCTGACGGGGCTTATCATGATGTTTGTGTACGAATACAACGGAAAGATGATTTCCGCCCGGGAGCGCCGGTTGTCGCAGCAGTACAACCACGGCGAGCAAAACACCGTTCTGGGCGTGCACATCGACGACAGAAGCACGACCGCAAGTTCCACTGCCTCGCCGTCGGTATTCATTTTTGGGTCGGTCTGATGTGTGCTTGTGGTTTTTGATAGACAAGAATAATTTTTCCTTCAACAGGTCGACCGTTTATTTTTCCAAAACTTTGTGAAACTGACTCACAGGATCTGATCTCTCCGCGAGATGACAGCATCGCCAGCACCCCCGCGAGCGAGCGACCGCCGGAGCGGGAGCAGTCGGCTCTGATGAGCGTGTTGAACCCGCAGACCAATTTTGGCATCCACATGCGGTACTTGGTGCTGCTGATTTTCTTCCTCGCCGTTCCGGTCGTGGTGCTCGGCATACTAGAAGAGACGGAGAAGCCGCAGGTGCCGGACCTCCCCTGGGTGAACGACGCGATCGCCAAGAGCCCGCTGTTCTCCACCGCAAACAAAATGTTTGCCAACCGCTCGCTGTTGTCTTCCATCGCGTGCTGTGACGACACGAGCGACCTGTGCAACGGGAAAAACGCCCCACCGAGTCCCTGTCAGCCGTTGGACGCGAAGCACCCGTCGCTGCCACTCACGAGCCTGGACAAGGACCACGTCCGGGCCACGGCGCGGTGGATCACGGGGCTGGAGAACATTCGGCTCGATGCACTGAAACTCATCCCGTACCAAGAGGCGCCCCCCGTAAACGGAGGGAGCAACGCCCAGGCAAGGTTCAAACTCAAGGTAAGTTGATAGCTACGTCGGTTTTTTTTCTATTCTTGGCCGCGCTTAGGCTTAGGCTTACGTGCTTCGCTTAAGTGCTTCGCTTAAGTGCTTCCCTTAAGTGCTTCGCTTAAGTGCTTCGCTTAAGTAGTGCTTCGCTTAAGTAGTGCTTCGCTTAAGTAGTGCTTCGCTTAAGTAGTGCTTCGCTTAAGTAGTGCTTCGCCTAAGTTGTGCCGCGGTTAAGTAGTGCCTCGGTTAAGTAGTGCCTCGCTTAACTAAGTAGTGCCTCGCTTAAGTGGTGTCCTCGCTTCAGTGGTGCCTCGCTTAAGTAGTGCCTCGCTTAAGTGTTGTCTCGCTTAAGTTGTAGCGCCGCACTTATGTAGTGCTGCGCCCTTAAATAGTTCCTGCTCCTGGCGCCGCTAAAGTAGTGCCTCGCGCTAAAGTAGTGCCTTGCGTTTAAAGTAGTATGTGTTCCGGCATGAACACTGTGCCTCGCGCTAAAGTAGCGCTCTTGAATCATGCCTCTACACAAAATCCCAGCTCTATCGATATGAAAAATCCCCCCTCCCCATACCGAAAGGGAGATTTGTGTAGCATGATTTGTGACCACAAATCACGTTGTCATGCTAGAAGGGAAGAGATGCGGATTGTAGTGCTGGCTGGCGTAGGAAAGCCTTGCGCCTTTAGCATGACAGAAAGCAACTGGAAACGGAAAACAGCATGACAAATTGCCTGCAAACGAGGGAGCAGCTGCGTCTCTTGGCCTTCTAGCAATACAATTCGATTTGCGTACTCGCTGCTTTCGGTGGCTGGTGGCCGCTCTTGAGTTTCAGGTGTGGGTCGGAGTTCGTTTGCCTCTCGTCAGTTTGGACGGAGTGCTCTCGTTCAGCCACCCCCCGGCGGTCGACTGTCGGCTATCTGGCTCCCCCAGCTCATGATTGCAGTGTTGGCTGGTGATGTCGAGGTTGCGGACAGTTGACTTGTCATCTGTCTGGTTCGCTCATTTTGCTGCCACGACTGTTTGGTCCCCGGTCCCCTGAGGCGGGGGGATACGGGTTACCTGGTCGGGATGTCGCGCGGAAGGTGTCTCTCACGTCCCTAGCTCTTCGTACTCGCCGCTGAGTACAGTCGAGCACCTTGGTTGATCGCCACACTGTTTCATAGTGCTGAAACGACCCGGCTTTCACTAGGGGGAGCATTCGTACATTTTGTGCCCTCCGGGACTATGCCTCTGCTTCCGTCTAAACTGAGGGGTCCACTTATCCCTATCGGTATTCGGTCGCAGGGAAGGGTTGCCGGGGTCTTCCTCGCATCGGTTCTCGATGTCGGGTGTGAGTTTGTGACTGCGGGGGCAGTGGTTGGCTTAGGTTTGTGGAGTACTTCTGAAAAGAGGCTCCCATTCCTTCTTCCAGGCAGCGATCCTAGATCGCTGCCACGCGGAGCCACCCCCGTATTTCACCCCCAGGGGGTTGTGGACCTGGCAAAACCGATGAGTTCGGGCTGCTGACTGTTCCACCTCCCCTAAGTGTGATCATTGCCGCCTCACGCCTCAAATACAGCAACACAAATTTCGTTTTGGATATGGGGAAGGGGGATTTTTCCTTACAATAAGCTCGACGCACATCTGCACAAGCCTGATCCGAACTCCGACATCACTTTGCCCCTGAGTCTGATTGTGCAAACGACCGCGGTCGCGCCGATTACCTGGTTCGACAACACGAATGCGTGCTGCCAGCCGGAGAACTTGTCCGTCGAACTCATTGCCGAGTGCCACAGTGAGTTCCCCTTTATCCGGAACGTGAGCACGGGAAACGTGACCATCACGCCCGACATTGTGATATCGGAGTCGATCTTGGGGTTTCACCTGAGCATCTACGACATTACGGAGATCATCAAAAAGCAGATTCGGGACAATCTAAACCAGCTGGTGCAGAATGAAACCTTCCCGATTGGCCCGACCAATTACACGGTTGCGAGCCTGATCAACACGATCATTGAGTCCAATATGATGCCGGGGGACAAACTCAACTGTCCCACCGCGGGATCAGTATCCACTGACGTAGAGGGAGGGAGTAAACGAAACACCGGACGAGCGGAAATAGTAGGTGAATTTTCATCGCGGAGTGCTGTCGTGTCAACAAATACAACAAATTCACAAGATTTTTCCCGGACCTTGCACATAGAAAAGCCCTACCAACTGATTCAACGCGGGAGCAATAGGTGGAGAAATCGTGGGTACTACTACGGCACCTTGAATGATGAAAGTAACGGCGATGAAATGATCTACATATAGTAGTTTCTACTGCATGTCGGGTCACAGGACCAAAAACACACTTGTAAAAAAAAACTGTGTACAAAAGCGGCTGTTGTCGCATTGTTGAAAAAAATAAACGAATGTGAAAAATCATGGCAAAGCATCGCAGTGCGATCATTTGTCATGAGAAAATAGAAACATGTCTTGCTTACGCTCACACTAATATCGCACTGAAGTACGGTCCTCCTGTACCTCAATCGAGGGTTCGTCTGACGCTGTCTTTCTCTCTTGCCAAACGATCACCGCTCGACATTCGCACTTCTTCGCTCTTGTGTTTTGGTTGTATGTGTCGCATCGCAAACAGTTCGGGAGTGGTCGTGGAGTCACTGCTATCGTTCGTCTTTCTCGTTTTTGCGACGCACCACGTGGCGGTTGTCGTCTTTCGATCGTCAAAGAAGAAGCAGTAGCTTTCTTTGCAGCGGGAGTCTTCGTCCAGGATGCACAAGAACAAATAGAGAGGATAAGTAAATAAATCCGCAGACGCACCCTTTAGTAAAGAAAACAAAGATGGGCTACCTTCGGCAACTTTTGGAGCAGCAGGGAAGCGGCACTTCTCTATTTGGTGCGACAGAAGGGGAGCATGTACAAGTACATCAGCGTGCGAGCACCCGGCAGGACGCCACATCAAGGAGTACTAGCAGTAGTGCAGTTTATTTCCCGCCTGATTCAACCGCAGCGACGCAAAGGTTGCAGCGTCGAAAAATCACAACGACTTTCTTGGCTGGCGACCCTGCGCACTGCACGCGGGACTACGACCACCACTGTCCGGAGGGGTGGTTTGACACTGACGGTCGCGGGAACTGCTGGCCTCCGCACAGCTATCAAGGTCCCTGCCAGAACCTTTTCGTAGGTTCCAACTCCAGCGTGAGTGAGAAGGAAACGCACAGTCATCGGTGCCGGGTCAAGTGGCCCTGTGTCCCGGGGTCGGTACCGAAAAATGACGCGAAGGGGCTGCCGAAAGTGCAGCGCGCGGAGGACTTCGGGCACATTTGCCCCGACGGGTGGGTGCTGATGAAGAAGGGATCGGCGGAGAGGCCCTCGTACGTGTGCAAAGCGCCGGAGACCTATGCCGGTCCGTGCTTCCCCGTGCAGAATCTGAAGGATCTGACCCCCAGCGAACGGAAGGTCTGGGGGCGGCTCTGTCACGAACGGTGGCCTGAGGTGCCGAAACCGCAGGTCTGCCCCGGCGGCGAGGATTGGGACTACCCTTGTCCGCGGGGTTGGGACTGGATCCAGAAAGACAACACCTGTATCGCGCCCCCAGGCTGGCTATGGATTGCAAATAATATATCGAGGTCACAGCTGGAAGATTGCGAGTTTTGTCGTGCCTGTCCGCCTCTCATACAGAAATGCACTTCGTCATGTTGAGTTTTTAACACTACGTGCATATAAAGCAGCTGTTGAAAAAGAATAACCCTCCATGATGCTCGGCTTGGTAGCACTATGCATTGCACGCATCTTTTTTCGAACCCTTTTTTCACATGCGTGAGTCATAACTACTTTCCAGAGGGCCCAGACAAATGTTTGCATTCGATACTTGCGGTCGCCCGTCGAGGATCCGAACCTCTGTTCCTCCGCGGTGCCGGCATTTACGAACAAGGACCTGAAGCGCATCTTCGTGGAGACCTGCCAGCTTGACGGGTGGAGCTGCCTGCAGCCGGGCGCGTGCCCCGGTGGGAGCTACCACTTCTCCGAAAGCTGTCCGCGGGGCTGGCTGGAGTTCAAGGGGTTTTGCCTCCCGCCGAAAAACCCCACACTGCTGCGGGAGACGAACGAAGAGTGTCGACACCCCTGGTTCATTTCGGATCTCGGCAACATCGCGAGCTTGACCAAGATGTTCGGCAAGGAGCGCGTCGGGCGCATCCAGATCCCGGCGACGGTGGTGGACAAGGGCAAGTACCTGTTTTCACAAGTGTGCGGGGCGGTGTGGAGCTGTGACAATCCGGAGGACAACAAAACGGCCGAAGAGGGGATCAATAAGCCAGTGATGGCGGAACTGTGATGAAAACGAAACTTCCGATTTAAATGTTTACATGGCTGTTTTTTGTAAAATAGGCTAGTGTGATTGTGATACATATTGATTTTGTTTTGGATCATCCGGTGTCCATCATGCCAAGCAATGTAGATACGAAGGTGCGTGCTGTCGAAAGGGCACGCGATCGGGGGCTGGCTTTGCTTGCTGTATTTGTTTCTCAGTGTTTCAGCGCCATAGAGCAGTCGTAGGAGTTCGTTATTCTGACATCGTTCGCCTGAGTTGCTAGAGAGAGTAACATCGCGCGAATCGACTTGCCAGGGAGCGAGAGGACGAGTTGGGGTTGAAATGTTCACGATCGGGGATATGCTTACCACGCTTCGACTTTCGATTTTCGTGGTTTCGGAGAAGAGTATGCGTAGTCGCACGTCGTGTCATCTCTAATCAATGTGATCGGGGCAGGACAATTCTACTAGTGTCTGTCAGAAAGGGTAAGAGACCAAGTTCAAGGTTTTTTTTGAGCAGCACAACGAAGACAAAACTAGAAAATCAAACTGCCATTGCTTGTCGTTACGCCGTTGCAGACGAGAACACTCCTGGTGAAATTTTCCTCCTCTACGCTTCTTCGAGACCCCGAAGATAAAGAAGGGAAGTCGCTGCGAAAAGGTGAAGCTTTGCGGATTATCGCCATCAAGTTCGCGCAGCAAAAGGCCCATCGCGGTACAACAGCTTCGAAGAACGGAAGGACCAGCTTGCACGTTTTCCGGTAGCGTGATTCAAGGCAAAGTTGAGGTTGGAAAGCGGCACTTTCAACACAAAAGGACGAGAAACCAGGGCAGCGTGACCCAGAGGAGAAATACACTTCTGTCCGTCAGCGAGCTTCTTGGCAGCAACATCTACTAGAATTCTGCGTAGCGCTCTCAACAAGCGGCGTCCTGCGAAGTTGCTGGAGCGGGTTCTTGTTTGAGTAGTCCTTTATTTGGGCGGAGGTGCAGCGAGGCAGTCGGGAACGTTTGAGGAAGGAGGAGGCTAGACAGCCACCTTGCAACTTCCTCGTGTGGCGCAGTGCGCAGAACAGCAGAGTCGGCGGCATAGCGCACTACGGCGCCGCAAGCTCGGAGCTACTCTCTGACACGACTGCTCTACGTCGAAACTCCGGGAGCTAAACAAAGGCTCGGCAGGTTTTAACGCGGCGCTTAATTTCCCTGTGAGAGGCGGCGATTGGTCATCTTCTGAGCTTGCAGATCGTTCCTGCTAGAAGCTTTTCGTGCTGCTCCACTCGTCGCATCGCGCAATGGAGTAAGGTTGCATCAGTATTCTCGCACTAGCAGCTCAAGAACGTTTTTCGTTTTCCGCCCAGAAGCTACTAGCTAGCAGTAACAAGAATCCCGTACCACCTTCGGACGGAGACAGCGCGAGGATCATGTCGCAGACGGTGCGTGTGAGCGACACGCAGTTGGTGCGGAAAAAGGAAGCAAACGCGACGAGAATAGTGGAGTCCATCGAGCGGGATGAGGCAAAGATCGAGGAAAGGATGCGGGGCGCCAATCCCGACCTGGAGCAGCTGGGGCGCGACGTGGAAAGCATGGGAGCCGTGTTCGAAGAGGCGAATAAAGCCAGGTTTATTGGTTTTTTGCTTGTTTCAATGCGCATAATAAATAGTACTAGAGCACGTAGTACATCACTCTCATCAGCATCAGCAGCTTCTACTGGACACGCGCAAGTACTGCTTCTCCCCGTAGTACCATGACAAAAAGTAGTTTTACGAGAAACTACGAAAAAATTTTACCCTTTTTTCAGGGAGGAGCAGCGACGCGTTATGGATGAATTGCACCAGGATCTCCTCGTCAGAATACAAAACGTCCGAGATTACATGGCACAGGTAAAAAAATGAACGTATTTTTTCCACCAAGCGGTGTATGATCGCTAGCTTGACGCATGCACAATGCAATCAAATGCAGAAACAAAAAAGCACAACGCAAAGTGCCATTTATTTTGTTGAAATAGACGACCGCGTTGGTATAAAAAAACGTAACAACAAACAGGAAGTTGCGCGGCTCGAGGCCACGCTTGCGAGTTTCCAGAGTAAATTCGAACACGAGCTCCGCACGATGCGAGAGGAGCTCATGACGAAGCTCAATACCAAGATAACGGCGGTCCGGGCACAGATCGCGAAGCTGAACCAAAGAATAGACGAAATCAACTCGAAGCTCATGCAGGAGATCGAGGACAGAAAAGCGCACGTGCAAGAGGTATAATGAATGACATACCACAGCAGGAGGTTTTTTTTTGTCTGTACAACAGCCTACTAGTAAGTTGGTTGGGTTTCGGTAGTTCGTATGAGAAGTAGATCAACACTGCATCTGCATGCCAATCGTTCGAAACCATGTGGTCTTCTTTATCATATACAAATCCTAGGTGCTGGTTCCGATTCAAAAAGACGTCGCGCAGCTGGTCGTGCAACTAGACGAAGAGGTGAAGGCAAGACATACGAAGGAGGCGGAGACGAGGAAAAACCTGCAGGATGCAGTGGACCTTTTGGAAAAGAACTTGGACACAGAAAAGTTCAATCGGGAGCAACAGTACTGTCATATTGCACGTTATACTTGGCATGAAGAAAAATCTTCTCGTTTCATGATGGGTAGCTGCAGTTAGTTTCAACAGTAGCTCTTGCGTCGGTATTCTATTGATTCTGGCAAAAAAAACCCACACTTCTCTTATCAAGGTATATGGACTTCAAAGTGCTGACCGAGTACGAGCGCGAGCGCATCCTGAAGCGGCAGTATGTGATCGAGTACCAGATATTACAATGAAAAATGCCCCCTCCCCATATCAAAACGGAAATCTGTGATGCAGATTTGTGGTCACAAATCAGCTTTGTGATGCTAGAAGGCAAAAGATGCGGACTGTAGTGCTTTCTAGCGTGGGAAAGCCTTGCAGCTCCAAGATGACAGGAGGCAACTGGAAGTGGGAAACAGCATGACAGATTACCTGCAATTTAGGCCGCAGCTTCGTCGCTTGGCCTTCTAGCAATACAAGTTGATTTGTGTACTCAAATACAGCATCACAAATTCGCGCATCTTCCGTTTCCGATATGGGGTGGGGGGATTTTTCATTTTGATACCAGATGAAAAAGGCGCTCGACGTGTTGGATATCAAGATCCAGGAGGAGACGTCGGACCGCCTGGACAAGCAGGACGGCGTGGTGAACACAATGACCCGGTTTGTGCGCAGCTTTCAGGAAAACATCCGCGAGGAGGCGCGGATGGGATAAGTGCGGAGGGGAAAAATGGGCGGTGTGGAGGTCTCCTACTCGCAGGATTCGATTGCTTCATTGGACGAGGACACTTTGTCGCAGCACCATTTTTCCGTGAGTTATTCTGGTTTTGGTGTAGCGTGAGTTGTGCTTGATCTTCCCACTGTCGTGACGTCGTTCTCCACTGAGCTGCACAGCAAGCCTGTAGTGCCGTCCGCGCTGCAAGTTTTGCTGTTTTGACCTGTTGCAGACCGAGATAGTTGTTGAAAGCGAAACTTTCGACTCTTCTCGGCGAACTGCATGCTGCTGGAAATGACTCCTCGCAAAGGAATTCGACAAAGGAAGGCGTCGATATACACTTATAGGTTTGGGATGCCGGTGTGCTGGGGAACTTGCTTTGAGTCTGTTCCATGGAAAGAGCGAGAGAGTTTTTTGCGGCGCTTGTTCATACAGCCCGCTAGCGAGGCTGCATCCAAGGCTAAGTGCGTTTTTTTTTTTAATTCCTCGGCTCTGTCTTCTTGAGCGTTTTTTTGCAGCAAGTGATATCAATGGCTTCGATCGCTACCCATTTCTGGAAATTGTCACCGAGATTTGTTGCATCTGTAATATCCGCAGGTCTGAAAAAAAGAAAACCAACTACTACCAAAAGATGGGTCGACGTGGCGAGCATCTAATTCTGACCTGCAGAGCGTCTCCTCGTGTTTGGGATTATTTTCAATTTTCACTATCCTAATAAATTGAAAAAAAAATCGTACTCAATTTCTATTTTCAATACTCACCAGAATATACTAATATGGTGGACGACATTTGGGTCGTCGGGGATGCGTTTGTTGATGTCCAGGCGTTTGGGGTTGAGCGTCTCCCCTACAGATGGGATGTCGACGTGGAGTGTTCGTCAACCGCTTTGCTTCCCGGGGGTTCCGCCGGAAACACAGCACGGCAGTTGCACTGCCTCTTTTTGCCGGATGACAAGAAGACATCAAAAAACAGCAAGACTAAAAGTGCACCTCCAATCCTGGCACCAATCGCCGAAGATTCAAAAGACGATGCAGCTCCCGATGCAGCAGCTCCCGTGTCGCCTTCCCCGTCCAGCGGCTCGGAGTCTCCAGCGTCGGCGGGGTCCTCGGGTAAGCCGAAGCCGAATGCGGTGTTCGGGAGCGTGCGTTTTTTATCGGCCGTGGGCGACGACACCCTCGGACGGTGGTATCGGGACCAGCTCGCGAAGGAAGGCCTCGACGTCTCGGGCTTGGTTCTCTTGCCGGCCGTGACAACTTCCACCTGCATCATCCTCTCCGGAAACCGAGATCGCTCCATGGTGAGCTGTTACTCGAGCACGGATTTCGAGTGGAAATCGTCCTCGTTGTACAAAAAGATGCGCTTCTGGCTGGAGGGAGGTATGCAAATCTTTCTGCAATATTACACGATGGCGTAGATTTATTGTTCTTCAGGATATTCAGTAGAAGTATACCCTTTTCATCATCATCATCATCATCATTGAGCTGTGCTTCTTCGTTTTGCTGAAGCACGTTTTTTTGTAGAAGAAAATCTCGGCGTCGTGTACTACTGCGCACCGCGCAACAAGTGCGACAAAACATTCGAACAGTCCCCGACTCGCCGAAGCAGTCGGTGTCGTTAGAAGGCTCCTGCACTGCCGCGCGATACGTACCAAAACACGTGCACATCGGGGGATTCTTCAATCTGCGCGGACTGCAGATTTCCGAGGATTTTTTGAAGGCCTTGGCGTCCCTGGGGAAGAGAACCACCATCTCAGTCGCTCCGCAATACGACTCCAGTGGGAAGTGGACGGGATTGAACGAGGCCATGATCAAGCTTTTGTGCTTCAGTAGCGGTGAAAAAATCTTGTTCAGTTACCTATCGTGCGTGCAAAGAAAGATGCGTGCGTCCAAGGCGATGATTTAATTGCAGAAAAAGGGATTGTTCTTGGAAGTTAGTTTTGAATTGACTTCTGCCACTTTGTTATTAATTTCCCTCTTTGTGGTTCAGTTTCTGAGTCTTGTTGTCATGCTGTTGTACCTAGGCTGTGCACAAGGTAGAGCGAATCAAGATTTTGTTTGGATCTGGGTCGACATACTTTTCGTGAACCAGAACGAGTACAACGAATTTGCCAAGAAGGGCTTCTTCAAGAGCAGTTTTTGTCGCCACGGCATGCTCATCGTTTTACCATATCGTAAAATCATGTAGTTCTACGTAAACCTCGCTGAAGATGATAACGCTGGGATGCATTCGAGCCATGTCCTGGTTGCAGTAACACTGGTGCATGATTCTCTCAAGAAAAGCAAAGCCAGCATGTTATTGGTGGGGTTCGTACAACAAAACTTCCTCCCCTCGTGATACCCGAAGACGCGGGGGGCGATGGGCTGCGAGATCGCGGTGATAAATCGTGAACCCGGATACGAGGTGGAGGTGCAGACGCTGGTATCGGTGCCGGTGCTACCTCCGGTCCAAGGAGACGATATGCATTGCAAATATGTCTGGGTCTGGAAGGATGCAACTCGTGATGCTGGATTTGGATTCTACAACAAATCTGTATTGCATGAACAGCAAGAGAGGTCCAGTTTTTGCCATGGCGAGAAGGCATTTCTCATGCGGTATAGCCATCAGGAAGCCCTGATACAATTTGTGATGCTAGGGCATGCATCACAGACATCAGGAGTCATGCAGGGGGGGGGCGCGCGGACCTCGCTTGCCATCTCGTTTGGTCTCGCGAAAGTTCCAGTCCCGCACATCCGAGATCGGGGGGGTAGGAGGGGGTCTTCAAGCTAGAAAAAAAATCCCCCAACTTACAGCTACCGCTTCGCTTTGCAAACACCGCAATCGAGGTAGTGCTGACCTGTTTTGTACCGTAATACGCAAATGTCTGACAATTCAAAAAAAACAAAACTATTTCATCTTCTTGTCGCCATCATAAGTGCCTTGAGGTGCCGCACACCTCTATCTCTAGTTTCTTGTTGATTACTTCTCGCTCGTTCGGTCGCGCATGTGCGGTGCAGCTCGCTCAGAGTTTTTTGTTTTTCATGCGACTCTGCAGCCCTCACGCATAAATGTTTGCATGTTTCAAGTCCTTGGACTTTCTTGGGCTCACGCACATCCGAGATCGGGGGGGGTGGGAGGGGGTCCTCAAGCCAGAAAAAAAACCCCCCGAGTGGGAATTGGGAATTTCAAGGTGCAAAATGTGCATGACAAACCTGGCATCCGTTCAGACCCAGACATTTTTGCATCTGATACACGAGAAAAAAACCCTGGTCAAAGTGGTTGACACAACGGGTGCGGGCGACGCATTCGCGGCGGGATTTCTGTACTACTGGTTGCGCAACCGCAGCGGCTTCGACGACTTCCTCCACTTCTTGGAGCTTTGTGCCAAAAGCGGAAATGAAGTAGCACTCAAGTCCGTCCAAAAACGCGGCGCATGCGAGCACCCGGTGGCTAAAACGGAGTTGCCGGAATGGATCTTCTACTAGATTTCTCTTCAAGCAGGGAGGAACAAAAAAAGAAGGTAAGTACGTGTACTAGAAACCACTCCATACATCTGAAAGGAGTGATGGAGGGGATCGAGGCGGTTACAGTCGGGTCTCTTCCGGTGCGGCTTTATGTACGACAGCATTTCATAGCTGACGAAACAAATTATATAGAGCCCAAAGATCATTTTCTTTTTCATTACACCAGCGGTCGGATTAATTGTGCTCAGAAGCATTCTTCTTTTAAGAGTTTTCAGTGTGTAGATTCATCCTCGGAACTTGTTTGTCACAAGGGTACCTAGAAGAGCGTTGTGGCCTACCGTGACCGGGACGCCAAAAAAAAAACGAAGTTCATTTTCAACTCGTACCTTACTATCATGTACTTCGTGCTGCATCATCAAACTGGTCACCTCTTCTGTCTCATTCGTGTTCGGGTTCCACGGCGCCGCGCCGGCGCTCATTGTAATCGCAGTGGTTCCTCCGGAATTTGTCATGCTAGTTGCACTAGCAGTGCCCATCTGTTGCTGCATGAGCCACATGTTCATGGCGTTCTGGATGTTCACGCTCATCGCACTCTGCATGGTCGTACCATTCATCGTCATCGACGTCGCCCCGTCGTAGGAACTTCTCATGGGCATTTGCATAGAGCCAGGCTGTGTAGTCACCCCAGAAGTTCCGCGCACTTTCATCTGCTGCATGTGCTGCACGCACGCCATCTGCATTGCGTTCGAAAACTGCATGGGAGTGTTACCCTTTTGGTTTTGCTGCCCGACGGAGTTGTTACCTGAAGTGGCCGCATGGCTCATCAACCAGTCCATGAACCAGCGAGGGTCAGTCGTGCTTCCTTGTTGCTGCAGCTGTATCGTTGCGGCCTACCGTGACCAGGACGCCAAAAAAAAAACGGAGAGGCCGACGATCAAATCGTCCCGAGATCGCGATCTCGAGCCGATTTGGTCGGCCGCGGTTGGATGGGTTGGAGAGGCCGATGACCAAATCGTCCCGAGATTGATCGCGATCTCGAGCCGATTTGGTCGGCCGCGGGTGGACGGGTTGCTTGGAGAGGCCGATGACCAAATCGCCCCGAGATCGCGATCGCGAGCCGATTTGGTCGGCCGCGGGCGGACGGGTTGGAGAGGCCGATCACCAAATCGTCCCGAGATCGCGGTCTCGAGCCGATTTGGTTTTTTTCTGGGACGGCGCTGAAAAAACCGTCCCGGGCCAGGGCGGTTTTTTCTGGGACGGAGGCTGCTGACCAAATCGGCTCGAGATCGCAGTCTCGAGCCGATTTGGTCGGCCGCGGGTGGAGGGGTTGGGGAGGCCGACGCCTGACCAAATCGGCTCGAGACCGCGATCTTGAACCGATTGGGTCAGGTTGAGCATCGCGGTCTCGAGCCGATTTGGTCCCCCTCTGGTGAGGCTGCCGAGGCGACCAAGGCTGTGGCGAAGCCGGCGCCTAAAGTGAAGGCCCCGCCGGTGGTAGGGCAGGCCGGAGATGAGGAAGAGACTTGCGCGGCACTGTTAGCTGCAGAAGAAGATGACGCGACCCCGTTGCGGAAAGGGCCCCCGCCTTTGAAGAAACGGAAAGCGGTCGAGGTGTTAAGTGATAGCGATGTTGAGGCGTATGGCATCGGCCGCTCTGAATTGCTCGGGCATGCCCGCGGGCCGTCTCCTCTAGATTCCCTTGCCTCGGTGGATGTCCCCGCGGACAGTCAAAAAAAAAAAGCCCTAGAAGCCCCTTGCCTCGGTGGTGTCCCCTCGCCTCGGTGGAGGGTGCCAATCGGTGTGCGCGAGCCATGCCTTGCCATGGACCGCGAAATGTTTCGCGGAGCGGTCCACTTCGTGACACCCGAACGCCATCGATTTCCGCGAGTAGCCGTCGGCCGCGAACCTCAGCACTAACGTTTCGGCCCCCGAAAGTTGGAACGCCTCTGCCAACGCTTCCGGGGCGGCGATGGTGGCAAAATCGGAGAGCAGGTCTCTCGTGATCGACGGCGCCCCTTCCTCCAGCTTCTCGTATTTGTAGTAGCTATCCACATCTCTGTGATCCGCCATAGTTGCAGGGGCGAAGGATGTGGCCGCGATTTGCTTGGCGCGCGGCGATCTTCCCCGCACTTCTAGGGGGCTCGCTCCGTCCTCGATATCTCGCGCTTGGCACGGTCGCCACCGGATGCTTCTGGCAGTGGGGCCGCCGCACGGTCGCCACCGGATGCTTCTGGCAGTGGGGCCGCCGCACGGTCGCCACCGGATGCTTCTGGCAGTGGGGCCGCCGCGCTCCTTTGGGTTGCGGCCCTGTGCCGCCGCCATGCTCCTTGGATGCGTCGCGCGGCGAAGTCCGTCAGGTCGAAGCTGGAAATTTCCCCCAGGGACTCGTGGAACACACCCTGGGCTTCCATTAGCGACGCCAGCAACGACGTCAGCGACGGCGTGCTGACGTCACTGAAATCGCCACCCGTGAACGCCAGAATGGAGCGGTAAGCGTTCCGCAGTGCGCTCGCCAGAATGCGCCCACCAGCGGACGGCGGTGACGCCGGTGAAGCATCGTCCGACGACGACATCAAAAGCGGATCATTTTTGAAACTACACTTGTCGTATCAGCTGTACTGCCTTTTCTAGTGGACACCGCGACGCAATTGAAAGGGACGACGCCTGGCGCCATACATCTCGCTCGCTTCAGACTGCGGAATACGCCCTCAGACTTTCTCGCGCTCCCTACCGTCATCACTCTGTTCTGTTATCAATCAATCTGAAGAATAATTATCAATACTCTGCTCACTCCCGGCCCAACATTCAAAAAAACGCGCTCAAGCACTAGAACAGGCCGCGTTGCGTTTTTGATCACAAAGGCGCCCCGTGTGTGATTTCTGCACTCGAATCGCGATAAGAGGAGGCCGGCTTTGTCCTTTTTTGGCCTTCGAAATTGCCCCGATCGGCTTCCTCTTATCGCGATTTGAGTGCAGAAATCCCCACACAAGACGCGCCCGCGTCGCTTGTGGACTGCAGAAGGCAACAATCTTCTTCAACAATGACGTCAGCGCAATCTTCTTCACGATAAAAACAACTATTTCTTCACAATTCGAGCGCATCCATTTGGTGCGTGTATTTCTTCACACTTTCTACACATAGCTTTCTACAAATAGCATTTTTCACAAATAGACCTCGTGCCGTTTTTCGCGAATAGACCTCGTTCTTCTGCGTCGATTCTTCTGCGTCTGCGCTTCCGACCTCAAGGCTCTCCGTTCCCGCCCTCCAGGCATTCGGTTGCGCATTCCCACTGACTGTGTAAGCGAAGTTCCACGTGCGTGTGCGGTTCCCGCTTTGCCAGCGAAGGCCCACGCTGAGACCTGTTCGTTCGCGCCGCGACTTCGAAACCTGGGCGGGGGTTGGTGTGGATGAATACAATAAACGCTCTGACCTAGCCCCGAAATTTCACAAATGCCGTCTAATCCCACAACGCAGAAAGTTCAGAACTCAGGTATCTACGTGCAAAAAATAAACGACCTTCTCTGTTTCCGGCGGAGGAACATGTGCTCGACGCCTTTCACGTTCGTCAGCGCTGTGTCGCGTAGATGCCATGGCCTTTCCCTCGGATGTGCTCGAGCGCCTCGCCCCGTCATCAAGTGCGCGGCTTGTCGGACCGTGTCGACTATCAGAACCCGAAAAAGCGGCTTTGTTTGCCGCTTCATGTCTTCTTGTTATAGTAGGGGTCGTTTGGGCTCAAGAAGAGCGTTGTGGCCTACCGTGACCAGGACGCCAAAAAAAAAACGGGCCCTGTCATCATGATTTTTAATACTGGAGATATAATCTTTGACAACCGTCAAGGACAACGAACCGTATATCTTTGACCACCGTAAAGGTAAAAATCGTATTCGTGAAAGTCAACTTGGTCTTCTAAGCAATAGCTCCAGATTTCAGAGTGAGTAAAAAGTGAACATGAAAGAAGTGGCGTCTATTGGTACGCGACGGCACTGCATATGAAATTACCTCAAGAGGGTCGGTCTCGGTGATCTTACTTGTTGAAAGAGTCTATCTTCCGACTGTGTCCTTTTATTCGCCTTTTGCATTCCAGATGTTAAAAAACCTGGGCATTTTAGAAGAATCATCTGCAATGCGAGAGATTTTTGAGACTCACGCTCAAAGAGATTGAGAGCATGTATTTCGAGTTTGCAACGACAGAGGACGAGCGAGGTAGGACCGTGTCACATGAAACGTGCTCAGTAGGCGCATACGAGGCAGAGCGACACACAAAAACAAGTCGAACCTCACTATGATCGCAGGAACCATGACTCAAAAAGCGCACCCTCGTATTGTAATTGTAGTAATTTTTAGCGAGCGATACTAAGTCGAGCCAAAAAATTTTTGCGGTTCAAGACTGAGTGAGTACTACTTTCTACGGTGTCAAGTCTCATCAATATTCTTGCAGCCGACAGTGTAGTGTAATAGTTTCAGTAGGAGGAGACTTTCATTATCTTTATCCGGCTACCGGTACCGGTTTTCTCGACAAGATGAATCTCGACGACATTGAGCTCGATGAGGAAGAGATGGAGGCGATGGAAAAATGCGGGTACTCCACGGAGGAGGCACTGGCATTCAAGGGAGTATAGTTTTGTCTCGTAGCATGTTGATGTTCTACTTTTTATTCCGCCCAGCGATAAAAAAATTGAGATTGAGAAACTGATTGTGACATATCTTTTTACAGCTCTGCTGATCATCAAGCTCACACATGTATGTCGGTTGTATCGAAGCTGTTTATGCCAGTATCAACATAAAACGTCAGGTGTATTCGCATTACGACAACAATTTCGGGAAGGGCGACGGGTGCTGCAGCGTACCCCTGGTGAAGAGCATGGTGCGAGCCCTGGGGATCCAGATGAAAAAGAAAGACGAAGAGACACTCGCGGTGCTACTCGAGGAGTGCGATGAAAATAAGGATGGTATTGCAATTGTAAATCTATCTTCAAATAGAGGCCTTTTCTGATCTGGACAAGAAAGAAATTGCTGAAAGAGGTCGCACTAGGGAGAGAGCTTAAAGTAGAGTTTAGATGATGAGACGTAGGTTATGCATTTTTACCTGGCATCGAAATTGAAATTCAAATTATGAACTTTTTCTGGTTTCTTGCGTGTGGTGGACTTCTGCATGGCAAATTCTACATCAGGGTCGACACAATTTCCCGAGTTTCTCTTGCTCATCAAAAAGATGCAAGAGATCAACTTCTGTCAAATGAACGAGGCCGCCGCGGAGCGAGTGGAGTCCGAGAAAAAAGCCATCGAGAGAAAAGAAAAGGCCGAGCAACGGAAGAAGAAAGGTACGAAAGTATGCAGTATTTTCTACGGCACACTTGTTTTTGGAGGTTTTTTCTACTATTTCTGGTTAACGAAATTTGGCAACCCACATCCAGCAGCTGCTCCTGTTAAGCTTTAGGGAAAGCAACAGGCTCTTGCGTTTTGCGAATTTTCTGCGGAAAAATCTCTGCAGTATTCCCGACGGCACACTTGTTTTTGGAGGTTTTTTCTGCTATTTCTGGTTAACGAAATTTGGCAACCCACATCCAGCAGCTGCTCCTGTTAAGCTTTAGGGAAAGCAACAGGCTCTTGCGTTTTGCGAATTTTCTGCGGAAAAATCTCTGCAGTATTCCCGACGGCACACTTGTTTTTGGAGGTTTTTTCTGCTATTTCTGGTTAACGAAATTTGGCAACCCACATCCAGCAGCTGCTCCTGTTAAGCTTTAGGGAAAGCAACAGGCTCTTGCGTTTTGCGAATTTTCTGCGGAAAAATCTCTGCAGTATTCCCGACGGCACACTTGTTTTTGGAGGTTTTTTCTGCTATTTCTGGTTAACGAAATTTGGCAACCCACATCCAGCAGCTGCTCCTGTTAAGCTTTAGGGAAAGCAACAGGCTCTTGCGTTTTGCGAATTTTCTGCGGAAAAATCTCTGCAGTATTCCCGACGGCACACTTGTTTTTGGAGGTTTTTTCTGCTATTTCTGGTTAACGAAATTTGGCAACCCACATCCAGCAGCTGCTCCTGTTAAGCTTTAGGGAAAGCAACAGGCTCTTGCGTTTTGCGAATTTTCTGCGGAAAAATCTCTGCAGTATTCCCGACGGCACACTTGTTTTTGGAGGTTTTTTCTGCTATTTCTGGTTAACGAAATTTGGCAACCCACATCCAGCAGCTGCTCCTGTTAAGCTTTAGGGAAAGCAACAGGCTCTTGCGTTTTGCGAATTTTCTGCGGAAAAATCTCTGCAGTATTCCCGACGGCACACTTGTTTTTGGAGGTTTTTTCTGCTATTTCTGGTTAACGAAATTTGGCAACCCACATCCAGCAGCTGCTCCTGTTAAGCTTTAGGGAAAGCAACGGGCTCTTGCGTTTTGCGGATTTTCTGCGTAAAAATCTCTGCAGTAATCCCGACGGCGCGCTTGGTTTTGGAGGTTTTTTTAGAAGAAGATGTCGAAGTTATTACTTTGGGAAGAAAATCAAAATTGTTCTCCAACTGCGCGACCGGGCATGAAGGGTCTGCCGGCGCGTGTTGTCAAACAATACCAGCACCGGAGTTTCATCTCATACACTACTGATTCTCTCCAAACTCGACACTCACTACAGAGAAAGAGGCACACAGAGCCAGTTTGGTCGCGATGGAGGAAGACAAGGCAGCGATCGAGGCGGTCGCTAAGGAGGCAGAGGCCAAGAAAAAAGCGATATCAACTGCAAAAATGTCTGGGTCTGGAAGACTAAAACTTGTCATGCTAAATCCGAATAGTGCAAAAATCTGTGTTGCATGAGTGCCAAAAGCTGTCCACTTTCGACCAAGTTGGGAGGGAGTTTCTCATGCGGGATAGGCATGGCAGAGACCTCACAGACTCTGTCATGCTAGGTCCTGCATTCCAGACCTCATGGGTCATGGAAAATCTGCATGACAAACCTCGCAATCTTCCAGACCCAGACATTTTTGCATTTGATAAGCCAAGGGTGACGACGATGATAGCGACGAAGAGGGCGGCGGTTTGAAAGAATACGATCCGAAGACAGACGGTACTACGCATAGAATAATAATAGAATAATCCATGACTTTTTACTTTGTAGCCGTTTTCGTGTTCGAATCAGCCCGAAGATGAGACTGTCATGCGTTAATATGCATTGTTTGGCTTTGATGCAGCTTCTGTTCTATCGTCATTGTCATTCCACTTTCATCTCTCAGGTCCATACCAATTCTTCTACTGGAAAAACCACAAGGCCCAGATGGATGGAATGCAGGCAGTCTGGGATGACTACAAGAAGAAGGTCAAGGCCCGCTAATTCTTGACTCTCTACTACCCTCGTCAAAAAAACGACTAGTCGCGTTACCCTCTCATTATAGGCAACCAAAATTTTACCGATACGATACAGAATGCAGATTTAGGATTATTCACACAAAGAGGTGGGCGGAATGATACGAAGGAAAAGGCTAAAACTGTGTTAAAAATTGTAACAACCCCAACCACCTGAACCAACTAGGACACACAGGAATCACGCGGCACACCTCCAGTGCTACGTGCGTGTTGACAAGCTTGGTATCGAAGACTAGGATACCCTAAAGAACAAATGCTCAAGGACATCAAGCGATAAAATCGGAGATTCGCAGACAAAGAACATCAAAACAGAAGATCAAAGTCTGCCGCTTAGGAAGGTCAGAAACAGCTTTTTTCATTACACAAATGTGAATTCTCCTCACATAACTGAATGCGTTTGTGTGTACGTATCGTCCGATTGCGCGCACTCGTACTGCCAGGCGTTTTTTGTTCGTGCAACTGTCTCGATGTGACTCGGCCTACTTTAAATCGTCCTGGAACTCGAGCGATATTGAGATGAGCCTCGGATTTTAATCATGCACATTCACTCTCTCTCGGTGGCGTTCATCGCCGGTGAGCGAAGATAGAAGACTGACGGTGCTGAGCGTTTCTTTGCTGTCTCCCCGCCTAGACCCAGAAAGAGGATTCCATCAAATGCGCTTCTGCACTAACAGTACCCCACCTACAGCAAGGTAGCTTTCCCACGTTTTTTATCGTTATAGGTGTCGGGCAGTATTCCGCCCGGGTGCTTTGGCCATTCTTTAGATTTTACTTTCGACGAATACACTCGAAGATCTGGTGTCAAATTCCTCCGACTGTAAAAATAATTTCAAACCCATTTTGCATCTCATTAGCTTAGGGGATCGGGCGCTCGAACGACCAAGCAAATCTATTTCCTTGAAGGGAACGAGCACGAGTTGGTGCAGCTTCATACAGAATTTCTTTACAGAGCTAAAAAAGAACTATGCCCATGCGAGCGCAACTGGCAACCCAGCCCGGTGCGAACCCGCTGGAAGCGGTGAAAGTTGGTGATGGTGTCAAAAAGGTTGTTTTTATCCGCCACGGGGAGTCGCTGGCGAACGTGATCCGACACAAATATGAGGCGAATCCCCCGGTAAACTGGGATGAGTACAGCAACCTACCGCTCGGGGACGTGCCCCTGACGGACAAGGGGATTTCGCAAGCCCTGGAGACCAGCGCAAAATTGATGCCAAAGATCACCACTTCACTGCCAGGAGTTTCTACGCCAGGGGAGAAAGAGTCCACTTTTTCGTGCGTTGCGTCAGCCACGGACCGTCTCGTCGTCGTCGAAGAGGCAGGTGCGAAGAACAAGAATGCTGCAAGCTCCAAGAAAAAGCGCAGCTCCAATTCATCCACTTTATCCACACTGGAGTCCGGGTTTTTGTCTGACGGCACGCAGAGTACCGCTTCCACTTCTTCCGACAAGTCCAAGCCGCGAGAGCACGAATCTGGTGCAAGTGCGAGCTCGCGCGCGACGCCGAGCTTTGCGACAGAGGAACAGAAGTACCACCAAGTGTGGGTGTCTCCCATGCGCCGCAGTATCGAGACGGCGCAGCTGATTTTTGGCGGAAATGCGACTTGCATCCTGAGGAAAAGTAGCACAGTTTCAATCACGACGACAGACGACGACTCCATTGCAGGAGCCACGAAAACAAGTAGATCAAATCTCCCCGTCAAGTCGAACATCGACCGGTTGATTCCTTCCGCTCGCGAGTACTTCCCGGACGACTTTGCGAAGGGCGCGAGCTGCGCGATCGTTTCGCGTGATTACCTCGGGTACGACTGGCACGATGCGGAATGGGAAGAATTCCATGCGTCTGACGCGCACATCGAGGACAGCAGCAGGATGGACATGTTGCACAGCCAGATTCTTGAGTTTTTCCAACAGCAGGATAATGACAACTCTTCTGCACCCTCCGCCGACAACAAAAACCACCTCGTTGACACGATTTTTGTGGTTTGCCACTGGGGTACGATTTTGAACTACGTGCAGCGTTTTTGCTCCAATTTGGACCGGACTGCGTCGATCCAACCGTACACCGAAGAGTTGAAGCTGTGCCGTGGCTGGGACAAGATCTCACTGGTCGACCCTGCGCACATGGACCTGGAGAATTGTGCCATTAGGGTTGTGGAATTCGTCTGAAGAAAATTACGTTTTTCGCTGGTGCACAGGTTTGGAAATGATCAGAAGTTATAACTCTTGTTTGAAAATAAAGTAAGAAGTGCTCTATTCAGTCGTTTCTACCACTACATTTCAGTTTCGACTTAGGGTTTTCATGTTGCAGAACTTTTTGTTTTCCATGATGTTTTCGCAGTACTATATCGAGACTTTCACCATGGTTGCCTAGGAGAAAAGCTTTGCTTAGTACGGGCAGAACACCGCATAAGTCTCTTTTTGTTCACCACGACGTCGAGTTCGTGAATACAATGGAAAGGTCACATGTTAATAGCACCGTTTTTCGATAACTTTGATTGTCAATAGAATGTATCCCATTTGGACTTGTTTTTGCTTCTTGTGCTAAGGGCGATCTACTTATTTTCCTGTCTGTTTCATCGAAGCGACTTTGAATCTACTATATGAGCATCCATCAAAATGTTTTCGTGGGTCATAAGAATCGTCTGTTTCGATCTTAGGGCGTGCAAGGTCGTGTTTCTGCACGGTAAACCAACGCCACAAACGAACCATGGAGCAGTTGAAAAAAGGGAATGTTTCAGTTTCAAATGCTACCAGTGATTTTGTCGACGTTCACACGCTTGTGGCTGGCGGGAATCTGGTCAGAATTTAGCGATGTTCGATCCTCTGCTGAGGTGGCTCGGTGATTAATTTCTACCAAAGAAGAGGGCACGAGCGCAATTATTTCTATCGACAGTTGGCGAGGCTTTCCACGTTATTGTCCTAGGTGGACCGAAGTGAGTGAAAGGCGTATAGTGTGTGGAGTCGCAAAAAAAATGTAGTGGCGCTGTCTTCTGTCTGGCAGAAAAACTGGAAGTAAAAGTGAGTTTCTCTGTAAGTGGAGTGCAGCCGTCAAGAAGGCGCACTGAACCGAAGAAAGGCAAGGCGTCAAGCATCGCAAGCACAGACTGAGTTGTGTCCTAACAAAAGCCGAAGCAATTCATAATGATCCAGTTTTCAATTAGCGTCTGCGCGGACAAGAGGAGGGCGATCGCAGGTAAGTTTGTGAGATGCGAGCTTGTAAACGCTCCAACAATCAGAATGGTGCCATCGACTCTGCTTCACTAGCTGGCTACTCGATGCATGCCACAGGCCGGGCTGTGTGTCTTGTGCTGCGTGCGGCCTGACGTCCTAGGCTGAGCAGCCACTGAGACGCGCACCAAGGGCGTGGGCACATGCTGCGCCGGGGGCCGCAAGAACGAGGAATGGGCAACACAACCCGACCGCGGGCACCGACATGCAACTGCAAAAAGCAAAGAGCCCAAGCAGCGGGGAAGCTTTTCGCCCGGCCCTTGCGTGCCACCTCGCTGCCGGCGGGGGCCTTGCGTGTTGCCTTTCGCGCGCCCCCCGACAAGCGCTCCGCGCTGCTGAGGCGTGCGCCTGCGGCATGACTGCAGTCCGTGCGCGTGCGGGAAGTTTGACAGCGCCGCCCGCCTGCCGTTTCTATTTGGGCGGGCGCGGGCCGGCGCGGGACAAGGCGCTCGCGTGCTGTGGCGCCCTCCTTTGGCGGCGCTGCGGCCGCTTGCGTCGCCGAATTCGTGGCGCCGTGCGCCGCAGCGAGCGGGCGCGCAGTTCCCCCGAATGACCCAGCTGGGTTTGCTGCGTGTTCGTCGCGGACTCTTGCTGGGGTTGCAGCTGGGGTTGCTGGCGCCGCAGCGGAGATTGCCGCCCGCCGCGGCTGCTACAGAGCATCGGCCCTAGATTGCATAAGTTTGTGAGCAAATTGCGTGTCCATTGTGGGGGCATGAGTGGCCGCTTTTTTTTTTTTGCGTTCGGGAAGACGAAGAGAGAGGCAGTTGCCGAAAGGAGAGCACATGAAGGCCGAGGAAAGTAGAGTGGAGTGCTGTCTTTGGAGTGTCTTTTCACTAAGGGACCTTGTTGGGTCTGTTTTTTCGCGAAAATGGAGCGCTAGTATTCAGTGAGTGGCACAAGTCCTGGCACTGCTTTGGCGATGTCTCAGTGTGAACGCACGCCACGAATCATAGAAAAAACCCAATCAACATTTCCTGAAGACCCGGTCGTCCGCACTTTGCGTTTGGAGAGGAGTGATCACATAGACATGGCCTTCGCTCGTGAAGCAACGCCGGTGCAAGAACAGCCCGACACCCTCGCGAAGCCGCTTTAGCGGCTCGGACAGGCGCGCTATGGCGCCCGTGTTCATCCGGAAGTTGCAGGACGCACCCAAATCCAATTTTGGGCAACAGCACTACGGCACGAGCACCCCGCAGTCTTTGCTCTTCTGCCGCGGTTGCGCGGTGAAAGCCGCGGACCGTAGCGCACAGCTGGACGGGGAAGAAAGCGCATCGCCGCGGCCGGTACCCAGCGGACTCGCACAAACTTCGCTGCATGCTTCGCAACACGGTAACAGCGCGTCTTATCCCTACCTGCCCCTGGGGCAGCACCATCACTACAGCAGCGGAAGGCAAATTCCCCCCGGCCGGTGGGTCTCCACAAACTGCGCGCAGAACGAAACGCAACTCGCCCGCATGGAGCACATCATCGACACGGGTTTCACCGGGCAGCTGGGACCCGGGTACCTCATGTCCAATTTGCTGAATTACACCTGCGGACCGGAAGAGGAGCGCATGCTCATGACCGGCAAGCACGTCGTCTGTGATGTCTCCTGCGTGCGCTGCCAGACCGTGCTTGGGTGGAAGTATCTGCAGGCCTACCAATTCGACCAGAAGTACAAAGAGGGGAAATTCGTCGTGGAGGCCTGTCGGGTAACGCAGCTGCACTTCTCCAGTTCCTACGGGGTCGAGGAGCAGTTGTACAGCGATGACACGCCCGGCTACCACCCGCCGTGGGAGATCTGACGCCAGATCGGAGCGGTGGCAGCAGCCGCAGCGGCTATGCGTGTAGCAAAAAGACCTACGGACGAGAGCGAGTTAGTGTCTCAGTAGTCAGTCATTGTTTTGTGTTTTTGAACAACGTCAACCACTGTTTTGTAAATGCATCTACTTTTAGTCTGACAGCGTAAATGAGATAATCAAGTTGGGGCTCCTACACGACTACTTACAACGCAGCCACTTGTGTACAATCGACCCTACAGCTGTACGATACTTTCGGAAAGAACGCACGGAGTTTTGATGTAATTGTTTGAGAAGAGGAGTGTTGCAGAAGACGTCTCTGCTCATGTATTCGGCGTGTCGTCGTGTTCTTTATGTCCTTTGCAGCCGCAGTTCGTAGAAGTCAAGCGAGACGAGTGGGGCACACATGTTGAAGACTGTGCACCTTGAGCGACGTCGTTGTTGTGAGAAAGTCGTTCGAGCCTTATCGCGTTTTCGCAGTCTACGTGTCAGTGCAATGTCGCTTATGCAATCACGTACTACACAAGAAAATCTCTTTATTGGAATCATAGTTGCTAAGCACTACTAGGTTCGATGGTGTGCGCGTTGAAGACTACCGGCAGTAAAAACACAGGTTGCCACTACACTCTCTCTTGAGTTTTCAAAGAAAATAGCAACAAATTATGCCGGGTCCCGAGGAAGTTCCGTTGCCCAAATCTGGGCTGGCCCAGTTCCGAAAGGTGTTGCTTTCGAAGGTATTCGAGAATCCAACGTTTGAGATTTTTCTGGTGTTCATGGTGATGACCGACGTGTCTATCGTCAGTACCCTGTTCGCGCTCGACGCAGTGATAGATCACCCGGAGGGCTGGCACTTTGGCAAGGGATTTCACCTGGTCTACAACTTTCGGAAGCACCAGCTGTTTTACACCGGCGATCCGGGCGAGGCCGAGGAGGAGGAGGGCGAGGGGGAGAAAAAGAAGGAAGGCGGCTCGGAAAAAGAACCTGCGAAGCCGGAGGGCGGAGAGAACAAAAGCGAAGCGGCGAAAGCCGCAGCCGTAGAATTACGACCAAAGGAGAAAGACGCTTCAGAAGTGGATGCTGCAAGAGCAGCTTCGTGGTCGTCTTTTCTTGAGATACCAACATCGAAGCAAGAATCGCCTACTTCGCGAACCCGAACGGGCGGCGCAACATGGGTGCACAATGCCGAAGGAGTTTCATCTTTAGCAGCAAAAAGCGACGATGTTGCTGTTTTTTCGGAGGATGCGAGTCTGACCGTTTCCAGCAAAAGTGATTCCTCGTCACAACGTCAGCAAGAATCCGTGGCCACCAAGAGAAATGAAGGTGCGACCATCTCCACTTCCTCCACGGTCAATAGTGCCGTCGAGCTACAGGAACGCGGTGACAACTCCAAAGAAGAGGCGGACAAGAAGCCTGGTGCCGACGGGAAGCCAGATGCCGAGACATTGCCCCAGCCATCCCAGGGCCCGAACGCGCAGGTATTGAAACGAAATGAGCACAACGAAAACCACCTGACGTTCGCGGACCTGGAAACGTTCCAGAAATACCGCGAGCGGCTGGAAATGGCGGGGAAAATCGTGATTCTGTTCTTCATGATCGAGCTGGTTTTGCACGTTTTCGCGGCGGGGTTCCAGGAGCACTTCTGCGAGGGCGGGGTGTTAAAGATCTTGGGTCATTTCCTGGACGGCGTAGTTGTCCCCCTCAGCTTCGCGCAGGAGTGGTTTCTCGAGGAGGAGTTCTCCGGGCGGGACATGCTGGTGTGCGTGCGGCTGTGGCGGCTTTTGAAGATTCTCGTCGGGCAGTACGTGATCAGCCTGGAGACGGAGGAGGCCGAGGAAATCCGGGCAGAGCAAGAGCGCGAGATCTTCGACAATTTTCTGGAGAAGGAAATGAAGGGCGGGAAGGAGCTGTGCGAGAAATTTGAAAAGTTTCGGAACGACGAAAAGGCGGGGCGGAACGTCTAGGGTGGGATGCGGGAGAAGAAAATTTTTGTGCATTCGAGTTTATGTTTTTGTACCAACTTGTAACCTTATTCCAAAATGTATCTACGTACAAAACTTCTTAGTTTCTGCAACCTGAGAACCTGTATTCATTTGTAGAGAAAATACTACCCTAAAGAATTCAAAAGCTATGTAACAATTGATGACTGATGAAAAAGCTCTTCCAGACAATCTTTGAATGGCGCCCTTGCTTTGTACGACTTATTCTAGAAAAATGGTGTATCCTTTGCCGAGCCTTCTCTATCGCTTCTGAGACACGTGTGTAAATCGCACGTTCAACGCCACTGTTCGCTGCGTGAGAACGGAGAGAAATTGTTTGCGTTATCACGAATGACAAAACCAACACAAACGTGAGGCCGCTACTAGCTCCTGCGCCGCGGCGTCGGAGGGCCGTGCCTTTTCCGACTCGATTTTCAAATCAACAACACCAGAAAATGGCCGCCTCGAACGCTAAATTCGTGGGCAACGAAGAAAACCCTTTGCCCGAGCGACTGGTCTTCGCACAGAAGACCTCGCGAAGTCGTGCCACGAAAGACCTGCAGACGCTTTTAGAAACAGAACTGTACCACGATCTGGACGGAGTTGCTGAGACGATGGAGTCGTTGAAGCGCATGGGCGTACAGTGTGGAACGTACGGCGAGGTGACGTATAACGGCGTAACAAAGCTGATCGAGAAAATTCGCACACTTGCGGCAGACGAGCACCAAAATTGGTTGCTGGACAAAGATGAGGAACCGAGCGAGGAAGAAGGAGCAGAGACAACAGCGGACGTGGCAAAAAAGCAGCAAAACGCGCCGCCGTTGAAAGAAGTTCTCGCCACCCACGATGTTTTTTACGACCTCGGTAGCGGCGTCGGCAAACTCTGTCTGCAGGTTTTTTTGACGACAGAAGTGTCCAAGGTCGTCGGGGTGGAGTGGGGCGAGACCAGGTATCAGAAAGCCCTGAAGGCGAAGGAGCGACTGTACGCACAACTTTTCACCACCACAGAATCTTCACACGACGTCGACCAAAAGCGACTTCACTTCGACCAGCAGCTGGAATTCCGTTGTGAGGATGTAGCCAGGACGGGTATTTCGGACGCGACCGTGGTCTTTTTCTGTTCCATCGTTTTCGAGGAAGAAGTGGTCAAACGGGTGGCGCAGCGACTGCTGGAAAACGCGAAACAGTTGCGGTTCTTCATCTCCACGCAAAAAGTTGCCGACGCGCAGTACATGCGGGCGTTTATTTCAACCGACATCGGAAAGCAGCTAGAGCGTCGGTACGAATTGGCCGAGCGCTGGCGCTTGCCCATGAGTTGGACCTCAGCGGAAGGAGGAAACCTAGTGTACGTGTATCGCCCCGTTTTGACCGAACAAAAATTTCACGCGAACGCGATTTATGGTTGTAGTCCTGGGGACCACAATATGGTTGTGGCTCCTCAGTGTAAGTGACTGACTGTTCTTCGCCAGTAGATACTTACGGGTACGCAACGACATTGGTACAGTCAGAGTCTCAAGATTCATCAGGTTCAGCACCAAAGATCAGTTTTTTAGCTACGTACCTGAGTCAATCAAAAACAAACGAGGACTGAAGACGATCTTGAGGGAGCACAAGCCTGTCGCATTTTCTAGATGGACGGATGATCGCTTTGCGAAAGATCATATATTGTGGGTTCTGAAAGTGTGACTTCAGGTTTGTTTTGTATCATTTGAATTTGTCATTGTCAATGTCAAACGACACACTGTATGAAGATCTTGTCCACAAAAAATACTTTTTTTGTCCACGACGCACTGTAGAATCCCAAGCCCAACTTATGAAAATTTTTTGGACCTGTATACAATTTTGAAATTCAAATTTTCGTTTTTCTAACCTCTGCTCCGTCTGCAAAATGAAGTTGAAGGATACTGTCTCATCAAGGCCGTGGAAGATGCGGGCAGTGTTTGTGCTCGTTTTTGGATATCTGCAGTTCGATTCTTCTTGCCATGCATGGGCTGCGGTGCTTGTACCTGCACAATCTTCCGATTCCGAGGTGCGCAACCGGAAGAGGTCTGGGTCTCTGACGCGCTTGGGAGAAGATGTGACACCCCGAGATTCGCGATATAATGCAAACTCCCCGGAGCAAGCAGGGGGTACTAGTGGTATGGCCGGGTGGGCAACTGCAGCTGACCCCAAGATGCCAGTGCTGCCCACGGACGGTGGTACGGGGTCCGCATCCTCCTCGATTCCAGCGGCACGAGCAGCGGGTTCCACTTACGCGTTTGCTGACGCAGCCTCGCCTGTGAGTCCTCCTTATCCAACTCCTACTGACCAAAAACCGAGACCAGTGCCTGCGTTGAAAGTCCTACCGGGCGATATCAACAAAAAGTCAAAGTGCCCGGTCACTCGCCTCTGTTCCGCACTCGGCACGGCGCGCGGCGTCTGCGCCGTTCTGTACCGGTTGTTCTGCCTATCTGTAGCCTACGTACCGGGCAAGGTCATTTCCCGTGTTACCGGAAATCCGAAGTCCATTCTTCGGCCGTGGCCGCTGCGCACCCTTGCGGACACCGTAAAGGGCTTTCCCTTCGGTCTGGACTTGCAAGTCGAAATGAGCAGACAGGACTACGAGACGATCGTAGCCGAGCTTGGCCACGACGTCAAAAGACAAGCGGAAATTGCTGCAGCTGCAAGCTTTAGCCAGGTGAGAACGAGATGATACGGACTGCGTGTAGTTGTGGGTTTTTCTCCATGAGATGCAAAATCGATAGCAGGCTAGGAAAATAGAATTGCAACACCACTTGCATGTAAGAAAACCAATTCAACAACAATTCGACTGACAGGAGCTCGACCTGACGAAAGCCGGTGAAGCCACTTTAAGGGTCGACTTCCCGATTCCGGAAGTGGTCGATTCACGCGAGGACATATACTCCGGTTTGTACGACGACCGCAGCGGTACTCGGCAAATCTGGATCAACCGCGAGAAGCCGGAGCTGCAGCTGGTCCGAAAGTTTTTCGGTGCGGGGTACGAGCTGTTTCACTATCCGACGGTTGAGCAGATCGCTGCCGAAGGCGAAGACGCCGTGCCGCACGACAGCAACACCGAAGCGAATCAGAGAGTAATTATCCGCGCGCCACAAGTGGAACACGTAGCAACGTACGACACACAAAATGGTGTGTGGAATGTGAAAAAAATCTTCGAAGGAAGCCCCAAAGGAGCTTCTTCCACACCGATAAAGTGGTCCGCCGGAGTCCGGCCTGCGCACGTGTGTCGTGCTGCGCAGGAGGGGGCGGAAGGTTCTTCATGCCATAAGCAGGTGGTCCGCATCGGACCAGAGTACCCGGAGATACAGCGGCTCTTTGTTTGGGAACTGATGAAACGGGCCACGATTGCGGTTCCCAACCACGTTTCGCAGTTGGACCCGGTAAATCGTCAGATTGTGATTGTGATTTCCAGTTGCAGTTGGAACAGCTTGCCTAAAATTCTTTTAGACCCGCGACATGCCTCTCATGTACAGCTTTTTTGAAAGAGCCCCGGCTGCTCCTCGCTGAAACTAAGGATTTGAATAACATCGATCAAAACAGCTCCTTCTCATGTGCGTGGGCTGGTCACAGGATGAGAAGACTCGGCAGGTCCAGGGTCCGCGTTTTATCTCCCACCACGGGGTCAAGGACTACCCCATCTTCGGTTCGGTCTGCTCGGAACTAAACGGAATTTTCGTCGACCGGAACAGCCCCGAGTCGAAGAAGAAGTGCAGCGAAGCGATCCGCAACCACTGTGCCGATTGGGTGTACAACGCGAATGTGGGCTTGAGCGAGGACCAGCGCCCGCTGGTGATCTTTGCGGAAGGCGGTTTGTCCAATGGGAAGTCACTGATGCCGCTTCGCTCCGGAGCGTTTCTGGATGCGCAAGCGAAAGTTCGACTGGTGTTGTTGCACTTTGAAAAGCCCGGATTGGCCGAAGTGCTGTATTACGCACCGAAGGTAAGAAGTACAATGTATGATGACCTATTTTTTGCGTGCTTACTTACTTGATTAGTAGCACGAAGCAGGATATTTCATGATGATGATGATGATGACGATGATGATGGAGCCCCTGCCATGCTGCGTGAAAAATTGGAATTGCACCTACTTCTCTACTACCTTCTCACCACGTTCTGCTTCAGGATGCTCCTCTACCAGCGGAGCCCGATTCCGCTGATGTGCCAGCGTGGGACGGTGGTCGCGTTGTAGTTAGGAAAGCCGCGGACGTTTCACGCGTCGACGAAGAGGAGATCGTCCCGTCAGATGACCCGGATGTATCTGCCGAATCCGGGATGGACCACACGGGCGCACAAGGAGGTGATGGAGTAGCAAAACCAATCGACCACGAGGACGCACTGGCGCGGCGGCTGCGGAACAACTTACTCAAGGGTCGGCAAGTCTACGACAATCCTGAGGAGCTGCAGCGCGTGGGTACGGGCGAATGGTTTAACCAGCGGGTGCTGCGCGAACTCCCCCGGTCGGGTCGCCGAGTAGTGGTTCTAAAGTTCTTGCCGCTCCAGCAGCCAGAGCGGGGAGAGTCGTCCCTAGCTTTTCAGCAGCGGGTGGAACACCTAATGAAGACGCAATATGCCGAGTTGTCGGAAAGGCAAGACCGGGACGGGAAAAGTTCGAGCTCAGACGCAGGAGATGTAACACTGAAGAAGAAAGGGAAGGCATAGCGAAGAAACAAGCGATAGGCCACGCACTGTGCGAGCCTGTTTTGATAAAATATGTTCCTTGTGATCCGGTATAAAGATGGAAGTGCAGCCTTACTGCATGGAAGTCAAAGTGGTGATTGACATTGATGTGAGAAGTGTAGTTTTGACAATCTTGATCATGTCGCAAGGCATGAAGCCACTGGATTTCTTCGGCAGCCTTCTAAATTTTTAGATCGAGCCGAAATTCTCAGGGCGGCTCATATGGTAGTCACTCTTGTAGATCTTCTGGTGCAAGAGTAGATCTTTGGGAATACTGGAACAATGATTAAGTCATTTTGTGCATGGGCGTACTTGCAAGCACTGATGCTGAGAATAAAGGTCTGATAAAGCTACTGTTGTCAACATAATCATGCCCGCAAGGATGTAAAATACGTATTCGTATTCGATTTCGAAGAATGATTGGTCAACCCGCTGTGCCGTACTTGCCTACTTATACAATTATTTGCTGCACAAGGAAAATGAATCTTGAAAAAACGCTGTCGTGTGGTAGTTGCTGAACCTTATTCGATAAATTCCCTTTCCCGAGGGTCAGTTTTTTTTTTATTAAATGGAGTTCTGCGAGGAAGAGGAAGAGCAAGAGCAAGATGAAACTTCATGGCGATGATCTTGATCACCCAGCAGCTTCGCTCCGAAAGATCTGATTGAAATGCAGGACGTTCACAGAGTACAACTACGATCCTGGAACCCAAAAAGACAATAGGATTGATTATAGGCCCGCTCATGAGAAAATTGGATTCAGACTGATTCAGTTGCGGATCTTCACGGCATGCCATGAGTCAATACGACAAATAAGACTTCGAATAGCAAACGTAAACAGCGAGCCAAATGAGAGGAATTTTCTTTAGCGACAATCTTTGGGCGGCACTTTATTCTAAGCGTTTCCACTGATGTAGCAGTTTCGTAACAGGATGAGATGTGAGTTTTTGATTGCTGATCGCGTATAATGACGAGTTTCATCTTACCGACATCATGAACATTCATTTCGAGCACGCACTGGCTGTCAATTCCGGCGGTGTCTCCGTGATTCCGCGAAATTTGAAATGGCGTGGCGAAAACCTTCTGACCACCGCAGACGACCATGTCTTGCGGGTGTTTCGGGGTGCAAGAGCCAGCGACAAATCCGAGAATGCTACCGCATTCCAGCTCGCAGCCGAGTACCATTGTGGTGAGCCTGTTCTTGATTTCTGTTGGGCACACGAGAGCAGGAGGCGAGAAAGCCCAGAGCCGGGTGAACATCGCGATGGAAATGCTCTTCATTCCGCCTCCCGAGAAGGGGATGACTCGCACGGGGTTGTTGCACCTCAAGACGAGGTGTCCAGCATACAAGCCGCAGGCATCGATTCTGTGGTCGCGGCTGAAGCGGGTGTCGAAAGTACTGCTTCTGGACCCGCAGCGGACCACACGGCGACGATAGAATCTTCGGGAGCAGAATCTCTGAAAGTAGGCGACACTGGGAAACATTTCAAGTTCAACAGCGACCCCAGCTCAAACTCTCCGCGATTCTTTGTTTCCTGTCGCGGTAGACCCATTCATCTGATGGGGTTCACGGACGAAGCAGGAGATGAAGCGAGCGAGCAGCAGCTTGCGATCATCGGCAGCTACCCTGGTTACAACAACGTAGACGAGGTAACTCACGCGTTTTCGCTTGCGACTTCTTCCACCCACATCTTCGGCGGGTACGAATCTGCGGTCCGCATGTTCGACGTGAACCGCCCGGGGTACCGGAACCGAACGGAGTTGCTGACGAGCACGCGGAAGCGAAACTTCGGCAAGGACAGTCCGCACGGCATCATCGGTGCGCTGTCATTCAACGAAGCGACGCAGGCACTGTGTGTCGGTAGTTACAACGGACAAATTGCGGTGTACGACCCGTTTCGGAGTCGGAACATGGTGTGGAAACAGGAGATAGGGACAAATCCCGAGGTGCGGTATAACAGACCAGCGACAGGCAATAGCAAAGCGGCGAAGAAAAAGAAAGTAAGGCCTCCGCGAGAGTTGTTGCGGAGTTTCTGCGAAGTAGCTCCTGGAGATGAAGGCAATAGCAATTCCAGCAGTCGGATGGGCGGGATTACGCAGTTGGAGTGGATTGACGAGTACTGCGTTCTGTCCGGGCACCGCAAGGACCACTATCTCCGCTTCTGGGATTTGAGGATGAACCAGCGCGGCCCGGTTTACCGTCTGCCGAGGAGCAGCATGAAGACGTCGCAGCGCTTGCAGTTTTGCGTCACCGACTACTGCTGCATGAGTGGCGACGACCAGGGAAACCTGCACTGGTACCGCTTGGACACTGGTGAGTGTGTCAGGAGCGAATTTCTGGGTGCGGAGGAGGTGGTGAGTGGCTGCGATTGGTCACTGGAATCGCCGTTCATCGCAACGTGCCAAGGCAGCCGGAAGTTCGTAGAGGACGAAGCATACGAAGTTTTTGATCGAAGAAGTAAATGCTCAGGCGGTCTGCCGAAGGCATTCGACTCCGAGTTACTTCGCCTGAAGCGAAGACGGGTGGATCATGGAGATGACGTGCAAAATACAAAGAGCATGTTTCAGCAGAGTGGCACTGCCGTGTCCTCTATTCCGGAGGTGTGCGAAAGCGACGATTTTTCTGCGGACCCGCAGGCGAATTTATTTAGGATCTGGCGAATGGGTGGACAGGAAGCGATCGCTGCGCCAGGGAAGCAGAATCCTCATGATGAGAGGGTCCGGAGTGTTGATGGTGATGCACATGCACTCATTGAAAATGTGCAGCAAGAAACAAACGCTTCGCAACAAAACCAGGACGGTAGTGGGGAGGCCGAAAGAATTTCACAAGCACGAGTGAAGACGGGGATTGCTATCCGTAGTGGCTGTGTTGTAGACGCGGCGACAGCGAGTTCAAATATTATCGAGTCGAGCAATGTTGCGCCCTGTTCTAGCATTTTGGTTGGCCCATCACTGGCAGCAGCTGGAATTTCAGTTCTTTGATGGATGCCGTGATGTCAATGCGAAGAAACACGATCTCCATCCGGGCGCAAAAAATAATCAAAGAAGAGCAATTATAGTACAAAAGCGCACTTTGGGCGCTATTACCTTTGAGAACAAGATGAGTACCTGTGTTCAGTGCCGCGAGGCTCAGCTTTCTTTGGCGCTATCTGTTTAGTTGCTTGCGTCGCTGTTTTGGATTCAAAGTATCCGCGAGCCCCTTCCTGGCTGCCGGCTTTGGGCCTGTGTTATTGGTCAAAGGCCTTTGCGTTTGTTTTTTGCGCAGCAGGATCGTTCCAGTGGCTCCGAAGTGCGCCCCGTGGCGAAGAGGGGCCCCGGCCAGTGCTACGCCTACGCGGTCGCGTGGCACATGGCTGCGCGCCTGGTTGTTTGGCGAGAAGGGGAGAGCGGGGCGCGCGCGGGGGAGTCTGTTCCGAGACCTGCGCGTCGCGGATAAGAGGCGCGGCGCCATGAAGTAAGGCCGGCCGCTTACTTACCGAACGAAGCAGCGAGAAGCTTGGGGCGTGGGCCAGCAAACTCCTCAGCATTGCGGCGGCGGCCGACGGGGCGGGCGTCCAGTCGCGAGCCCTCCCGTTGGAATGTCGCCCATGTTTCCCATTTGCCAGGCAACGGCGCCGGGCATATGCGCCAGGCTGCAAGCTTTGGCGCCTTGGAGGCCCGGAGCTCCGCGGGTTGGCCTTCCCAGGCGCCGGGGGAATTCCCCCCGGACTGCAGGAGAGCCCGGCGCTGCGGATACTCGGAAGAAGAAGAGAAAGCGCGCGGCGCGAAGAGTCTGCGCCCCCCCCCCCCCTCCCCCCGGTTGGCTGTCCCGCGCGGGGCGGCCGGCGCGCGCCGCTGTGTTTTCGCACCGGCCGGGCCGCCGCGGCGTGAGTTTGTTTCCGGGCGGCCTTTTCCGGAACCATTGCCCGTCGCCGAATTTCGCCGCGGACGCCTTGTCGCGGTTCATCTTCACGAGTTGGCCGGAGGACACGGCGGCGCGCTTCGCGGCCTGCCTGATCATTTTCGCGCGCGCCAAGTGACCCCAGCCGCCGCGGCGGCCTCAGAAGGACCCGGCCCGGCCCCGGCGCCGAGCAGCGCGAGCGGCCTGCGCGCCGTCGCTTGAAGTGCGGCGGCGGGGCCGCCTCTGGCGCGGCCGCTTATTTGATATTCCGAACGGCCCAAGGGCCTCGGGCAATTTCTGCAGGCAGCCAGCCCCGGGCGGGCGCCGCTGTGTTGCCGCCGGGAAAGCGGCAGGCGCCGCGTGGGCTCGTGGCGGATATAGGCGCCGGGCTTGCTGGGGGTGCCCCGTTTTGCCCCCTCTGGGTGGGCCGCGCGTATGGTGTTGCATGCTTCGCGCGTTGCCCCCAGTCTCGCTAATTCTCGAGCTCGGCCCGCCTGCCTCCATGGAAAGGGCCGGGCGCGGGGTCGCGACGCGGCCACTCTCCTTCACATGTACGTAGCCAGGACATGCTTCAAGGCTGATCATACTCATTGCGATCGCGGGGCCGCATGGTCCGCTGCGTAGCCAGCGCCGTGATGTCGATCGGCGATCCAACGGAGGGCGTATTCGTTTGTTCTAAGAGTACAAATCTCACCACGACCCATGAGCGTCATGTCAGAGGGGAGCTGCAATGCATTGATATGCAGGCTCGTGTGCAACTTCATTATCATTTTTCAGCAATATTATGAGTGCTCTCTCTTTGCAGCAACATAGCGCAGTTACGGAAAATCGGTACAATGGTGGCAGCCCAGTTTCCATCGTTGTTGACCTGCGCGACTCCCCGCGACAGGAAAAGCTTTCGTCTCAAGGCCGATCAGTTTCTGGAAAACCTGTGCCGCCGGTTCGACGCTGAGGGCGCCGGTAGCTCGAGTGCTGCGTCCTCGGAAAGCTCCTCCAGCGCCACGAGGCAGAAGCGATGGTGGCTTCCCGGGTTTCTATCGCTTTCCTCAGGCAAAGCAGGACGATCCGGTGGCGCCACCAGAAAAATAGATAGTGCACGGCAGACCACGTCGAACCATGCTCAGTGCACGCGGTGTTGTGTTTTACTCGAGTTTCTAGACTTTGTCAGCGCACAGCCGCGGGGATGCAGCCTCCGGGACGTGGTTTCCGCAGCGAGCGCAGACATGCTTCTGTTGCGAATCTTGACATGGGTCACCTTGAAAGCGAACTCCTTAGCCGGCGGAGCAAGCGCAGCATCACCGGCACGAAGAAAGAAAAGGAAGGATGGAAAGCACGGCACGACACCGGCTATACTCGATATCCTGAACTTGCAGTGTCGTGCGATACTCTGCTTTCTGCGCACGCCTTCCGATCTTCGGGAGTTCGGTCCGGTGGTGGTGCAGTCGGGAGCTGTTATCACGTTTGTCACCATCCTCACACCGCACTGGACGCTCGGAGATCCGCGGGAGGAAGAAGTCGTGGAAAAAGTTGCAAGAATCTTCACCAGGCTGTTGCAAATACCCGAAAGATTGGATGAGATCGAAAGTGACGGGAAACCGCACGGCGCAAAACCCATTGCTGGTTGTACTACTTCCGTCCGCCAGCTGCTTTGCAACACATTGGATTTGGTTGCTGCCGCGAAGGGCTGCCTCACGAACCTGCTTACCTCTCCCGCCTGCGCGGCCGTTGTCGACCTGCTCGTCGCCTGCTTCAAGGGCAGTGGCGACGAGGTGCAGCGACAGGTATTGGAAGCTGTCCTCGACCTCCTTTCCTCAGACCGGACGCACAGGACGACCACACTTGTGAAGCGGCACACGTTGATTCTCCTTCACCGTCTCTTCCTCACCGAAGAGGAGTTTCCCGAGCCAGGAGGCGACGTGCAAACCAAGTATCCGTTTCTACTTCTGAAAATTGTGAAGCGCGTAGCGGAGTTAGCCTTCTCTACAGATACGCATGAAGAGGCGCAAGCGGTGTTTGAGCAAGAAGTTTCTAAGCAGGAAGCAGGACAAGACCAAAATAGGATCCATCCGTCTGAAAAATTTACGGATTCGCAAATCGCGAGCTGTACGGCACCGGGTAAACTTGCGTTGGCCATGGAGGCAGACATTTGTGGAGGGAACGCAGAGCGAAGTAGGGACGCCTCGACTGATTTTGCGGAGAAAACCACAGGCGTAGTAACAAAAAACCAGTGCCCATCAACATTGTCAACACTCCAGTTGCACGCTCGACCTGCGCACCCCTACTTCTTTGAAGGGAAGAAAGTGACCGAAGAGATACAGGCTGGAATTGTGACCACGCTTGACTGTGCAGTTGTAGGAGTGACAACAAACGCGTCCAGCAGTCAGCGACCTGAGGAAGTGGTAGAGCAGTCCTCGCCGCGTGATGGTGCTAGTAGTACCGATGTAGGTGTCGAAAAAAATTTCGCCAATGACTCATCTCCGGGTCCCACCGGGCAAGCAGATCAGTGCTCCACTTTTCTCACCTCCACTGGCGCGAAGGAGGGGCGCGGAGGACAAGCAGTTGGCAAATCGACATCAGGAAAAGACCGCATTCTCGACTCCTCATCTTGGGGGCCACTAGTGCTCGTGGAAAATAACAACCCGAGTCCTCCGCCTTCGTTTGCAGCAGAGCGGATCATGCAGAGCGGACAGCAGTCTCCTGGGCGATTTGAACCTCCGTCAGGTTCTTCATGCTCGTCAGTAAACGAGCCGCAACATTTGGTGCTAGCCACGGAGGCCCTGCTGTGCCTCAAGGACACTGCTAGTTTTCTCCAAGCCGACGTTCTGGAGCTTTCAGAGACCTTGCTGCTCCACCTCACCGAAGAACTAGACCAACACTTGGCACAGCTGGAGATCGACGCCAGAGGTTCGTGCAACCAAATGCACTACGCGTGTTTGCAGCAGGCCGGGGAGGGAGCCGGCGGAGTCGGAGTGAGGGTCGGAGCAAGCACGATCTTGTCCTCAGGTAGTTGCAAAAGAAGTTCTCCCGACGCTCACTTGGTCCGTTCCATCCAGGAGTTGTCCGATCTTCTCGCCACCGAATCCGTTCGTCAAATCGAGGCCCGGATGATGACCGCACGTGGCGCGACGACGCGCAAAGGCTCGAAAAGTAAAACTGTCCACGATTATCCCTGTCCGCTCCTCTGCTTCATCCGCGAGTCTCACGCAGCGGCCTTTATGGATTGGGACGTCGGCATTGCGCTGCCGTATCCTGAGTAAAAACGTACCCACACCAGAGTCAGGATGGGGATTTTGCAACACAAACCTAGGAGTTTTGTGAGTCACGCATGACAAGTTGCACTCTGCAGTGTAGTGCAGGTTAGCAAGTGCAGCCGCGTCACAGATTCATCTGCTCATCCTGTTCACAGCATCACAAATTCCAAAACACGATTGGAAATGGCTCTCATGGGGATGCGCATTACAAGTCTTCCTGTCTTTGCAAATCTGCATTACAACTCTGGCGTGGGTACGTTTTTACTGAGGATATGCCGCCCGTGTTGCTCATCGCGGTTTTGAAAGCAGATGGCGTCTTTTTCCCTGCAGCAGATTCTTCGGGCCAGTTCGAGCGCAAATTCGCGCAGTTCGCCACGATTACGTTGATCTGGGACTTCGTGTTTTATCTGCTGTCGCAAAACTTGTGCAGCTATTCTGGTGCCTGTGCCTCCGATAAAACTGCGCTTCTGCGAAAGTTCGCAATTCACCTGTTCGCCTTCTGCATCGATGCAGTTCGGGTGCCGTGCTTTTTGCGTGAGACGGCGTTTTTTTACCTGAAGCACTTGCTGGCTTTCCACAGTGTCGGAACTATCGGGAATAGAAGCGGTCACAGAAGTGGTCCAGCACCAGGCACAACCTCATTACTGCCACCTGCAGCGGAAAACTTGGTCTTTCGCAGCGGAAATGCGAGCGCACTTTTCAGTGTCGACTTGACACCGATCCGCTTCCAGCTTCGACATTTCTCTACCAGTACGTCTCTGCTGGCTTTGCAAGCGGGTCGCGATGAAGAAGAGTTCCCGCATGAAGATAATCCCCTTGTTTCGACAGGACAGGCGGGGATATTTGCGCGCCAGATCTCGGCCCTGGTATCCGCGGCAACAAGACCGGACACACTAGTCAGCGTCGGCAAGGAGCTGCAGCTACAGCAGATCATGCTGGAGCGAGACTTCGAGGAGCTGCTCGGCGAACAATTTCACCTGGATGGCGGAGGTGACGACGCAGCTGCAGAGCGGGTGCCGAAGAGTGCTGCGCCCGAAGCAGACGACGTGCTGATTGATGACGCACGTGGACACAACGCGCAGGGCCGAACGAAATTTGACGGCGCAGCAACATCACCAGAGAATCAGATCGGAGATACTGAACCACGCGAGGACGGCTCCGTTTCCTCGAGTGAGAACGACACAGCGGATTTGCGACGCGAACCTCGATGGCGCAAGCAGAATTTGTTTTTTGGCGCGGAACGCACTGGCGGCACTGTCAACTTTCTCCCCCTGCCTGATTTCCGTCTCCGACGACGGCTCAGAGACGTCTTCGAGCTTTGCGAACGGCGATTGCGGCTTGAAAAGGAACAAGCCGAGCTCCTGCGCAGCGCAGAAGACGATGTGAGGAAGGGCAAAAGTAGCGACGTCCTTGTCCCTGCGCGGACAGGTGGGAAGAAAACTGCCCTGCTTGGTGAAGACGCGTTGCTTCGTGCCGCTGAGCTGGCCTTGCTTTCCTTGGAGGAGCAGGCAGCCTTGGGGAGGCAAATAGTCGACTCATCCACGTTGACGGAAAAGTTGCAGAGCATGTTGGCGAACGTGCAGGTCATCCGCGAAGAGCCCCCACGAAGTGCGACGGAAAGGCACCGCAAGAAGCTCCGTAGAAGAAAAGAGAGACTACGAAGGAAAGCCGCGAAGATTCTGAAGGAAAATACAGATCGGCAAGAGTGGTCGTGCTCTTCGCCGGGATCGAAAAGCAGCCTGGAAGAAGACGACAGCATTTGTGAGAACACTGACACTGATGTGCACCGACTAGCGCTCCTCCGTGCGGATAACGACGATGCTCGGGTGGATGAACACAAGTCTTTGGCAGGTCCGAGGAGAAGAAAATCCCCTTCGTCGACAGCGCCCTTGCAGCAGACTATCACCACAAGCGTACAGCGCATCGTCCCGGATCTGGTCGATCCGTTGTTTGACGATGCCAGCCTGTGTTCCACGCTGACGCACGCCTCAGCACTGCCAGCGTTCGAAGTAGGGATCGTTCCAGGCCGTGGCACCACGGAGCATATTCCTGAGCCGGTTCATCGTATCCGTCCTTCAGAGGCGAAACTCGGACCCGCATTTTCCTTTGATCAATTGGCTGAAGACCTTTGCGATCATGATTCAGGAAAGCAGGAGGACAAGGACAACAGAGTCGGGCGCGCCAGTGTGACGTTTTGTTCTGGAGACCCGGCAGCGTCCGTGCTGAAAGAAGAAGAGGAGGATCATGCTGATGGCCAACGCGATCGTTACAGCGATACGGTTGCAGCTGCACCGTGGTCCGTACCCTCTGCGTCAAGGCTGAAGCTGCAGTCTGACGAGCATAAAAAAACCCAGAAGCTTGAAGAACTTTCAACAACATCTCCAGAACGTCGGAAGTATCTTGCACCAGAAATTGTAGCAGCGCAGCAGAACAATGTGGCCCGCGCAAAGCAACGGCAGCCTGTAGTGAGTGCAGCTGCAGCCTCGTTATCCAACCCCCATCACGATACAGAGGCTCTGTCAGTCGGGTGGAGCTACCAGTCCGTCGTTCCGGCACTGAAGCCGCGTCGGCGCAAGCGGTTCTACATCCCAGCGGTAGGGGGAAAGCCAGTTTCGGCCGACGATCCGCTGCTGGCACCGTATGCGGGAGAAGGTACCTCCACGAACAATCCGTCCATTGCGCCGCCGCGTCTCTCGCACGTTTCCGACCTAAGAGATTGCGCACCTCCGGACGATGTTGCTTGGAATCAAAAGCAAAACAGCTCGGAGCAGGTCGATGTTTGCTCACCCTCTGCAAACCGAGCCGCAATACAAGGCATACCGCAGCAGGGGGATTTTGTTCAGCAAGACCCAGCATCTCGGAATATCAGTAGCCGTCTAGAAGCGCTAGCCCTGCCGCGAAATAGCACGTCTACACACAGCAAGCCTGCAAGTCACGGTTTGTCCTCGAAACTTCTGACCGTTCACCAGAACCTTCGGACGCGCGGCGTTGCTGCTCTAGGATCAGGTGCTGTCAACATGGGGACGAGAAAATCCGGTTCTAGACTTGAAGTCGGTACCAAGCAAGCAATCACATCAATCGGGGCTCCTGGTGCGCTCCTGCATCAAAAAGAAGAACATCGCCGTGTTGATCACAAGGAAGGGGAGAGGACAACTTCCCGCGCGATCAGTCTGCACAAAAGCGACGCAGATTTACGGCAGCAGCCGAGCTGTTCGAAGAAAGCCCGCATGCCAGCGATTTATGAAGAGTGGACGTACAGCCAGCTTTGGGACAAGCAGAAAGGAAAAAACTGCGAGGACATCAAGAGTGGTCTGCTGCGTTGTGATGTCGAAAATCATACGGAAGCAGGTGTGGCAGTAGAGGCTGACACTTCATCCCAGGTTGCTATTGCGGAGGAGCCAGAGGAAAAGGGATCAAAGATGACCTCCGACGAGGCATCGTCAGCGGGGAGGGAGGGCCGGGCCGTTGGAGAAAAGACGGCTGTTCCTGCGAATTCCGCTCGAGCTTCCCGGGGACAACTACGTGAGGACGACTGTCAAGATGCCGGCACTCCTGTTGATGTCGAGAAAAAGATCCTGCAATCTTTCCGTGTGGTTGCAAAGGATTTCCCACCGAGCCCGCCGGCCGCAGAGCGGAATCGTTTGAGCAGCCTGCGGAAGGAGTTTTTGTTCTCGTGCGCCAAAAAGCAGCTGCGGGAGATTGAAAGGGCGGCCGCTGGAGTGGTCGTGGAGCAGCAGCCTAAGGATGCAGAGTCGGACGATGGCTCGATGTTAATCTAAGTCCATGCATGTATTTGTTTCATGATGCTATAATTAATGAATGTAAAATTCTTGTATCGAGAAGGGCTTTTATCTTTGTGTGTTAGTTTGTACAATTCAAGTGAAAATGTATCCGATGCGATTTTCATGTAACAGCAAAACAAAACGGACATCCAAATAGTGAAAAATGCCATGTCGAAAGGTTTGAGTTTAGTAGAATCACAAGTGAAAGAAAAAGTAGAGTTTGAACTACAATCAGTATGCCGTGCAAATAAAGCCAAGTTGCAACATGGAAACTGGCTAGGAGAAGCCGAGCGATTCGGCCTGTGCCTGTGCTGTCGTATGCTTGTTCTGTTTTCGAAGAAAGATCCATCACCATTCTGGGCCACTTGTTCTCATTTTTTTGCTGAGTGTAGTCACTGTGAATCGTGTTTTGATGTCCCCACTAGTACGTTCTAGTAGAAGTCTTTTTGATACAAGAATGCTGAAGAGCTTCAGGAAATCGAAAATCAAGAGTTTACCGCTTTTTTCAAGTCAAAAAGTTACGGCTTCACTCGCAAGCTCTCCAAACCATGCTCCAGCATTGCTAGAACAGACAAGGCGGGTCAATTGTCATTGCAGCGCCGTGCTCTTTTCGACGCACTCCCCAACCTCGACAAGCATGCAGATGCAGGACTCGCTTAAAACCCGAACAGTCGAAGTGGAGCGGAAATTCGTTTTGACAGAGACCGCTTACGCAAACATTCAGGAGCGGTGCAAGTCGAAAGTAATTGAAGGGACTGAAGACGGTAAAAATACCATCACCCATCGCGACACCTATTACGACTTGGTTTCTAGAATTGAATTTGACGGGAAGCGCCGTTTTTATGCGTTCACTTCACAAGACTGGTGGTTGCGTCAGCGCGATGGTTCCTGGGAACTGAAAAAGCCGGTGACTGAGGAACAAGCAACAGGAGATACAACCAATGCAAAATCCGACGCGTATGAAGAAATCCAGGACGAAACACGAATTACGGAGTTGCTGTGTGCAAAGGCTTTGGAACTAGAAGCTCAAAATTTCGTCACAGGATCTGAATCGGATTACTGGGTATGGAAAAAGTTTGTTGACATGCGGACTTTTCGGGAGAAGTGGATTCACGACGGGACAACCTTGAGTATCGACATCGATCGGGTCGAGTACTTGGAAGTAAAAGACGTGGAGCAAGAGAGCGTCAATTTAAGATCGTTGGCTTTACCTGCTGCAGCAGCAGCAGCCACCCGCGACGGTGCAGTGCTCCCGGATGCGTTCCGCATTTTCGAGGTCGAATGTCTTTTGCAGCTACGAGACGGAGAAGACGGCGAGGCTGAAATAGCCGCTGCGCGTGAAAGGATCGCGGAGTTCGGCGAGGAACTCATGCGAACTACTGCCGACTCGGGTGAGTGTGAGAAAGGAAAAGAGGATGCAAATTTTCAGCTGATGCTACAAGGTGGGAAAATTTTGTACTATTTGCAAAAGTATTCACCAGATCATTTCAAAACCCTTGTTGCTGCGTACCAGAAGCGAATGCAGCAAAAATCTTCTGCCCTTCGACATCAGCGGAGCTGCGGAGCGAACAGTGTGCAGGACCGTACAGTCTGCGCCTTTGATTCTTGTTTTGCTACTCCGTTGTACGAAAAATAAATGTGTCGTCATCGGTAACTGACAGACGACTTTATAATGCATTGTCGGTTCTGAGTCGTGCGTCTATGCCTTCGTAGGTAGCGAAAAGCAAAAGTCGTTTGTGTATCCTCTGACTAAAGAAAGTTTACGCAAATTATTTTCGGTTTTCGTATCTCCATGCTTATTCGGATTCGGTTTACAGCTTATTCGTAGTCGTTCGGTTTGCATCGCGTCACTGATGCTCCACTCTCGTACAATTCACTGCTATGAAGTTTGCTCGTCCGGTGTCTCTTCCTCGTATCGTCCGCGCACTTGCGTACGCTCTTACTTCCCTTTCGTCGGTGCAAATCGCTCCCTTCTCAATCTAATTCCTTTGACAAGCAGCCTCAGCAGTTGTATCCCAACGCACCAATTCATTGCAATTTTCGTCTCTAGTTAAAGATGTCTTGTTTGTGTTTGACCCCGTACAACTTTTCTTGCACCATCCCAGTTTCACGTCTTCTGTAACTGTGAGTAAATACGTCGTAGAAATCCTACCGTACAATAAAGGAGCACTTCACATAAGCAGCATACACAACGAACTCCCCGTCTACTTCATCGCGACGTTTGATAAAAACACCAACAATCGTCATGTCGGACACGTTGAGCTCGGCTTCCACGGCCGCCACTCCTCGTGGCGGCTTTTTCGGCACCCCCCGCGCCATGTTTTCGGGAATGATGGGCAAAATGACCCCCCGCGGCGGCGGTGGCGGTTCTTTTGCGGGCACCCCGCGCGGCGCCGGCAACATGAGCTCCACGCCCCGCGGGGGCGGCAACATGAGCTCCACCCCGCGGGGCGACACCCCCCGCGGTGGAGGTGGGACGACACACGGCGCCCTCCCGGGCACGCCGCGGCCGCAGAGCCTGATGCCGAAGACGGGCATGCTGCGGTTCCCGATTTCCAGTTCCAGCGGCTTTAACTTCTACGGCGTTCTGGCCCGTGCGTGGAAAATATGAGAGTGCACAACTCGCCCTCCCCCTCATTTGAAGGGCATAAGCAGCAACACAAGTGCTGGCATAAATGCAGCTTTTGCATGACAAATTCGCGACCGATTACTGGGCTGTTTCGGCTTCCGAAACCTGTCATGCAAGAAGTGCCAAAGAGAAAAGGGTGGATTTGGTATTTTGCATGGCAAATGAGGGGGAGGGGGAGTTGTGCAATGTCATACAAAACCGAGCCGCGTGGATTCGGTTTGATCGCGGAAAACGCGGTATCCTGAGCAAAAACGTACCCACACCAGAGTTGTAATGCAAATCTGCATGCTGAAAATGTTTCTCATGCGGAGCCCCATGAGAAGCATTTTCTAGTCGTGTTTTGCGATTTGTCATGCTCCAATCAGCATGGTATGCTAGATCTGTGATGCTGCTGAGGTAGCTCAAACAGCACTACACTACGAATCCAAATTTGTCATGCAAAACAGCCAAAGCTTGTGGATTTGTCTAGCCGATTCCCTATCTTGACTATGGTGTGGGTACGTTTTTACTCAGGATACGCGGAGGAGGAGAAGGAGGAGCAGGACGAGTGGGATTTGCTCCGGAAAAAGCTCCGGCTCCGCATCGTCGGCGTGATCGACGCCACGGACAAGCCCGAAGAGTGGCTGGAGTTCGTGATGCCCAAAACCCGGGGCGCCACGGACCCGATCGCGGAAATCCAGCGCCGGCTGTCGCCCGAACACCACCTGCTCCTCTTCGACCAGAAGCTCGGCGTGATTGACCGCAAGGAGGTCCCGGTGCGGCGCCGGGAGGACCTGGTGCAGCACACCATGGCGGGCTGCGACCGGGTTATTGAGCAATACAACTACGTTCGGGATCAGCTCTTCCCGTGCTACATGACCACCACACCGACCTACGTCGTGTTTCACGGGCTGCTCGACAAGATCCGGTTGGAAGACAATCCGAAGGAGGAGCCGAACGAAAAGGGGATCGCGGAACAGTACGCGAAGGAACTGAAGGGGTCCGACATCTACGTGTGCGAAGGCTTTTTCTGCTGCAAGCCGCCGCATTTCGACCTGTCGGATTTGAAATCCCCGAGGAAGGAAGGCGAGCCCTCCCCAAGGCCAGTGGCAAAACCGAAGAAGAAACCGGAACACTTGTACGAGACGAATCCGGACAAGAAGCCCGTGATCCGCGTGGTGTTGGACAAATCGCTGAACGGGGTCATTCACGTGGAAGTCCGGGCCTACATCCCGCCCCGGACCAAACTCGGGAAAATCGTGAACGTCTTGCTGCAGCGAAGAAGCTACAACGTGAACACGCGAAAGTACGTGTTCAAGGGCGACGCGTTGCCGAATCTACGCAACACGCTGAAAATTACGTACGAAACGCCGCAGCGGACGAATGTCACGTGCTTTTTCGAGAACGTCTACGACTGGGACCGCGTGCAGTGGATTCTCGTCTGGCTCTTTCCCTACGACGACGAGAAACTCCACCAGCGCATGATGAGTTTCTGGAACGACCGAGTGGACCCGCAAAGGGACGTCGCGGAGTACTGGTTCAAGGACAGAATACAGGAGTTCACCCGGGGTGTGTCCCGACAGGATTGCGACTTCTGCGAACACGTGACCGGCCGGGTCAAGAAGAAGGGACGCTCACACCAGAGTTCCACCGCGCCGACGCCGCGACCCGCGGACGGAGCGGGTGGTCCAGGAGGACCCCTCGCGGGACTGAAAAACGCGATGGCAAAGAAGTTGGCGGAATCCAGGGCAGAAAAAATGCTCCAGGTATAATAATTTTACTGTATGCGACTGTTGCTGTGCTGTGATGTGCCCCTTTTTGTCTTTTGCTTACTATTGATGGTTCACGATGAGGATGAAGCGCAAGGAGCGCGGATGTGCTGATTCCCAATAAGATTGAACGAGTCAGAATTGATGTTCCAACTCAAATGACTTTCAGTCCGTCGACGAGGATAAGACCTCTCCAGAACCAGCGGCACCGCCACCCGCCGATACACCCGCAGATATCAAATGTAAAAGTGTCTGGGTCTGGAAGAATGCAACTTGTGATGCTGCATTTGGATTCCAGAAAAATCTGTATTGCATGAGTACCAAAAGGAATGCAATTTTTGCTACGCGGAGACGGCATCTGTCATGCGGAATAGGCATCAAGAAGCTCTCAAAAAATCTGTGATGCTAGGGCATGCATCACAGACATCAGGGCTCATGCAAAACGTGCATGACAAGTGTCAGAATCTTCCAGTCCCAGACATTTTTACAGTTGATAGCAGAGGACGCGGCACCAAAGAAGTCCTCTTTGATGGGCAAGCTGGGAAAGATGAGCATGATGGAGAAGCTTCGTACCGTTGTGAAGAAAGCGCTGGCAGAAAGGTCGTTGACTTTCAAGTTCCCCGCGTTTCCGAGAACAGATCCGAATGGAGACCTGAGAACAATGACAGAATTTGCCATGCGCAGTGCGGAAGACGGCCTGCTGGAGGTCGTCGCGAAGATGGAGTAGAGCACATCTAGATTCCTTTTGACGGAGATAGTATTTTTGCAGACACTTCTAAAAAGGACTGCTGAGGCGACCACAGGAATCAAGTGGTAGTGATGATTCAATTCAATATTTTGGAGACAACCCACCCTAATTTCGATTTTCTGTATGATTTTTACAGTAGCATATTTTTTCCCCCCATCGCAATTCGAGAGTGTGCCGCCCAATCTCAAACTTTTTGCACAACACAAACACTTATCAACAAAGCATTTTTGCATAATTCCAGAGCTCAACGAAACCAAGAGACGAGAGCAAATGAAGAAGCGCTACTACTTGTGGCCAAAGCACTCAATCAAGACCCCAATCGACTTAATAATTTTCTGCACTTTTTAACCCAACGAAAAACGGAACCCGCGCCCGCCAATCAATCTGACCATCGAAGAAAAAGCATATATCATTCATAGACACTGCGTCCGTGCCTTCATTTGGGCCTCTCGCTGAAATCACGTGGCGTAATTTGTTTTTGTTCGCAATTAGCTGCTCAATTGGAACTCGAACTCGTTCTCGTCGTCGTCTGAATTTTCATCGTGTTCGCGAAAAATCGTCTATCTCATCGTCGTGTCCGAGCACTCTTGTAGAGCATCGTTTGGTAAGGTGAATCTCTCGAGAAAGAGAAGATAAACTGGCCCCAGTGCGTGTTCCCAATATCACTCGTGGCTTCTATCGTCCTTGCTGCTAGTTTTCGTAAGAGAGAGTCAATCTAAGTAGAAACCACATCCGATTGCCTTTGTCTTTAGAAAATGTTGCGGACGGTAATTTTGCTGCAGCTCCTTGTCGTCGCGGTTCCCGGGCGCCAGCGTATGCTGCGTCGCGAGCCCCGACCAAGCGATACGACCACGACCACCGTGCTGCCCCCCGTGACGATTTTACAGAAAGGAGAGGAGAACTTAGAAAATCCTGCTGCTAGTGAAGCAGCTGCTGAAGCTGGTGCAGCCGATGCGAGTAGTTCTCCTGTGCAACAAGAAGTTTCCGATCAGGACGTCGACATCGATGCGACGGGCAGAAGCACAGAGGTTCCTGCGACTGCGAAAGAAAGGGGAACGCAGGAAGCTTCTGCACTGGCATCTGCTACGGCCTCGCAGCAGAGCAGCAGTGTGCAGAACGCTGACAGCGAGGGTGCGGCCTCCGCGAGTGCTTTCGACGCGCCATTGTCTCAACCGAACGCAGGGACTGGTCAGCATCCCGCTTCGTCACAAGTCGGTACTCCACCGGCGGTTCGTGAAGAAGAAGCGGAGATGAAGCAGGGGGAGAATCAGGAGGGAGAAGCTTCGCCACAAATAGCAGAGCGTACGGGCGAACCCGAAACACGCAAAGCGCAGAAGGGCAGTACGGGGAGAGAGGACGAAAACAGTACGAAGAAGAGCGCAGGGACGACAGCACTGGGAGAGCACCAGAAGATCGGCGCTGAGAAGTCTACGAGCGTTGAGAGTTCTGCGTCGTCGGCGGGAATGGCACAGTACATCCAGAAGCTTCAGGATGTTGTGCACGGAATTTCGCAGCACCTGGCGAAACTGACTTCGAAATCGATGGGAAGTGAGAAAGCGCAAGCTGATTCGCCGAAGGAACAGAAGACGAGCCAAAGTGAAGCAGCCGGGGCTCCAGCTCCTCCTTCCGCGCTGTTGCAACTGCGAGTTGGCGCGGATCCTTCGGCCGCCGCGAAAGCAGAAGCGGGTACAGCAGATGCGCCAGATGCAAAAGCTGAAGCGGCACCTGCGGCAGCGCCAGAAGCCGCGGGAGGGGATGCGGCAGCCCCGAAGGAGGCGGCAGAAGGAGGGGATGCGGCAGCCCCGAAGGAGGGAGCAGCAGGTGGAGATGCGGCAGATGCAGCGACACCCGCGGCAGCGCCAGAAGCTGCAGGAGAGGATGCGGCAGCGCCGAAGGAGGCGGCAGAAGGAGGGGATGCGGTAGCGCCGAAGGAGGCGGCAGCAGCTGGAGATGCGGCAGATGAAGCGACACCCGCGGCAGCGCCAGAAGCCGCGGAACAAGGGGACGACGCTGCAGCCCCGAAGGAGGCCGCTGGAGGTGGCGATGCGGCAGATGCAGCGACCCCTGCAGCAGCGGCTGATGAAGGAGCGGCAGCTGCGCCTGCCGCCGTACCAGCGGATGCAAAGGACGCGGTGACGCGGCCCGAGCAGCAGTCGCAGCAGGATGACAAAGACGAGGCGGATGAACACGCGGCACGAGATGCGTGGTTCGCAAACTTCGCGGACGTGGTGAGCGAGGCAAAGGAGACTGGCAAGATCGTAGACCAGGCCGTAGACTCGTTTGATCAGCACGGCAAGGACGCCCTGGTTTCCATCCACGAAATCGGGCGTCGCAGGACGGTGGCCCAAGAGGCCGCGAAAGAGTACATTTTCTGATTGTGGTTTCATGTTTGACCACTCGTTTTCATCGTTGGATTTCTTTTTTCAGAAATTTCAAAAACTCGGTTTTGGATTTACACCTGAGGACAACTCACACTCAACACAGTTACCTCGGCATGCTTGATAAAGCGTCGACTATCCGGAGTGACATGCGGCAGGCGTTTTTGAAGAAACTGGGTCAAGAGGAGAAGCAAACCCGGGCAGAGACCAAGGCTTTTCCGGGTACTGGTTTCCTCTCGGGCGATGACGCGCTGGTGCTGCCCGGCGTGCAGAAGGAAACGGACAGCGCTGTGGCCAAGCGGCTGGCTTCGTTGGACCGGGAGCTAGAACGGTTCTCTGTGATGTCACCCGAGGAGCGGGTGACCACGTTCAAGACCCTCGCGGCAGGCCCGAAGGACGCCGAAAAGGCGAGAAAGAGCACCGAGGAGCTGGAAAAGCAGTTGAAAGATTTGGTAACGGATGGAACCAAAAGCACCGCGGAGCAAGTAGAGCAGCTCTACCCAAAAAAGGTGTCTGCTGCGAATCCTGCCTCGTTTGTGCAGTTGGCAAGCGACAGTTCAACATCTGTCACTGCGACAGGTGCTGCGCCGTCTGCTGGGAAAATGTTGAACAAGGTGGAAAATAAGCACGGCTCTGCTGCTGATGCAACGGCAACTTCAAAACCAAATTCCTTCATCCAGCAACAGGTCCCTGCGGTTGCCGCAGCCACAGAAGGATCAGCATCCGCTGCGAAAACAAAATCACCCAGCACCGGTGGCACGGATCCAGAGTCCCCAGTGTACGTGGCCGTCGCCAGGGCCGCACAGGCACTCGAAACAGGTTTTGCAGCGCTCGACGAGGAAATAGCGACGACCGCGGAGCGGCTGCGGAAGCTGCAAAAGCTCTGCCCGTTGCTGCAATACGACAGATCCGAATCCGGATCTGCAGCTGCCGCGGAGTGTAGCGAGAAGTGGCACGAAACCGACCACGCATTTGACATGCTGAAGGAGAAGCGCAAGACCTGCGGCGAACGCGAGGCGAGCTGGAAGAAGCAGGTCTTGACCACGATTGCGAACGCGTCCAACGACGAGAACTCGGACAAAGTGCAGCCGCGCGACGCGGTGTACAAAACCATCTACAAGTCCATCACTCAGCTTTACCAGGGTCTGACTTCCGAACAGATGCAAGGGGTCGGGTCGGTGGATGAAGACGCGAAGCCAAATGCACCCCAGCTCTACGATACGGCCACGAAGTCCACCTCCCGGCAGCTCGCCCGCGAGTGTTTTCAGACGGGCATGAAGGTGGGGTTGGCGTTTCTCGACCTGGTTCGGGGTGCGAACGCGCAGCCGGGGTCCTTCGACCGGGCGAAAGCGAGAATGCTTGATACCCGGGACGAAGTCGAGCAGCGCATCGTGTTCTTGCAAATGGAGGGCCAAGACTCGAGCCTGTGGGCTCCCGTCAACAAAAACCTCGACGCACTTATCGACCAAACGGAGGGAGTCGGGGCGGAAAAGGGAAAATCTGACTCGTCTTGGTTTCGATGACCATCACCTACACTTGTTTTTCAGCAGAGCTAATCCTGTGTACTTATTCGTATTCTTAACAACATCGAGGAGGTGATCAAACCAATCACTTGTATGGATTCCAACCCCTATGTAAAATCCTTGCTGTATATGTACAATTCAACTAAATCTTCACCGCTCGACCTGTTCGCTACGGGTTTCTAGAATGACAAAATCAATTTTGGAACTTTGTATCTCCAAGAATCCTCTGGCTCAGTGTGCAGTGAGCAAAGCAATATCCAGGCTGGGAATGGTCCCGGACGGCTAGGGATGGTCTCTACTCCCGGCATCCCTCTCTCGGTGTGTTTCTACAAAGCCATTGACTCGGTATTTTCATGTGCGTGTTAAAATTTCTAGACAAGTCCATGTGCTGCGCGTTTCGGTCGGTAAGTACTGCAAATCGCATCTGTATCCGTTCGGTTGCAGGAGCAACTCGCTCAAAAATCTGCTTTTCTCGGTATGTCGTTTGGTGTCCTTCGCACGATGGTGCTCTCGGTGACGCAGCCTCTGCTTTATTGTACATAGTTGTCTCTGCTGCCTTAAGAACTCGACGTCGACACCGTCCTGGGAATATGTATCCATATCTGGCAAGTGCGTTATTCGTAGAAAACTTCTGACAGTGTGGCATTCTCTCATCAAAGTATCTCACGCCCCAAAGTAATTTTAAGCCTTTATTGAACTCTATTTTCTCGCTGTTCCGTGCAGATTCGTGATCGTAAACAAATTTTTATACGTACTGTTGATTCTTGTTTCCAGCTAAACCATGCGGAGTGCACCAGCAGGCCGGTCCCCTGTGCCCGCTCGAGGATACAGTGGCACCCCAGCTCGGAAAAAACAGGAAGGAGAAGCTTGGGCGGACAGGTCACCCTATCAGGACAAAGCGGGCAAGCAACCGTATTTGTTATTTTCTCAGTTTTCGAGGCATCGCACACCTCATAATCATTGTCATTTACTCGACCCCTGTCTGCCCACCGTGGGGCCTCGCATGTTATGATGCAAAGTTAGAAAACAACATAAACAAGAAGACCTTCTACTGACAAATTTTTCTGAATGATTTTTTTACCACTTAGGTACAACTACGTGCCCAACGCAAACTCGCCGAAGCTGTCGCCCAGAAGCCAGGTCGCCAAGCTGTCCCCTAGGAGCATGGCCTCGGCGAGGAAGGCCACCACGAAAACCGGACTGCAGTCGGGGCAAAGCAGTCCCTCGTCATTTTTTTCGGTACCTGAGGAAGTTCCGGAGAAGACTCCGGGGGACGAGGAAGAGCTCGGGCGGTTTGGCCGCTTCCGCAAGTGGTGCGGGGAACACAAGAAGACCGTGGCCGCCGGAGTGGCGGTGGTCTCGCTGGCGAGCATTGCCGCGGTCGTGTACTACAAGCCAGAACTCGCACCTGAGGGAGCCATGAAAAAGGTGCAAGACACCAAGGAAAAATGGACTTACACGTGGAATTGGAAAATCAAAGTGCCGGAGGTCAAGGTGCACGTCCCGACGGTGTCGAACTGAGTTTTCTTGCCTTTATGTATGATATCCGAGGGGAGACACCTTTTTGCGCTGCTAAGCGACCAGTTTTCGATGTTGAGTTGTTTGAGATTTTTCTGACTTTTCCCTACATACTCATTTCCGTTTTCTACAGTCTGGGAGTACGTCGATTCTCATTTTTTTCATCTGAGAGTTTTTGCAGAGAAAATGACTACCTATTGTTCATCGCTTGTTCATGTTCTCTCAATTTTTCGCCAGTGTTGCTGTTGTTAACAAGCAGGAGTTTGATACTCCTTTGTAGTTTTGCAGGTCAACAAGGTAAAATCCACACTTAACGACTTTTTTGACCTGCCAGCATGTTTTTCGCATGGTAAGTGTACAATGTCATAGCGGAAAAAAACTGCGTCTCGGGCAGTTGCTCTCTGGACAAGTTGTCTCAGTGTACAAACCACGATGTAATATGTCCTACAGAAGTTTCTGTTCGTATTTCGTACAGTCAAATAATCGGTTTGCGTTTCGGTACCTTCACTACTTGATGCGATCCGGACATGCAAGATTTCCTGCAGTGGTTGAAAGCGATCATACGTACTTTTTTCCAAAGCTGTTACGCTGCAACATATGCCCAAAACAGATGATTTCGACCTTCTCTCGCTCGCGCAGTTCCATTTTGTATAAGAATTGCTTCTGTATTTTTCGAGCAATAAAAAAAAATGGCCACGAGTCATGGACAGCTCGCGTTTCTACCTAGTGACTGCACTTTTACTCAAGTTTACAAGATCGATATGCGTTCTTTTCTCGCTAGCAGCTTCTGCGGTCCTCCCGCGCATTCGTGCGGCCACTCTGGTGTTGTCACCCGATTGCAGTCGGCAGCTCTCGCAGGACACGTTGCGAGATTGCGTGGATTGGGAAGCGGGAAAGGATCTGTTGCAGCCGGGCTCCGGGCGTCTGGTGTGCACCTGCGGCGGCATAGTGCACAGCGACAGAGAAGCCGACGGTCGACCAGCCTTTCCGCCCGTTTTTATCGCATCCACCGAAGGAGCAGGATCTACAGAGCAAGATGGACGAGTACAGCTGGTGAAAAACACACCACCTCCGACCAGCGCTGGCTCCGCCACTTCGGCAGCGATGCTCGAGCGACTCCAGAAGCTCGAGACGATGCTGAATCTCCGCGAGTATCTGATCGAGCGCAAGCACGGCAAGGAGAGTCGGGAACAAGGCCCGTCCAACTCCAATATTAACGGGACAATAAACCGCCTGCTGGACAAGAAGCGGTGCGGATGGCCGGATGCGTGCCAGAGTGCGTTCTACCTGAAGGACCTCGCATTGGAGCTGATGGAAAGGCATCCCGATGGGAAAGACGCTCAGCTTGGAGTTCTGGAGCTCGGCGTGTTGGGGGGTAGCAGCAGCGTGTTTTTCGTCGGCATGTACCGGAAGGTCTACTTTGTCGACGTGTATCGCGAGCACCTGGAGACGGTCAGAAATGTGCTGGAGGAACTAAAACGCGACGAGTTTTTATCCTCTGTGTTTACTAACGAAAATCCGGAACGAACAACTACAACAAGCATCAGCCTGGCTCTTGCTGCCGTTTCCTTCCACCACTTTGATCTTTACGCCGAATCGTGGCGGCGAAACTTCGGGCAGTTTTATCCCGAGGGTGTTGCAGCCGACGTTGCTGTTGTGGACGCCGACCACCGGTACAGAAATGTTTTGATGGATTTAGATAATTTGTTCCGGATCCCGCAACTGCACTACATCGCGTTGCACGATTTCGGCGTATCTGTGGACGTGCATCGCGCAGTGCTGGAGGTGCAGGCGGAAGGAAAAATGGAATGCAGGAAAGTGGATAGCGCAGGCTCTATGTCTACGAACACGATTGGCGTTATGCTGGAGCAGAACTGCCACTGGTTCGGGCGAGACGCGGCATTGTGGCAGGAAGGAATTTTTTGCCAAGTGCACAGAGAGAGGTCGCAGTTGCGTGACCGTCATGTTGGACTGTCGCGTAGAACAAGTAGCCGCGACAGCATCTTCACAGAACCGCATACGGAAGAAGGAACTTTTCTCGACGATGGTGTGGGCGAAGATTATAATGCGGAGCAGAATCATGCAGGGCAGATTGTCGTAACCAGTAAGGTAGACGGGGACGTCGATTCAAGTGAGCGGTCCGTGTCAAACGGCGAAGAGCCTACAAATATCAGTCCCCGCTTTTCCGGCCAGGAGCTTTCCGTGCCGTCGCTTTCCGCCTTCCAGCAGGTCCCGGCGTATGGCGTAGCGGCAAACTTCGTCAGAGAAGGAGTGCGCGTCCGAACTAACAACGGGGTCTATGTGCATGGGAGGGATGTGCAGCGACTTTATCAGACCGCGGTGAACGATTTGGTCCGCCGACTCGTGCTTCTCTTTTCCGGCTACTGGTTGCACGGGACCACGGTGTGGCGCAACCAGGTTTTGGTCAATGCCGGGCACCGTCGGGAGTTCCTGCTTTTGCTGAAGCCCTTCCGCGGCACTGAGGAAGCAACGCCGGAAGTTACGCAGCTATACTCTCAACGTGCGCAGGTACTGTCGCAAGGCGTGTCAGAAGAGGAACAGTATCGTGTACTAAATCCCGGACCAACACAATTTTGCTTTGACTTCGACCCCGAGCCCTTTCGGGACTACTTTCACACGGTCGGAAAAGAAATCGCGGATGTGGAGCGGCGCGCGGCAACAGAGTTCCTACAGAAGAATCTTCGTGGGGCTCCTCCGGAAGTTGATGCTGAAAAAAGCAAAAGTAGTGGCGACGGAATATTAAACGAAGAGGAGGAGGCTGAAGCGCTTTTTGCAAACGTCAGAGACGTTTTGTTTCGGTCCAACCAGCAAGGCCCGCAAGGAGAGAATGCGGAAAAGAACGGTATGGGCGGGAGTTTCCCACCCTCTTCTGAGCTAGAAGCATTCACAAATACGCGGTTGAAGCGCAAGCTAGGACACCGTATTCCTGATTTCTCCCAGATCAGCACGCAGCCGTTTAGTGTGCACTTGCTCGACGTGAGTCTGTGTCCTGAGCTGTACAACAACGAAGGGGGCGAAGATGAAAACATACTAAACGGCGCAAAAAAAGATGAAACATCTGGGCGGTCTGCACCAAATTTGGACGCCTTGCTGGAAAAGGTGCTCTACGAGCATCCGAGTCGCTGTCGCTACGACCTGTTGCAGGTTTCACCCGCGAGCGGGAACACGACTGAAGCGGCGAGGAATTATCGGTTTCACGATTTCTGGACGCATGCGTGGAAATTTGTCTTTGCGAAGCCGGGAGCGCTGGCAGAGCAAGTAAAGTTAACTGCGGAAGAAGCACGAGTACCCGGTGCGCGCGTTAACACAAAAAATGTAGCGCAGTACCTTGAGCCAGGATGGGAGCTCCTACCTTCCGAGCATTGGGGTAAACTCTATCTGCAAAAAGTGGGACGGACAGGCGTGTCGGGGGAAACTGTGCATCTGGTGAAGAAGCGAGACATTTTGACAACCACGCTAGCGCTGGATTACTTCTCGCAGTTGTAAACAGCAGCGCTTTGAAAATTTGTGAAATTACTGCGCCGACCGATGGAGATCTATTTCACGGCCCCGTTTATAGTGCGCTTTTTTGCGCACAGACACGTTCACGTTTTGAACAGTTTAGTGTTTCTGTATCAGACGAAAAATTCTGAGAATATTCTTTTTTTTCTGCGCGATGTGAGTATTTTTTTTTTTCAGAAGTGAAGCATGAAAACGCGATTTACAAGTGAGGCGCATTCGATGCAGTCAAGCTTCCCAACCACTGGCGATGGTGTTTGTTTGTTTTTCCGCCTATTGTTGTATGTTTGATGCTCTAGAAAGCCTGGGAGATCAGTTGCGATAGCGCGACGCTCTTTATTGCAATTAAGATTCAACCTCAGTCATTCTAGCAAAAAGCGAAAGATGTGAGAAGCGCCTCATCTTCTGGTACTGCTCTTCGTTGCATGCTGTGCCGGCAGCTACAATCGTGGTAAGCTCTTCACGTGTTTGTGGTTGAAAATTGCTCTATGATCATTTCATGCTTATGAATGTTTTTTGCATGATGAACGCGTTGCGTGTGCGTGCGAGTAGGATAAAGTTGAAACGTCTCAGTATTCAATCATTAATCATTCAAACCCAAATTTTTTAGGGAAGAACTTTGATGGCCTTATCCGCAGTCCTTTTCTACGCGGAGGCTATCGTAGGGAAACATATAATAATCTCAAAGGTCTTCGTCGTTGGTAGCTCGTAAGTGATCGAAGCGGCAGTGCCGTCGCTCTCTGTTGCTCTTGTTTTCTTGCTAAGCACAGGGACCTTGCGAGCATTCCGTGGTGCGTGGTGCCTGTCGATACAGAAGCAACTTAACATTGCTAATCGCGGTGCCGTTCTTTCTTGCTTGGGATCCGCTGCACATTCGGGTAGGAGTCATTCCCCTGCTGAATTTTTTTTGCAGCACGTCTGGCCGAGCCTTTCTCTCGCTCCTATCGAGTTGAGTCGTGGTCCTGTCTCAGCTGGTCTTCAACACGACCTCCGTGTGAGCCGACCCGAAAACCAATTCAGCCAGCACTTTCTTTTTACAACATCATTCAACCCGGTGGGCTTTACACCGAGATTTTTTCAAACAGGCGAGGCCTCTTCGCTTCAACTACATCAAACACGCGTCTTTCATCTTCCTCTTTCTATGTGACGCCAGCAACACTTCTACCAACGAGCGTCTCCAATCAGAAACATCAAGAACCTTCACATGAGTAAAGAACTTCAGAAAACCTCCACCCATCACTGCACAGCGTGGAAACAAGACTAACACGACCAATCGACAAGAAGAATATATTAATTTCAGGAACAACTACAACACCTCCGTCCATCGCAACCCCGCACCTTCGTGCTACTCTCCAGTGCCCTAGAAGATGAGCAGCTCACCGGGCCGCGAAAACATCTTGGACACGCCAGAGAGCGCGGAGTTGACTCTGGTGGACAGTCTGCTGCAAGCGGAAAACATTTACGAGAATTTGGAAACCACGACAGCCGCGGACAGCGAGCTGGCTAAGAAGCAAAACACAGCGAAAATAAATCCACCCGCTACTTCTGCCATGGACACCCACAAGCAGAACGATATGCAGCCCAAGGTGGACGAAAGTATAAACAAAAATCCGAAGCAAGCGCATAATCAGCAGCACACCAGTCCTGCCCGAACGCAAGGCTTTTTGAACACGGCGAAGCAGTTGGAAATCAGAGAAAAGACGCCCTACAGTAAAGGTGGAAAGAACAATGCCAAGGCTGCGAGGCGCATGGGGGAGCAGAGGGTAGGCAGCGGAACGGGAAGCGAATCCATCGTCCGGACTGGATCGTTCGCGACGGCCGTCGATGCCGAATCCGACATGGAACACGAGAGCGCCGAGGAACACGCGAGCCCGGAACTGGGCAGGAAGGAAAAAAATAACAGTACTAAAATCGTCCCGCCGCAGAAGAAACCCAATAAGAAGCAACCTGCAGTTCTTGGCGATAGTGGCATTAACAGTAGCAGTGAGGACAGAGACTACTCCTCGAGTAGCAGTCCAGGTAGCGAGAGCTGCAACAGCAAGTCTTACAACAACAGTAGTTCTTCCTACAGTACTAGCGGGAAGAATCGATACAACAATTATGACAATTGTAGCAGCGACGTCTTCAGCAAATCGCACCGGAAGATGACCCGCGCGGAGCAGGCAGCAGAGGCGATGAAGGAGCACCAGGTGGTCACTTGCGCGGACGCCAGTCCGGAGCACGAGGTTTCATCCCGAAGTTTGGTGCCGCCCTGGCAAAAAGAGGAGGGTGAGCCGCTGTGGGAACTGCGGGAGGTATAATTAGCTGCGGAGGTTTCGACGCTTATTCGACTGCTTCTACTTTTCGTGGCCAAGTTCCTTTGGTCGTGGTCCTTATTCGCATCAGGTTACTTTCGCTTTCAGTAATATGTCCGCTTTTGTCTCTACTAAAGAAACTGTCTATGACTTGTCTCAGGTGGTGATCACGGCTTCGGCTGGGAATAAGCTAGCTTGGATCGCGCGGCCCAAGATCAAAGAGAAAAAGAAGAACCCCGTGAAAATAATCTTGGCAGACCACAGCGTTTTCAAGGTAATATAAGGCACTTCCGATATTACCAGGATGAGGTGAAACTGAATGAACGACCTACGACCACGGATGTTGAAGAGATTCATATATCAACATGACTATGCCTTTGTTTTGGAAAACAAGCTAGAACAAGAAGATCCGGTGAGAAAAAAAATCACTCCTAGGTGCAAGTCGCGGAGCTGATCCAGGGCCGGTGCGCGCACATGGTCTTGTACCCGAATCCGAAGGAGAAAACCTGGGACGAGAAGGAAGATCGCAAGAAGGCGAGACGCAACGAGAGGTGGAACTCCCGAACCCGTGGCTCGGGTTCGGATGAACAAGGCACCAGTAATTCGGAACAGGAAAACAAAGCAGCGGAAGAACTTCCCATTGTGGGAGAAGAGCAAGAGGACTACACTGGAAAAATTCAGTCGCCCATTACTGTGACTGCGGTAAACAAGGAGTCGCAGCAGGTACAATCGCCCGGGGAAGCAGCAGCTGCTGGTGCTGCAGCGAGCTCTAGTACGCCGGACAAGAAGCTGAAAAAGGATGAAAACTGTGAAGATGATTCCTACACGTACTCGTCTAAAATGTTGGGCGCCCCCACCAGCACGCCGTTGAAAGAGGAGCCGCCGGTGGCGCTGTTCTACATCGAGGGCCGGTCGGATAACATCCAGAAAGCGCTCGAGGGTTTAGCGCGCTATCGCCAGTGCCACATCGAGTGCGTTGAGATCACAGAACACGTGTTTCAGCAGATTCGTTGGTCGCGAAGTACTGACATTTAGTACAACCGTTTGAGGCCGTTTCTAGAATAAAGAAAAATTTAGAATCTGCTAGAATCACATATGGATTGTTCTGTGCGTGGTTGTGTTTCATCGCGGACTTGTAAAATTCTGCCGTGAATCATTCTGCTGTTCGACGAAAGAAACAAGTTTATTGTTTAAAATATCACCTCAATCAGTGTCGAACCCGCCGGGGTTTCTGGCCCAAGTGGTTTCGGAGAGCGGTATCGCCCAGGCGCTTTTGCTGACGCAGGAAGGCACGCGGGCGAGGCGAATCCAGCTGAAGGGCACGCGCGACGAGTTGGACCGAGCGCACAAGTTTATCAAAAAGTCCCTGCCGGAATTCACTGGCCCCTCGGAACATGCGAGTTCCGGAACGAGCGCCGCGCCTGCCTGGGTGGCGGCTGCACCGCCGGCACCACAAACCGGTTCGTACCGTGGCTGGAATAATGGGGGACACCACCACAACCAAATGCACTACAACACCGGATCTGCTGGAGCGAATAAGGCAGGGCAACTTGTGCAGTATCACCAAGGTGCAGCTCCGTGGTCTTCTAGTTCGAGTGGGACCAGCACGACGACCAAGCAACCTACGGCTCGGTCGTCCTCGCTCTCGAAAGTAGACGACGCTGGTGCGAACAAGCTTCTCTCTTCCGCTGCCAGTGTTCCCAACAACAAACCCTTCAGTTTCCCAGCGCCCCCACCCGCGGTTCCCACCGCGGCGCCGAGTAGTTGGGGCAACAGCGAGCGCGAACACTACTGGCTTTCCTTGACGCATACATGGAGCGGGCACACGGCGCGGCTCTCGCTCTACAAGAATCGCTCGTCGCCGCATCGTATCAACTGTAAAAATGTCTGGGTCTGGAAGAACCTAAACTTGTGATGCTGTCTCTGGATTCGAAAAAGATTTGTATTGCATGACCAGTAAGAGGAGTAGTTTTGTGCTCCGCGGAGATGGCATTTGTCATGCGGAATAGGCATGAGGAAGCGCTCCAAAAATCTGTGATGCTACGGCATGCATCACAGACATCATGGGTCATGGAAAATATGCATGACAAATCTAGAAATCTTCCAGACCCAGACATTTTTACATTTGATACATCGGCTCTCCGCAGCAGCCGCGAGAGCAGCCATGAACGGAGGAACAGCTTCGGGCTCGTTCTACGAACAACCTGGTAGTAGTGCCTTGTACGACAGGCACAACGTTGCAGGTGCCCACGAAAACCAATACTATGACTTGCGGAGCAGCGCGCCGACTACAAAGGACTACCCGGCTAGTAAGCAACAAGCGGACCCCCTCCCGTCGAAGCGGAACAGCTCGCTACCGGTCCCGCCTCCGCCGCCGCTGCGGCGCCAGCTGCGGGACCAGAGCTTTTCGTCGTTCGCCGATGTGGAGGAGTACGATCCGCGGCAGTCATCCTACGCAGACTTCGCGAAGAAACACTCGTCGTGCAGCTACTCCTCCTTCGCGTCGGCCGACTCCGGCCCGGCTTCGGCGGGCTACCACGAGTTCGTGGAAGGTGTCTCCTGGCACCCTACCAGGGGTGCGAGTCAGCAGAGTGGAACTTCTGCGGAGCAGGAAGCGGCGGAGGCGGCGTGGAAAAGTACGCTGGGTGGAGGAGCAGTTGGACCTTCCTCAGGCACTTCAGGGAACAATCCAAATTCAGGCAGTACAAATGAGAATGCACTGTGGAACAATTACTGGGCCCCCCCGGGGGAGCTCCATCGGCACTTCGAAGAGATACCGGAGGAGGACGAAAACGATCAGACCCCCGCAATTCTGTATGAAAACACCGCAGAAAACACGCCGCAGAACATCCACGAGATCGCTGCCTTCAATCTTCAAAAGGCCACTACGGGACACTTGTTCCCCGGGGTTTTTGCAGCGGCCCCACCCCCGCCACCCATCGCGGACGGCGTCGAACTGCCACCGTTTGACCAGCTTACTCCAGAGGAACAAGACGGGATCATTCGGGAAATCTCGGGCATGCAGGGGGTCATTCCCGGAACGTCGGAGATGTTCGACACGCGACTGTTCCGCATGCTGGCAGATGTTGGAAGTGGTCGCAATAAATCATCTTCCGGAAGATTAGAGCGGCAAACCTCGTCCCAGAAAAATGCGAAGAAAGAGCAGCAGGACACGCTGCAACTGCTGGTCTCCGAGACGGGCGAGGCGATGTCGGGCACCGGAGCCATGATTCCGGCGCCGCCGCCAGATTCCGTGATTCCCGCCGACCACCAGCTGCATCAGCCCGAACTTCCTTTGAACGCACTGGCGGTGACCGACAACGAGTCCAACTCGCTGCAGATGGCGTCCCGCACGGGTTCCCGAAATGCACACTTTCATATTCCAGGAGACGGGACCGGTACGGGCACGCACCGGAGCTTCCACACCGGCGGCGACTCGTTCTACCAGAGCCCCGAGCACGCGGCGCTGCTGTTTGACCAGACGCCGACTTATCAACTGGACGGAGCCGGGGCGCAGCTGCTGGGTGCTGGAGGACCTGCGGGAACAGCAAGCAGTGCGAACTTGTCGCTGGATCTCTCCAGTCTGGCGGCGCTCGCTTCGACCAGCTACGGCCAGAGTCTGAACAGTTTAAACCTGGGTTTCCCGGGCGCCGGCGGCGCGATACCCGGGATGACACAGCTCCTGCCGCATCCTCTGGCCGGGGCGGTGCAGCCGGTCGGTCTTGGGCCTTCGTCCTCCGCGTTCGTGACTCCGGCCAGCACGATGCTGCAGCACGGCATATCAAGTGTAAAAATGTCTGGATCTGGAAACTTGTGATGCTGTGTGGCATATCATGAGGAGGCCACAATTGCTGGCTCAGCATGACAAGTTTCTGAGCTTCTAGGTGTTGCCTATTCTGCATGACAAACTACGTTTCTGCATGACAGAAAAGTCGGGCTCTTTGGTAATGTGCATGACAGATTTAAGAGTCATGCCAGACAAGCGTGACAAACTTGCATTCTTCCAGACCCAGACATTTTTACATTTGATACGGCATGATGTTCAACAACTGGGCCGCCGCACCGGGTGGCGTTCCGCCCACTGTACAGCCCGTCGGCACCGCGCCAGGAACGGAGCAGCAGCCCTTTGTGCCCTTTTTCCAGTCGTCGCACTCGCTCCAGCGATACAGCAACGCGCAGTTTTCATGGCTGGAAGAGCTGCTCGCCCGGTACCCGTCCCGCGCCATGTTGTTCCTCCGCGGGGCCGAGCCCTCGGGGGACTGTCTTAACGCAATCGTCTACCTGTTGCTCGCGCTGCCGCCCTTCGTCAAGCTCGTCACTGGTCTCTGGGCTGCGCAGAGCTACGCAAAACTGTCGGGGGGCGCGGAGACAAGTTTGACTCTTTTTTGATCAGTCGGACGCGTTGCGGTGTGATCGTTGTGATTGATATCTAGTATCTGCACTAGGAAGTACAAGTAGTAGTGCCAGCGCTACAGTGCAAGGATTGTTCGAGGAGCTCCGTTTTCTACAAGAGCGAAAACCTTTGCAGATACTTCTGCGAGCGCGATCACGGCCCTAGTCAAGGCTTTCGAGTATTTTACAGACACCAATCCGCCCGCGTGCATGGACCTGAAAAGCGTATTCGCGGACGTGCTTGCGCTGTGGAAAGCCGGGCAGAATGAACCGACAGAGGAGCAAGGTACAACTGAGTACTTGTTAATTTTGGGGCGCTTATTGCTTTCTGCTTCCTAGGCTTGGGCTTCCTCACTTTTATTTGCTGAAGATGAGAAGTCTCGTCCTCGTTATATGTCGTAATTGGAACAAATTAACAGACCTCGGCGAGGATGGCCAAAAGTCTTCCCAATCCTCTGCGCGCACCATCGTCGGGCCAGAGGAGCGTGGCTTGCTTGCGAAGAAGAGCGACAACGGCGAGGAAAACGCAGAGGAGGAAGCAATGGCGGACACACCGTCCAGCGCAACGAATATGCGATTTCTGAGCTTTCTCTTGGACCGGTTACATCAGGAATGCGGCAGCTGCGCACACCAGGGTCTCGCTGGTGCGCCGCAGCACCAGGCACCCTCGAGCTTTTTGGAGCAAGACCTGCAAGCGACGGAGCACGCCATTCACAGCCTTTTCGGGGTTGTGTGCCCCTCCGGTCGGTCCTTTCTCGGGTTGAACATCTTTGTCCCCACCATGAACCACGTCACGAACCGCAGTTTTGCAGTTCCCTTCGAACGCTTGCTGCGCCTCGAGATGGGCATGGGTGAGGAAGAGGAAGTACTCCAGGCGCCGGCCATGTATGGGAGTGTCAGGATTGAAATAATTGTCAAAGTTGAATATAGTTTGTCATGCATAAAATGCGACACAGAGACTGACTCTATTGCAGAGGACGCAAGGGAGGCTGATTCTAGTGCTGGTAAGGGTCAAGAATTGGGTTGCTGACTAGCATGACAGGGAGGAGTCATCTTGCCCTAAATAGCATGACAGACTTGCTTCAGAGGCCAGGAAAATTTGTCATGCGCCGATTGGAAAGTGTGGGTCCAACTGGTATGGATTTTATGCATTGCAAATTATTTCAACTTTGTTAATTTCAATCCTGACAGTTCCATACCATGCTTGTGGCCAGTATCCACCGAGAAAATCAAGGAGATCGTAATTTTAGTTTTGCACTTTATTGTGGCGTTTATTTCCACTTGCACATGAGCAGCAGCCAGCAGGGAGCGTCGTAAAAACAATCATCAAAATTATCCCGATTTAGTTTTATCAGTCTACTACTATCAGGTGTTGCTTACGGTACGTACGTACAACTGCCGGAGCAGCTGGGGAGCGCCGTGCGGTACGATTTGTGCGCTGTGTTGGTCGCGGAAGAGGAAGTTGACCAGGTGCCCGCACAGCAGGAAAGTATTACCTCCGGTTCGAAGGGCCAGCGGAGCGAGGACTCGGCGTACGACCAGGTTTCCGACAACTCCTCGCAGAAAGCGAACAGTCACAAGCGCGCGAAAATCGAGCCTGGCAACTCTCTTGTGATCAACCGGCCGTCCCCGAAGCAGGCGGAAGCCGGCGACGCGCCCACGCGGTCGACGATGGCGGCGCACTCGTGCAAGAGCAAGATTTATCAAATGCAAAAATGTCTGGGTCTGGAAGAGTCATGCTGTTTTTGCATGACACAGAAGGTCTGGCATGGAACGTCTAGCATCACAGGTTTCGAGAAGCTTCCGCAATGCCGAATCCGCATGACAAATCCCCCACTTTGGTCACAGAAAGTGGGTAGCTTTTGCTACCTATGCATGAGAGATTTTTCAGTGTTCTGAAATGCGCATCACGAGTTTGTATTCTTCCAGACCCAGACATATTTGCAATTTATAAGATTTCCGTATCGACCACGACGGGGAGCCAGAAGACCGGCGGTCGCTGTGAGTTCCACATCAGCCCGGGGAGCTCCATCGGCCGCGAGCGCACGGGAAGCGGAGGGAACGTCAGTACCGGCAGCAGCAACCAGGGTGTATCAAACGCAAAAATGTCTGGGTCTGGAAGAATGCAACTTGTAACGTGTATTTCAGAACACAGAAAAGTCTCTTATGCCTACGTAGCAAAAGCTGCCCACTTTCTGTCAGCAAAATAGGGGACTTGTCATGCGGATTCGGCATTGCGGAAGCTTCTCGAAACCTGTGATGCTAGAGCTTCCATGCCAGACCTTCTGCGTCATGCAAAAACAGCACGACTCTTCCAGACCCAGACGTTTTTACATTTGATAGGGTGTCGCGCGGTACTACCACAGCCAAGCGGGGACGACGAACAACGCACCTACAGGGGAGCACGACCAGACCACTTCTTCCAACAATCAGACCTCGAACTCAAACTCCACGTCCGCCGGAACTTCATTTGACGGGTTGAGTCGCGCTGCACACCCGCTCTCGATGTCCGTAGACACAGCGTTCCCGCGCGGCACTTCTAGTCGTGTAAACGACAGCACGAGTGTCGTTGTGGTGCGGCAAAACCAACACGGGAACAACCACGGGTCTAATGCAAGCAGCGACTCGGGCGGAGAGACTGTTGATGGTCGGAGGGATCATAATACTTCCTCGTCCACCAGCAGTGTTGCGGCAAGCCTGGACGGCACGGGGTCCGAGGGGACGGCCGTTTCCGCGCCCGCGGTGTTGGACGAGACGCACATGAAGGCTGGATTGATGGATGCGGACCAGGAGTTGGTGAACTACTTGACGCTGCAGAATTATGGGAGTGTCAGGATCGAAATCGACAAAGTCGAAAAATTTGCCATGCGTAAAATGTAGGGCACTGAAGGCCTGTAATGGGGAGCAGGCAAATGAGACCGATTGTAAGCCTGTGTAGGGGTATGCAATGTGCTGCCAGCGTAGCATGACAGGAGCAGTCCTCTTTGCCCAAACAGCATCACAAACTGGATTTTGGTGCTCCCGAAATTTGTCATGCGCCACTTGAAAGCTGGGGCTTCAACTGGTATCGATTTTGTGCATCACAAATGTTTCGCGTATACTCAAGCCATTGTTACCTCCCTAAAATGAAAAATAAGCCAACAAATAGATGACAGGCGGCCGCGCGTATGGACACCCGAGCTCCCGCTCTCCCTCCGGTCCAGACGCGATCCGAACTACGCTCGGCGGGACACCAATTGCGTTCACTACCAAGATGTGGATGCCTCTCGGAGAGCTGGAGAAGCGGGCAAGGGGTTGTCCTGATCGTTGTCATGTGATCTGTCATGCCTGCTGCTCCTTTGCATGCCCCGCCGCAGTCTTCCTCTGCGCTTGGCGAAAGGGCGAGTCTGTTTCTAATACTGGTTCACTAAGCCGAGGCTTTTCCGGCTCTTTGTTGAGGCGAAGTTTTCGCCTCCGAACGTGGCCTATAGTCACTCCCTGACTGCGACAGCCGGAATTAGTGGAAAGCGGCTCCGAGTGGCAATTCGATAAGAGGCGCGTAAACAGAAGACGCTCCTCTCCAAATCCGAACTTCCGATAAGGACCAGCGACTGCACGGCTCGCCTTGGTCCCTTGCTACGGCCGCGATTCTATGGATACGAGCATAAGGGAAAGCGGAGAGGGGAAACAGTGCCAATCCCTGCACACAGCTCGCCTTGCTCCCATGACATTGCGGCTGTTTCTCAGCTCCTGACTACGCCGCTGCGCGACTACTTAATCGACATGTGGTATCTTGGTAAGAAATAGGTAAGTTATTATCTCATAGTGTTGCTTCTGCGTGAGTCTCTACCAAAAAATATTAATGACCTCGATTTAGCTCTGGAATAAACTCTTCAAATAAAATATAAATCAAAGTTCTCGCGTCCCCCCCAGTCCCAATTCACAGAAAGGGCCTCAAGTTTTCAAATCCCACAAATATGTCTTGTAGTCACACTGCGTGGAAGCTCTAAAACGCCCTTGCTGTAGATCTTCGAGATCTTCATACGGCTTGGGTCTGTCAGCTTCCATATATTAAAAAAAAAAATTTCATAGTATAGCAGGTCGCTGGGGGTCTGTGTGATTCAGTCACGGACTTCCTGTCTGCTTCTATTACAGTTGTGAGCGCAAAGTATGGTTGAAAAATATATAAGTGCCCGGGGATGAAGAAATACTCGCGATGTTTTCGCGGTTCTGACCCTATGCCGTTCCAGCACCTGCGGAGGCTTGCCTCCAAAGCTACGCTGGACAATGGCAATGTCGGTGCGGTTGTTTTAGCATCACAAATGTTTCGATTTTGTCAATTTCGATTCTGACACTTCCATAAGAATCTGTTCAAGGTCGCTTCGGACAGCAACCTCGCCGAGGGGTACGGCCCGGCGCGGTCGGGGCTGTTTCCCTTCCCCGAAGACGACAACCCGGGCGATGGTATGCACTGCCAAATGCGGTCTTTGTCGGCGGACCAAGCGAACAGTACCGGAGCGCATATTGCGAGCAGCTTTGAAACCACCCCTGAGCCGGAGGTGCGGTCGGAAACCAGCGAGGAGCACTTCGCGGCATTCACGACGGCAGACTGCTCGCAGAACGTGCAGATGGGAAAGTCCCCGGAGCTGAATTACAGTTCAGCTGCTAAAGGTGCACGGCGGGGGCCAGGGGGCTCTCCCGGCTGGGTCGCGCAGTGCGAAAAGAACAAGCGTGAAGAAGAATTCCTTGTTGACGGCAACAACGGCAAGCGACCTGCCTCCGCGGCGGACAACATTACGACGTCCAACACAGCCGGCCGCGGAGGTTTCGTGCTGAAGATGTCGAGCGGCTTCTCGTCGATCCGGGACCGCAAGGGAACTGTCGACACGGAGTTTTCGGCTGGGGACATGACCCCCAGTTCCGCTTTCCCAATCCCTCCCGCGTTCAGCTTCCGCAGCGTGTCCAGCCAGAGCGCCGAGGCGGCGTCCGGCAGCCGCGACCCGTTCCCGGACGTCAGCGGTGCTTACCTGTTCCGCTCGGTCACCGACGGGGCGATGCCCGACGAGAACTCCGCCGTCGCTTTCTGGACCGCCCCCTCGGTCGAGGAACAAATAACCGCCCGTACCGGCTCGGCCGGCGCGGCTTTCATGACGCACGCGGTCGCGGCCCGGAGTCGCAAGGCCGCCGCGTCCAGCGCGAATGCAAACACGGGGAGCGGCTGGAACAACTCTAGTACCATCGAGGGGGGTATGGATTGCAAATATCCCTGGATGTCTGGAAGAATACGAACTTGTGATGCGCATTTTAGAACACAGAACAATCTCTCATGCACGGGCAGCAAAAGCTGCCCACTTGCTGTCACCAAAATGGGGGACTTCTCATGCGGGTTCGGCATTGCGGAAGCTTCTCGAAACCTGTGATGCTAGAGTTTCCATGCCAGCCCTTCTGTGTCATGCAAAAACAGCATGAACCTTCCAGACCCAGACACTTTTGCATTTGATAGGGGGTCCTCAGGATTCAGCTCCCTCTACCGGGATGAGCAGCGCGCACGGGCTATCAAATGCAAAAATGTCTGGATCTGGAAGATTACCAGTTTTGTTATGCATATTTTGAATGACCCATGATGTGTGTGATGCATGCCCTAGCGTCACAGATCTTTAGAGGACTTTGTGATGCCTCTGCCGCATGAGAAATGCCTTCTCCGCGTAGCACAAACTGGAGTCCTCTTGCTAGTTCTGCAATACCAATTTTTTCAGATTCCTGAGACAGCATTGCAAATTTAGAATCTTCCAGACCCAGACATATTTGCATTTGATACGGACCGTCCAGCGGCCAATCGGCGTCGATGTCTTCCAGTGGCCAGTCCAGCAGTATTACAGTGAAAAGTGCCCCCCACCCCCAAAGTTGCAAAAATTTGTGATGCGAAGTTTCCAAATAAAACCTTTTTGTCATGCATGAAAGGAATATCATGAATCTTTCTGATGCAGATTCTAGTGTTGTTTCGCATCGCTTGCATGACAAGCACCGCTCTTGCTGGGATCTTTTGCAATACAAATTTTTGCTATTCACGATCGGAAATCTGTGATGCTGATACATGCAAGAGGGCGAATGTTTCATTTGGAAAGGTTTGCAATACAGATGCTTTCAAGTTCGGGGGTGGGGGCATTTTTCATTGTAATAAGCAGCAGCTCCTGTTCGCAGACCGGAGGTGGCAGTAAAACTACTATCAAAGCCGGAATAAATGACCAGGACCACGAAGATCAGGGTCGAGGCGGCCTGACGAGGAAAACGATTGGCAACAACGCCTCGAGCACCTCGACCTTTTCCACAACCGCAGGCTCTCAGTTGACCTCGCGTACGCCAACCGGCGGGTCGTCACAGACGCTGCCGTCAAGCTGCACAGGATCATCCGCGGCGACACAGCGGATGAGCACAGGGAATCTTCAAAACGGCAGTTCGGTAACTACCTCAGGCTCCAACAACTCGCTCGCGGCCCACGTTATTCAGGAAAACAACAAGCAATCGGCTCATCAAGCCACATTTCACACATCGTCTTCGGAGTCCAGTCTATTTCCGGTGCATGAAGAGATGCTGCCGGACAGTAGTTCCTACGCAGTGTACGTGAGCCACGGAGGCTTGTGGTTTTACTGCAAGGATCACGTCGTCCGACCAACTACAATCGCCGAAGTCTTGCGTCGGCGCGACGCTGTGCAGGCCTTAGCGTACTTTTTTTGCCGTTTGCTTCGTTGAAAATAAATGGTTTGACCCGTCTGACGCTAGGTCGGGTCTAGATTATCTGACGCCTGCTGGGAAGTCAGTGAATTCGTCCAGCTTCCTGAAATTTCATCAAAATGACAACAAGGTATGTGCACTCTACCTGCGGATTGTAGACGCTGCCGCTCCTTCATCATCCCGTTCTCGGCACTGGAACAGAGAAGTTGCGGTCCTCGAGGGCGAAAAGACGCAGGCTCGACGCAGGTCCGAACTTCGAAGCTCTTTTTCATTTCTGGAAATTTTGCTTAATCCTCTTATTATCTGTTTGCACTCGGATAAATGAAATAAGAAATCTTCAGGTTTATGTTGACAACTTTCTCAAACTCAAACAGAATTGATATTGAATTAACTCCAGCGAAAAATCATTTGATATGCACATTTTGCTTTTAGCTGTTACTCTTGTACCTTGCTGTACTGTTCTTCTGTAATGGGCTTCTACACGACGACCCATGTTCGAAATTTCGAAAGCTAGATGTATCCGACCTCGTTAGGCGTAACGAGGTATGAAATTTTCACTCTACTGTGTAAGATTAAGTACACTACGGCGTATACTTTCGGAATACGAAAATTACGTTGGTTACACTTGCTACCAAGCCCGCTTTGTGGAAATCAATGGCAGGTGGGGTAGTGCATCGGTCGCGTTTCTCATGGCAGATCATCGTAGTTCTTTTCAGTTTTGGAAAGGCAGTATCGATTTTGCAACCGGTACGGCTGGACAGGTGTCGAGGCGGGTTTTTGGAAGCCGCTTGACATCTCTCAATAAAAGATTGCCAAAACCTAAACGGATATTTCTTTTCGATTGTTGTATACGAGCTAATCATTTATCTAATGAGCTATATCCACCTTATAACTTTACTGACATACTGGTACTGCAAGAACATCATGTATCAAAAATTATTTGCGGGCTATTCTCTGGATGGGACGTACACGGGGCGGACTGCAATCCGCTGCAGCGCTGCTTTCAAGCACGATTTGCGAAAAGCTGGTGGGCTTGGTGTGCAGCGGCAGATAGGCCGACCCCATGACAGCCGTTCAAACGAACCAATGTTAGGCGTGAAAATCAATTTGACACATCAGAGGAACAAGGATGCAGCTGAGTCCCCTAGTATTCACTATGCAGCTCGACAAGATGAACAAACTTACGTGACAGTTACACTACTTCCTTGTTATCTGGCGACAATTCGACCTTGCACTGCTGGCCCGTGTGCTGCAGTGAAGGTCACTTTACTTCTTTTTTTGCTTCTACTTATGACAGTTCGTCAATGAAGTCACTAATGGAACTAGAAACAACCTCCTCCCTGGTTGCAGCTACCAGAACATTATCATCAGACTTCGGTAGCCGCAGCCTCGATCAGCGGCTGATATAAGTATGTGTTTTCTTGCTACGTTCACGTATGATGCTCGAATTCGAAAGCAAATGAGATGGCGGTGTCTTTCACGGTACGAGTGAGACAAAGAAATGTGTGTCTGGACAGGAACTTAATCGTCGCATGGCTGCTATTAAACATCAAAGAGAACAACTGACGGGTTTGCTATCCACACCGCGTGGCACCCGTGCTTTAAATTTAATACCTACCGGACTACTTTATTCAACCCAAGAAGAAAAGAATTTGAAACTAAATGGTCATGACCTTATACTAAGTGAATGAAAGAGTTGGTGGACATTAGAACAAGTGACAATGACTGGCTACCACGATATTAGTGATTTGGTTGTCTTCGACATTTAGTCAGAAAAACAAAGTATGGTGGATTTGCCCCGTTTTCCGCAGAGTCACTTCTCGATGTTCTACAGTTACCTACTGACTGGGCGAAAAAGACCATAGCCCTCCGACAGGGTGCGTATGAAATACTAGAGATGAACAAACACTAAGTACCTTTGGATACGTGAAAAGATCTCGAAAAGAACCGTAAGGCAATGGTGCGGTTTTGGTTGCGATCACTCCCGCCGCCACAGGAATTGCGTTGTGATTGATGAATACCTAAGTCGGAAGAGCTAAAGGCCCGTTGGAAAGCGAAAGAGCACAGGAACTGGATCCATTTTTTACTTTTTTCAACTTGAAGTGGTTATTTGCGTGCTAGACCTGTCTTTGCACCGAACTTTCTCTCGAATCGAAAACCAGGCTAGTTGCTTGATCCAATGATCAAGCTGAAATTTTCATAATCGTAACTAGTGTGACTCATGCCTTTGTCGTTACACGAGAGTCACATTTTTGTGCTGCTAGAGCGTTTTTTTTGTCGGCAGATTCTTTTGAAACTGCGCGGCCTTCGGTGAAATTTCGTTTCATATTTGTCCGATCCATCAATTTTTTGTTTTTGTAAATAGCCTCCATTTTACTTAGGTGAGTTTGTAAGATGATGTTGTTGATGTGGTAGTAGCGTTCGCTAGACTTATTTGTGGATATTTCTTTCGACAGCCGCTCTGTACGCGTGTAAATAACTTTTTCTCTTGCGGAGAGAAGAGCAGCCAATCATGATGTCTGCAGGGGCGACTAGAACTGCAACCAAGTTGCTTGTCTTTTTCCTGTGCGGCTGTGGCTCGCAAGTTGATCAGGTCAGCGGGAGAATGATTTTGGACGGTGCGTTGCAAGACGTGGACATGACCGGGACGACGAGCCAAGATCTGGTAGTAGCACCAGTCATCGATGGTGTTTATCACCGTGACTCGTCTCGAAGAGGTAGAGGTGTCCACCGAGCAGGCCGGCTCTCAGAATCTTCAGACGCGACAGCGCGTGGATTGGAGCAGGATGCTGGTGCGTCGGCTTTCGGCCGCGGCAGTACGGATGCTTGTGATCCTGCTCCTGCTGACGAAGAGAAAATGGTAGATCATGATGTCGACCAGCCGCAAGACCGAAGGCGGCCGTTCGTACACTCCTCTTCCTCCCAGTATTTTCGCCGAGAGCGACTACCAAGTGAAGAGAAGTACTCCCAACAAGCACTTGATGACACTTGCAGCATCGCGGGCCAGTACAAACCGCTGGGCGGCACCACTTGTGAAGACCTGGCAACGACGAAGGTTCCAGACTTTCTCTTGTTGAGCGAACCACAACAAGCATCAAGTCCGTCGAGCGGTAGAAGCGCTAGCGAGACGGGTGAAGCGAGTGCACCCTGTTGCAGGAGGATGGTCAACCCGCTACTTGGCTGCGTCGGACACCAGCTCAGTGATGTATCCGCCCGCGAAGAATGTATTCATTCGCTGGTCAAAACGCATCAAGTCCCGCCTCCCAATTCTTACCGGCTCGTTGCGCTGGGGAATGCCCTGATCACCGACCTTGTCCCCTCCGTTCTTTATGGTGCCGCAGCAGCCGGAGCGGCTTCCTACGTCGCGGATCAAGCAATTACTCGCTTTGAAAAAGTCCAACCGTACTTAGCAAGCACGGTGGGGTTTCTGGCGACTCAAACTACTTCGGGGAGAAGTCTCAGACAGGTATGTACTGATTGAAGCATTGTATTGATGAAATCGATCCAGCAATAGAACCGACATCTATGTTTTTTTCGATGAGAACGCGTGCAAGTACTTCCAATGACCCACACGGCGGCGCTCTTTGTTGATCTCACAGTAAAAATAATACACATTCTTCAGTTCGCAATGTTGGCCGGAGGAGCGGTCGCAACAGCTTTCGTGATCTCTCCTCTCTGTCGCGCGTGTGTTCCCGCTCTTGCGAAGTACTTCGGCGCGGCGGGCGCTGCAGAGGTTGGTAAATGGGTCATGGGGGGTGGAGCCCTTGCGACGGAGGCCTTTTCCCAGTTTTTCGGAAATGTTCAGGACGACATGACCGCCAAGAGAGCGGAAGCAACAACGAACGAGCTCTCCGAGGCGCTGGTCAAATTTTTGAGGAGTTTGGAGCCCACGCTTCTGAAAGCCGCTGGCGTGGCGGCCGGCGCGAAGCATCTGTGGCGCAGCCCTGGCACCGCGTTCTCTCGGACTTGCGCCGCGTGGCACAACGTCGTAAGCCCGCCGGAAGTTCTCCGACAAACGTGGTCCGTGACAAGACAAAAAGAGCGGAGACATCGAGAATTATTGAAGATGGGAAAGAATGATCCTCCCTCCAGTAGAACTACAACGCGTGGTGCGTCGTGCGCGTCTTCGGGGTCGTTCGCTGCTCGCATCGCGCGCGGTTGCGCCCGGCGTCGCCGCAGCAAGAAACAGGTGGACGCATCCGACGTTGCGGACGAGCTAATCGAACAGATGAGCAACATGACCGTTTCCGCCCCCACTGTCGTGCCAGGCACACAACAGCAACCTCCGGCGCCGCAAGAAGTCGCTGATGCAGCGGAAGAGTCTCTGGTGCCGATGAAAGAGCAGGCCCCTGCTTCGCGAAATGAACCTGCCTTGGTGGAGGCAAAAACAGTGGAAAGCAGAGACATGGTTAACAGTGCAAGAGGTCGACTAGGCGGGAACGCGCAGAGACGCGGCCCCAGCCCTGACTCCGGTTCCACTACGGCCGGGGACGAACTGTCGGATGGTGCATCGATTGGTACCTCGCCATCGCGCAGTGTCAGCCCGATGCCGCGACGTGCGGGGGATGGAGAGGAGGCGCGGCAGCTGCATCTGCGGCCACTGTCGGGCGTACGCGAAGCTACAGGGAGGTCCTCTGGGTCGCCTCTCGGAGCGGGTGTCCTGACGCCAAACTTCGGCGCGATCGCCAGTGGGATGGAAAGCCCGGGGCAAAACGTTGGTTCGTCGCCGTTCTCTTTTGGAAGAGAACCAATCGACGTTCAAAGCCGTGTGCTGGAACAGGGGGGTGGTAGCATTCCTGCCGACGCAGAGGCAGACACGGAAATGCGCGATCGTGAAGTAGAAGACCCGCCGCGCGCCGACCCTGATGAATCTCCGCTGCGCCAAATATTAGAACCCTCCAGCACAACTGGCACGGTTTCGGTGAACACGGAGGACGCGCCGATGGTTGGCCCAGAGGACCCCGCGGATCTTGCTGATGGTGAAGACAACGCGTTGGATGGTGAAATCGAGCAGCGGGAGCAGCAGTCGCCGCAGTCGCACGCCGTCAGCGGGGACCTGCTTCGTCGGACACCTCCCAGCATGGATGACGATAATGCACCAGTTAGTCGCCCTCGCGCATGGAGGGAAGTAGATCACCAGGACGAAAGCGACAGCGAAGTAGAGGATCATCCGGGGTCCTCGAATTCTGAAACAGAGGACGAGGAGATCGAAGAGGATTTTTCGGCCTCGTCAAACGGATCTCCTGCAACAGACGATGAAGACGAGGACAACCACAACCACAACTTCAACCTTGCGTTTTTGCCCGAGGTGGAGCGGGCGGCACTGAAAATCGCGGGTTTCGTGTCGCTTTCAACGCCCGGCCGCGTGATCACGCGCGCGGCGCACTTGCGGGTCGCAGACGCGGTGCGCGTACTGCTCCGCCCCGAGGAACAATACCACCAACGACCCGGCAGCAGGAACGAGCCGACCTGGCTGAAGCTCAACCAGCCGGTCACCGTTGCCCCGGAGCAGAACGGTTTATTTGGGCCGGGGACAGCACGTCGTGGGCGCGGCGCTGGTGAGGACACGTCTGCTGATGGTGCAGTAGTATTTGGTTCGCGCACGACGGCACGAGCTCAGCCGCAAGTAGCATCCGGGGCGCCAATGAGAGGACTCTCATCTCCGCCTCTCTTTGCACCGCCGGCAGCCGCAGCAGAGTACGGGCCAGTGGTGCTGTACCCAGTCGTAGCCGATGTCGAGGAAGAGGATCCGACGACGGGAGAACGAATGGTGCTACCGCGGCCGGTGGAGGCGGCCGAGGGCGGCTACATCTACACAGTGACCACCTACCAGAATCTGCAACTCCTTTTGTCTCAACGGTGTGACGCCGGCAGTAGCTGCTACAGCATGCAAACGCATTATCTGATGTACCTCCTGGCCTCCCACGCCCTCGCCAACGGCGGGCAGGAAGAACTGAGCGACTATCACCTCCTGGTGCGGTGCAGGCTCATGCAGTTTTTTCAAGGCCAAGGAATGCTGCCGTGGCGCGCGTTTGGTGGTCCCGCTCCGCCAGGATAAACGTGTAGGGACTACTAGGCACTACTGCTCTTCTGAGGCGTTACGTCGTCCACTGTTGATACATGTAAATGTTTAGGGAAGCGACCCTCTTATGATAGATCTTCACGACGTAGGCCGAATACTAGCGATATCGCTTAGACTGAGATATGTCAAGAAAAGCAGCGCTGTGCCACGAAATGTTTTGAATGGCAGATACGATAAATTCGTAGATGCAGACGCAGATTCATTCACTAGAAAACATTTTTAGCAGCTGCCGGAGTCGTTTCCGTTGCAGTAGAAACTTTTGACTTTCAGTTATCGACTTATCACTTGCCGGAGACGCGAGGATGACGATGAACTACAACATTTTGATAATCTGGGTCGCAGAAAATGTCTACTAATACGAGAGAATGTCTAGCAAAATCTGTATGATCTGTACCTGTACAATTTTTGATATAGGGGCGACGTCAATTGCGGTGTAGGTATACCGCGGAGCAATACAGATGATGAAGCTTTGCCCACAGACATCAACATCTTTCTACTCACTGCCAAGGAGCTGCGTGTGCCCCTGGAGGTAGTGGTCATCCTGTTTTTAAGGCTATCGAAGATATTTGTTCGCTAAAGGCTACCAGTTGATAGTTGGTTATTGTTTTCTTCTTGCGTAAATGCAACTTTTTCACCAGTGTCTTCCCGTTTCTAATGTAGGTCAGAGGCGCATGCATGCACTTGCATTCCCAGACCGTTTTAAGACTTTCGCGTGGTTGAGGCTCCATTTGTTTCTGTGAAAACGAAACTGTACGTACTACTTTCGTTGTCTGCCTTGGAAAACATACAAAACCAATACAGTAAAATCACGTCTCTGCGAAAAATGCAAACTGATTTTTCCCTTTCCGCGACCTTGGCGAGGTTCAATAGGAATCTTCTGTGACTTACAGGGACATGCTTTGGCGCAATCCCGTCAGAGGCAAGATTCTTCACATCTAGTTCTCAAGCCGATAAGATGTTCATATCTCAACAGGAAGGGTTTCTTTATTCGGCACAAGAAATGCGATACTCCGAAAAGAATCGCGGCGTTGGCTTTTCCTTTACGAATCCATTTCGATAATTTCCCTAGCACACAGGACGAAGGCTACACCCAGATATGCATGACCGTCTCGTTTTTCCTTTTTCCCAGGTAGGTATAGAAAGTTGAGCGAGCTGCACAACGCCTTCCTAGCCCATTTAAGTTCCAGGCTGCGTCGTCGGAGTAAGCACAAGTAGTAGAAATAAGACCCACGTTCACGTTGCGCTGTATTCTGACAAGAACCTCCCTACATCTAAGAAATATGTTTGGAAGTAATCCCAGCGGTATTCTACAACCAGGCAGGACCGCGAGCTCTTCTTCCAGCGCGAATAACGCGACCCGATCCGGGTTGTTTGCCTACCAAGATTCTTTACAGCAAGGAAACATCAATGTGCAGCCACCGGTAGCGAATCGAAGAGTCCTGTCGCCGAGCAAGGTAGACGAGGCCCGGCCGCCGGGCACGAAAGTGGCCCAGACGTTCGCCACGCGGTTGTTTGACAACATTCAGCGCGAGAATGTGAAGTGGGACAATGACAAAATGTGGCGGCAATACCAGGGCAAGAAGGAGATGGAGGAAAGACGGAAGCACGGGCGGAGTAATTCTTCCTCGGATGAGGAACGCAATCCGCATGAACGGGACCGTCAGAAGCAAATCGCCAGCAAACTCGGGTTGACAGCACTTTTGGGTGGGAGTCCGGAACAAGGGGAGTCGGCAGTGAATAATCTTCATCTTCCGGGTAGTAGTTCTAATCCCCACGTCGACCAGGCGGTGAAAAGTAGTAGTAGCAGGCAAAATAAGTCCGCGCAGCTCGGCCCCCCGCCTTCACTGCGGGGCGCGACACCGAAAAGTGGAGGCGGAAGTAGTAAAGCCGCTGGCGCACCATTTTCGAACACGGGCAACAAGCACCAAAATGGAACAGGGCATAAAGATGTGGTAAGCAAGAAACGACGGAAATCGCAGAAGAAAGCGTCGGACCGCGAGTCCTCGTCGGACAACGGCACTGCCTCGGACGGGAGAGCGAAAAAACGCCGACGGAAAGAAGGGCACAATAACAACGAGAACGGAAAAATAAAGGCCGTCGGAATTATTCAGCCAGGAACAAGCAGCGGAACAAGGACAACAAGGGTAATAGAGCCAGCACAAGAACATCAAATCCGCCTGCGCGGCCGGGGCCACGCTGCTGTCCGGCTGAAAAGACGAAGTATATCGCATTCCGATGACTTCCAGAAGGTGGAGCAAAACGACGAGAATGCACTGCCTCCTAGCATTGTGCCGCCAGTAGAGCGCACTGGGGCCTCGTGGAAGAAAGCAAAAAAGCGACATGTTGCTGAGGAGCGCGAAGATGAGGTTCCAGCAGACAATTTCTCTTCGGAGGAGGAGCCGCAGCGCGGACGAAAGCTCGAGAAGGAGGTAAAGAAGAGCGGAGTAAATCGCGGGAAGATGAAAAAACGGCGGTCGTCAAAAAAAGACAAGAAGTCAAGATCGCCAGTCCACGTCAAGAAAAGGAGGCGAGAGCAGATGGAAGAAATCCAATCCTCCTCCTCGTCCAGCAGGAGCAGCGACGGAAATCATCGCGGTCGCGATGTTGCGCACAACCACCAGTCCAGAAAAAGCAAGAAATCGCCGAAGAAGAAAGGCCGGAAAAAGTCCTCCTCGCCCAAGAAAAAGAAGACCTCCCGCCGAAGAGACCGAGACGCATCTTCATCTTCGGCGGGTTCAGAGCAGCAGCAACAGCAGCAGCCTCTCCCTCAGCATCATCACTATGCGACAGCGGTACTTCCGCTGCGGTATGTGGCTCCACCTATGCCTCCTACGAATTTCCAGTGAGAATATACTGAAAAGAAGCATACAACTTTTTAGCATCCTACATTTTGCAGCCTGAAATGTCGTGTGTTGTGTGCATTTCAGTTTGGCCAGAGAAATGTTTAGAATTACAGATTGGGCGATATTGTAGCGATTTTGAGAAAGGAATGAGTGTTCTTCAGCCGGATTTTACGGCACTGGAGCAGACGTAGCTTGTGTGTCGGTAGTATTGCCCTTTGCTCAACATGCTAAATTTGTGTGGACGCAACACAACGCGAAAAAGAACCAAGATCTCCGTACGCTTTTCATCCCCGAGTCGGTCTTCAACTTCATAGCTCATTTTTGATCGCCCCAAGAAATCTCGATCCAAATTTTGAAAGCGGTGATCTGTATTTCGCTATGTTCAGAGAGTACCAGCGGCATGAAATAGGATCTGTCGAGAACAAAAAGAGGAAGGAAATGCACAGATCCTCCTTTTCGCAGGTCTTCATTTTGGAAAAGCAAAACTGAATTCGGAAAGTAATCTGTGCTTTTATGCTGTAGGCTGTACTAATGAATACACTTCTTGTTTGCTTTATTGCAGTGACGAAAAGGAAAACTTCGTTGCAAATACTTAGCGAGCATTTCGCCTCTTAGAAGAAAGCTTCTAGAAATTCTTTCAACATTTCGACGAAACAAAAATCGTGAAAATGGCTGGTTTTCGCAAGAAGAATCAGAACAAGAAGAACGCCAAGGGTCTGAAGACCGCCGGCGAAGGTCCTCAGCACCAAAGCGAGCAGAAACCTGCTGATTCTGCGGGCCAGAAAAGCGCCGGTTACGAGTTGAAAAACCCACTGAAGGGGTACAACAAAGTGGTCGAACAGCAGAACAAACCCTTCGAAGCCTACTACCGCGCGCAGAACATTTGCGAGAATGAGGAAGAATTCCAGGTCTTCATGCAGCACTGCCGGAAAGGTCTTCCGAGCGGCATGCGTGTCAACGGAACTCTGGGGAAGCATGGAAGAAATTTGTGGAACCAGTTTCAGTCTTTGCTGGAGCTTCCGGAAAACAAGGAGTTGACACCAGCATACAGTGAGGTTGTTGCAAAAATGAAGGAGGAAAATTATAACGGGAACGAGCAAACAGCGGCCACCGCGGAATCGTGGATGCTCCGCCCGAAGCCACTGGCCTGGTACCCCCGGGAACTGGCGTACCAGTTTGACTTTTTGGATGCCAGGCAGATCAAGAAGGACAAGAAATTCAAGCAGTTGAAGGAGTTTTTGATGAACCGCGAGCAGTACGGTGCGCTGCAACGACAGGAGACCGTTTCCATGATTCCGCCGCATCTGTTGCGGATCCAGCCGGACGACCTCGTGTTGGACATGTGTGCGGCGCCGGGCAGCAAGACCTGTCAAATGCTCGAGCAAATGCACTGGGAGGCTTGCGAGAATGGTATTGTATGTGTGTTGCGATAATTAATGAATGCGAGTAGTATAATAATTCCGAATCCACCGATGGTAGATGATGTGGCAACTTTCATTTGATCTTCTTCTTTCCGATAAAATCAAGCGCCCGATATCAAGTTTTCGAAAGCCACTACGTCTTTCTACTCGACATCATAAAAACACCACCACAGCCCGTGGCCCCGGCGAATTTTCAATCGGGAAAGGCGGCGTTCTGGCGAACGATGTGGAGTGGAAGCGCGCCAACATGCTGACCCACCAGGTGCAGCGGATCGGCTCGTCGGGTGTTGCGGTGTTGAATACGGACGCGCAGTTCTTCCCCAAGATGAAGCAAGCCGATGGCACGGTCATCCAGTTCGACAAGGTGCTCTGCGACGTGCCGTGCAGCGGAGACGGCACCATCCGGAAGACGCCGAACATTTGGCGCACCTGGACGCTGTCCGACGGTCTGGGGTTGCACTTTCGCCAGCTCGCGATTCTGTGGCGCGGCCTAGACGTGTTGAAAGTTGGGGGGCGGCTGGTTTACTCCACGTGCTCCTTGAACCCGATGGAAAACGAGTCTGTCATCAACGCGTGCCTGGAAAAATGCAACGGATCTGTGAAACTCGTGGAAGACAGCGACTTGCTGGAGTCCAGTGGGAAGCTAGTCGCCAAGAAGGGGTTGACGACCTGGAAGGTGCCGCATCCGAAGCTTGCAACTACTAAAAAGAAGAACGACAAGGAAGGTACTAGCACTTCTGCAGATCAGGCTGCGACTACAACAGAGAAACCAAATGAAGCGGCTGATGCGGGTGGTGCAAAAGTAGAAGCCGAATCACCCGAAGCAGAAAACTTGGTTTCCTTCTTCGACAGTTACGGGGACGTGCCGACGATCTATAAGGAGAGCAACAAGATTCGGAAAACAATGTTTCCGCCGGAGAAGGGGAATAAGGAGTTGGAAAAAACCAGGCGTTTTTTGCCGCATTTGATGAACACCGGTGGGTTTTTTGTCGCGATTCTGGAGAAGACCGCGGAGTTGCCGAGACAGTTGGAACGGGTGAAGAAGCAGGAGTTGTGGCACGAAATGCAAAAAGAGAAACAAGCAGGAGCTGCGAGTGACAATGGCACCCCAGTTGCAGCAGCAGCAGCAGCAGTCGAGAAGAACAAAACTGAAGATGCGACATCGAAAACTGTCGACACGACAACTTCGCCATTAGCGACCCCCGAGACCACGAAGACCAGTAGCGACGCCGAGCCGCCGACGAAACGCGCGCGAACGGAATCGGAACAAGCGAAGCAGGAGGTGGAAACAAATACAAAGTCGCAAAATCATGACTCTGCAGCTACGGCTGAATCAGAAAATAAAGCGCCACCCGCACAGAAACAAGAGAACCCAGAGGACCACTTTTACCCGATCGACGACGAAGACTGGGCGTCGATTTGCAACTACTACGGATTCCCGGACGCCGCGCGAAGCCACTTCTACAAGCGTCCGCAGGTTCACGGCGACCACAAAATTTACGGCATTTCCGAGAAGCTCCGCGACGTGGTGAAGTGCTGCCAAAACACGGGTAGTACGAAGGTGGTTTCCTGCGGTGTGCGCTGCTTTCAGATGCTCAACAGCTTCGGGGGGAGCTGCACCTGGCGAATTACGCAGCAGGGATTGCTGTTTCTGCTCAAACTCGGATTGCATGCACAACGAATCCTCGAGGTAGAGCCCGCAATCATCGACGAAATCCTGGAAAAGCGCGAAATTCCGACCTCGACGGTTTTGGAGCGGAAGGAAGAGTTTTTCCAACAACCGGTTTTGACCGAAACGGAAAAGTTCGTGCGGGCCGAAGCGTTGTTGAAGTCGGAAAAGGAGGAAGCGGAGGATGGTGCGGGTGTAGAGAAGAAGAAGATTCCGGTCGTCGGACAAGGAAGTTACGTACTGCACTGCGCGAAGTACGAGCTGCACATTTGCGTTTTGGTGTCGCGAAACTTTTTCACTCTGTACGTGGACAAGCAAGAGGCTAAGGCCCTGGCGGCTTGCCTGAAGGTCGGACCGGATCTCAAGGTCGAGATGGGACTGTAAGTCCCGGTCAAAACGGGGGATCATGTTTTCCTTTTTGACTGAATTGAATGGCAACTCACGATACGTCAGATCTTACTCGCAACGCAAAGCTCAATATCGCTCGACTTATTTCGATGAAAAGTGAATGTTTTGACCGTGCTGGTGACAGTGGCTGAGCCTGAGAGATCGAGCATCCTGTGTTCCAAAAGTGCAGTACTGAAAAGGAAAAGATTTTTGGAAGTAGTGCAGAAGTCGGTGAGGACAATCGGTTAAAGTTTCATTTCTGGGCCACTTAGAAGTATTGTATGTAACCGGGATAAACACAATTCTTGACAGGAGAATGCGAATGGCACGAAGTCCTTCACGTCTGATCCACAATTTTACCACCAGGAATACAGGAACTCAATCGCGGGTCGCCCCCACGATTTTTTCGCTTCGTTCCCTCTAGGAATTTCAAGTTTGAAGTCGATACTTCACCTTACTTACGCAGACATCGCCTTTCGTTTCGAGTTCGACGTCGACTCCCTCTTTCTGTATGTTTCGCTCCATTTGATTTTTACATCTCGATCGGCATCGGTTTCTTCTGCGAAAATGTCGGTAGTTACAATGGAATTCGAGTATGTATCCGATGCCTCTTTGATCAACGATCATTGATTTTGGCAACTTGCAGCTCGGACCCCTCCTACCTCTTCAGAATTGAATAAGATAGCGGTACTAGATTCCAAAATGGAGGCGAAGCCGTCAAATTTAAAAGACGTGGAGCCGAGCGAGGGGACCGCAGCTCTGAAGCTTGCGCCCTTCGCAAGTCCACCGGGGAAGACTGCACTACATCTCGGAAACTTGTTTACCGAAGAGCAGAACCTGGAGATCGCGAGGCTGGGGAAGAATCTGAGGAAGAAGTGTGTCAAGTCCACTCTCCAGGAGATGCAACAATTTTTGGATCAAGTTCAGGAGGAACACGGCGAAAGGTTTCTCTTCGCAGTCCTCCAAGCCGGTAATCGTAATGCGAAGCAGGCAATTCACTTCGCGTCGCAGCTCGCGAGCCATGTGGAGGTCTTGCGGCACCTAATCCAACGTCGTGCAAACGTAAATGCGTGCACCGTGCGGGGACACACGCCATTGCTGTACTTGAAATTCGTTTTTTTCAATGCTCCCCAAAGAAATTTGAATTTGTTTAAAAAAGAATTTTGCCGTCGTGCACGTTGGACGATGATAAACCCAAACTTTTTTCCCTCCTTCGCACAGGTTCGCCGCCGGACGGGGTCGGTCGGAGCACGTGCATCTGCTGCTCGACTGTCGTGCGAGTCCTCTAGTCCGCACGGTCTGCGGTGATACTGCCGCGGGGATGGCGGTCGGGCGCGTGGATGCGCAGACGCTCCAACGTCTTCGCACCGCGGAGGAGCAGGGGGTCCGCCCAAGATTGGCCGACAGTCCCTTGCCGTATCAGTCGCCGATTCTTCTTGTCGATGATGTGTTCGGCGGAACAAACAAGCAGGATGACGACCAAACCGATGCTGTAAATTCGGGACGTGCATCAAATCCTGACGACGCATCTGAAGCCGCCGATTTTCTTCTGGCTCAGAACCATCCAGACGTGATCCGTCGCCCGCGGACCGACTCTTCGTTCGACTACAGCGGCGATTCGAATTTGCACCCGCGCACGAAGGGGAAGAAGAAAAAAGGGCCTGCGGACAAAAGAGCTATGCTGATTCAGAACAAAGGAGTATCCTGAGTAAAAACGTACCCACACCAGAGTCAGGATGGGGATTTTGCAACACAAACCTAGGAGCTTTGTGAGTCACGCATGACAAGTTGCGCGATGCAGTGTAGTGCAGGTTAGCAAGTGCAGCCGCGTCACAGATTCGTCTGCTCATCCTGTTCACACCATCACAAATTCCAAAACACGACTGGAAATGGCTCTCATGGGGATGCGCATTACAAGTCTTCCTGTCTTTGCAAGTCTGCAATACAACTCTGGTGTGGGTACGTTTTTACTCAGGATAAGGAGCTGCTGCCAGGAAGAACTCGGACTCCGACACTTCGACTTCTACCACGGGCGGCACCGGCTCCGCGCGTAGTAGCAACGACCTGGAGCAGGTAGAGCAGCAGAGTCAGGAAAGCGGAGATTTGTCGCCAGCAATGTCATTTGCTCCTGCGCCAAGAAGGGACCAAGAGAGTCAGGAAGCTGCGAGGGTAGAGAAGCCAGGGTTCTTGTCGCCGCGTGAAAATGAACTACTACCCACATCGCAGGCCGCAGAGCGAATCGAGAGCAAGGCCGACGACGTCGACGCGCAGAGCAAGGCCAATCTCCACAGCTACCTGCTACGTGAAGCGACTTCCACGCCAAAAAAGAACACCGCCGCACCAGCAGCATCTACAACTAGGTTGGATGATGATCTTTCGTCCGGGGAGCGAATGCGGGGAGATACTACTCGCGAGGACGTCGAGGTCGAGCAGCCGATCGACAGGGAGGAGGTAGAGGAGCTCGTTATGGGCACCGTAGACAGCAGCAAGTACTTGGACTTTCGGTGCGACCCGGATGCTATTGCAGCGCAAAAGGAACACATTGTGCAGTGCAAGCACTGCCGGAAAAATCCGTCCAACTGGCGTCACCTTTTCGGGGACGACGAGGCAGGATTTGCGGCGTTGGTTTGCAAACTAGCCCAGTACAACAAAGCGGAGAACTATCCGGAAGAAAGTGCGGATGTGATCGTCGGAATCAACGCGACGAGGGGTCAACATCAGGACAATTTCTTCATCAATAGTCGTCGCACCGCGGCCGATTCGGACATGCCAGACACGGTATCTCAAGAGACGTTCTTCAGCTCTTTTTGTGCGACAACTACGACTTCTGAGGACATGCGGTCCATCGCGATAAAGTTCCTTCGGGACTTTTACGCCGTCGACACAAGACCTTTCGCGATGGTGATGCAACGGTTCGCGAAAACGCTGGGCGAGGCAGTGCGACGACTCATGGATCGTGCTAGCCCCGCGGTCTCTGCGTCTGAAAAGGCTGCAGAGCCAATTTTTATCTACATGTCGGCTTTTTTTCAAGAGCCCAACTTTCTCAAGAATCACCCCGAAGACCGAAAGTGCGTTCGTGTCTGCTGTGCTGCCGCGTTGGAAGCTTTGAGGCACGCGATTGTTCCGCGTGCTGTCTCATCGCCGACGAAAGGAGCGTCATTCGGCGAAGACACGGGAAACGCGGAGGATGGTCAGCTCAAGAGTGAAGCAAGGGTTGAGGAGGTCTCATCTACACCCTCCGGATTGGGAACTGTCGACGATGCGCCGTCCGGCGAATGCTTTTACACCGCACCTCTGCGGGGCGACATTCCGTGGTGGGTGGCTAGGATGCAGGACAAGGAAAGGTCTGCGATCGACGGGCCGATCTGTTTGCCAGTGGGTCGTGACAAGACAACTGAATCAGGAGCAGGAAAGCAGACACACGTTAATGAGAAGATGAACAAAGCAAGGAAAGAATACACGACGCCCCGCTTCGCCGCAGTTTCGCTCGCTGAAGTGCATAAGCGCTGCGACTGCGCTGCTACTGCACTGGAGGTACTCGGAATTCTGCAGCTGGAAGCGCGTCCGAGCACTGCTGAAGACGATGGCGCTGCAATGGAGAAAATCTGGAGCGATTTTTTGCTGGCGGAGCGCTCCTCAGCCGATCAAAACCGCTGCCGTCGCTGGTTGCGATGCTTGGAACTCGTCTGCGGTAGTTCTACGACAACTTCTGCAGAAGTTGAGGCAAAGTTGAAAACTGTCGTTTCCCTTGCTGTACAGTCGGGGTTGGTGCCACAGCTTTTACGAAGTGCAAAGCTCAATGGCGAGCACGCCTGGCACGAGCGGCTGCGCGAAATGCTGGAGACGGCTGAAGAAAATAATGACGCAGGTGATCATGATCCTGATGCAGGTCCGCGTGTCCTGGATCGGAGGAAAGCAGCGGCCAAGCAGCGGAGACAGCAGCGGCGCCATGAACAAGCAGCGAGGAGAGAAGAGGAAGATGAATTTGAAGCAGCTGCGAACCGAGCCGGCAATAATGAGAGTGAAGACGAGGAGTACAATTCTGAGGAAAAAATGATCGACGATGCTGGTGCACAGGAAAGCAACCGGATCCCGCACGCGCGGTTGGAAGGTCCCATTACCTGGATCGATACAACCGCCGGGCTCGAAGAGATGCAGGGCCTGCTGAGAAGACAGTACGAAGCATCTTCATCACGCAAAGTCCATGTCGGGCTTGACACAGAGTGGGGATACAGTAAGTCGGGAACAGCCACGAAGTGCTGCATGATGACGCTGCAGGTGTCTTTTCTCGACGCAGGGAATAGTAGCAGTAGTGGGTCCTCAGGATCATGGCACAACTACGTTATTGACACGAGCCCGGACGCCGCATTGAGAAGCGACGAGTACTCCCGTGCCTTGGAAGAGTTTCTCGTCACTGATCTCATGCATCCGTCCTGCCTGCCATTAGGTTTCAGTTTCGGCCACGACATACCGAAAATAGCAGCTCTGCTGCAGTGGTTACGAAGTGGTAACACAAATAGTAGACCTGCTGCGGCCAGCACCGAGGAAAAGGACAAACTGGACGTAGATGTTTTTGTGTGCAGATTCCGCCAGCAAGTGCTCGATGTCCAATATCACACAGAAAAGAGCTGGCAGGGCATATTTGTAATGCAAAAATATATACACAAAAATCTGCATTGCATATCCGAAACAGCATGCTATGGGGCCACCCATGACAAATTCTTGTGTGTGTTTGTTTTTGCATCACAGATATGCCCTGCCAGCTTTTTTCTCTGGGATATCCAGCAGATCTACACGCAATGGCAGGAGAAATCGCAGCGATTGATGCAGAAAAACGTCAAGCGTGGAGCGACGCCCGGGTTGCGTGCAGTGACCGCCGCCTTGCTCGGGCAGGACTTGAGCAAGAAGGAACAGCGGTCGGACTGGGCACTGCGGCCTTTGACATCGCGGCAGTTGCAGTATGCAGCGCTTGACGCACAAGTACTGGTGCGGTTAGCGGATATCATACTCAGCAGCTCCTCCAACAAAGCAGATCACTGAGGGCGGTGTTGAGATGCGTGGAATTTTTTCAAATTAGCAGAACTTTGTGAATCAAAATGTACCTCATTTTGCACAAGAACTAATGTACCCTTTTCGGAATTTCTACTTCATGAAGCCGAAGTCTCTACTTTTGGTGCGAATGACGCTGACATTTTTTGTAGAATTTTTGATCTATGTTCTTTTGGATTCAGGTTTTTGCGCATATGGGTCGACCGGCGACCGAAAACCCTCCTGCCTCTTAGGCAGCAGAAAGTGCACGAGTTCATCTTTCGTGTTGTTCTTTACGACTGCGGCACATATAGAGAGGCGTTGTTATCCCCCTTTTTGCAGAGAGAAGAGCGCGCTTCAAAGAAAGCACCATGAGAGACCTTTCAAGTGGACGCTGCCGTCTTACAAAGACAATCGTGCTACTGTACGATCGTATAAGTAGAAGTTGGAGTCCTAATGCATTTCCCCATCACAAACACAATCACAAACTTCTCAGACACAACCTTTTTTAGAATAAATCATGCCCGAAACGAGTTTTCTGGCCGCGAAGGCCACGGCCACTGCCCGGAAAACCGCGAGCGCTGACGCCAATGCGGCAAGTCTTCAGGAACTAGCAGGCTTCGGCATCGGTGCGGCAAGCGCGGCGGTTGATACTCAACCGTCTGTCCACACGGCATGGCAGCTCTGGCAGGATGGAAAACTGTCGAAGAAGCAGTTCGTCGACGCGTTAGGAGGCGAGTTGCCGCTGAACACCCTGAAATTGCTCAATCAAGTCGACTGCACATACGCCGAGTTTGTCAAGTCTTTTGGTAAGAAATGAAAAAAATCGATGTTTGAGCCTTTCTAAGCGTTGCAAACAAAGACCAACTCCAGCTTCTTGCGATGAATTATTTGTTTCCATCTTTCTAGTAAAAAAAAAGAAAAACGAACTACACCAGGTCGAGAAAATTCGTTCGCGTCTCAGCGCGCAGGCGGCCGCACGCAGTATCGCGACTCGGCGGGTGCGTTAATTTCGGATAATTCAGCTCCGGCCCCAGCGGTGAGAGTGATCGAAGAAACCGCAAATTACCGCCGTGCCAGTTCCGATGTATCCCGCATGGCCGAGAGGAGTGCGACCTTCAAGGTGCGCAAAGCAAACGACGTCTCGCGAAATAACCCGCTGATTGGTGGCAGTGCGCTAGTTGCAGACGAGGCAAATCTGTCCGAGCAGGAGGCGCACATGCAGAGCGCGGTATTTTATCACGGTTTCGAACAGGACAAAAATTCTCTCTGGGATGTAGATCTTGTGACGTTTTTTGATGAAAGTGCCACACTTTGTATAATGAATCACACAAGCGCCAAAACCAAACTCAGATCCGCATGTTTCTAGACGGCGAGTTAAAATCGACGGAAATGGGGGAGTTTGTTTGCTCCCTACGCAACTACACGTACAACCCGCGGCAAGCAACGAGTGGTATGCCGCTCAAAGTGCACACTTTACTGGAAAGGCATCAAGTGAATGGGCCGTTCGGCTTCCGGTACTTGGCACAAACTTTCCGCGATATCCTGCTTGAGACAGAGCCGGCACCGGCAGCGCCAACAACGGAGGCTTGAAATTTTGTTTTAGGATTTCCGATTATGTGTAGTTCAAAGCCGCTGGTGTGGTCTGCAGACGAAATCTGAGTACACTAGCCAATATACAAGATGCGCTAAAACTACGGAACGACTGGTATCTCTAATCAAAATGGTTGTCAAACAATTTCATAAAGAAGAAGAACATCTTCAGCGCCTCAGCATTTGCTTTCCCGATATTCAATTCTATTCTCATTGATGTACTTCTACAGCAGGAGGATCCTCCTGAAATTTGGCTGTGACGTTTCGCAGCCCAGGTAGTGTGGTCGAGTTCTTTTCTCGTCTGCTTCGAAAAGATTTTTCTGGCTCGAGGAGTTGAGCGGTATGACTATGAGCGAATGTATTGCATTGAGCGCGAAAAGTGCCAAGAAGCATACAGTCTTGAGAATTTTCAGAAATTCGCAAAATTTTTGAGTACTATGCAGAACGCAAAGGAGAGTCGGCTGGCAGTCTTATGAACTCAAACTAAACTTTAGTTTTGGGAAAAATCGAGAGAGCAAAATTATCCTTCGATTGAGTGAGTGCGACCGGAATTTTATCAGAAGGCGGGCAAAATGGCGGTGAAACAGCCATGCGGTCCGGCTGCGACGTTGATGCTCAACGATGCGCTGACCAGGATCATTTACCGCGATGGCAGTCGGGGTCTGCGCCACGAGAAGGAGCAGGGCTTGGCGCCGATGGGAACCGAATCGGTTTTCGGTGATTTTCCCACAGGCTACGGGTCGGTGAAGAAGAAACCCTACTACGAAAAGCCGCAAAAGTTCGTCAAGACCACCGATGGTAACAAACCACCGCCCCGCGCGGGTGCCACCGACCGACGACCCGTGAGCCTCACCGAGTTCCGCCGATTCTACGATCGAGGAGACCTGCCAATCCAAATTTTCCATGGCGCAGCAGGCGGCAAAATCGCGTGGAAGGTATGATACTTTTTTCAGGACAAGGGGGTGTATTGTACAACTTTAAGTGGCTGCTGTACTTAAGTAGGTACCTGCGCCCGTCGAAGATCTTCTTCGGTATTTAGGACGTGCTCGTACTGATAGCACCAAAGAGGCCTCGATATCGGGATGCGAATTACTATAGCATGATGTGAAAAATACAAACTGAACAGGTCGAAATTGAGAAGCTGGATTACCACCACTACCTGCCGTATCGCCAGAAAAAACTGTTTCACTGTAAACTTGTAATGGCAGGAAATGAAATGCATTTCACAACTGTTTGTCTTGCTACGCATGCAAGACAGTGGATTTTCAGCTGTGTTTTCCCTTAGGAACCTTGCATGGCAAATTTTCTCTGTCATGTAGAACAAACTTGTGATGCAAAACCTGCAAAATCTTTACAGTGAAGCATCTTTTTCGTACGATATGCCGATTTTCGTGGACGGCCTCCGCGAACGGGAAGATCCCTACCGATTTCTGGCGGTGCAAGGCGTGTACGACATGCTCGAGAAGGGCGGATCGAAGATCTTACCGGTAGTGCCGCAGTTGATCATCCCAATCAAAACGGCCTTGAACACACGGTGTGAGGAGATCGTGTGCACAACGATCAAGGTCCTCATCCAGCTCGTGCTTTCCGCGGACATGATCGGGGAAGCGCTCGTGCCGTACAGAATTGGATTGCGAAATTGCTTCTACTCCGCAGGTCTATCTTCATGCGTCTAAAAAAAAAAGAGGAAACAAGAATTTGTGAATCCGCCCGTCGTTTTCGATAAAATTGAAAAACACAAAACGTCTCAGGTACTACCGTCAGATTCTGCCAATTTTCAACATCTTCAAGAACCACCAGAAGAACCAGGGGGACCAGATGGACTACGGACAGCGGAAGCGTTTGAATCTCGGCGAGCTGGTCAATGAAGCTTTGGTATTGAGAGGAAAAATCCCCCCTCCCCATATCGAAAAGGTATCTTTCCGAAAATTTCTGTTGCTGATTTGTGGCCACGAATCACATTTGTCTTGCAAGAAGACAAGGGCAGAAGCTTCCGCCCCATTATGGAAGCGATTTGTCATGCTGTTGGGCCTAAAGGTCAGCCGTTTGCAATGCTGACCAACTAGATCCATACGCCCCTCCCTAGCCTGGGGATCTGGCCGTAATGCCTTCCTGCAATACAGTTCTGATTTGTGTACGCAAATCCAGCATCACAGATTCAGCTCCGCGAAGACCATCAACTAAAGGGAACCCCATACAACACCAGACCTAGGTGGAGCGTTCGTTCATCGCTGAAGCTTTAGAATAAAAATGTACCAAGCAGCGACATAGAATAACATTGTACCTAATGAGCTGCGTTGCTGCCTAGTCCCCTGGTAATAGTAAACTCAAAAAATGAAAACATCGACCTGGTATTTCTATTTTCTCACGGACCCCTTCCTCAGACCAATTTTCGTGCGAAAGAAGAAAAATCGTCACTCGTGAAATCGTAAGCGTTGCATTCGAATCGTAGACAGGCTCGTAGTTGTTCCTTCGTTCTCGAAACAGGTGGTGCTTGGTTGCTTTCGGTCTTTTTCCCAAAAAAGAAAAACCATCAACAGGGACAGGGTGAAACTGAGGAAGGAGGAAGAGGATGATGTAAAGAATAGAGTGCAGATTTTCCTCTAAGCTGTGTGGCGTTTACAAGTGTAAGAAGACAGATTTCCAAGGATTTTGTAGGAAAGTACACTAATATTGAAATGCTAGCACTACAGAAGCGAAGGGTCTTCTAGTCTTACTTATCAATGTCGTATTGCACTGATAGTTTCCTTCTTTATCCACGGACTTTTACTGTGTTTACTCTCAAAGGAATTGATGCTAAATATCCGGACTGTAGAATGTGATTGTAGATGTTGATACATGGATTACAAGATGTATGGGCAAGGTGTCACTGCGTAACTCTCCGCCACGTTGGCGAGTGAAAAGCTCGTTGCTACTGCCTCGGCCGAAATGGATAGAAAGTGAAAAGATTGTGGATGGAGATGCAGATCGCGGTTTGCAAATGTGGACGCAGGTCGGGAATGGCGAAGAGGAAATGAAGAGGAGGGGAGCAGCAGCATTTATCCAAAAGGTAGGGCCTAAGGCCACGGGAACGCCGAGCACACCCGCGCACTTCTTCGTGAATCGCCCACCGCTTTTTGTGTGTCGAATCGAAAAAGAAAAATAACAAAAAAAAAATCAAAAAGAAAAGTAAAACAATTAAAAGAAAAATCAAAAAAAATCAAAAGAAAAATCAACAAAATCAAAAGAAAAATCAAAAGAAAAAATCAAATCGACGCGCCAGAAGCCTAGCAAAAAAAAAAAAATCCAGCATCACAGATTTCCTCTTTGATATGGGGAGGGGGGATTTTTCCTTTTCATATTTGGAAATTTTTGAGACCCACGGTGGGGAGGACGCTTTCATTAACATCAAATACATGATTCCGTCCTACGAGTCCTGCGTGCTGTCGTAGCTGTTGAAGTAGATGCATGCAATTTTTACTTCGACATCAAAACGGTGAATCAGACATTGACATCTTGACTTTAACTTTACTTTCTTACCTCGTCAAACTTAACTGCACGGACTGGAATCAGAATCGGATTCATTGGGAAACATTTTACTGCTAGCGATGAGCGAATCGAACCTATGAGCGCCAACTTCTATAGGAGGCTGCGTGCTGACCAATCGACAGCTTACACTAGGCAGACCTGGCGCCGAAAAATTTCAAGGTCTGCTAAGGTGGGGGGAACAAGAGCCATTTGCTTCTTTTTTTAAGAATGACAGACCCTCGAAGACAAAGCCAGCGTCTCGAGGAAGAGAATCGTGTCAAAGTAACTTGAGATAAGTTTTATTCGAACTTCTTTCCACAATTTATCTAGAATATTCTCCAGTTTTTCACACCACTAACAGTACGAAAAAAAAAACTACTCGTAGTAAACGACACCTACAACAAAACGCTTTTGTAACTTTTGAAAACGCGGCTTCCAAGTTGAAGCAATAATTTGATTCAGCAGGATGAATGAAGTTTTAACTACAGATACACAACTAGAGGGGTGTCTGGCCAATGATTCTTGCATGGTCGTAGCATCCTCCTCAGCGTATATTGTTGTGCGCTGCACAGTTTCAGTTTTCGGATACATGCGCAAGTAGTCGTTGTGGGAGCTCGTCGAGTTGAGACGGTGTTGACTGCTTGTCCGTAGTGCACAGAAGGGATTTGTAAACGTCGTAGGTTAGAAATCGTCGAAGTTCAACACTACAACTCTAATTTTATCGTCGGGACCTTTTTTTCGTCAGCTCTGTCTCTGTGGGTGCGCACTTTCGTCGATTGCCTTTCATCACACACTTGAGCTCTCGTTTCTAAGTACTAGCATCTACTCGAAATACTACAAATTTAAACCCCACTGTTCATTTTCAGTTCAGTAGCAGACCACAGGCACCAGTGGAGTGGCGCTTTTTTTTCTGGGTTCTTTGGGCTGGGAAAAATCGAGTAAATCTTCGCAGTAGAACGAATCATGGCGATGATGAAACAGAGCTGCGGGCCAGCGGCAACGCTATCAAATGTAAAAATGTCTGGGTCTGGAAAATTGCAACTTGTAATGCTAATTCTGGATCGTGCCAAAATCTGTCCTGCATGAATGCCAAAAGCTGTCCACTTTTGACCAAGTTGAGAGGAAGTTTCTCATGCAGAATAGGCATGATAGGGATCTCACAGAATCTGTCATGTTAGGCCCTGCATTACAGAGATCATGGGTCATGAGAAATATGCATGACAAATCTTGCATTCTTCCAGACCCAGACATTTTTGCACTTGATAAACGCTGATGCTGAACGATGCTCTGAACAAAATTGTGTACCGGGACGGAATATCAAATGTAAAAATGTCTGGGTCTGGAAACTTGTGATGCTGTGTGGCGTATGGTATCATGAGGAGGCGGCAATTGCTGGCTCAGCATGACAAGTTTCTGAGCTTCTAGGTGTTGCCTATTCTGCATGACAAACTACGTTTCTGCATGACAGAAAAGTGGGGCTCTTTGGTAATGTGCATGACAGATTTAAGAGTCATGCCAGACAAGCATGACAAACCTGGCAATCTTCCAGACCCAGACATTTTTACATTTGATACGGAAGCAAGGGCTTGAAGCTGGAGAAGGAAAAAGGATTGGTCCCCATGGGTGCGGAGTCGCCGTTCGGCAACTTTCCACCAGGGTGAGATAATTGATGAAAAATACCATTTCTGACACTTTCAGGCAGCCTCGTTGCTGCGAAAGAGGAATCTTTATACATGCATCGCTGCAAAAGAATCTCTGTGAAAATCCATGGGAGGACATCAAGCGAAAAAAAAATCCAAACAGGTACGGCTCAACGAAGCACAAGGTCAGGGCTGTGGGCGAGAAGGCACAGAAGTTTATCGCCACTACCGACGGAAACAAGCCGCCGCCGCGTGCAGGCGCGACCGACCGACGCCCGGTTGCCGCGACTGAGTTCCGCCGATTCTACGACCGAGGTGACTTGCCAATCCAGATCTTCCACGGTGCGGCCGGCGGCAAAATCGCCTGGAAGGTATACCTTGCGTTTTTTGTTGTAGCTGTTTTTATTGATGCAAGCGATGGGGTGCGGACGTAGAGTATAGGATTCCAATTTTTTTAACCCGAGATAGAAGCAAGTAGACATTTCAAGCGTAAACTATCAGGTCGAAATCGAGAAATTGGACTACCACCACTACCTCCCGATCTTCTTTGACGGCCTCCGTGAGCGGGAAGATCCCTACCGATTTCTGGCGGTACAAGGCGTCTACGACATGCTCGAGAAGGGCGGATCGAAGATCCTGCCGGTGGTGCCGCAATTGATTATCCCAATCAAGACCGCACTAAACACGCGTGTTCCGGAACTCGTGTGCACCACAATCAAAGTCTTGATCCAGCTGGTTTTGTCTGCCGACATGATTGGAGAGGCGTTAGTGCCGTAAGATTTTCGCTTGTTTTCGCTTTTTGGCTGCTGTAGTTTATTCCCCGTGCTGGTTCATGAAAAAGAAAAAGAAAACTGAGACTAACATGGTGCCACCGCAGCTGTTTTGATGCTGACGCCGCGAATAAGTACGTGAACCGTTCTTCGGCACTTCCGAAAAACAGGTACTACCGTCAGATTTTGCCGATCTTCAACATCTTCAAGATGTCCACGAAGAACCAGGGGGACCTGATGGACTACAGCCAGCGCAAGCGGCTCAACCTCGGCGAGCTGGTGAACGAGGCGTTGGAGGTATTTGAAACCCACGGTGGCGAGGTATCAAATGCAAATATGTCTGGGTCTGGAAGAATGCAGGAGTTTGCGATGCAGATTTTGCATGACCCATGAGGTCTATGATGCATGCCCTTGCATCAGAGATTTTGCAACGGTTTTCTGATGCTTATACCGCATGAGAAATGCCCTCTCCGCGTAGCACAAACTGCGCCTCTTTTGCTGTTATGCAGCACAGATTTTATGTAGATTCCCAAAGTAGCATGACAAGTTGCATTCTTCCAGACCCAGACACTTTTGCAGTTGATACGAGGACGCTTTTATCAACATCAAGTACATGATCCCCACCTACGAATCTTGCGTGTTGTCGTAAGTGTATTCTGGTGGTTCTTGGCATTGAATGAATAAAGTTTGAAAAGATAAGTGACTCAGCTATAATCGGATGCATGTTTGTAGCTATGCAGCCGGAGTTTACTGAAATTCTAGTGGCACTCGTACGTACTCCTGTAAATACGGTTTCACTATATGAGAATCAGACAAGTAGTATACTAAGAAAGATGACACCAGAACAGAAATGACCAACTGTAAATCTTCTTCACAAGATGCTTATCTTGTAACGGACACACTATGCAAAGTCAGACACTATGTACCCTTAAGAATAATAGTTCGAACGTATGCAATGTGATGGTTCTCTACTATGCTTGTTTCAAATAATCCTAACCTATGTTTCAAATAATCCGAATCACCAGTTTACTTTTGTATCAAAAAACTTTACTTGTTCTGTATCATGAAAAGTTAGTATGCGAGCAAAGTAGGAGTCGACGGCAGACGGATAACATTTGTGGGGACGGGGGTAGAAAATTCGAATGTTGGGCCGACGGCTGCTCTTTCGGAACAGATAAAGAATGATTTCAATTTACAGTAGCTCTTGAATCTTGGACTTAATCGATCTGAAAAAATCTCTTTCCTATACTGTTTGACTTGCTTGGACCAACCGGTATCTGTGGAAAGAGTTCGTCTGTCTTTTGTTGTTTCTCTCGGTAGGTTTTTGGAAGAACCGAGCGCAAAATTGAGGAAACAAAGTGAAGGGGAAAAAGTACGATCTGTATCTGCCCTTTCCTTGCAAAATTTGAAACGAGCTGTAAAAAAAGCAAGGGGTGTCTTCTAGGAGAGAACGAGAGGGGGCCAGACATGTGCGATGAAGTAGAGCGCTTCTAGCTACGACAGCGCGAGCCCGCTAGCCAAAATGTTGCAGGCGACACAGATGAAACAAATAGGAAATAAATCTCCCCGCCCGAAGATGAAGGGAAACAAGCGAAGATGAAGTAGAAGCTCTGATAGGGCAGAATGCAAAAGATGGTAGCGGCGGTTGAAAAAGGTAAAGCCAGTGTCGGGATGGTGCAACCGCCACCGCCTGCCACGAAGCGCAGCAAGAGTTCGTCCAGGAAACCGTCTCCCGTTGGCCTCGACGCAGCAGACAAAAAAGCTGTACAACCACGACCTACAACCACTACAAATACCAATCCTCCGATGTTCATGTTTCCGCCACTGCAAATCCCGTCGGGCCTCACCTGTCCCATTTCCGGTTTGTTAATGATCGACCCGGTGATGGTGCGACCGACAGGGCACGTATACGAGTACGAGAACATAAAGCAGTACGTGCTCGCGAACCAGAAAGACTTCATCTCCGGCGAGCCCTTGTACTTGGACGACGAGGGGGAGCTGGAGTGCAAAAAGATTCCCTGGATCAAAGAAACCATTTCCAGCTGGAAGAGAAGGCCCAGCTACCGCGTCGAGGATAGGCCGAACCAGAAAAATCTGAAAGTCATGCAAGTCATGAGGTACTTGTAATCGTAATGTACTTCTACAGTACAAGGAAGTTGCACCTCTTCTTAGTCTCGCAAAGTCTGACTGTACAAGTTGCAAGAGAGTGCATAAGTGAAAGTGTATGCACGTCCAGAAAACTGACCTCTGTTTCATCTGATCACAACGATGTAAAGATTCACTTTCAATTTCCGCGACGTCAAAACCATTCAGGTGTCTCGAGTACCATTTGATCCAACTGAACAAGCTGCAACTGAAGGAAGAGCTGTCTAAGCATCCCGTCACCAGCTCCTCCGCTTCCACTTCTGCCAAGGTCGGTCTGGGCGACGAATTTCTGAAGAAGCTGGAGGGCTTTCTGGAGAAGATGGAGTCCCAGCAGCAGGCGCGCATCCAGAGTACGAACGAAGTCGTGTCGCGAAACCGCAAGAAGCTTGCGGCCGCGCAAGCGCAGGCGCAGCAAGGAGGGACAGGGCCAGCGTCCTCTCGGGGAGGTCCCATGCAGTTCGACACGATTTCCACGACAGGAGCCGGGAAAAGTCGACTCGATCCCCTAAACGCCACCAGCGATCAGATCGTGTTACCGGACGTCGACCCGGCGCTCGCGTTTATGCAGGACGCCTTAAGCCAAGCTGGCGACGATGTGAAGAGCCAGTACAACGACCGCGGAAGTCCGAGAACAACTGCAACGGGGACGATGACCACCATGGGTCCGCCGCGGAAGATTCAGAAGACTGCCTCCTATGCGAAAAAGCGTGCTGCAGCCGCTGGAGCAGGAGCAATACTCCCGGTGGAAAGTAGTACCAAAACGAAAAGCCATATTAATACCGTTCCAGGTGGCCCAGGTTCTACCATCGCCGCCTCGCGGTCGTCGAGTAAGAAGCTCAGAGAGACAACGACAGGAGGAGCGCAAAGTACAATATCGGGAACAATCATGACTCCACGAGAACACCACGAGCTGCAGCAAGCAATTCCATTGCAGCCACCGCGTCTGGCCTCTCCCCAACAACAAGTATTTTCGACGCAACAGGGAGCGCAACCACCGGGTCTGCTTTCCGCGGTGGCACCGCCACAGCCAACCCCACAGCAGTTTCAATTCTGGTTGCAGGGAAACAACAGGGCGCCTCCGCGGAACCAGGAGGAGTACGATGAAATGTACAACGAGTGCGCACAGGACCTGCAGCAGAGCATCTTGCGAAATTTTCAGCAGCAGCAGCAGCAGCAGCAGCAGCAGATGGAGCAAGCCCTGCGCTACCAGCAATTTCAGCTGCAGCAGCAACAATTTCAGCTGCAGCAGCAAATGCAGATGTCCGCAAGAGGACCGCGACCGTCTGCCGAACATCGGGTTGCCCCTGCGTCGAGTAGCAGCGCAGAGGAGGACCGTGCAGCGGCGAGCAGGATGGTTTCGAAGAAACCAGCGCCGCGTCCGAAAGGAAAGGCTGCGACTGCAGTACCAAAGCCCCCGGTAGCGTTGACGGCACGACAGAGAAGCGCGGCTTTGAAGGCTGGGACACTAGTAGAGGAGCCAGTGCAAAAATATCAGCAGCAGCCTGCTCCACCGAAGATGTTATATCAGCCGGTCGCGCAAGTTGAAGTTGACATGCCGCGGAGCAGCACTGCACCTACTTTCCCCGCGCCACCACTACCGCCAAACCGACCTGCTATAGTTCCCGCTTTGCAGCTGGGAGAACAACAAGCGAGTAGCGCTGCTGGCGCGTCCCCGCCCGCGGGTCACACAGTCCAGTCGGAGTCGCCTCTGGATCAACCGCAGCCGCAACGAACACTGCAAGTAGAGGACGCAAACCCGCCGCAGGCGAGTCCGCTGGTGGTAGCTGCAAAGCCTGTGGCCGTGGCGTCAAAACCGAAGCCAAAGCAGCAACCTGTCAAGTTGACGCGCCGACAAGCGGCGATGCTGAACCTGGACACAACTGCTAGTACTAGTGCAGGACAAGAGCAGCTCGAAGCGCCCCCCACCTCAGCGCGCTTCATGCCCCCACCGTCTCGACCACCGCCCGCGAGGGCAGGACCACTGTCTACTGGTGGAGCGGCGAAACAAGCTGAACTTTCGCAGAACAAGCCAACCCCCGTCCTCGCGAAGGCCGTTGCAGCGGCTGCTGAGAAACTACAGAATCCACCAGTCGCGACACTGCAGCTGGAGGGCGGTGCCATGTTTCAAAAGCCGAGTGTAGGGTATGCCTACAAAATGAGCCCGATTCTGGAAGGGGAGGACGAAAGAAGCATGAGTTCGGAGGTGAGAGCCCAGAGCAAGGAGTCGGCCGTCGCGCCCGTCGCGCCGTCGGACGGAAGTGCGACTGGTCGGGGAAGTGCACCAGATAGGACCGTGTCTGCTGCTGCGCCGTCAGATCGGAAGATGAAAATGCAACCGAAGCAGCGACCTTTACAACTCAACGCCCGCGCTGCCCGTCCGCAGCGAGCTGCAGCGAAGGTTGCAACAGAACTGTCGACCCGAATTCTGCTGACCGAAGAGTCCTCAAGACGTGTAACAACCACGGAGGACGAGAAAACCGGACAGTTGTCCTCGCCATCGGGCGGTGCGGCGAAAAATCCGCAAGTGTCAGCAGCAGTTTTGCCGCAGAACCGCTTTCCATTCCAACCGAACACCCGTGGAGGTGAAATGAATGTCGTATTACCGCCCGGTGCTGCCCCACCGGAAACGTCGTCGATCATGCCACCAAGTTTCCTCGTTCCGGGTGGACATCTTCAACCTGGTTCATCTTCTTCTAGTAGCAGCGCCAGGCCGCCAGGGGCAGCTCCACCTCCACCGCCGACGTCGAAAAGGAACCAGAGCCCGAGTCCCGAGAAAAAGAAGCGCCGCAAGGAGTCCGAGATGCTGCTCTCCGAGCTCGACGAAGTGTTAAAGGACGACGGTTTGCACGAACTCCTCCAACGCGGCGAGGTCGCCCCCATCGAGGAGGAGAAGGGCACAGCGGCGGAACAAGATGCGAAAAAGTCCTCCACGGACGAAAGTTCAAACCCGGAAGGTGGCAACGACAAAAAGCGGGGCACGACGAGCCACCGTCGGGAGGAAAAGTCCAACATTGCCGAAAAGGATTTCAACGCCAAACTGTGCGTGCCGCTGACGATAAAAATACCAAATTTGATTTTCAAGGTCCAGGGAATCGTCCGCTACCCGAAGCTCAACGGCGTCTACCACTTTGACGAAAGTATATCCAATCTCTTGTTCTGTAAGTAGGTCGTCGACCACGTGATCGTGCATACTCGGACGTTGTTGTACTCGAACCGTTTCCAGTTTTGTTTCATTCCGCCACCTCCTCCTCTCGACTAAAAAAAAAATACTTGATGGATAAAAATTCGGATTTCTCAAATCGTTGCAAAACAGGTCGTAAGACGGAGGTCTCTCCGTTTTTCCGTAACAACAACAGTAGCGGCGTGTTTTTTCTGATGTGCATCGGGCAGAATTGGGCGGCGACGTTTAGCGAGACGAAGTACCTGGACTTGAGGAGTCCCGAAAAATGCGCCAGGAACGATTTCCACCCGCTGGTCGCGAACCCCCGGGGCGGATCTTTTATCGAAGGCAACCACGATGACCATCCGGGGGGCGACGCTGCCGCCTGGGCTGATCAGTACGCCAACGAAAACATTCGGGTCGAATACTGCGACAAAACCGTACACCCTTGGGAGTTCCGTCCCATACTCTGGGCACCGCACCTCTAGCGAGCTGCCTTGGGTCCGATAATTGACTACAATACCGAGAAGGCGTCAACAGATGAAAGAATGGTGTGTAAGAAAGAATACAGTATAGCTGGTCATTAGCGTTTATTACGTTCTTGACCAGGTCGTGTAGCGAGAAACAGAAATAAGAGAATGAGAACAAAACTGACAGACTAAAGGACCGGTGGAGATTTTTATTCGAAGAAAACACAGGTTTGGAATCTTCAAGTCGAAGGTTTATTAGACTCAGTCGCGGAAGAAGAGACTAGCTTAAGAAGCAGGTAGTTGTGTCGTGAACGTTTCAGAACTCATCCATACATGTTTCAACTCGTGAATAATCGTGGTCCAGATACGACAAGCGCGTATTTTTTTTTGTGAAAAACAGTTTCGGTTTTTCTACATCGAGCAGGTCTACAGCATAGAAGTCCATGTTGGCTGTAAGCTAGCATGGTCGGCGCACCCTGCATCGAGTTTGAGATTGATTGGGCGCTGCGGGGATGCTTCTTCACTCATAGATGCGTGGTCGTGTTCAAGTACTTCTCGCTGTTTACGCAGTCCGGTATGCGGCGGATGCTGTGTGAGATGAAAGAGTTGAGTTGATGCGACGGCAACTCTGTCGCAGCACACGAGAGGCCACAGCTCTCAAGCAGGTTTCAGTACCGTTTTTTGTGATGAAATGGTACTACTTAGAGGTGCGGCTGCAATTTTGACTCGAAAATAAGAGATGCACCAAATAAACCATACGTGCTTGTTAGGCAACGGAAATGAGAAAATGAGCAGCAAAACGCCTGTACTAGTCGGAAATGAAAATAGCCGTCTACATAAATACACCTCGCTGGTACTAGTGGGGGCATGGGTGCGCCAGGTAAAGATGTCTGCCCTTGCGGGGCGGCAGCACCGATTGACGCGCCTTGGTCCGTGAAGGCGATTATTAGAACCAAACACAAAGAACAGTGCTGCGCCCCAGTCGTGCCGGGGTTCTTTATCCGTCTGCTGTAAAGAAAGGGTTGCAGCCGTCGCGGTAGTATGGTGCAGTGGAGTTGGCATGAGCTGCTGTCGGCGGGCGGGCAGGCGCTGGGCGGGATGTTTCTTGCGGAGGACGCGTCAGCCAAGAAGCCCGACAAGTACGACATCCGGTCCGTGGAGGCCGGGACGCTGCTCATTGGCGCGGGGATAGCTTTCACGACTATCTTTTACCTTTCACACAACAAAGATCACGACCTCCGCCGCCACTTCTGGAGGATCTCCAGCACCACAGTATTTTATCACTTTACAGTGGTCCTCGTAAGTTGAAGCTCTTGTGATGCTAGTTGTAACTGTAAGCACCGCCTGCACCTTCTAGCATTGTGATGAGGCTGGGAAAGTCGGCGTGAAGATGAGCACAATAAAAGCTTCGACAATTTAATTTTATACAATTGCAGGTTGTGATTTTCCTCGCGCTGCAGATTTTCCACTTAGTGAACGACCCGATTATCGAAATTTTGGTCAGCCCCCCGAAGGGGAAACCGCCCAAGCGAACCTACAAAACCCCAGCACCCCGCCCGGTGTTGCCGGACCAGGGTCTCACCGCACGGGATTTGTACGGCCGCAATGTTGGCGACGTTGGCAGCAACGAGCCCCGGGATAATGTCCCTCCGATGCCGGAGGAGCCCCTGCCCGACCGCGCGGCTGCAGGAGGCTCGACTCTGCCCGACGCGAACGCAGCCACTCTGCCGACAGGTGGTAACACTTACGGCGCAGCAGAGCAGCAGCCTGGAGGTGGTACCTCCGCAACGGGCCAAGGTGGCACGCTAGATGGTGAACAAGGTGGCATTGTCGATGTAAGAAATCTTGAAGGCCGGGAGATGTTGTGGAAATCTCGCCGTGGCGATCCACAGTTTCTGCCGGAGGCCGAGAAGGCGAATCAGAAGTCCACGGAAGAGGTAGCCGCAAAGCAAGGAGCTGAGGAGGACAAAAAGGAAGGTCCAGCTCCTGCCGTCCTGGAACAGCATAAAACCCCACTTGCTGGCGCGAGCAGTGCTGCTAGTAGTCCGCAGGCAGCAGTCGCAAATACCGCGCCGTCGTCTGCTCCGCAATTGAGTCAGCCGCAGGTGGCAAGTAGTAGTGAGCAAGATCCTGCTGCAGGAACTCCTCCCGTAGCGCCAAAAACTGAAGAGGACGCCACGCCAACTCCTCAGGAGCAAGCCATAAACGAAGCGGCACCGACAAAAAGTTTGGAAATGAGTATTGGTGAAGGTGTGGCTCCTGGCACGAGTAAAAAGGACACAGAAGCGACGATGGTGCAGCGTAGCCGACCCGGTAATCCCGCACAGCTAGGGGCGCGAATAGCTCTCTCCGATAGCATAAGCCCGGTGGTAAAAGGAGCAGATCCTGTAAACAGCACGAAAGAAAAATTGGACGCGGCCACGAAAAGCGCGCCGCTGGTTCCAGCTCCATCGGGCACACCGCAAGCGCTTCTAGCTACTGCACCCGCGGCGCAACAGCAGCAGCTCCCTAATGCGATACCTGCCGCGGGTGAAAAACAAAAAGCAAACATCAAGAAGGACCTGCTAACGCCCGCTTCGCTGCAGACCACAGTGGCGGTAGCGCAAGCACTGCTGGAAAAAGAGAAGATGATAGAGAGTATCAACTCCCAGCTGGGGATAGAAAAAGGCACCACACAAACGACGCCGGTAAAAAGTGCATCGACATCATCTTCGGTTGAGTCGCAGAAGAACAGTTTACCAGGATCACCTCCCGCGATCCACAATCAGGGACCGGCAGCTACTTCTGAAACAGCATCAACAATCTCTTCCGCTGAGGACGCGGTTGCGAAATCGGTTTTGCTCGATTACCTTGAAAAGATAATGGACCAACAGCAAGACACTGCCAAACAGTCTCCCGCCCCGCCACTTTTCGCAAGTGGTACAAATAAAGTCCCTGCGTCAATCAGCGTGACGCAGCACAGGGCGTCGAACAACAACGCACTATCCTTTTTGCAACTTGAAAGCGGGAAAGGCAGTAGCAGTTTGGAAGCAGAGCAAGAGCTGGAAGCTGCTGCACGTTTGGAGTCCGAGCGTAGCAACGCTGCGTTCAAATTCCAGTATCATCCAAGGGTTGCATCGACAAGAAAAGCATCACTTAGCCGCCCAGGAAATGAAGACAGCAAAAATGTCGACAACTACCCACTCCAGCAGGTTACCTCTTCGGCTCTCGACGATGAAGGTTTGTCGAGCATGAGTGGCAGAGGTTCTACTGCTCCTGCAAAAGAACAAAGTGGAGTACTAGCGGTGACACAACCCGAGGACGAAGTAGACGAGATAGATGACGCGGAGCTAACTTCATCAAGGACTGCGCCTGCAACTTCATTCCTCGACAAACAGGAAGTAGCGAATCAGTACGAAGAAGATCTGCCGGGGGACGAAGAAGCTGTTGGAACTACACAAGGGCTTGTTTCATCCGGCCACGTAGAAACCATCCCCGCGTCGTCCTCGTACTACACTTCGACGCCGCAAAATGAGGAGCTGGATGAGGGGGTGAAGTACGGTAAAGAGGTTACGAACTATTACAGGAGCTCTTTCAGTGACAATGAGAGTGAAGATCCGGAAGTAGCAGGGGAGGAGCTCGTACAGGATGCAGCCGTAGAAGGACCTACTGTGCAGGAAGCCGTTGCTACGGAACAGGTTGTACCTGAAGAGCAAGGAGAAGGGGGCAAAGTAGCTCCGATAGAGCAGGAACACAAGGACGCCCATGAAGAAGTGACGAAAGCGAAGTCACCTTCATCACACCAACTACAAACCCACAGTGTGGTGTCTTTTTTCCAGAACTGGCTGCCAGGAGTTTTCGAGTGGTCTGACGGTGAAGTTGTATCTGGTGCGTCACAAGAACAATTCCCAGCGGAGGAGCAACTACATGCTCGGACGTTTGCGGAACTGAAACTGATTCAGATCTTACAGGGCGACCCACTTTCAGAAGGCCGGATCACCACCGCCGTGGTGATTCTGCAGTTCATTCTCTACCTCTTGTGGCTGTTCCTGTTGAACTTCTACATTGTGCTGGTGGAGGGCGGATGGCTGGCGTGGGGCGGCCAGGGGGACCAGTACACGTCGCTGGAGCGAACGCAGCAGAAAACGGTGGTCGTTGCGTGGTCAACGTTGCTCGGCTACATTGCGCTGTTTTCCATCATCCACGCCTTTTCCTCCCTGCAGACCGTGACGAACCATCTGGGTTTGTCCTTCGCGCTTTGTTTCGTCTGTCCTGTGGTGCTGGTCACGTTGTGGGAGGCGGCGCGGTACTGCCGCGCCAACATGACGCAGGCGGCGAAAAACGGAATCATCAACACGATCCTGAACCGCGCCAATCCCACCCCGGTCTTGAACGACACCGCGCTGCAGGGCAGTTCGTTTGAGGAGCAGGTGGAGTGGGAAAACCAGGTCAGCGATTTGCAAGCGGAAAACCTCGGCGTGGCTACCTCCTTCCTGTTAGTTCAGTCGATCCAATTCGCGGTGGTAGGGAAATTGCCTGACTTCCACGGCTATCTTGTGCAAAAGTATCGTACTCGTTGTAATGGCAGGCATGCATTACAAGCCTAACTTTCTACCTTGTTCAGCATGACAAATCGCATTTTTGTTCTTCGGGAAATTTGTGATGCGATTTACACTAGTACCATAATTTTGCAATGCATAACGGGCAGCAAAAACCGCAGGAGGGGAAAGTGTACTTTCAACCGAGTCCGCAGCACATCCCGGTGATGACTGCCATTGTGATCGGCACCGCGTTGGTTGCGGATTTACTCGTCAGGTTTTTACACCGGAGGTTGAAGGAAGTGCCTCCCTTCAGCTTCCAGGCGCGGCTGTTCCATCTCGTGATTGTCATCCTGTGCATGAGCTTCGCCTGGGAGCTCTTACTCGTTCTTCGGTGGTTCGTCGCCGAATCGTGCGACAATATTTCCAATAACATGATTTTCAAAATCATCGTCGCGACCTTTGTGACCATCTTCGGCATGCTCATGATCGTGATCCTGGACGCGATCGAGGATTGGCTCCGGCCTGTGAGGCAAATTCTCTTTGTCGAAACGTCCGTCGACCCGCCGGGGCAAACCCAAATCACCCGGCCGGGCCAGGAGACGGCCAGCTCCGTGGACGATAGCATGGCGCCACTCGGCAGTCCGCAACTGACAACCCAGAATTTGGAAAAAATGATTCTCTGTGTCGGCATCGTCGTTGGGTTCGCGTGGAATCACGCCTTCGAGGTACAGATATGTTGTACTTTTTATTGAGGTTTAGGTTTGATGATGTCCTTATATTCGAGTCACCGGCGGTGTAATATCAAAGAAAGAGACTCCCTCACACTCACTCTTGAAAATCGTGTGTTTTTTGTAATCCTCTTCTCAATTTTTCCTAGGTCGGCATGGAGGCCATTAACCAGGAGGTGGACGGGCAATTTGGCACTGTGTGGGGAGCCAAGCACAACATCCACATCATGATGATGATCATCCGTATGAATTGCAAAAATGTCTGGGTCTGGAAGATTGGAACTTGTCATGCTAAAGTCAAATCATGCAAAAATCTGTGTTGCATGACTGCCAAAAGCTGTCCTCTTTCGACCAAGCTGGGAGGGAGTTTCTCATGCAGGATAGGCATGACAGAGACCTCATAGACTCCGTCATGCTAGGTCCTGCATTCCGAACCTCATGGGGCATGGAAAATATGCATGAGAAGTTTGCATTCTTCCAGACCCAGACATGTTTGCAGTTCATAATCCGCGGCCTGCTGATCGCCTTAGTTTTGCCAGCGTGGCGATACCACATCCTGCCGCAGGTGGTCAAACACCGGGACGAATACCTGGCCGGGCGGGTACTGGAGGACATCCAGGAGGAATCCGTTGCCGCCCAGCTAATCGGCGACGACGCGGCCGAGCGGTTCGAGCTGTGGAAGCAGCAAAAGCAGGAAAAACCGATCTGGAAGTGCATTTGGGCCTGCTACTTCTTCAGCATCGCAGTCTTCATCGGCTTTGTGGGAACGCTGTACTTGAACTCGCCATGAGGGGAGGGTCAATTGGGGGGACAAACCAATTTGCTTCTGAAGCAAAGAAGTGTTTGGTGTCTCGATTTCACATCAGAGAGAGACAGAGCAGTTTCCATGGAGGACTGCGAAGATGGATTTTTCATGACAGTAAAAGAATTTTCAACTAGTAGAATACAGCTTTTTCGATTTAAATCAATACAACAGCGTCGCGCAACATGTAAGGAGAAAAGCCGCGATCTCGTTTCGTGAGCTTGTTTCGTGTACAATTGTCTCCTCCACTAGTTAGAATTCCCAGAAACTACACTATTGCGGTACTTAGAAGCAATTCCGTTTCAGTTTTTTGAACTCAGGCAAGAACTACAAAAGATTACTATCTGTTGCTGTTTTTTATGCAGGAGCAAAAAGGAAAATCTACAAGAGCAACAATTTCAGGGCAGAGCGTCAACCTGAGGGTGCGCTCAGGTTGATGCGCGTAGACGCAAAAGCGCTAGCACGCATGAAGTCATTAGGAAGAAGAGGAAGAAGAACAAGAATATATCAGACTGAAATGCTTTGTACGTGTAGGCAATTTAATGAAGCTTAAGCACATCGTTGTAAAAATGTCCAAGAAATTTCATACATGAGTCAATGAGATAGAGAAAGAGGAAGACAACCCAGCCAAGAGAACTCTGGCTCCACCTGTATGCGGCTGTCCGGCAGACACGATTTTCGTTTTTTCACACCTGCAATATGTGTTCAGACAATGCATAGCGTCGCTAAAAGATAGACTCAAAACAAATTGAAGGCAACAGGTTGCGAAGAAGCACCTTCGTACTTCTCGTTCGGTAAAATATACCAGATTATCGGTGCGTCGGTATCGCCAAAAGCTACATCGGCCGTTCGTGTGATTTATTTTCATGGAATTTCGTTCACTTCTGCAACTTGCCTCAACTTTTTTTTCGTCTTGCCGGACCAGATCGCTATTCCGCCTATCGTCATAAAATTTTCTCCATTGCCGTGCATTTTACCTCGTGGGTTTTGGATTTACGATTTCAAGTCGTGCAACTACTACGTCATCGTACAAAACGCACATCAAAACCGTTTGTCGTTCAAATTCAAACCGGATTATTTTTATACTTGGACAATCAAAAAAGAAAAAGAAAAACACAAACACTCGTAAGTACGCGTACCAACGCATGCAACTACATCTCCACGACTGATGTACCCATCTTCACAACAGGCAGTTTTTTTTTGAAAAAAAAGGGGATTGATAGATACAGTGTAGGAAAGTCATGCCTCGGGACAACATCGTAATCCTGCTCGGCCCCCCGGGGTCCGGGAAGGGAACGGTTTCTCCCGCGATCGTCGATGCGCTCGGAATCCCGCAGCTGTCGACCGGTGACATGCTCCGCGCCGCCGTCGCCGCGGGGACCGAAACGGGGCTGAGAGCGAAGGATCTCATGGCACAAGGAGCATTGGTGCCGGACGAGTTGGTCATCGGTACAGTTTTTTTACCAACATTTTGGTTTCTCTTTCTGTTCAACGTGGCACAAGTGGCAAGATCGATAAATGCTTCTAATGTAACGCTTCGCCGCTACTTGAGGTGATGATAGATGACCACAAAAATGAACATTGTAGCACAGAGGTATTACCCAACATTTTTTACATATCCATCGTTCCGACCCTTTCACGACTACAACAGCGATCATCCAGGAGCGCATTCAGGAGGCGGACTGCGCGGAAGGTTTTCTGCTCGACGGCTTTCCCCGCACGGTGGCCCAGGCGCAGGCACTGGACGCGGTTTTGTCGAAGGAGGGCGAGATGGTTACCAAGGTGGTGGAATTGAACGTCCCGGATGAGGTTTTGACCGACCGCATTTGCGGGCGGTGGATCCACAAGGCGAGCGGCCGCAGTTACCACGTCAAAAACAAGCCCCCCAAGATATGACCCGCTCAGACGTTACAATCTCAACTGTTACAATAGAATGTGGATTTTGTGATGCAAGAAGTGCATGATCTAGCCAACTCGCACAGGATTGCGCATGACAAGTTCTAAAGTGCCGACCCGCACTAGAATCTCGCGAAACTTGTAATGCGAAAAGCGCAATACTGTGTGCGTTCCTCATGCTCTTCATGCAAGGCTAATTCCAAATTCTAGTGTAACGTTTGAGATTGTAACACCTGAGCAGGTTATACCAGAGCTACGACGGCAGCAGCGAGCCCACGGCAGAGAACATGTATCTATCTTTTCTTTGGTCGTGTGATATTATGTGGTGAGAACTTTCTTTTGTGCATACTGCTGCACATAGTCTGTCAGCGTCAAAGCTACTACTCAATCACCCCGACGATCGTTTCTTGGTTTCTGATGATAGAAGCCAGGGTCGTGCTGTCGAGAAAATAAGCCGCCAAAACCCCTATAAACCAGGCTCGACGACGAGACCGGCGAGGCTTTGTACCAGCGGGCGGACGATACCAAGGACGCGCTCCCCAAGCGGTTGGAGGGCTACCACAACGAAACCGAGCCGATTCTGGAGTACTACGGTGAGAACGTGTGCGTGCGCGTGGACTGCAACCGCGACATGGACGCCATCACGCAGGAGATTCTGTCCATCCTGGTCTTGAACAAGGGTGACACGGGGGTCACCACGGCTATGAAGGACATGCTGATGGCCTTGACACACTTGTCCGAACTCATGGAGCACATGCCGGAGGACATCCAGCAGTGGTGCAACTCCGACGAATTCGATGACGCGATCAACGAATACTTTGACGTATATTTGAAGGACTAGACATCACAAGTTTTGTTTTAGGGGTTTAGGATTTAGGGTTCATCGTTCCGTAACCGTAGAAGAGACAATGAAAGAAAGCAAAACTGGATGCCACAGTAAGCAAGTAAAAAAAATATTTCACATCCTCGTTCTTTTTTCATCTCCCCAGGGCCTGGACACCAACAAGTCGGGCAGCTTGGAGGCGGACGAACTGTATGAGCTAGCTGGGGAGTCCCTCGACGGCATGCTCCGCATTCAGAACGAGGGAGACGATCCCTTCTTCCAGCCGAAGGTGGGCCCCGCGGAGATGCGCCGCTTCATGGACATCTTCGACCAAGACAAGAACGGCGCGCTGGACCGGGACGAGTTCCGGGACTTCATCAAATTTTCCATCTGCCGCTCCTGGATCGAGGACCAGTATCTGGAGGAGGGCTACTACAACGAGAGCGAAACACCGCTCATGAACAGCTCCGAGGAGGCGGAAGTTGCAGAAGGTATTTTTGTAGTAAATAGCGACAGTTTATTATCTTGGATGGAGGAGTTGATTTTGATTTTGATTGGATCATGACTTGACGACATACTGCATTCTTGCAGAATAACGCTAGCAGGAAGCGTATTTCTATTTTCTATTTGAAAAGCGACTTCACCAACAACCATTGATCAGGCGAACAAGTTATGGACGAAACCCTTGCCAAGCTTGAGGAGGGCCCGAACAACGTGAACTTCTTGCTCCGGCAGCTGAGCCCGGAAATGCGGGCGGAGATCGAGTCAGAAGAGTTCGCACACATGCGGCGATTGGAATTCCAGAGCCTGGATGACGACGAGTCCGGCACTCTGGAAATCAACGAGCTTTTCCCCCTCATCGAAGCCATTGCCGACGTGCACCCCTGGAGCATCACGTATTCATATTGCGACTTTCAGTACCTCTGTGGTTGACAGACTCTTTTACTTATCTATCATCTTCTGGCCAAAGATAACAGTAGGAGGAGGCGGTGCCTCCGGTTTGAGTTACATACAACAATGTTTTGTTCTGTTGATTTCCTTGTTTCTTCGGTCCTCATCATTTGGAAATCGACATTTAGTTTTATGAACGTGAACCTTTTTTTTTCTGCACAGCTACGAGCACTGCGCGCGGTTTCTGGAGCTCTTTGACGAGAACGGGGATGGTGTGCTGCAATTTGGCGAGTACTTGAAGCTGGTGCAGTACGTGATCGCCATCGCGACTGTGGAATACGAGAACGAGAACAAGGCGGCCAACGCCGGCGCCGCGGAGAAGCTGGCTCAGATGGAGGAAGAAAACGCGCGCCTGAAATCTAAGCTGGACAAGACCAACCAGGAAAAGTGCGAACTGCAGCGACAACTGAACAAAACGCTGAAGGGCGCCATCAAGGAGAGCAACCTGGAGATGCAGAAGGAAAAGAAGTGGAGAACCAAGCTCGAGGGAAAATACAGCGTATTGATTCATCGGATAAAGTTTTCATGTTGAAGATATTTTTTGTCGGAGGTCACACTTACGAACAGTTTTTTCCGCGGGATTTCTCAATTTGATTCTGCATCGCGATGCAATCTTAGCATGTACTAACTTGAGCGCTGCCGTGCATGTACTATCGCGGATGAAAATATGAAAACAGGTGCTGCTGAAAGACTACCGGGCGGTGATGCGCGTTGCACGGGAGCAACGGGTCACCATCAGTGTGAAAAGCAACAAGCTGGCGCAGCTCCCACCGGTCACCAAGACCACTGCCTGTGTGCGTGTTGCGCGCAAGTTGCAGTAAGCCAAGCGACGTCTTCGAACGCTTCCTTTAGACTTGATTACGCATTTTGTTTGCTCTCTCGCTTACCAGGGGTCCGTCAGACCATCTTAAATGCACATAAGTAATCATGCAGCAAACTTTTCATCCAGATTCAGACTCAAGTAAATTATACCTCCCACAGGTCAACATCAACAAAACCTGGAAATGTCTAGAATGCAAATGAATCTGTATTACCATCTCCACTGTAAAATGTTATACCCGGCGACAAGCAGCAGCATTAGCAGCAGTTTCGTACGCGGACAAAAGTATTCCCCACGATTGATTGTGGCACACGCTTTCGAGACGAACCCAAAGAGGCACGCAGAGTTTGCGTCCCGCGGATCTGGCATCCGCTTTCCGCACGTGCTGCACATAAGAACGCTATTGGCTGCGTGCTTTGTATGTAAGATGAGTGTCGTTATTCATACCCAAGCGGCACAATCTCTCCCGAACCCTTCTACTCTATGATTGGAAAAATTCTATGCTATCAGCGTACGCTAGCATTGCGGTTTGATTCATCCACTTGTTAAGCAAATAGCTTTCAGTTTCACATGAACCTTTCTGAAAGGTTTCGTCCTAATTTTACTTTTACTAGTCTCTAGCATGTCTGTAGCGCGCGACGCTCAGGTTTCAATAGATGTCATACTCGCATGATCTTTCTGGGAAACGCATTTCGCAATGTGCTTTTGAAAATCGCATCGGGAAATGGAAGAAGCTAATGCATAAAAGCAACGCAGCACCCGATAGCTTTGTCTTTGTCGACGAAGTCGCGTGGGGAATTTCACAATTTGAAGCCAGGGTGTTCGGAGGGGTAGGCCCTTATGTAAAAAAAATCGATGCAAACAAGAGATCTTTTTGGGCCTATAGGTGTGCAATGGAGCTCTTTAGGATAGATGCCATGCGCTATTTTTCGACGATAGGCGCTCAATGAGTACACTATCAAGATTTTACATAGAAAGCAGCCATCCAGGCGTGCATCGACAGGAAGATTCATTTTGCTCGCTGCCGATTCACAAGATCTATCACATAAGCACGTTTGCAAGCGAGCGGTCAGTCTCACGTTCGTACCGCGATCACAAGTTCCATACTTGAATTTTTATTGCGTTTATGTGTGATGTGTTTGTTTGCGGATGAAGTACTAGTAGGAGCTGACACTGGAAACAAAATTTTGACGCTAAAAACCAAAGACAGTCACGCCGAGTCTGTAGTTCAGTTTTTTTTTTTTTTGAAAATGTATGACATGTGGTTCGGCCTTTTCCGCCACGAGTATGAAATAATTCTAGACATGTTTATGATTCAGTAATCTAACTCTCGACAACCTAAAAAGTTGTGCGTATTCGTAAAATTGTAAAGAATCATCTGGAAGAAAAGTCGCGACACGCTAGAGCAAGAAGCAGCAGCATACTGTCAATGGTGTCCTCAAACCTCTTGAATGATTCTGTATTGTGTACGTATTTTGCTGTTGCTCTACAGTCGCTTTTTCTGTGCCTTTCTACGTGTGCATTTTGCTGTTGACGACGGATTAGTTTTCTGGCCCATTGCGAGGATTTTCCTAATTCGCTTCATGCGAGAAAATTCGCCGCCGGTTTTTGATAAGTCGTTTTCACAGGCGCTTCTTGCGCTTGCCAAAAGAAAGGAAAACAAAGAATATGCGCACAAAGGTGTTGCAGGTGCTCCATGTGGATGAAGGATATCTTGTTTACTACTCAATGATCTATTCATCTGGTGTCAGGTGCTAGAAGTTAGAGACCGTAGTAAGTTGTTGATGAAGTCAAGCACAAGCTTCTAGTTTTGAACTCACCTTTTTCCTCGACGAATGCGAACTGCGTACCGGTGTGTGACATCTGTGGCGTTTGCGCTGGGTTTCACTGGACGAGGTTCGTATTGGAATCTTTGGCGAATTTCACTTACACCGTGAATGATACTGCGCAAACTGGAGGCTTGATTTTCATCATCTTCGGGCTGCTGGCTTTTCCCGCTGAGACTAGGTAGATTGAGTTTTTACTGACGAATATCCAACAAAAAAAGATTGTGAGCACGTAACTTTGTTGCCAATGGTTGCGTCTATGATGCGGGTCTTGCATGGTAGGGTCCATTCAGGGAGTGCGTTTTCACGTACTATCTGCGCATGAGTCATGCCATGCAGATTTGTAATGCCGTTCCGCAAAGATATAAAAAAACAAAGTTACATCTACAATGTTTTTTTCTTGCATAACGAATGACCCGTGGTCATATCCGCCGGTTGCTGACGAAGGTCGAACGACTTAGACATGACGGTTTGCAGACTGAAAAACGAACACAATACTGCTGAAGAGAAAGTAATTGTAGCTAAAAACTAGAAATACAGTTACAGAGATAGCTCCTGCTTTTCACACTTTTCGTTCTACCGGTTTCCATTTCTGTTTCATTCTTTCCAACGCTTTCACTTATTCATGAAATAAACGTGTACATTTAAATTCATTTCAACTATGATTTCACAGCAGATGCGAAGATTTCTGCTGCGTTAATTTTTTTTTATTGAGCCGCCTCACTTAGCCTTGAACAAAGACCAAGCACCTGCCTTATTTTACGATCGAGTAGCACAGCAGGCACTTGTTGTTTCTTGGTGTCTGTTGTGCTGCCGTGGTAGTTTCACGCGAGTGTACATATCAGTCTCTTCCTGCTAGCATTAAGTGAGTAGTAGGCCTTTGATTTACTTAAAAGAAGCGAACACTTGCTGGCTGCTATTCCCACTTCGAGTCCCCTTTCTTCGACCGAGTCCGCCACTTGTGGGCATCGTCAAGGAGAAAACGGTGGAAGAAAAGTTTTCCGAGATGAAGCCGCGGGAGACTTCCACAGATACGCGCCACACCAGCGATGGCAGCAGCGAACGCAGTAAGTCCTCTTCCGCAGGAGTAGTATTTTTGTCTGCAACTGCATTTGATTTTGATGCAATTCTGCATATTGCTGTCAATCCTGTTTCAGCGAGTGTAGATAGAGCTAGATAGTTACCAGCTAACACCACGACCACAAAATTCATTGGCAACAGGTCCGGATGTGGCCACCAATACGAGTCAAGAAACGCCATCTCCTACCTTGCAACAGAAAAAGGGATCAGCCTCTGTGGACGAAAAAAGTGAGAATACAATGAGGTCGGCAGAAAACCACGCGGCGAGGGCTACCCCGTCTACCCCGGGCGCTGCGGGACAAAAGAACTCTAACCCCCTGCTCCCGGCGTCTCCTGGAGGAAACTGGTATGCAAGCAGTTACCTGCAAATATCAATACGATCTGATTGGAAACCGATAGATACCGAGATTTCGGACGCTGACTCAAGTACACTCTGCTTTATCTGATGTACGAACTTGGGCAACGTGTCTACAGACGCCCGGTCTTTGAACTTGTAGTTGCACAAGTGGTGCTGGTCCTCGTTATTGGTATTCGTCATATTGACTTTTAGTTTTAGCTTATGCATAGTCCTCCATTATGACAAAATAGGGCGACGCGCTGTGCAGCGGGAGTGGGACCTGCCTCAGCTGTGGGACCTTCCTCGCCCGCGGTACCGAGTCCGCCGCCGACGTACGCCGCAATGCTGAAGAATAGCACTGGAGGCAAGGGCAGTGGTGTTTTTGCCGTCTCTCCGGCCAAGAGCGCACATAGTACCTACACAACGCCGCTGAAGACAAATATGGCTACCGCCACTCCAAAGAAAAGCGCGTCAGCTTCTACCACGCCAACGAAGAGCGCCGCGACAACGCCTGTCACGAAGACGAGCGGAAAAAGCCAGAAAACTCCACTTTCGTCTACCAAGAGCAGTGCGGCCACAACAACCCAGGCAACCCCGAGCAGCACTACAAGCCGCGCACCCAAACAAGGCAAAACCCCAACGACCAAGCAGCCACAAAACAATAGTGTAGCCAGTTGTTCGGCCACCTCAAAAGCCTTGCCGAAAGACGGTAGTGCTTCGGGTCCGTTGCCACAGAACGAGGAGAAGCTACAGACGGGCGCTGAGCAGCAGAACGAGCCGCGACTACAGCAGGAGAAACTAGTTCCTGGAGAAATACAATCTGCGAAGGCACAAAGTGAGAAACCTGCTGCAGCTGCACCTGTAAGTGTGTACGACGGTTTAGAAGCGTTACCGTCCCCCGTGCAACCGATCGGGGAGTGCGAAAGTAGGGTGTCCACTCTGAGCAGCCAGAGTAGAAAGGACGAAGAACATGCAGTAACTGCCAACGAGGGCATAGTTTCGTCTGGAGGATCAAATGAAACCGCTGCCGGACCAGGAGCTGCAGCCACTGGAACAACGCGTGGTGGCAGCAAGGCTGGCACGACCGACAGCAAAAATTTATCGTCGCAAGAAAACAACAGCACCACTGCTGCTGCTGGAGCAGCAGAAAGCAGTGCAGAGAGCTCTGAGCCATTACCTGTCGCTACGGGGGGACAAGTTCTTGCAAAGGAAGATACTCGAGGACAAGCGGTGGATAAAGGATCTATCCATAGTACAAAGGCTGCACAAGTCCATCAACAGCAGGGAGAAACGATTCAAATTCCCTCTCAGTCACCACCCGCAACTGAACAGCCCCTGGCCGTTAAGGCCATTGCAGTACGACAGGACGCGAAGGGTTGTAGTACCTCCGCCCCGACGAATCCGCCACGACAATCGCAGACGAGCAGCGCCGCCACTGCCGGCATCCCGTGTGCAGAAAGTGCTACTCCACAACAAAGTAATCCTAATGGCCCAACAGCGCCGACGAGGATCTCGCAGAGCAATCTACAGCAACAGCTTCCCGTGGGAGGAAAGACTGAAGCCGGTGCAGCAACAGGGAACAAGGGAAGTAGCATGGGACCTACAGCTGGAACTGCAGCTGTCGCAAAGAATGGGGGCAAGCCAACCACAGGCAAGTACTTCAATACCTACCCCGCACCGCACTACAGCAACTACTACGGCAAGAATAATAGCAACATGATGAACATCAACATGAATAACAGTCATGTAGGCAATAGTGGGTTAGCAGGTGGTGCAGCTACCGGTAAGGGACTACACAACGGTGGTGCGACACCGCGCCATGGCACTGGTGCGCAGCAACATCTCCCAGGACAGCATCAAAGTAGTGCGCCAGCAGCACACCCTCATGGGAACAACAGTTCCTACAACCAACAGCAGCATCAAACCGCGCACAGCCAGCGGGGAGGGAACACGACCACGGGAGGTAATCATGCTACTGCTACTAATGCACCACATCATGGCGTCGATCCATCTCTGCAAGGCAGCAATAATCCCGCCGGGGGAGGAGCTTCTCCCTCTCCACACAATCTGTTCGGATCGTCCTTTCCTTCGAGCTTTTCCGGATTTCACCGTCCGCACCACCCGCCACACATTGGTTTCGGAGACACGTCGCTCAACAAGAAGGACATCGTGGGTCAAATTCGCATGTTCAACCCGACCAAGGGTTGGGGCTTCATTGTCTGCGCCGACTACAACGGCGACATCTTTCTTCATACAAAGCACATCGTTCGCCCGCAGCGCATTAACGGCCAGTTCGTAGACAGTCCGCAGTTGGCGCTTGAGTATAAAGTTTCGCTTTGCCTCGCTGTAGATAGTAGGGTGACTCCATCGAGGACTCCCCGGGAAGTTCCTATGGCGGTATTTAAATCATTAAAGTGGCACCAGATGTCCTGAAATGATGTATCTAAGTACATAAAATAAATCAACAGCTACATCGGGCATTTCAATCATTCTTCTGCGTCTGAGCACCGGTGCATGGTCCGGTTCGACCTGGATTTTAGTAACGAGCGGCCGCAGGCGCTGAACGTCCGGTTGCAGTTGGAAAATTTTCACTTGATGGCGGCCGGCAAGACCGACCCCGTGACGGTGGCCCGTGCGGAGCTGCTCGCGAACGCGGTTGCAAGCGCAAATGGGGGGCCAAGCGCGCGTCGAAAGCCGTTCTACGAGCAGTGGTCGAAAAATCATGCTTTTGCCGCGGCGCACCAGGCGGTGAATGCGGCCGCGGGCCTGAATCTGCAGAACGCGGCGGGGACAGCGGCAGCAGCATCGGCGCTGACCATGCCGGGCGTAGCAGCCGGTCATCTGGGCGGTTCCGTCAGTGCGGCGGCCGCTGCGGGCGCAGCCGCGGCGGCGGCCGGCGCGGGGAATCCGTTCGGTGCGAGTTCCGCGAATCCCTACGCAACCCCGGCCGGCATGGCGGCCCTGAATCGCGCGGCGGCAGCCGGGCAGCTGTGCGCAGCCGCGGCGGCGGGACAAACCCCGTTGGGTTCTTCCCCCTACAATGCCTTCGCAGCGGCCGCTGCGGCCGCGGCACGGACTCCGCATCCGAGCACCACTCCCGCGAACGCGTTTGCGTCGATTTTGTCTCAACAACCTCCTGCTGGTTCAGCCGCCTCCGCCCAATCCAGTGCCAACCCCTACGCTTCCTTCAGTGCCGCCTCTCCGCTGTCCGCAACCAATCCCTACGGCCAGCATGCATCCGCTTTGGCGGGTTTTCAACCGCCTGGCGCGGCAGGAGCAGGCGCCGCCGCGTCCTTCTCCGGGCTGGCCGGTGCCGCCACGGACCCGTTGACCGGTGTGCCGCTGTTTACTGGGGCAACCGATCCACTGACCGGAGTGCCAACGGGGACTGAACACGACTACACCGCCAATCCGTGGGCCGCTGCCGCGGGTATTCCGGGCTTCGATGCAACGGGCGCTGCAGGGGCGGACCAGTGGGCGCACCTGGACATGAGTATGTGGAATCCGGTACTATGTCTTGTCTTAATCATATCACTTCGTTCATGATCGCACCGCTTCTTTCCAGAAAGTTGTTTAGCGTGGATAAATCCATTCGGGTTCTTCGCATATGTCCATAATGACAATCCGAAACCTACGAGGAAAACAAGACGACGAACTCTACACCACAGACCGCCGGCTTCGACCTGCTATTCAATCCGTTTTTGAATCCAGTCTCTACTACGGAACACTATGGCTTTTCGTCAACGAGCGACGGGACTCAAAACATTGACTTCGCATCGCTGGATGCCACTGCTGCGGCAGCTGTCGGCTTAAGTACTCCTTTAGGGAAGATTTTCATTTTGTGTAAACTTACTTATTTTGAATTTGATGAGGTGAGTTCTTTTCGAGGAAGACGAAAGCGAAGCGTCATTTGTTGGTGCAGGGTTCAGGAAAGAAAAAGCGACGATGGATTATGCCGGGAGTCGAAAGGAATTCAAAAACAAAATCATCTCAGCCGACGCCGCTAGCGGCCTCCCGGACGTTGCTGGCACAGCTGGTCAAGATTCTCGATTTGGGGCGAAAACAGCGGCAGGAAATCAAGCGTTTGCATTCAATAAGGTACAGCTTCTACCTGCAGCTACGAGGCTGGAACAAGTGGGATGCTGTTGAGAATGAGGATCATGATTTATTTCTTCGTATGGCATCAAAGAAGCCAAAAATTCGGTAGTTGATGCAGTAGAAAATCGGCACGACTTGTTCTTCAATTGATCCAGGTGGCTTCTGGGCTCTTCAATCCGACGTCCAAGCTAGAGAATTCGTGCGACAAGAAAACGACGCTGACGGGCTCTCCCGTATCAAATGTAAAAATGTCTGGGTCTGGAAGATTCCAAACTTGTAATGCGCATTTTAGAACACAGAAAAATCTCTCATGCATAGGTAGCAAAAGCTGCCCACTTTCTGTCACCAAAGTGGGGGATTTCTCATGCGGGTGCGGCATTGCGGAAGCTTCTCGAAACCTGTGATGCTAGAGCTTCCATGCCAGACCTTCTGTGTCATGCAAAAACCGCATGACTCTTCCAGACCCAGACATTTTTGCATTTGATATCCCGATACGGTGAACAACTGCAGTCTGTTGTCCAGTCCCGACCGGAGCGGATCGCCGGAGAGTAGCGTGTACGGGGCGGGGTCCAGCATCGACGGCAACGGCATCGCGCCCACGCCGCCCCACGGCAGCGGTGTGGGAATGTTAAACCAGCCCGCCGGCGCGGGTAGTTCTACTTTGGCGACCGGGCGGAACCAGTCCGCTGCTACAACTGCGCTCAGTGCGGCGGGGGCTACTGGCACGCCCAATATGGCTTCCATCGGAGCAGGTAGTTCTTCCACTACAGCGACGTCGAGTCATGATCCAGCTGTAGCCGCTACTTCGGTAACCAGCAGGGTGTCGAGTGCAACAACGTCGCACTCCGGCACCACTGCTGCTACTGCAGGATCAAGTACTAGTGCAAATCCCACCACCCCAGCGAAGGTGATACCACCCGCCCCGGCGCAGCAACAGCTCTCGTCGGGACTTCTGCACAACGTGACTTCTGCGCCCGTGACTGGGAATAATGCCATGCAAACCCCAGGGGGAAGTGTCGGAATGGTCGGCACTTCTTCCGCTCTGGACCTAGCCAGGCAACCGAGCCTGACGATGCAGGACCCGGGTGTGCCAGTGTGGTCCGCGTCGGCAGGCTCGTTTCCAGTACTGCTTGGTACCACGCCAGGGTTGCTTGGTGCCGCGCCGCAGCTCGCTTTTCCGGACGGTTCGGTGGGACCCTACGATCATGTCTATGGAACGTATGGTGCAGGGTCGCTGGGTGGAGCGTGATACGGTATTTAGGTGCAGGGTGCCAAGTACTTTGTTTCCTCCAAAGTAAGATGGGCTGAAGATGAATCGTATCAAACCTCTAAGTACCGAGGAGAAGAAGTGGAGCTTTCTAGGTTCTGATGACATGCTTGAGCATGTTGCTTTGATGTGTAACCGTAAGTCTATGCAGCATCGAGGTTCTTTACCAAAAAAAACAACAGGACACGGCGCGGCGAGCTCGAACGCAAATTGAGACCACACTTGAGAATACAGGACCTGCAGCCCGGCATGCTTTACTGTGGTGCAACAATGAACGGAGTGACGAAATGCCAGCAAGAGCTTCTGTAGTTTCTCACATCTGCTACTTTCTTGACTTGTAGCCGTAGCGGTTTAGTGTAATGAAATGGAAGCGCTAAAGACAAGAACGAAGGTCGGGACGCTGTTCTTCACGCCATCGAAATATTTTATGATTTTTGTACACTACAGTTGCTACAGAGCTCACTCACCGCTAGTACACTCACGTTCCACGATCGACTTCGAAAATTTTGTCTTCCACCTTGTGTTTATTTTACGGTGCCCCGACATCAAAATTGCCCTAGCTAGTACTTTTCAAGTAATGTTGTATTGTTTTAGATGAGATTTCCGAATCTTTCTTCAAGAAAAAAATTGTTTAGTGTTATTGGACAAGGCTACGAAAAAATAAGAAACGTAGAAGTAAAACGATTAGCATACGTTCCACAAAGTGCGGAGCCTTGCGTAGGAATCAGTGAGAAAGTTCCTATTCTCGGACTCTGAAGGATAAGTGCAGCATCTTTACAGACGGGAATGGGAGGGAAAAAAGACAACTTCAGCTTCGCAGTAAGTACAATGAAAACGACACTACACAACAGCAAATAGCTACGTGCTTTGTGGAAGATGGATTCACGACGAGCAATTGAATATTTTGTAGAACTTCGCAGATATTTTCTATTGCAAGTTCCGATCGATGCCTGAAGCAATTTTTCTGTTTCATGCAAATAACGCTACGTATTGCAAACCTTTTCATTTTCTTTTTCAACAGGTTTTGTGGTTCTGATACATTTTTCGAAATAAAACTTTTCAATCTGTTTTTCCCATACAAAATCCAAACCGCGTCTCTGGCCACGCCAAATTTTCCGCCGACTATCCTCACACATTGAGCCGGTAAAGGGTGCACCAGTTGTTCTCAGGTAATCGGCGCAAGGAAAATCACAACATTGTTCGAGCTTTTTTTCGCTTTCACGGCTTTTGTGCGTCGTGTATCGGTCCAGCACGAGAAAAAAATATCTTGAGCGTGTTGCTTTTGCTTGGCTGCCCTGGTTTTAAGACTTTTTGCCACCGCGGCACGACGCAAACAAATTTACTTTCATCTCGTGGTCCTGTCTAAAAATAAGAAGTGAAAGATCGAACGAGGGGGTTTTCATCAGGAGACGTAAAAGATGGCGGACCAGTACGTGGCTGACAAAGCCAAAGCGGTCGGCCCCGGTGCCGTGGGTGGCCTGCTGTCGGATCTGAAAATGATGGCAGCTTTCGAGAGCGCAGCGCAGTGGGACGAGGCAAAGTTGATGGACAAGGCTTTCTCCGCTTTATCTTGGGAGGACCCGCTTGTTGCGTCGGCATTGCCAAAGTAAGTACTAAAGAGCAGATTCACTTTTTGTATCAAGATCATGCTTCCCCTCCCGCGCTGCAGTAGCAGCACTCCTAGCTAAGAAGTACATTCGTAGTTGTGTAGTCTGTTGTGCCAAGAAACAAAACGCAACAAATGCAACGTGGCTACTAGGCTACATTTAATCCTAACATGATTTATTCTATTCGTGCACGTGTAACAGGTACCTTGCGTCCTCGGGGGCGACCCGATCACGGGTCGACTACGCCTTCAACGCCCTGGTGCCAAAGCCACCCAGCGTGACGGACGGAAAGCAAGCTATGATGCACACCTGGCTCAAGGCACGGCTCTTCGCAATCGACTCGCAGCAGCCCTTCGAGCTCAGTCCCTACGGCAGCAGTTGAGTAGTCACTTGGACGGTGGTGCTGCTAGTGATGTTTGCAGGTCGTGATTTTAGCGTTTTGTGATGCGAGGGCCAGCAATGGTTTTGCAGCCTGGACTCGTGTTAACCGTGATCGAACTGGAAATAGCTTCCTTGAAAGGCCTGTGCACTGATGAACTATATTACAAGTTCCGTTTGAATACTTCCGAGCGCCGAAGCGTAACGGTGGCCTTGTGAATCAGGGGCTCGGGAACGCTGGTCCGGTCGGAGGTTCGATGGAAAGTCTGTTTGTGCCATGCATCGCATGCGGACAGGAGAGATCTTAGGTTTTTACGGCTCGTGCCGGGGAGTTTGATTGACTTTTTTCGGCAGGGCCAAGAGGTCGGACACGGATCAATTTATGTTTCGGACCCTGTTTTACTGCTCTAGGTCTAGCTTTGATCAAGCAATAGCAAGCTTCAATTTTGGGATTTCTCCGATGCTGGAGCTTTGTGTTTTCTTGAGAGACGCAAGAGGCTGGGCCTCGCAATCGTGTCGTAACTCACTAAGTTAGTAGCACCAGCAGTACTCCAGCAGCAGGGTAGCTAGTAAGTTTCTTGTTTCAAATACGACCTGGCAAAATGATTTCCATTTGGTCGGAGCTCCAGCCGGCGAAGATGCCAAAAATTCTGGTGTGGCTACTGGCGATTTCGTCGCTTTTGCCTGTAGTGCCACGAGTTCGGGCCGCGAACTATCTGATCTACGACTGGCATCCGATGTTTCAGGCGGGGTTATCTCTGACGCAGAAAATAATGGAGGATAAGGAAAAGAAGCAGGAAAATCGAAGCAATCGGACTGATTCAACAGACCGAGCTTCGCCGCAGGGGAAGAAAGACCGACTGACGCTTCTCGTCGAAGACATCTACAATCGGCGGTCACAGATGAAGTCACGCACCTTTTCCCAGGCACTAGATCCCTGCCGACGCACGTTCGGGAAGCCGTACATTCTAAGTCTGCGCTCCGGGGGACCCGCACCGGCGAAGACTCTGAACAGCAAGGCACTTGAGGCGTTTTTGGCGATTGAAGACAGGTTAAGACAAGATCTGCAAGAGCTGTTGCCACATCCAACGGTTGCGTCCTCGTCCTCGGGCGGACTGGATATTAGTAACGAGACCCGCAGCAGCGTCGGAGGGGACAGCGAGGAAGATAGTACTACTAGCGCTTTTTTTTTCAATAAAGGCAAGCCCCAGCCTTTCTTGGTTTATGACAACATAATCTTTGAGCGGGTGGAGCCGGATGGATACTACTGTCCCGTGGTAAAGCCGGACGTGTCCACCTATCACCGCCGGTACTACAACAAGTACGAACAGTTCCGGGATATTACCGCGGAATGCAAGAACCCACGACAGCTCCCGGTCAAGCTCGTCGTGCAGGCGGACCGACAGATTTTCGAGGAACAGGACGCTTTTTCCGAGTCCGCCCCTGGCGCAAAGGAAAAAGTAGAAGAGGAAAAGGTCGATGTCCCGATACCCGGGTCGTCGAGCACCTCCGCGTCTTCCAGTGCAACTACCAGTGCAAGTGCACGATCGCATGGAATAAAAACTGGTGATCCGAAAACTACCAAACCGGAGTTGAAGCAACTCGAACAGGCGGGGAAGCACACTCACCTGGTTACCATGGACGATAACAGCGGAAATTACGTGGCGTCGCTGCTTCCCACGTCGGTGCAATCACCCGGCGGCGGTGGAAAGAAGCGGCAGCTGGACCAGGATTTTTCCTCTGACGCCGAAGCGAAGGAACAGGTCGATCAGCGCGCGGTCTTGACGCTCCGGGTGCCAAGTTTGGGAAGAAATCTACTGGTGGACCACACACCGGATCTAGACTTGCTGGAAGGCGGGCGGACTTGTTTGCAAACGCAGTTTGCGGATTTTTTCGCCGACCAGGACGTCTGTATTCTGTTCGGCGGGAAGCGAACCCCCACGGTGTGCGCGCAGAATATGCCGCAAAAGATCTATTACGTGCCGTTTCTGATGTTTGCCTTCATCCACTCGCGGGAGGAGTACAAGTACTTTCTGGAACGAGACCTCCCGAAAGTCAAAATCTCGGTCGCTCCGAGCTTTCTCGACATGGGGTTTTTGGAGTACGTCGCTGGGGTGCCAAACTACGTTCACGAGCAGCAGATCTGGTACACGAAGCGGTACCTGCTGCAGCAAAAACAAATCGAAGAGGAATTCAAAAAAATGCACAGCGACGACGTCTGGCGGCCGAAAAAGGGAACGTTGCCGCCGAAGCGCAACAACTACGTGCTGATCGGCGGGCGGAAGCTCCCGGGAAGCCACGGCGGCGGGTCCGGCGACGAGGCGGTGCTGGCGTTTTTGCTGAATCGCGTGGGGCGTATGGTCACGGAGTTGCAGAGGAAGCTGCGTAGCTACTACAAATCCAATCTGGCGCTCCAAAGACGGAAGGAGCAAAAGTCTACTGCCGCAGACGGTGGACGACCAGAACTATATCCTAGTAGCACTACTTCTGCTCCTGGAGATGTAGTTCTTGACACCAGCAGGCAAAAAGTACTAGAGGAGCAAGCTCAACAAGTCGACACGTCCGTGGAGGGAGCCGCGCGCGACTGCTTCTGGCCCCGGTATTCGAATCCGAAAGACTACGAGGAGATGGGATGTGATATGACGATCACGAGTATGTTAGAGGAGTACAAGGAGGACCCAGTGACTGTGAGAAACGACGATTTCCTGTGCAAGGTCTCGTGCGGGCGCACTGCGCTCGAGCCGAAGCATGGGCTGAACGACTTCGCGGAGTGGGCGGTCGCGAGTCGGCAGAGCAGCGCGCCGCGCAACCCGAAAAGAAAAGGCGGCGTTAAAGGCGCTGGGGACATGGGCATGGCGGCCCAGGGCGTCTGTACGACCTTCGGGCCCTTGCTCTGCCGGGAGTATAAGCTCGAGGAGAGCACGGTCATCCGGCTATCGCAGACGTCTGACGGGCGGAAGGTAGTTTCGAAGCACCTGCCTCTGGAAAGAACGCAGCAACTGCACCCAATTTCATTGGAGGACATAGACAATCCCGAAAAGGAGAAAATAAGGCGTGGCCACGCAGCGGTGGCACCTGCAACTGGAGACAAAGCAGCCTATTATCCGCCGTCAACAAGATTAGATGAAGATGACACTTTGAAAAAAGGCCAAAAAGAACCGGAAGATCATCAACGTGTCGACACACCGGCAGGGCTCCCGGACGAGGATCGCGACGGCGCCCATTGGCCAGTTGTCGTCGAAACGTTTCCGCGACACTTTGCGCAGAAACACTTCTCCTTCGAGCAAATTCTGAGGGATGTGAAGGCGCTCGTCGCCTTTCCGTACAGCTCTTCCGCCTTGTTTTGGTCGGAGATGCACGCGCTGGGCATACCGATTTTCATTCCCTCGGTGGAACTTTTGTGGCAGTTCCATTTGAATGTGCAGGTCGCCGCGAAGTACAGCCACGTCCGGAACGATTTCCGGTTCATGGCCACGCCGTTAGATAGGAATAAAATCGACAAATTGGTCACCGACGGCACCCTGGAACTTGTCTCCGACTGGGGCAAGGACACGTCGGACCGGGTGGAGCTGGAGAGAAATCCACCCATTGAACAGGAAACAAAAAGAACCACGGCTGCTAGTACGAGCGCCTCTGTTGAGCAGTCTACTGAAATATCAAACTCGGGCACAAATGAAATCGGAACAGTGAAGGAAACCGAGAACTACGTCATTGCGAATCAGGAGATGTTCTGGTTCCCGCATCAGGAGCGCGCTTTTGCCCACACGCCCGAGCAGCACGTGGTCCGGAAGCGACATAGAGACATCATCCTATCATACACAAAAAAGCAGGCAGGCCATATGTGCAAATGCAAAATGAGGTATATCTTCTCAGCAGAAAATGAGCAATCTGCCATGGGCGAGCCCATAGGTTGCTGCTTAGGATATGCAGTGCAGATTTTTCTGTGTGTAGCATTGATTATGACCACCCGCCTGCTTTTTTCTGTGGGATACATCCCGGGGAACCGCACACAGCGCATGCAGTTTGCCCACGCGATTTGGATGCGCGGGGGAGAGAAGTACGACGTGAAAATCAATCGAGTCGCCAACAAGAGAGAACGAGAGCCCAGAAAAGCGGTCCTTGGGATCATTGCGAACGAAATCCTGGCTTCCATGCACCCCGCCGGGAACACAACCAAGGGTTTTGACGGGCATTTTCCTGAGAACGAAGTGGTTCTGTCGGACGAGGATGTGGACTTGAAGCCACACGTAAACTGCACACGGTTCTGCCCTCAGTCGCCCAACATGGCCCCCTGGCGCATGTTCGAAACGAAGCGGGCGTTTTACTACTGGTTGGGAAAACTAGATTTGTACCACTGGGGCCCGCACGTGCGCACCTTCCACAACGTGTCGCACCTGTTCTCGATGATCAAAGACCACGAGCTGTTGGACGCGATGCGCCGCCGCCAGCTGCAGCGGTCGACAGAAATGAACGACCGAGCGGAGCACGTGTTTCGCACCGCCATGGGCGAGATTTTAGGTTCTTCGGAAGGGTGAGGACGAAAATGGAAATCATATTGTCCGCCCTGCAAATCATATTATTTTATCGATCCTTCGGGTTTATTGGAATCGTAGTACGAAAACGAATCATGATCATCATCTCCATGCATAGGAGTGCGCATTTTATCTATTCACTCAGGGAAGTTCTTGCCTCACACAAGTTGTACAAGTTGCCTCACACAAGTGAAGAGCGGCAAATTCTATAAATATTACCGTGGTGGCTGTGGCAACGCAGCGCCAATTCAAGCTTGCAAACGCCAATGCGTGATGAAGATAGTGACATTGAGAGTGAAGACAGAAACAACAATCTCAAATTGCATAGGTGCATGCGTGACATCACTACAACCGGCTGCGCAGCACGGACTCGCTGCGTGCTTCTTTGTTTTGTGGATATGAGGATGAAGTTTTAACGACTACTCGAAACCATTGATCTCCCGATTCCAGCTTTTCGATCTCCAAAAACGCATTTCGTTGTTAGTGCTGATGATGATGATGAATTCCTCTGTCTTCCCAAGATCGTTTCCACTTTGATTGTTTTATACAGCGACTCGTGCCCTCTAGTCGTCATCGTCTGGTGACAGACTTCAGGTCCAGCATGGTTCTCATTCAAGACCTGCTGTTTCTGATCATCGCGATTTTCTCTTTTGCTTTCGCGATCACCATCCAATGGTTTTTTGAGACGTAATTGCGCTGTTTTATGCTTGTAGATTGATACGCTACTACAGCACGTTTGTATTGGTATTTTCAGAAAATTATAAACAAGCTTAGGTAGTCAGTTATCCCGACAACCAATACAACAGTTTCAACGAACAAGAATGGCTCCTCCCCAGCAGCAATTGTTTGCTCGTGGCGGCGGCGGTGGGTCGTCTTCTTCCTCTATAACGGCAAAATTGGTATTCGTATTCGAAAATAGCAAAAAAATTTTCCCCCGCTCAGTTCACTAGTGCAGACGCCTCCGCCTGCGGTGCCTGTTCTGCCGCCTCCAGCTTAACGCCCTCGAGCGACGCGCCGTGCCTGTCAGTGTTCGAGGAAGCCGCCGGGGGGTGGCGATCGATAGTGCAAGCGCTAGCCCGAGCTCGTGGCGGCGCTGGATAGCCGAAAATGGTGCGCGCCTGGCTTAAGGCTTTTTGTCGGGCGGCAGGTGCCTGGCGGCCTGTCCGTGTCAACTGCTCTCGGCGTAGCTGGACCGCCGGCACATGGGTCGCGCACCTCTCGAAAATTTAGTGCCGACGAACCCAGCGCACCCTATGTGGCACTACCTGGCTCCCAGATTCCCGGGCCGCCCTACCTGCACCACCCCCATCAGCTGCGCCGCGGAGAAGAGCTGGCGCACACAGGCGCTGAGGCCTTCGCCTACGAAAGTGCCTCGTTGCATTTTTGGCCCGGAAGCAATATCTGTGGCCGCGGCCAAGCGTTCACAGGAAACGGAGGCCTCGGACAGATTTTCTTTCGCGCAACTTTGGTATTCAGCTGCCCAAGATTGCCCCCAAGAGAGGGGGGTCAAATGTCGCTGAATACCAAAGTCGGAATTTCCAGTGAATACCAATTTCCCATCGTGTTTGACTTTGGTATTCAAAAAAAGCCGGCGTTTTTTGCTCGGCATCCGGAAGGGCAAAAATCCTTTCCCCGAGTCATCAAATTTGCCGGTCCGCGAGACCGGCTGCTGCAAATGCTCCGCTTCCTCTGAACGCTTGGCCGCGGCCACAGATGTTGCTTCCTGGCCAAGAATGCAAAGAGGCACTTTCGTAGGCGGAGGCCGCAGCGCATTTCTGCGCCACTTCGCCTCCGAGGCGCAGCTGAGTGATGGGCGTGGTGCCCGTAGGGCGCCCCGAGAATCTAGGGGCCAGGTAATGGCCCATGTGGTGCGCTGGATTCGTCGGCACGAAATTTTCCGGAGGTGCAGGACCCATCTGCCGGCGGTGTAGCCACGCCGAGAGCAGCTGACACGGACAAGCCGCGAGGCAGCTGCAGCCCGTCAAAAAGCCCCAAGCCAGGCGCGAGCCGTTTTCGGCTATCCAGCGCCGCCACAAGATCGGGCCAGTCATTGCGCTATCGTTCAGCACCCCTATGCGGCTTCCTCAAACACCGAGAGGCGGGGCGCGGCCGTCGAGGGCTTTCAACCGGAGGCGGAAGAACAGGCACCGCATGCGGAGGCGTCTGCACTAGTGATCTGGGCGGGGGGAAAAATTTTTGCGATTTTTGAATACGAATACCAATTTTGCCGTTATATCCTCGCGGGAGAGCAAGAGCGTGAAGCAGTTCCACTGCGGTTATCTTCCCCACCGGATCAGCACGGGGCCGCTTTTGAACGACGGTCACACACGACTGTTCGCCGTTTCCAGCTTCTCGGACGCCACTTCGCAGAAGAACCAGATCCAGGTTCTGGGCTTTGACGATCAGGGCACTTTTCACGAAGTGCTCGGTTTTGGGTGTTGCTTCCCAGCGAATAGTCTCGCGTGGTGGTCGAACGCCGCTGGAGATGCAAGCAGTAATTCGATCCTGCTATCCGCCTCAGATTGTGTGCGCCTGTACAGCGTCGGACCCGAAGCACTGGAAAACGAGGGAGCAACGGCTGTGCGCGAACTGAAGCACAGTCACGGCCAGATCAGCCAGTTTTGCGCACCGGTCACGGGCGTTGCAACCTCCTCTGCGCCGACGTACGGACCAAATCCCAATGCGAGCATGGTACAAAAACAGACAGCCTGCTTTTGTGACTCTGAGCCATTATATATTGGCATCCGAGTCCTATCACGACAGATGACGAGTTACTGGTGTAGTTGTGGAAGATGTTTGAGTGATCGTCATTCTCTGAAACCTGGCAGATTTTTGCATTGTGTGCTGGAAATTCTCGATTATATCGAAACACCTCAGACTGCTACTGCGGCTTCGTGTGACATCCACGGTTATGTGTATGTTTGGGACTTGGAATACGGGAAGCAGATGTCAAAGCCAATCGAGACCGGAATGCCACTATACGATATCGCGTTCGACCCCACAACAAGGTAAGTGCCTGCAAAGAAAACTGATCGCAGCTGACTGCTGAGTAATCTTCTAAAGCGCTTTTGTGTAAGTAGAGCCGCAGTGAGAAGTACTTTGCTGTGTGCTTGACGAACGAAATCCTCGTGTCAACAAAGCAAAATGCGCTATCAATCAACCTCAGGAGTCACATCGCGGTAGCCGGTCCAGGACAGATCGGGTTGTATGACATCCGGGAGCCATCCAAGGGGCTTTGCCTGATTGACCCACCCCCCGATATATCAAGTGTAAAAATGTCTGGGTCTGGAAGAATCATGCTGCTACTGCATGACACAGAAGGTCTGGCATGGAAGCTCTAGCATCACAGATTTCGAGAAGCTTCCGCAATGCCGAATCCGCATGACAAGTCCCCCACTTTGGTGACAGAAAGTGGGCAGCTTCTGCTGCCTATGCATCAGAGATTTTTGTGTGTTCTGAAATGCGCATCACAAAGTACATCCTTCCAGACCCAGACATTTTTACGCTTGATACGATAGCCACGCAGCCGGACCGGGCCGTCTGGCCTGGGGTCGCGATCTCCTAGCGGCCACGTGGTACGGAGCGGGAACGCAGTTTGGGATGTGCGTGTACAATCTTGGTCTTGTTGCTTTCACTTTCTTCTGCGTTCTTCTGGCTCCCCTTGCCATAATAGAATTTTCCGTCCGACAATTGTGCCACAGTCAGCTTCTCAGTTCTTGTACTCCGTGCCATATTTTTTTTGTTCTATTGCCTGACATCAACGAACAACTGACAGGTACGACCCGCGCGCCTGTGTGAATAGCGTGAACTTCCGAAGTCCGTGCGTATCAAGTGCGGATGGAGACGCGCCCGTGGAGAGCGTTTGGATGACCAGTTTGCCGCTGGAGGAACTGGAGAAGGCTCCTTCTCCGACCCACCGGGACGTGCGCCAAGCGCGGCAAAGGACCCTCGTATCGGGACAGGAAAACAAAATGATGAACACGGTGCGGATGCGGCCGGCGGACTGCAAAATGGAGAAAGGCACCGGTATGAAGTATGACATGCCCGCCCCCATCACTGCCGTGGCTGTGCTCTCCCTCCCGCGCACCGGCACCAGCGCGATCATCGGCTCTGCCGACGAATTCATCCGCATTGCGCCTATAATGGACGATAATTGAACAAGGCTGTCGTGTATGATTTCGGATAAAAGGAAGAGACCACCAGATCAGATTTTTTTCCCAACTCGGACACGGAAATATGGAGCAAATGAGAAGTGGTCCTTCCATTTGATTCTGTAGCCCGCAGGTCCTCAACCTGGCTGATTCATTCTGTGTTCTCCGTTCGCACCTCTTAGTTTCATGGTTGTTCAGGAATATCAATATGTACCATTCCTGTTGCTTAGTACTTACCCTCTTGCCGCTACTTGGCGGTCTATTGTTTTCGTACGTTGTTAAGCAGCTGCAGAGATAGACTGTACTTATTGAAGGCGCGCTTTATCTTTACCCTCCTCATCGTCTTTGTCGCTGTTGTTGAATGGTACAGTATCTATGTTTATGAATTTGAATTTCATCTCCATCTCGTGAAAAAAACAAAGAAAAGCCAGCCGCTCTCTTAGACAAAGCAATTCTATCTCGTTTTCGTACACTAAAATAACCTAGCAGCCGGTCGCGGCGATGGAGCAGAGCAGCGACGCTCCGACGGCGCACGCGGCTGTTTTCGATGCAACGCCCGCTGCTCCGCGGGAACATCATAATAGTGGTCCTACAACTAACACCGAGGTGGGTCCAGCTATTCCCACCATCCACGTGTCGCGCGCGCCGTCCGAGCGTATTTCGTATGCGCCGTCCGATGTGAGAGGGGTGACAATTGCGGACTTCCGCGACACGGTGTATCCCTCAAATTACCGCATGTCTGCCATGCCATCCGAGATTGTTCACGTCACCAGCGGAGGCGCTGCTAGCCCCGGCGACAGCGGGGGCGAAGAGCTGGTGGTAGACGCAAAAACCTCCAATACTAGTGTGGCACTCGTCGACCAGAGTGCGCGGGAAACGCGGCAAGTGAGCAGCCGCGCTAGTTCCACCGTGTCGTCTGCGAGCAGTGGGGGAGCAGGCGGGAAAAAAAGGAAACCGGAAATGCCTTCTGTTGCCGGCGAAAATCTAAATCACGTAGACCATGTTGATGACGCAGCAATGGACACACTGGGAATTATGGATAAGCAACCACAGTCGCCCGACCATACCGGAAGCGAAGCCTCTTCTGGGGTGGCGGCCGATATCGGCTTGCTGGTCAAAAATCTGCACGAGCGACGGGACACGGACTTGCAAAAAATGCACACGGAGTGCGAGCGATTGCGAAAGGAGCTGGAAGAGAAAAATGCGGAGTTGGAGCATTTACGTGCGGAAAAACTGCTGAGTGCCGCTTTGTCGGGGGCTGACGGGGAGACGGCTGATTTCAAGGCGGACTTGGCGAGTAAGGCACAGGATCAGGTACTAAAGGAAAAGTTTACAGATGTAGTCGTGCACTCTGTTTTTGATTGAAGGTTTTTTTCCAATTACTTCGTCGAGCAGCTGCAGGTGGCACGCAGTCGCTACAGTCAACAACTTGAACAACAAACGTACAAACCAACCCCAACACCTTCAGCTTCGCGAACTTGCCTCTGCCAGCGCGAAGCGTATTTCGCACCTGGAAGAGGAAAAGCTGCGCGCGCGACTGGAAGGCGAGGAGATCCAGCGCAGTGTAAGGGAGCAGCTCTTGGAATTGGAAACCATGCGACTCCAAGTAGAGGAAACTGAGCACGAAAACCAACGGCTGCTGCTTAAAGTCGAGGCGCTCGAGGCTACAAGTAAGTGCTCCGGCTTCACATTTGTAAATGTAACAGATACGTGTTTCATCTTTTTCGGATGATATATACCGGTATTACAGGAGTCGTTCGATTTTCGTCAGAAACAAGTGTACAAGAACTCAGCATTTCCTTCTTTCGCTCGACAGCCGTCGCATCTTCTGATAAAGGACATAAGACGAGCAAGGGCACCCACTCAACGACCTCCCCTCGCAAGAAGACGACTTCCAAGGCAAACGGTGGGTCCCCCGCCTCCCCCGATCAAGCGCTTCGCTTGGAAAGGCTCACGCAGCGCTGCGAAAAAGCTGAGGAGTTGTGGAAACAGGCGGAAAAGCGGGGCGCGACACTGGAGGCGGCGATGCTGGAGTATCCAGGAAAAAACACCCGTCCACATCCAATTTGTCATGGAGAACATGCATAAATTGCAGTGTTTGTCATGCAAAAAATGGATGTGGATGGGTTTTTTTCCTGGATATGGAGAAGGAAAAGCACCACAAGAAGTTCTCGCGGAAGCTTGCTTTGCTGGAGAAGGAGAACGAGCAGTTGCAAAAACGCATTGAAAAACAAAACCGGACGGAGCTGCTGGTGGAAGATTTGCAGAAGCGCCTCGACAATAACTACAGCGCACTCGCGGTCGCGCAGCAGCATAATTCACAGAGTCCTTGCGATTATATCGTCGCAGGGTCAGCGGCGGCGCACAGTGCTCCTGCGGCAAGATCGCAGTCGCCGACATCAGGTAAAAATCCTTTGTGGCTCTCGACGGGACAACTTCGCTCTCCCCGCGAGTTTATCCCCCGGGACCGCGGGCGCTGGCCGGAGAATATCCAGCAAACGGAGCTGCTGCACGCGGAGCAGATCAAAAATCCGGAGAACAAGCAATACGCCGCGATTCTGGAAGAGAAGGAAACGTTACAGCAGCGTCTGCAGGAGCTGCAGTCCGCCAAAAAACTAAAGAGCGAGCTTGAACAGGGTGAAAAAGACGCAAGCGCAGCAGCAACAGCGACAGTTTCGATGAGGACCCCGCGAGACGCCGCCGTGCCGAGTTTCTACGTTTCGAAGACACCGACGACGGCCCCGACGTCTCCGGACGAGGACAATAATTCGACAAAGGCGCACGACTCCCGCCTCGGGCTGTACTCTCCTGATATTAAATCGTCGAAGCGCACCCGTTTTAACCGCAAAGCCGGGTTTCCCGCAAACTGCTTTTCTACTAATGAGCCCGGGTCATCTACTCGCGCCTGTAGCAGTGCGCCTGAGCAGGGTGGACCACGACGGCGAGAGAGAAGCAATAACCCAACGCCGGGGTTTTTGACCACTCCGACTGCGCGGGCGCGGACGCCAACGCCGACCGGCCGCGGGAGAACGAAAAAGGTACCCAGTCAAGAACGACGGCAACAGGCAACGGGTTCTACTGAGATGAATGGTCCACGAGGGAGAGGGAGTAGTGCGAAGAAGCCGCCGTTTTTGCTTGGTTCTGGCCGGAGCTACAGCAGCACCCCGATGTGCTCGCCGCGGGGAGTGTACGGTAATGTGGTCAGACAAGAGTTGATCAACGTTCCACCAGCGTCAGTGCTGCCGAGCAGCGACTACTTGTGGTAAAAAAGTCTGCAGTAATCATTGCACTTATCGTGCAAACCATAACCACACACGGTTTTGTTTCGGAGAACTCTCTATCACTATTTCACACTTCCAAATGAACGACTACCTCCACTACATTGCAAACAAGAGGAGACGAATGCCTTTTTCATGTGATGCATAGAAATAAAGAATTTTCAATTTTGCAAGCCGTCGCGAACCCATGAGTTACAAGTTTTCATGCCTAGGTTGTTTAACAGTGTGTTTTTGTTTTTGCTTTGCTGACAACTTTTCTTGAGCTTGGCGATGAGGAGCCGTTGTGAGCCTGTGTATTGTAGTGTATCCAATTCAAGTGGAGTGTTAAAAAACGAAGGCCCAAGAAGTTGGGCGTCGACGAGACAGCGGTGGTGTTGTTGACAAATGCCAATGTGAAAGATTGTTCCACCATCAATGTACTGACACTTGAGAACCCAGAACTTTCGCAACATAAACACGAAGGAAAAAAAGATCATCATCCTGTGGAGCGAACGTTATTTTGATGTTTGCCTTTTTTTTCTACGGCATGCAATTTAATGCGTCAAGAAGCCGGGCAGCTAATGTTCCGTGGATCCAGAAAAATAGCGAAACGATCTAGAGGGCCCTCAACTTGTGAAGTCGCCATGCCCAGTCAAGAATACGAGAAGGATCAAATAAAGAAAGACATCATACAAAATGGATCAGGATTGGATCGGTTCTTCAAGAAATATGTTTATTGATCAGGCATAAATCGAGGAAAAAATTTAAATTATAGAGCCTGTTCTAGGAGTAGAAAGATCCAAAGCGACAATTCATGAGGTGGCGGTCTCCTGATCAGCGTGAACAAAATCCGAAGCATCGGGTTTTCTGAAAGACACCTTTGATTTTCTTCTCACAGATTTTCGTCGGATGGTCCGTCCAAACCCAAACTGTTGTCCTCTACCCACTTTTATTTTGATTCTCACGACCCGGGCCCGAATAAATTTCATGTGAAGTAGAAGGACGCTAGCACCAGAAGTACTCCCACAGTATTTTGTTCGTGAGCAGTTTTCTGTTTGAAGGTTTAGAAATCAAGGTCGTAGACGAGTTGTCTGCGAAAGATCGTAGAAGTAAATTGGCACACCTTCCTGATCCCAGATGAAGATGGACCTGAAGATAAGAATGTGTATGGTAATTGACACCACCTTCTTCACCGCCTGTGCCCGTTCATCATTATCTCCCTGGCGACACGAAAACTAGAAATGAATCGGTCCAGCGAAGTAGGTGGGAACGACGAGTTGCCGCCTAGGGCGGGAGGTCTTCCCGTAGAAGTATGCGCAGATGCCGTCGCGGCCAAGGACGAGGACGGCCGACAGGAAACCGGAACCAATGTAGTTCATAATTTCCATAGGCGTGAACAAGAAGATCTAAATCATGTTGTCCACGCTCCAGCACTAAATACCGCTGTCGAGGAAGTGGATGTGGTCCACAATTTGCAGCCGGTCCCGATTATACTAAACACCCTGGAAGATGATGCCACGAATAATTTGCGGTCTTCCGCTTCACTCTCCGAAGGATCCACAACTGCAGATGACGAAGAGGAGTTTCAATTCGATCACGAGGAAGCAGACGAAACCTGGTATAATGATTCGAACCTAACGACGCCAAGAAATCTTGCTCAACATCATCAAAACGGCGCCCCTGGTGACGGCTCTGTCGGGGTAAGTAGAACTACGCCACCAGCACCACCAGCTGCTGCACGACCCTGTGGAGGTCCTCGTCCCGAAAAACCAATTGTTCCGCGGCGAGGAGCAAGCAGCTGCACATTTATTTCTGGTTCTCCTAGAAGCCCCAGTTTATTGACGACGCAAAAGAGCACCATCAGCACCAGCGTTCCGTCCTGCTACGACAGACGTCTGATCAACGCGCACAAACGCAGTCTGTCCAGATCCACTTCGGTGTCGCTGACCGAATCCTCCGACGCGAAGCCGCGGTTCCGCCGCGACCCCGGGGAAGCGCACGTCCCGCCACGTGCCAACGTGAAGATTGAAAAAGATTCAGCTGTCGTACAGCTCCCGGGTGGAAATAATGAGGAAGAGATCCAGGAGGACGCCGTTGTTCTTGACGATGAGCCACCAAATACCAGTAAATCGGACCGGGAATCCCCGAAGTGCTGTACCGTCTCCATTTCGTTGCTGCTCTGCGTCCTCGTCGTTCTGTCTTTTTCCGGGTTGCTGATCTATTTCGTCCAGCTAGCAAAGGATACCATGGCCGACCCGCTGAAGGACAATCACACGACGCCCGATGTCATCGTGCCCCCGTACCGGAAGTTTTTCCGCGTGTACCCGGATCTCAGTCTGCAGCAACTCTCCGTGGTCTTGCTACACGAAGATCCCAGTGTGTACCTCCCGCAACCAGACCTCGACGACAGCGACGCCCACCTGGTGCTCGCCATGGCAAATGCGGACTTCCAGTTGAACCTTTATGAACTGCAAAAGTATCGTACTAGTAGTAATTGCAATACAAATTAGCTCAGCATGACAAATGGAATTTGTCATGCTGTTTTGCCTTGGGATAGATTTGTAAATGCATAACTGCGATTACTACGAGTGCGATACTTTTGCACAGGATAACCTGCCCGCGGTGCCGATCCAGGGCACGGCTGACGTGAACAGCGCCAGCGTATACGGTGGGGACGGCTCATTGGCGGGGAACGGGGTTTTTACAACAACGTCGAGTCGCCACGACCACGGGGTGCGCCCGACGTCGCTGCGATTAGGATTCTTGGGCGTTGGGATTGATGCTGGTGTGGCCTCGTCACAAGATGGAAACAGTAACGGGAGTGGTACTACTACAAATGGCGGACAAGGAGCATCTTCGCAACACCAGGTGGCCTCAACTAGTACGGAGCTACTTTTGCCAGTGTGGCAAAATCTCATGGCGTCTCGCTTGCCGATCGTCGAAATAGAGGCAGACGTAGAGGACAAGTTGCGCGTTGGCGAATTCAAGAGCAACCTGGTTGCACAACTCACGGAGGGCTTGTCGGTTCTACAGGAGGAGCTTTTCGCCGAAACGCAGAAGGGCGGTCAAGGAGCTGTTACCGCACGACCCATGCATTTGCAACAACAAGCGTTCGCTGGAGACTACTCGTCATCTCAAGGTATGGCGGATGGGATTGTGGCTACGCCACGTAGAAGGCGCAACGGTGGAGCCGTTTCCAGAACTACTGCGCAGACTTATCATCGGCGCAAGGCAACAAGCGACAACACTGATCGGCGCTCGCCGGAAAGTTCTTTTTTGCGGGAAAAAATCCTCGCCGTGTTGGATTCTGAGTTGCTGAAAGTGGTTTCGCCCGACACCAGCGGAGCAAGAAATTCTGACCTGCTCGTTCAGAAGTTGCGATTCGACTACATTTTTTCGCTCGTCGCGCTTCTGCAGAAACTCGTGTTTCGGCTGCAGCACTTGGGGTTCCGGTACGACACGTTGTTCGATGCCCCGGAACCGGTTTTGTCCAGTGAGAAGAGTGGCGAAAACAGAAATGTCAAGGAGGGGCTGCAGAAAGCGCTGGCACAAAACGATTTGTTTTTGGCCAGAATCATGGCGCGCTCAGATGGGTTGTGGGAGAAGAAACCCGTTATGAATTTCTACTTCATCGACAAAAGCGACGGGAGCGACCATGACGCTGGCGAACAACCACAAGCGGGAGTAAATGCAAAGGCTGGTGCTGACCACCCTGACGAGAACGAGGATCGTGGTGCCAACAATGAAGGCGGGGAAAATAATGCCCGCCCGTGTGTGGTCTGTGGCGCGAATAACTGTTACCGGGAAGAGGACAAGAGGACAGTGGACCGCTTTGAGTTGCGACTGCAATTGAGAAACATGCTGCTCCCAGGGGTGGGCGCTTCAGACGACGGGATAACGCCCGCCCCCGAGGACACCCTGCACGGCAAGTACAAACTCGTCGATTTGAGGGACAACGGTCAGGCAGCTGCTGCAGGAGACGGAGAGGGAGACGGCGGACCTTTTGTGATTAATCGTCGAATGGAACGAATGGTGAGCCCTGCAGTGACGAGCCTCGATGGTGCGTTCTCTTCAGCGGAGCATCTTCAAATGGTCCACAATACAACTACCCAGTTTCAACATGCTCCTCCTGTCTCATCGTCTTCGTCCGGCGGCGGAACAAATATCGCGGTCGAGAGCGTCGATTTGCAAATGCCCTGGACCTCTATCACTGTTGAGTGGTCAAAAACCGGGAATTTTGTCTTTTCCTCGCAGCAACACCACGAGTCTGCCGCGTCCTTGCTGCAGGACCTGGAGACCCACCGGCTTCGCCTCGGCGGCCAGATCGCGGCCTACGTACGCGTGTTTGCGGGCAAGGGGCGCGACACCGTTTTGCTGACGCGCCCGCTGCATCAGGTGGAGCTGGCAGAGATGGAAACGAACCTTGCGCACTGGCTGCGGACTTTGGACGTGTTTCTCTCCGAGAACGTGCTGACATCCGAGCCCGAAAGTGGTGGCACTACTACAACCGGGTTGCTGGAGAGCCGCATTGCCGTGTTCCGACAGGAAGGGTTTCCAGTGTCAGGGCGGATACCAGCAAATCTTTCGCTTTCAACAAATAATCACTATCAGACCTACACCGTCATAGCCAGGAGCGCTCCCATCCAGATCTCGAGGACGCAGTTCGATCGATTCTTCAACCGAACGGGGAACCAGGTTCTTGCGAACTTTTGGCGACCCAATGACGACGAGGTGATGCCATTCCTTCCCTACATTCGCGCCACGGCTAGCGAAGAAGCCATGGCGGCTGCCCTGAATCTCACAGACTACCTGCGCTTGTCACCCGACGACCGCGCTGCACATCACGCGGTACTGGATCCCAACTTCCTGATTGCAAAAAACGCGCGCATATTCGGCGTCTTACTTCCGTGTACCTGCACGAAAGCCGCAACTTGCGACCACACAGGCTCTACTGTCCCATCTTCAAGAGCCGGGTCGTCTGATCAAGAGGTCTTTGCTGGACCAGGACGAACTTCTTCAGCGCGCCCACTGCCTGTATGCGTGTTTTTTCGCGGCCTGACCGACATCGAGTATAAGCTTCCGGTTTTCTCGCCGGCTGGTGGTTCGACCTGGTTGCAACTGGCGGAGGGTGCTGGAGTGGACCACTCCACGCAGCAGAATCAAGTGTGGTGGAACGCAAGAACTGCATTGGAAGGCTTTTCTGAAGCGCAACAGCAAATGCTGGTCACCCAGTCAAACCAGAACGTCTTTGGCCGAACTGTCCCTGCTTCCCCCGTACTGGACGGATAAAAACTACCTGGTTAAATGTAAGAATGCGACTCTCGACGAAAAATACTTACTTCTAGAGGCAGCGAAAAAGTAGCGACGACCTCCCTTATATGTTGAATTAGTCTATCTAGTAGGTCTAGGTGAGCAAACATACCTAGCATTTTTGAAGATCATTCGTGCAGAATGTTATGAAACCACTTGAAGCACACAAGCACAACGTAGCTCTCCTTTCTTTTTCGGAGGACAGGAGGACGAAAAACAAATTTTGACCATGGTGTTGTGTACGATGAAAGAGTAAGACCCTTACAACAGATGGAAGCGAGGCAAATAGAGTATGCGAATGTTGAAAATGAAAGATTAAAAGTTTTTCGACGAATCCAGTAGGTATAGCTTCCCAATCCCAAGCAATTCCGAACCCGAAGTAATCTAAAACCCCGACCTGCTAGAAACACAAGAAAAAAATGCTATGGAAAATAGTAACCCTACCCGCAGTAAACGTAATTCGTAAAGACGATGAACTTTTCTTGCCCCTTTACACGATTGCGCAAGACGATTCACGCTTTTGTGGATGATGAACTTAGATGGAAAGTGCACACTTGACAGCACCATAGCATATTATTGTTTTGTTGCGCGGAGAACAGTTGAGGTCGGTCATAGCATTATCATTATGTCGGAATGCGAACGATCCCTAGGTTTCTGTGCTCTGCTGCCTCCATAATCACGGATGCGCCTTTTTTTCCATCGGTTTTCATTCGGTACTTGAGTACACATCTCGTCGTCTTCGGCCTAATATGCTACGAATTTCTGTGTCAAGCACTGCTGATGAAGAACAATGAATCCCTCTCCTCAAGCTCTGCTGAAGAACAATTGGAACGATCGGTTCAAGACCACAGGCAGATCAAATTCGGTCAGTCTAGTATCGCATTCGCAAAACATAAACGCTAACTTACAAAAAGAAAAACAATAACTTGCGCACAATATGACCCAAGCCAGGAGTTTATTTTCTGCCCTGGTTTTACTTTTAGTTTTATGGTACAAAAAGCTTTCTCGCCGCGAATTTTCTCCTGCATTTGCAATTGATTGTTCGTATATCATTTTCGCCCACTACCTCTCCGACTTCCTTGTTTTGTATTGAGCTGCGACACACGCAATATGGACCCTGATGAGGAGGAGGAAAACGCAGAGCCTCCGCCACCGCCTCCCCCACCTGAAGTATCAATTTGAAAACCGGCTCGGTACTGCATTATATCGCGTCCCGATCAGGGCACAGAGGGCTCTTTGCCATGCGGGATTATGCAGATGGTAGATTAAGATTTTGAAATGCATGAAGTGATAGTTGTGATGTTCTATGTATCGGTATAGCAAAATAAATACAACTTACCATGTGGAACTAGGCCCTGCTTATCGTACTATCCCTGACCGGGAAGATCGTACTCCTGCCGAGTCATTTTCATCTCGATACTCGTGGGAAACGCGCGATGTGCGCGATTTCAATTCGAAGTGGGCAACGGAGCAGATTCGCGCGCTCGACCTCGAGTATGAGAAGGAATGGGACGCGAAGCAGTTTCTTCCCGCGCCGCACAACACCGTGATCAAAGTCCCCTTTGAGACGGTGGAGTTACGGTTTCTCAAGCGCAGCGGCGGCGTGTACCACTGCGTTAAATCGAAGGAGATCAAACACCACTGGGAACTCAGCTGGCTGCCGCCCAAAAAGAGCAACAACCCCAAGGATGACGACCAGTGGTCCCCGAAGCGCAAAAAGGTAATCGACCACACGGAATACGACATTGTACGCTTGTGCTTTGGCATGGCGGTGTCGAACCTGCAGCAGTTCCCGGCGGACGAAGTCGCGGGCGACGCTTGCACTTTGAGCATCGTGAAACCCTCGATGAGGAGGTTGACCTTGTGCATCCCGCAGACCAGCGAAACCTGCAAGAAGCTCGAATCCTACCTGCGAAAGATTTTGATGACGTAGTGAAGATACTAGAGAGACCACGATAGAGGGAGCTTGTCAGATCAGTTTTTTGCTTTCTTTACATACCTACAGTTCCAGTTTGCCACACTTTCGCTCATATGTTTTTTTGGCTAACAATTGTTGATATTTCCTTCTCTTGTTATTTGCACGGTTTCATGAAGATGTTTATGATCGATAGCCGCAACGATGCAACCGCAGGACCAGTTCCTTTTTGCTGTTTGTCTTGGTGGACACTTTCATAAATTTTTACTTTCCTGCACCGCCTGTTTGCCTCGAACGTAATGCTAATTTTTCGTTTTTCTCCACGATCGTGGCGATTCAGATGACCCATCCGCTAAGGCTGAAAACATGTAAGCAATGCGCTTGTCGGTGTTCCGCTCCTTCGCCTTTCGGCACAGGATGCAAGCGCAGGTGCACCAAACCGCCTAGATTCTGGGTTGCATCGAGAGGAGACAGTTGAGTGTAGTGAGTGTGAGCGCTTTCCTCCAGGAAAGATGAAGTTTTTTAAAGCTCTGAAAAAAAGATCCCTTACGACGGTGGAAGAGCTGCAATTCTTTCTACTTACGCACTCCAGTGGTCTTCGTACGACTTACGCATGCAAGAATAGCCACGCTTTTGGACGAAGATGGCCACTCTCTCCGCATCCTCTTCATCCTCCTCCAAGGTTTTTGCTACCGCGGCGAAGCTGCTACCGGATTCCAAGCCCCTTAGCGGCCCGGGCGATTTCTTGAGCGCTAGCAAACAAGAGCATCTACAGGAAGAGCAGCAGAACCTCTTTCCTGAAGATGAAACGAAGCGGAAGCAATTAGTTCCGGAATCACCACCGAAAAAGGTGCGTAAGCTCGCTGCAAGCGAAGCGCAGAAGGGAGCAGTGAAAAAATCCAAAAAGGCACAAAAAGCCAAGAAGTGCGACGATTTGGACGTGGAGGAGTTCATCGAGTATGACAAGCTACCAGCTCTCGACAGTGTCGTGCTTGCGCCGGGTATCAAGGTGGAAGCCACTGCCGTCAAAGTCGGCGATAAGCTTTACTCGCAGTTTCCTGATAGGAAGTCGTGGCGTCCTTTTAAGGTAAAGATGGCCGACGAGCAACAGGAAATCCACTGGAAGTACAAGAAATCAATCAAGGACCCCATCATGAGATTGAAGCTGGCCGGCGACCCGGAGGTAGTGAAAAAGTCGACTATTCGCGTAAATCCGATCAGCTGTCCGGAGCGCGGCGTCAGCTTTAGGTCTCGCGGGAGTCGCATCTCCGAGAAGAGCTGGATCGTGCAGCACAGAGATATCGAAGGCAGACGCCATGACCGGGCCTTTAACTGCGGGAAACACGTTGACCTGCAGGACCCGGAGGGTGAGCGAGACGAAAAGGCCCGAGCGCGTTGTATGGCCGTCGCTGTCGAGTGGCTGCGTGAGCAGAGAAGAAAGGTGGAAACGCAGCGCCAGGAGGAAGGGAAGCCGAAGAAAAAAGTCGTACGCTTGTGCTTCTTCTGCTACATTTGGCATACACACAAAGCATGACCTGCTCCGGCTTCGGATCCTGGACTTGAAGTCTTTGCATTTCTTATAGTGATAGCTGGCTGCGATAGACGTGTTATTTTTATTTTTTTTTTATTGCGGGCTGTCGCTGTAACTGTATTCATGGGGGATATTGTAGGAAGTACTGGGCAACTTCTTGGTCTTGGAGGTGGGTACTAAAAAAAGTAAAACCAACGAAAGTTGCGAATTTCTGTTTCCCCAAAACCAATGCAGCATGAGTCCGTTCGCGAGAGTGGAGTACGAGGGGTCAGTTGGTATCGTGCGGCCAAGCATCCGCACCTCGCTGGGTGGACGGCTTCAATCTCCTCAAAGTCGTTCTGCGGAGGCGCAGGTGGAGCTAACACGGGTGGGCGAGTCGTGACGCGTAGGTTCAAACTGGACAAGCGTGAGTACGAAGGCGACCCGGCAGGGCTTGAGGAGGAGCTCGAGAACCTTCGTCAGAGGGCGGTAGCACAGCGCAAACTGTGGGAAAAAGAAGTGTTTGTCTTCCAGGAGACAAAGGAAGAAAAGCCAACGCAGACACTCACCGAGGACATGCCGCAAGCAGGACGAGGCGAGAATCAGGCAGGAGATCATGATCGACAGGAGAAACTCCAGTACGCTCCCAGTGCCTTCCGCAACAAAATGAAGGGCAACGAGATGGACACTTTCAAACCGATCGGGAAGAAGAGCTACGTCTTGGAGAAGTCTAAACTTGTCCAGCAAAAGCAGACCAGTAAGAAGCTGACACTCGTCGACGCGACAAATTCGATCGCCGGGGATTTGGACAAGCAGAGGCTGCACCCGCGCAAGCCTAAGAACCGCGAAGCAAAATCAACGTCCCTCGCCAGCAAGCAGTCTTTCGTCGTCAAGAAGGAAGGCGCGAAATCAAATAGCGTGAACAAGGACAACAAGAAGACACTGAGCACCTCGCCGACATCTAAAAAGAGGCTGAAAAATAAGAGGGGCATTGAAAGTCCAAAGATGCACACATCTGCGTTGAAAGGACAGCCTGACAGCATGATTTTCTCGACCGCGGCTAACAAGTCAGTTTCGACTCGCTCTTTGTCTTTTCAAATGTTCCTGAACACGCATGAATACGAGAACGACCCGAAGGGGCTGCAGGAGGCGCTGGGAGAGTTACGCCAGCAGCCGGCGATCGCGCAGCGAAATGCGTCGAAAGAGGGGGCGTTTTTCCGCCACGCGGCGCGTTCGGAGCAAAAGAAGCAGCAGGAAAAAGTCGAAGTTAGTAAGTAAAATAAAGCTATCATGAATGATTGTAAATCTAAATGTAGACCAAGCAGCATATCCTTCAGTAGTACATTCAGAAAATCAAGACTCATCGTCATTCGTTTCTCCCTTTGATGTGCCGTGTCTCTTAGGACCATGAACTGCATCGAATGAATTTTCGCACTTGAAAAAGAGCAGACACATAGAAAAAGCATAGCCTTGCACCGTTCGAGCAGGTATGCACCTCAAACCATGGTTGATAATGTATGATGCTGATCATCTTTCCTTGAGTAACAGTCCAACCTTCGCCTTTCCTCTGCTGAGGGATTCAAATGAAAAGTCAAACAATGGAAGCAGGCGCGTGCTGTTCTTTGCAGTAAGTTTCTGAGAGCGGAGTGAGATGAATGGTTTGCAATGCAACTTCATGAGGAAAAACGATATAGACCATCAGTAGAAGCTAGAGCGGACCTACGATTGGGACAGGGCGGGGGCGCCACACAGTCCGCAAACGCATGGAGAGAGGCGGCACAGACACAAATTTCAGTGATCTGTAAAGAGGACGACGACAACCACCGTAGAACATTCTTCTTTTGGCTGGTGCTGTGAGATTTTTGATCGTTTTGTCGGAGCATCATGCCTGCTTCCGCACGCCAGAGCGGTGTCCGTGGCGTTCAATGGTTGCACAACGTCAAGCGCCCGAACATCGCGGGCTGGAGAGCGGAGATCACTTCTAATTACCGTGGCGAAAGCAGCAACGCAGGCAAACACAAGGGCCGTAAGTTGGTGCGCACCTTCACGCTCGACATACGGGAATACGAGGGCTACCCGGTGGGGCTTGCCGACGAGCTGGAAAATCTCCGACAACAGGCGGTGGCTCAGCGGCAGCAGTGGGAGGAGGAGGCCCGCCATAAAACACCGGAATTAAACGGAAAAGAGAAACTGACAAGCCCGCTGGCGCGAGCACAGACGGATCAAGCAGTCCAATCGCCATCGGAGGAAGACGAACCCAAGCCACGCACTCTGACTGATCAGAGAAGGAAGGTACCTACTTAGGCAGGGCATTTCTTTTGGAAACCGCGACGAGTGTTGCAGACTTCTTCTTGAAATGAATATCCATCAGTCAGTAATGCTACCCAGTTCATTATTTCGGGCGGACTTTGTGCCAGAATGAGAATGTGACTCGCATGAAAATCAACTTGAATCAAATACATTCGCACTCAAATGCAGCACCAGACATCTGCGCCCATCCGCACCCGCAATTCTCCGGGCGGGGATGGAGCGATATTGCGGACGAAAAAAGAGCCCATCGCGCTTGCGGAAGATGAGATAAAGCTGCAGAGCAAGCCGGTGAGGAAAAAGACTAAGACGATGAAATCCGCTGAGAAGTCCTCCGACCCAATCCACAACAAGCAAAATTCAATACTCGTCTCGGGCCAGCAACAGCCTGCTTTTGCGGAATGTGAAGACGTCGAAGATTGGGCACTGGCGCCAGCCGTGAAAAGCAGCCCGGTAGAAGATATTGGGCGCGAGGGCGTGAAGGACAGTGGGTTGGATGAAGATGGCTTCGCTGGAGATTGTTTCTGTGACCACGACGCGGAAAACTTGTTTTGGTACGACAACGAACACGACGAGTACGATGACACGATGGGTTACGACGAGACTACTTCTGCTTACGAGGAGATGCAGGAGCCGTGGAATTGGGACGAAAACGCCGCTGATTGGGCCAGCGAGCAGAAGGAGGAGTCAAAAGACGCATCATCTTCATCGAAAAACAAGAAGAAGAAGAAGAACAAGCTCGTGAAAGGTGGGAAGGACAAGGACAAAACGAAGAAAGCGAAAAAGGTGTTGGTGCAAAAAGACAGCAAGACGCGCCATCATGTGTCGAAAAAGGATAAAGGGCCGACCTTCGACAGTGTGGTTTTGTCCTCGGGCATGGAAGTTACGGCCACCGCCGTGAAAATCGGCGATCAGCTGTACCGGAAAGGGCGCTACGAGAAACACGGTTTGAAGCCCGTAAGCTTCAAGGTGCAAGACGAGCAGCACGAAATTCTGGTGAAGTACAAGCATTCTATCAAGGACCCGATAAAGCGGCTGCAGCTCGCCGGAGACCCAAACGTGGTTAAGAAAACGGTCGTCCGGGTGCCGCGCTGTCCGGAACCTGGGGTATTCTTCGAAAACACAGGCGATCGTATCTCGCAAAAGGTTTGGAGGGTGAGATATAAAGATTTGCAGGGAAAGTGGCGCCACAAAAGATTTAACTCGAAGGATTACGCTGATCCGCAGCACGGTGACGACGATGGGCACCAACAGGAGGCCGCACAACAGCGCTGCATGGAAGCTGCGGTTAAATGGCTCCGGGAACATAAAGAAACCATGGCAAAGATACGGGGCCAGCAGGGGACGAAAAAGATCGTACTGAATATACTTAACTCACTTTGTGAATAATCTGAAACTGAATTGGAGGATGTCAGGCGACAGCATGATGTTCTCACATGTCTTCCTACTATAATTCAAATAATGTGTTGGTGTGCCAGGGAGCAGCTGATGATCTTCAATGCGAATGTTTTGTGCTGTTGTTATGTTTCCCAGCAGGCAGCAGCACTAGCAACAGCATCATTTCTTTTTTTTTCGCAGGATCCTTCGGCAGCGGTTCGTAAGAGCGGTCTCCGTGGGGTGTGTTGGTCCCGACACTCCCATCATCCGCATCTCATGGGCTGGATGGCACATATTACATCCAAATCTTTTTGCGGAAAATCTGGCCGCGCGAGGGGCGACGGGCGAACGGTGAGGCGTTGCTTCAGGCTGGACAGCAGGGAGTACGAAGACGATCCCGAGGGCCTGGAGGAGGCGCTCGAGGACCTGCGGCAGAGGGCGGCCGGGCAGCGAAAGATCTGGGAGGAGCAGGTGTTCGTTGTCGAGGAAGCAAAACCGCGGGGGGTTGTCGAGCGGGAGAGCTTCCACTCAGGTGGTGAATAGAAACATATGGTGGCTCGGTAACAGCAGCACGCAGGACTGGATTAGTGTTCGCTTGTCGATCTGGCCGAGACGGAACGAATAGTAGTACATGTATGATATTAGCGAGAGACTATGACTAGGGATAGTGACACGGCGCGCAGTTGTATCGCTTGCAGCTAGAAGCTTTCAGGGTTCACAGATGAGACTTTTGAAACTGAAGCAAGAATCTGAAGTCATTTTTAACCAAAGAAATTCATTAAGATGCAAATGCGCATGATATTACAGAAAAACACTAACCTTGCGCTTGCGTTGTGCTTTTCTGATTGCGTCTGTACAATACACCATCATCATCCATGACGAGACGAATGACATAGCAATTTTGGGCGATACGGAAATAATGTTTCAACACGTGCATATACGTTTCAAAGTGAAAATTGGACCCACCGTGGTCGGTCAGTATAGGAGCAGCGTCAAACAGCTCGGCGAAAACAATTCTTGGTTGTGTTTGATGTTCCTGCATCGCATTTAATTAGGTGTGAGCCGGTGAGGGTGACACTGACAGGGTGGTTGATCTGGGCCCTAAAAGTGAGAGGACAGATGACGCCCAAACTTCTTGGGCGAGTTGAAAGAAAGACGAGAAGTTGGGAGAATGCTCAAGGCGTTACATGATTCATCTGCGAGGCGAGAGGACACAATTTCTACGAAAGTGCGTCGCAAATTGTGGAGCGCTGCTTTCGTCGCTGTGATGTCGTCACTTTGACACATAACTAGTTTCTGTTTTCAGGCAATAAAACATGATGAATGCACCAGCTCCAGCTCATGCGTGGAACGCCGACCATGTGCTTGCCGGTCTTGCCGGATTGGGAGTTGTCACTTTGGTCGTGTTGGCAACGAAAGCAGCGACCTTCGTTGCTGAGGTGACGCAGCTGTTTCCAGTCGATACCGACGGAAGGAATTCCACACCACCGCTCGTGGTTGCCGTCATTGTCTGCACACTGTCGGCGCTCTACGTCTGGACCACAAGCAGTTTCCTGGCCCTCGCGAGAACTACAGCAGTGGGTGACGTTGATAAGCAAAAGACATCACCTGACTCTGCTGCAGCTGCCAACGTCGGCTTAACACCCTCGTCAGCCCAGAAGAGCAGAAACAGAAAGAAATTCGGTGACAAGAACACAACCAGTACACCAGCAGGAGGGGGTACTACTCTACGCAGTCGCGGCGGTACTAACCAGAAGAAACCTAATATCGCACCCCCACTACAACTAGATGACGACCATGCGCAAAAGGAATACAGCGGATCGTTCGACGACTCGCACGAAACCTCGTCCCCATGCTCAGAGCCGGACGAGGACTGGTCGCCGCCGGCGGATAAGAACCAGGAAGTACGAATTTTCATGGACGGCGCCTTCGATCTGACCCACTACGGCCACTACAACGCGCTCCGCCTCGCCAAGTCCCTGGGGAATTACCTGGTGGTCGGGGTGAACAGTTCCGACTCCGTGCAGAAGTGCAAGGGTTTCGCACCGGTTTTGACCGACGAAGAACGGTGCATCGCCGTCGAAAACTGCCAGTTCGTCGATGAGATCGTGCCCAAGTCCCCCTACGTCATGACCAAGGAATATATGATTTCCTTGATTGACAGCCACAATACGCAACGGACACAATAAAGAACTTGTTACCGCTCATGATTGTTCCCTAGTACTGGTAGTTCTTACAGTGTGCAATTACTGCACAACTTTCTTGAGTGACATCAAAGCATAGGGTCTGGAAATACTGGTACACCGCATGCTACATGTACTTGTTATCGTACGAACAGTTTTTGTGCCCGGAGAGACGGCATTTCATTCTTCTTGTATGTGCGCCTGAGCGGTAAAAAATTTCCAGTGAATAGATGAAATCGATTACTTCGTGCACGGGTCGGATCCCTGCCTGGTGGACGGCGTTGATGTGTATGAGGAGGCGCGAAGAATGGGTCGGTTCCGCATGGTGCCCCGGACCAAGGGGATCTCCACGACGGACATCGTCGGTCGCATGCTGCTCTACGGCCAGACGCAGCAGTTCGGGGGTGACGCGAACAATGCGGCGGACGAGATGAAAGAGGCACGGATATCCTGTGTAAAAACGTCCCCACCCCATATTTGCAATGCAAATCTGCATGCTGCAAATATTTCTCATGCGGAGTTGCATGAGAAGCATTTCCTAGTCTTGTTTCGGAATTTGTCATGCTACAATCAGCATGATATGCTGGATATGTGATGCTGCCGAACTAGCCAAACATTATTACGCTACGAGGCCAAACCTGTCATGCGCAACAGCCAAAGCTTGTTGACTTGTGTAGCAGATTTCCCATCTTCACTATGGGGTGGGGACGTTTTTACACAGGATAACGGAAAAGCAGTCGAAGCAGAACGCAAACTTCCGAGCAGGACGACATGCTTCGGGCGTCCGCGGTGGTCTATCAAAGAAAAAAGTTCGTCACGATCACTCATGGGCATTTTTGCAATACAAAAAATGCCTGCCACGCGTAAAAGTGCATCACAGCCAAACGTTACACAGGATTTCCCTTAGTGTTTCTGCAATACATGGAAAAGCTGTGATGCTAAAAAAATTAGTAATGCTAAGTCTCCAAGTTAATGACTGTGACAAACTTTTGTCTTTCTATATGGTCAGGTCCAAGAGTACTGCGTCGAAGAGCGAGGAGGTGGAGGGGGAGCCGCCGTCGATAGTGGATTCGGTTGTAACCACTAGCAGCGACCATAGAGATAGGGTAGAAAAAGTAGAGCAACAGCAGCTGTCAAGCTCCGCCAAGAGCAGCAACGTTAATAAACAGGCGCGCGGTCGGCCTCGTGCTGTAGCTGCAACAGGTGGTGCAGCAGGCGCCGCAGCATCTTCGTCCCAATACGAGGGTAAAAATAAAAGTTCCGCTGCGAAAAACTCCGAGCTGCTGCAGCTGCAGTCGCGGTTTTACAGCACCACGGCGCTGCTTCGCGCCTTCAGTGAACACTGCGAGCCGCCGCTGCCCGGCCAGCGGGTGGTGTATTTTCCCCATTCGTGGGACATGTACTGCGCCACACACATCCTCGCGATGCAAGAGGCAAAACAACAGGGTGACTACCTGCTCATCGGCGTGTACAGTGACGCGCTGCTGAACGACGTCGAGGACCAGCCACCCATCCTGACGTTTTACGAGCGGACGTTGTCGGTCCTCGGCTGTTCGTTCACCAACGACATTCTGCTGCCCGCGCCACCCGTGGTTTCCGAAAAGTTCCTGCAGGAGTTCGACATTTCCGTGGTCTGTGTCATGGACCACGCGACGGCGCAGCCGACGCAATTGCACCAGAGCATCATCGACGCGAACCTGTCCGTTCCCGTGCACAAAATCCGCCCCAAGATGGAACTGGATAAGAAAGCCATCCTCACCCGCGTCTTCGAAAACCACGAGGCGTTCCAGACCAAATACCAAAAAAAAATCGTCACGGAGCTGGCATACTGATACTGATGAGAAGAGGACGGACTGCTTCTGTTGCCAGCAGACTTTTCATCTTCTTCGACCAACTTTGTCGCTTCTTCCATCATCATCCATCGTCCCGTTTGACAGAAAGTTTCTTCCACCTCTTCTAGATGATTAGTAACGAAATTCAGAGAAAAAGAAAATTATTGGAGCGATAAGCACGTCGTTATTTCGTGCAGGAGCTCGGAAGACCGTCCCTCGCCAAGTACCTGTGCAATGCAGCAATTCTTTGCAAGAACGACACCCTGACAACGACAGGATCATGCTTTCTACCACGACCATGTACAAAACATGCTTGATCACACTATCTCGAAGATGATGACCACACGACAAGGAATGTAACGAAAAATAACGACCTAAAGCTAATTTAGATTTATCGAATAAGCCGCCTCTTTTTCTAGTAGAGTACCCCTTCGGAACAGACGGGTAGCAGATGGGTTTACACCGCATAAAAAGCGCGGCTTGTTTACCGCGCATTTTTTGTATTCTACCGCTTGAGCTTCGTTTGCCATTTATTCTTTTTGCGTCGGTATCGAGTCAGAGCGACGTATCGCGAGTCTTGGTAGAAAATCGTGTGCAGTTGTGGTGAAACTTGCGGGAAAGATTTCATCGAGTAGTCATGTAGCTTGACTCGGCTACATGACTACTCGATGAAATCTTTCCCGCAAGAGAGTCAAACGTAATGAATTGGCGTTTCAGAGCCCGCGGTGAGTGTCGACGGATGCGCAGTGGGAGAGAGCTTTTTGGTAGCGCATCATTGTCTGTTTGCGATGCTTTCTTTCGTTGCTTCGTCGTAGACGCCGAAAAAATTGAAGATTAGACAGGCTCCGACATTCCGATCGGCAGTCTGTTTCCGTGTTTTCGTTTATCTATTTCTTGAAGGAAATTAAGCTCGCTTTATAAACTTCGTGGTGGAATCGAGTTGCTACGTAGTAGAACAAAAATTGTCATTCGGCACGTCGGCAACCGCTATTGCACGTGAACGTAGATAGGCGCATACAGGAGTTCTTCAGTGCAACGTAGATATAAACAACTCAGTACACACACGCGCAATTTGAAGATGGGCGCGACGCGAGCACCTGCTGCCAAGTTGGTCAAGAAGGGCGACCCGAAGGTTGGCAAGAAAACGGGGCGATCAAATGGCAAAGCGAAGCTCATGGGCAAGGTGAAACTGGTAGAAAAGGCAAAGAACAAGAAGGAGAAGCAAAAAACTACTACAAGTACTAGCACTAACACTAAGCAGGCGTATCACATCCGCAAACGGAACAGCTACATCGAGTATGACCCTGACGAGAATGAGGAAGATTTTTACGAGTACGAAGACGATAACCATCCCGACGAGGTGAACTACGACGATTTGGTGGCCCAGTGGGCGGATTGGGACGGAGATGAAAATTGGAACGAGGAGGACAAGCCCTCTAAACCAGCGCGGAATAAGATAAAAGCAGCATCTACTTCCACTTCAAAAAAGAAAACCACGCAACAAGATCACGAATACGCGATTGTCTTGAAAAGTGACAAGAAGGGGGGCAAAGGCAAGGCCAAAGGGAAAAAAGGAAAAAAGACTTCCATGAAGAAAGAGTCGGAGCAAAAAATCAAAATGCCGAAGTATGACAGTGTTGTGCTATCTTCCGGTGTTGAGGTGGAGGCTACCGCCGTCAAAGTCGGGGACCAGCTGTACGTGAAGCCGCGTGGCAAGAAGAACGCGAATAAGTTAAAACCCCTGGACGTGAAGCCGCACGACGAGCAGCAGGAAATTTTGTGGAAGTACCGGCACACGATCAAGGATCCGATCCAGCGCCTGCAGCTCGCCGGAGCAGACGTCGTGAAAAAGTCCGTCCTCCGCGTCTCAACAGTCCACTGCTCGGAACCCGGGATTTCCTTCGTGTCTCGGGGCGACCGCATTTCGAACAAGATTTGGGTGGTGCAGTACAAGGACTTGCAGGAGAAGCGACACAACAAGTGGTTCAACTGCAAGCACTACGTCGATCTGCGAGATAAGGAGGAAGAAAGAGTATGAGAGTGCACAGTGACAGTGCTTTCTCCTGCCCTCCATTTTTGTCTTTGTATGTGATAGTGAATGCCAGCATGCTAGAGAGCGTAAGCGTATAGTGGCTGCGGCTCCAGGAGAACAAAGACCAGCGATAGTACCGCACTGGCTTCTGCATGACCAACGCACATGCGGACGCTAGAAGTAAAAGTGGTGTAGATTTCTTGGCTTGCGCAGCAACGCTGTGCTACAGCGCATCAGCACTGAGAATCAAGTCCTGTTGTTGCCGCGAGACAGGCGAAGCAAGGCGAGGAAAGCTGCTGTTGTGCACGCTTATAGCACGAGGAGAAGGCAAAAAAACGCTGCATGGCCGTCGCGGTCAATTGGCTACGTGACCACAAGGAAAACTTGGAGAAAGAGAAGCAGAAACAAGGCAAGAAGGAGATCAAAAAAATCGTAATACTAAAGTCGATATTTGAAACATGATATGCATTAATAGAAGTGTCTACATGATCATGATTGTCTTGCACTTGCTTTCTGATGCTGTTTGCGGATGCGGACAATATCTTTCGCTTTCCAACGCGCTGCTTTTGCTTACCCTAAATCGGTAGAAATGCAAATTTTTATCAGGATCCGCTTGCTCGCAAGAGCGGCGTGCTTGGAGTCGGGTGGTATCGCTGCCCCGAGTATCCGCACTTCGTTGGCTGGAGAGCCCATATATCGTCCAAATCCTTTTGTGGGGTCAACGAGAAGGGCAACGGGCGGAACGTGGGACGCATTTTCAAACTCGACAGCAGGGACTACAAGGACGATTCCGAGGGACTAGAGGAGGAGCTCGAGAACCTGCGCCAAAAGGCGGCCGCGCAGCGGAAGGCCTGGGAGCAGCAGGTCTTCGTCTTTGAAGAGGCCAAGTACCCGCAGCAGGTAGCTAAGAAACCGGAGCAGCTGGTGTACGGACACGGAAAGAAAGTGCACGACTTTGAATACCGACAACCCAGAAGCGGAGCCGCGATCTTGATGAATGGCAGCGGTACAGCTGAGTTTATTTCCTACATGTCAACTTGGATTTCAATTTTCTTTGCAAAGTGGTCGCTTGAAGTTATATGGTTCTCAAATCCGTTCTCTTCACAGCTGGCCGCATGCAGCCGAGTAGTTCTTCCTCGTCCTCGACGGCGCTCGTTGCCACCAGCAGTAGCTCCTCTGGGCGGAGGTAGTACACCAGCACACAAAGACCACCTTTGACGACCGCTTGAGGGCTGCTCGTGGTCTCTGTTGCCATTCATTTTCCAGCGTGAGTCATCGATCGCCCGTGTTGGTGTTCCTGTGTACGCGCCGCGCCGTGTCTGTAGCATCTTGATCTTTGCCTAGAGACCACGTCGCACGGTTCCGGTGCCATGTAAAATTCGAGTTCCTCCTCATCGGCTGCTCCTACTGCGAGGCCATTCTTTCCCCAGGATGTCCGCGTAGCTGCAAACTGTCACAAGAAGTGTAGGATGTTGACAATGACACCGCCAAACGCCAGCAATAATGCGGAGCAGAGATAGAAGATGAAATAGAAAATATTTGACTTCTACTTCTTTAAAAAATCGTAATCTACCATGATGTATCAAAAAACCCACTGTATCGAAAGCAAAACAGGATCAGATTTCTCAATTTGAATCGCGGCCTTCTACGTACGAACACGGGCTCGCAGCTATCCCCACCCTTGTATCTCGCAATTACTTCTACCAACAAAAAAAGAAGAAAGTTCTTTTGACGTGGAGACAGATGACAATGGATGAGAATATTAGCGCCGATTGTCGAAGACCCTCCCCAGCATCATCTTCACGGATGTGATTCCCTAAACTGTTCGACAGAGCCAGAGGGCAATCCAATCAGTCGTTGTGTTTCAGCATGTTCGCATCGTTATAGGGTTTGTTGGTTTTCCCATCGTGTACAGAAGTTTTGGGGTCGTGTCCTCGTGAAATTGATTATCTGGGGCAAGTGAAACCGATGCCTAGAAGGTATACTCAAAGTAATTGGGTTGTCGAATCCACCTGTTGGTGTTGCTAGGCCGATGGACAAGGGAAAAGTTGAATAAGTAAGTAGACATGAACTCTTGTGCTAGTTCAGATGGTCGCCCGCGTACGGATCGAATCCTGTTGGTCGCATCGTCTTTCGCACGTATTTTTAGTTTTTGCTGTACTTCTAGGGCTAAGTGTTGGTATCAACTTGCTATCACAGGGTCTGGGCGCGGTGTGGTGATGATCGCGTATCACCTTGTTGATACAGAGTTCACTACTTCTCAAACTCACAAGTAGCCCGAAAGCATGTTGCGACGCCGACACACTAAAAGCAAGACCCCAGGTGGTCAATATGGATGGCATTCGCCGATGAGCTCATTGTATTTAACAACTGCTCGCTCTACCTCAAGCCGCCCCCAGACAAACCGCAGGAGCATAACATCCATCATGTCCTCCACTGCAAAAGCCTGCGTTGTTGTTTTGCTGACCAGCGAATTAACCTCGTTGCTGGCACTGCCTGCCGCGGCACAGGAAGTATCAGTAGAGAAAACCAGCGACCGTACAACTAGTTCTCCTGGTACAACCGGTGTCTCTTCCACCTCTGCTTCATCCGCAGCTTCGCGTTACAAGCCGAATCGCGCGGCGCATGAAGACGTTGTGCGAGGTAGCGGTGGGCAGGATGAAAACCACGCGGCACATGATCAAGTCGTGGACCATCGCAGGGACGCCAAGCTGACCGATGTTGAGATGATGAGCGAGGTGCGGGAATATGAAGAGGTTAAACAGGCAGCAGAGATCGACGAGAAGGAAAATCAGCGACTGGCCGAGCTCGCGCGACAGCGACAGCGACAAAAGCAGTTGCAAGATGAAATAGCCATAGCGGAGGAAGACGAGGAAAAAGAACGGTTCGAACACGCAAATGTCCATCAATCTGACCGAAAGCTCGTGGATTATCATCATCCAGGAGCAGCACCAGTACCAGTAGCTGTTGCAGCAGAAGCCGCAGAACCAGAAGATGGTGCCAAAGCCAATCCCACCTCGTCCGCGCTGCTGCAGCTGAAGATGACCAAACAGATCGGCACACTGAAAAACACCGCCGACCCAAATGCCACAGACAGAAGTGAACAGGCGGCAATGAATGCGGTCAAAGCTCCGGACGACGACGAAGTGACGGCGGCCGCGACGCCTGCGGACGCGGAGCACCAGCGAAACGAAGTGCTGCACGAAAAGAACCAACTGAAAAAGCTCTCGGAGTCTGTGCAGGCCCGCATGAAGGTCGTAAACGCCGATTTTTCCTGTTTGACGCACGTGTGCAGTGTGACATTCCCCGAAAGTCCCAGCACGCCGATCAAATACACGCTGGATGTGGACATCAAGTGCGAGAACACCGCGGATTGCAAGGTGAAGTGCTGTTCCTACATGTACTGCTATGTCAACGTGGACAAGGACGTGGTCGTGGACTACATGCTGAGTGGCATGTCCGAAGCAGTTTCGAAGCGAACGCAACTCATGTTTGACGCGTGCCGTGACGAGAGGATCGTGAAGAACGTCGATGTCCCCCAGTACCAAAGTGACGACGGACAAATCAGTTCCGATCGCTTCATGGAGCTCCAAAACTTCGTTTCGCCGCATGACTGCTACCACCGGACGGGGTTTTTTCACTTCCCGGTGATCGGACCGGAATCGAAGCAGTACCTGCGAAGTCTCAGCACCGAGGACGGCGTTAAAGCAGTGAAGCACAGCTTGCCGCGCGCGCAACCGCTCACCCGCGAAAACGACTTGAAAAATTTGGAGGACTCTGACGTGTTTACGGACATCAAAGAAAAAGCGAATCCGCAGCCTGACGACGCCAGCAACTTCGATTTTGCGCTCCGGGGATCCTACACCATCAGCTCCACAACCTACGCATGGGAGGATCCTCTTCTGAAAATTGATTCGCACGGCCTCGTCGGCGACATCAACAACGAGGACGAGAATAGCGGGAAAACACAGGGCGTCAACACGGAAGAGCACATGACCGGAAAGATTTTGCGGCTGATCGTCTCAGATTCGCGCGGGCACAACTACCCCCGGCTGGATGCGGCCTACTCGGAACGGTTGAGCGACTGGAGGATTCCCTACAGCCGTGAGGCCAACGTGGTGCTAGGGGATTCGCAAAAGCTCGGGATTCCCCTCAAGCAGTGTTGTTCCTTCGTCATCCAGGCTTACACGGGAGCGAACTTTTTCAACCAGTACCAAGAGATTACGGAACGATTCGTCTCTCGAAACTGCGTCGTGTTTGCAGCAAATATGCACGAGCACCTGTACGGTGAGCAAAATATCGAAGGATCAACCAACAACAGCGAAAGCACGAGATGAGTCTAGGTAGCATGTTGAGTTTTTGATTCGATATCTTCACAACATCATAACGTTGATTGTTGGAAGAAAAAAGAAACTGCGTGCGAATACTGAAGAAAATGTATACATAGTGCTTACGTTACGAAATAAAAATGAATCAGAATCGATGATCAGCTTCCAACTTCAATGCAATCAAGATCTCTTAGGGCCTTGAACCCAACACAATATAAGAAAGAACAAAGCTCATAACTGCAACTCCAAGAAAATTTATTTCGAAATCAGAACGAAAATAAGAAGACGCGAGACATGCACGCTTGCAGAGCGAGCCGAAAAGAGAACAACAACGAGCATACAACGACACTCGGTAAATTCCATCTTGTTCTACCAACATGTGTGAGAAATTCTATTCCATTGGATTGATGGATTCGATATTTTTCCTGATTTTGTGGTCGTGGAGCCAATTACATTATTTGATTTTTATTGAAGATTTAGAAAAGAAATTTCTTAGAAATTCATCGAGATTTCTCAGAAATTCATCGATATCTGATATATTAGATCTATCTGGATATTGGATTCTGAATAATATGATGTGTTGTGTTTTCTATTCCATCAGATCTGGATATCCATGGTTATGATTGGACTTATGAATTTCAAAGTTATTCTCTGATTGGGGATCAAATTTTTCGATTTCGATCCGAAAACTTTTGCAAAATTCTTCATAAAATTTTTTGGAAAATCGACACCCATATTTTTCGAATTTTTTTGGAAATATTTTAAAAATTTTAGATAATTCATTGAAAATTCGAAACAAAAAGATGAAATCGATCTGATCGATATAAATATCATATGATCGAGAGATTCCAAGATGTATTGAAGGATTTCGATTTTATAAGAAAAAAAAAACATTGTGTTTTTTCGATGGATGATGATGAAATCCATATCAATCGATAATAAATTCGAAATATTTCGAGATGAATCCTGAATTTCCAGATGGATCAAAATTTTCCATCTTCTTGAAATGGAAATACCGAAATCTGTCCTATCGGATTCCTTCGATCTCGAAAATTTTTTGTTTTTCTTTCAAGAAAATTTGGCGATTTATTATCTCATCGAAATATTCAAATCCATCTCGAAAATTTTTTCGGATTCTCAATTCATTTCAATTTATTTTCATGAATCTCAAATTTTTGAAAATGATTAATTCATTATTATTCTTCAGAAATTGATGGTTATCTTTAGTCTCTTGGATTGATTCTGACAATTAAAGAGAAATGATTGGGATTGTGAAGGAACTTTTAGGACCTTGAACATTTGAAGCCATACCCGGGCATGGAAAGAAAGAAAGAAAATGATTAAATCGAGAAAAAAATATGATCTCAATCGAATAATCCATGATATCTCATTTAGACAAACACAACAAATTTGTGAAAGATTGAATATTTGGGATACAATTGATTCATGATGATGGATATCGAAACCGAATTTGATGCCATTACTTCTTTTGAAGAAAACACCCAGAAACAGAAGGTCACACACCCTATCAACATCTTTTTCTTTCTTATTCTTTCAATCATCCAAGACATTTTAGGTACATTGATTTCCAAAGAGATGTGTTCTTACAAATAAGAAAACAATGTAGTGCAAGCTTCTTAGACAAAAACACAAAACAGAGACTCGCCGTTCTTGGAATTCGAATTTTGGAACTGAAAAAATCCTGTCCGACAATGATAAAAGAGCAAGAATAGTTACGGCAAATTGTTCATTCGAAATCGGTAATATATAAACGCAGTTCGAAGTTCGTCTGTCTAGGTCAAATTTGTTGTACAAGTCTTACAACCATAACGGGGGGTCTGTGCTAAACTTTGCAGAACTTTTCAAAAACTTTTCGAAGACTTTGAATTTCCCGCCGGCCTGCTCGTCAAAGAAGCTGCCGCGCAACTTCGTGGCCAATGACTGCACGGCCAACACGAGATCGAGCCCCAGCATGCCATCGCGGTTCCAGTGTGACCGATGGGGTCCCGCGCTTTTCGTGGGTGCCCAGTTTGCGCACTCCGCCGCAGTGAAAAACGCCCGAACCTGAGAAGGTTGAGGCAGCGCCGAGCTTGGTGGCTCAGCCTGCAACACCGGCGGGCTTCCTGGTCAAGGCAAAAGACCGAAAAGATTTGCTTTCTGTTCGTAGTATCAAAGAGGGAGACCAAACATCAAAAACCCCAACAGCTTGACTCAGCGAACCCCCTCCATCGCAAAAGTGCCGGCATTGGCGAAACATAACAAAAAACACCACCGACATAATTAACAGCGGCGCCGGAACAGTGCTGATTTTGGCACGGCGGTATGGTGGAGGCCAAAAAATGCAAGCTCTTACAGTGCTACCTCGGTGAGCCCGAAACGAACCCGAAAAAACTTTTTATCTGGCCGCCCTTCCCGAAGCTCCCCGCTGCTGCTTCTGCTTGAATCCGGCACCGTTTTGGTGCCCCATGTGCAAGCTTTTGGAAAGTTTTCCAGCAGTTTTTTTTTCCAGAATCAGCTCGGGAGTTTTTTTTTGAAGGTCAGGAAAGTGGCGCCATGCTGTCGGTTTCTTCTGATTTTCCAGATATAGCGAAAAAGCGCAAAGCAAACTTTTTGAAATGGGCGCAAAGGTCGCGCCTTGCCTCAGAATTTGAGCAAAAGTCGAGAGCTCGCGCGTTTTACCCTACGCCGCGCCGCCGTGCATAGATAATGCTACCGCCAGCGGTATTCTTCGCATGTAAAAAAGTATACAGTTGCCCACCCCGGCTCCGGGTCCAAACCTATGATCACGAAATCAAGCCGAGAAATAAGTGTAGCGATGCCCCGTGATCCAGTATCATACTCCGACTCCAGCTCTTCCAGAGTCTAGCACTAAACTCAACTTCTAGCTTTTCCGTCATCGCCCAAGCTATTTGCACTACCAAAAAACCCAAAAGCTTGACTCAGACGCAAAAGCGCCGGCATTGGCAAAACATAACAAAAAAACACCACCAGCATACCATCGGCGCTGGAGCAATGCTGACTTTGGCACGGTGGTACGGCGGAGGCCAAAAAGTGCGACTTTTTTGCTGTGCTATTTCGGTGAGCCCGAAACGAGCCCGAAAAAACCCCGAAAAAACTTTTTTTCTGGCCTCCCTTCTTGAAGCTCCCCGCGGCGGATTCTGCTTGAAACCGGCACGATTTTGGTGCCCCAAAAGAAAGTTTTTAAAAAGTTTTTTAAAAGTTTTTTTTTTCGGGAATTAGCTCGGGATTCGTTTTTTCGAGGACCAGAAAAGCGGCATCATGCCATCGGTTTTGGTTTTTCACATATAGCCCAAAAGTGCAAAAAAAAAACTTTTCAAAATGGGCGCTCAGGTCGTGTTTTGCCTCAGAATTCGAGCAAAAGTTGAAAAAGCGCGCTTTTTTGCCTACGCGGTGCCGCCGTGGATAACGTTACCGCCCACGTTATTCGTCGCATGTAAAGTATACAACTTTTCGCCCCGGCTCCGGGGTCCAAACCTATCACGAAACAGGACGGCACGCCGTTCAAACGCGTAATAAATTAAAAATCTGCTGAGGGGATTCCGCCCGCGATTCACGTGTGACCGACGGCAGCGCGCGCGCCTTTTATCGGTCAGCGTATATGACCACGAAACGCGACGGCACGGCGCCAAAAAGACTACAAAACCTGAGCCGTGAGCTTTGCCTATTTCGCAGGCAGTGCCACCCTGCTTCGTGTCTGGGTAGCGCTTCTTTTGTACTTTTTGAAGACTCAGCATTCTCGCTCCTTTCTGGCGGCGTGCCGCCGTGCCTGGGGTCAGCACAGGCGCCAAAAAGGTAACAGAAGTCAGAGCTTGCTTCTTCGGCTGCGCCGCTTTTTCTTGTGGAGTTTACAAACGTACGCAACGCGGCGCAGGGGCGCACCCCCTGGACCTCTCCAGACACGCCTCTCAAGGCCGGCGCGCTGCGCCTGAGAACCGAGGCCCTAGGCCCTAAGCCCCAAACCCTAAACCAAAACCCAAGCCCTGCGAAAAGGAGGAGGGCCAAGCCCTAAACCCTAGACCCTGCCAGGCGAAAAGGAGGAGGGCTGGCCCCGGGTGGGGGGGTGGCCACCCAAGTGCGTTTGTCCCGCGGTCAAATAAACAGCACGGCCAACCGAGTGCGTTTGTCCCTAGGCGAAACGCGAAGGGGTGGATCAAAGCCTTGTCATGCGTGAATACATATATCAAGGACGCGGCCCTGTTTGGGCGGCGCGCGACGCTGTTCAAGCGCGCAAGAGATTACAAGTCTGCGGAGAGTATTCCGCCCGTGGCTCACGTGTGACCGACGGCAGCGCGCGCGCCTTTTATCGGTCAGCATATATGACCACGAAACACGACGGCACGCCGCCAAAAAAGGGCGTCGGACCTTGGTGGTTTCGCGTCATCGCTTTTCTCTGTTTTCAAAAGTTTTCGAAAAGTTTTCAAAAAGTTCTGAAGCCGATGAGTAGACCCCCCGTTATGGTTGTAACTATGTGTGAAACAAAAATTGCGAAACAGTTCAGTAGCAATTGATCAAAAGCAATATCAAAAGTCCTTTCTTAGTGCCTGTCATCGAGGACACGAGTCGCGCAGGTTCTCGTTCCGGGACGGAAATCATGTTCAGAGTCATAGGTAGTTTACATGTATTTTGTTAGTGCGTAGCAGGAGCAGCACTTGTGCCGCTGTCCACGACAGGAGCGCCTGGAGGTTTACTACTGGAATTTTCCTCCGCATTGCCCGTAGTCTCACCCGGCGTCTTCTTTTCGGTACTCGCGGCGTCATTTCCGCCTCCCTCTCCGCCCTCCTCCTTATTTTCGCTGCGCCCCGCGTCTTTCTTCTTGGTTTTTCTTTGGGCCGCCTCGGTTTCGAAGGCAAGCTGCTCCGCGACGCGAACGGTGGTTTCCCGGTCGTAGGCGGGGAAGTCGCCAACCAGGCGGCGGATCCACGGTTTGTCCTCCCGGTTCCAGAAAATCCACGGGACCTGGCTGCACCGGTAGCAGTAGGAAAACCCCCAGTTCCGCTCCTTCTCCGTCTGGCACACCGGGCAGGTCGGCCGCGTTTGCGCCTCATACTTCTGGGTGGCCACCTGAATCAGCACCTGCAACGAGGTGCGTTCGCTCTTGTTCTGCAATAATTGCCGTTTCTTCTGCACGGACTTCTCCGCAGCCTCCTGCTCGTCAGAATTGTTCACGTCGCCGTGGTTCGCCTTGCCATTCGCTTGTTCCGCCGCCACTACGCCTGCAGCCTTCGGCTGTGCAGCTGCAGCAACCGCGGAGCCACCGAGATTCGTGGAGCTGGCGCCTCCCTGGTCGCGCGCGTAGATTCCCTTCTGGGCGTCGTTCAGGGCGCGTTCGAGTTCGATACTGTCCTTCAGTTTGTCCATCCCGTGCTGTTCCGCTTGCGACTGCAGTTCCGCGCGCCGCTGGGGCTCCATGATGCCGAGTTGGCGCTCCCGGAAGAAGTCCGTGATGTCGGTCGCTTTCTGCGGAAGGGGGTAGCTGTTGAAGAAAATTTGCTTCCGGAGCAGCCGCTTAAACGGCGGCAGGTACTCGGTCCGCCGCCAGTGCAGGACGTCGGTCTGCGCAATCTGCTTTTCCGTCGGCGAGCTCTGGCGTTTCAACAGTTGTAACTTAGTTTCCACGCTGCTGCGCAACACTTCCCACCCGTTCACGCCCAGCTGCTCCTGAGTGTCTGTCTGCTTTGATACTCCTTTGGTGGATTCCTTTCCCGCAGGGCTCTTTGGATTGGGGCTGTTGCTTCGTTGGCGGTCCCCTGCCTTGGGCGAGGCCTGCTTGCTCCCGGGGGAGGCGGGGTTGATGCCGGAGGCTTTCAAAAGTTTCTCGGCCTGGGCAGGGTCGACGTTGTCGTCCTCACTGGCCATCTATCCAAGAAAAAAAGTGTCTTAGTGTAGGACTCTTGCAGTGTCAGCATGACAAATATGCCGCCCATGACAGAGAAAGCCTATCATGCAAAGCTAGCAAAGTACGTGAAAAGCAATTATAAAAAGCGACTTCATGGCTGGCCAGCATAACAAGTGTAACTGTCTTGCGTGCTTTGCATTACAGACTTACACTTACACAGAAGTTTTCTCCTCGCATACCATCATCGCACGCAGGCGCGCTTCGCGTTTTTTGCTCTCGATCAACTCGGTCTCGTCATCCGTCAACGCCATTTCCGCATCAGAATTCGCCTGCTTGTCGCCATACATATCCAGCGTGATAGACCTCAAGTAGTTTGAGTTTGATTTCTTGTTCAAGTATAGACAAAGTCAGAGAGTCAGAAACGACACATGATTTTTGTTCTACCCGCAATATGTTGAACTAGATAGCAGTTCTTTATGCTTCTTTCTTACAGCCATGCAAAAGGCGAATTTACCCCATTTCCTGCCGCCTGAGCTTGTATTGGAACGCCAAGTACTCGATCAGGTAGGTCGGCTTGGAGTACATTTTCTGCTGGAGTCCCTCGCATTCGAATTGCAAGTACCAGATGCCGATCTTGCACAAGCATTCCAAGAAGGCACAGTATGAAAATGAGAAGTCCCCGCCCGTCCCAACGTCTGTGCCGGTTGAAACGCAACCACACTATGCACCCTGAAGCTCATGCCTCCCATGGCCATGCTGGAGCTGGAGGAGGACAATTTCCATACACAAATCCAGCATCAGACGTGGAGGGGGGAATGTTCCTCATGATACGTAGGCGTCAAAGACCACCATGGATTTGGACACGGAGATCTTCGGCTCGTTAATCCGCTCGCAAAGTGTCACAAACTGCCGCAAGTCGGCACTTGAAAACGCGGGCATGGCGGTCAGCGGGTGATCTTCCAAAAACTGCTTGTCTTGTTCCTGACAAAGTGCGATTTTTTGACATTCATTTGCGGTGAGTCGTGAAGATTTTGTTCATGGTGGCACAGATCATTTTTCCAAGAACCGACAAGAAGAAGAATCGACGAGGAGTTGAAATGAAATTTTCTCTAAGCTTAAAGCTGTGAAATCTCCGCGAGTTGATTTTTACACAGAGCAGTGATGAAAAACAAAAGTACCGCCTTCCGAGTGCTGACGTCTCGTGCGTACGCTGCGTCCTTCAGCACCTTCTGCAGCATGGGCAGCGTCATTTGGATTTCTTCGTCCGCGCCCTTGGTCAGGTTCAACACCCGCCAGAGAATCAGTTCCATCTGCCCCTCGCTCTGCACGTAGTACCGCAGTCCGAAGGAGATAATGGCGTCGTAAAATTCCCGCGGCGAAACGAACTCCTTTTTCACCGCACCGTGGTTGACGTGCGCGTTCCAGAAGTCAAAAACCGCCGTCTCGGGTTTGTACAAGGGTTCGTTTTTCTTCTTCGGGATTTTGCAGAGGGACTCGAATTTGTCCAGCATGCCGAAAAACAGCGTCTGCGCGACCCGCTCCACCGGACTGGGCAGCGCCTTGGTGATGTCCCCCGCCCAGATGCAGTGCGTGAAAAACGGGTTCGTTTTGTTCAGCCGCTGCTGGATGAGCCGCACGCGGTGCATCAGGGAGTATTCTATGTAAAAACGTCCCCACCCCATAGTCAAGTTGGGAACCTAGCAAGACAAATCCGCATACTTTGGAAGCCACGCATGAGAAGTTGCAGTCCGGAGTGTAGTGCATGTTAGCAAGAAGGGCAACCGCATCACAAATCCATCTGTTCATCCTGTTTACAGCATTACAAAGTCCAAAACGCGACTGAAAATGCCTCTCATGGAGATGCGCATTACAAATCTTCATGTAGTCGCAAATCTGCACGACAACTATGGGATGGGGATGTTTTTACTCAGGATAGGGAGTCGAAGATCTTGAGCGGGAATTCCGCCGCGCAGGACGGGTGGAGGCACGGTGCAATGTGGTTGCAAAAGTCCTGCCGCTTGGGCAAGTTGCGCATGCGCAGAAAACTGAGCCCGTCGTAAAACTCATTTAATGTTAGCGGGTCCCGGTAAACCCAAAAAATCTTCCGTGGCTTCATGGTTTTCACCGAAATCCACTCGTCGATGGCCTCGAGCATCCACCACGCCGCGCGCTCCACCTCGTTTGGGGAATTGCCGGGGTTTGCCATCTGCAAGAACGCCGGCAGATCAATGTCATCAAGCTCGTCTGATGTTTTCTGCTGTTTCTTCTCGCCATGGTGATGTTTTTTCGGGCTCTTTTTGTGCTTCGACGGGCTAGAAGAAGTGAGTTGCTGCTGCTGGGATTGAAGTTGGCCTCCGACTGGACCTTTCATGGCGTTTGACGTAGTTTTCGCCGGCGAACTCGCGGACAGCCCGGACTTGTTGGTCAGCAAGGTCGAATTGCTGTGCTGAGTCATGCCATCCGAGACCGTTGCGGCGCCCAGGGCACTCGAGGACGAGCTGGAAAGAAGCGTTTTGTTGTTCCCGCTCTTGCCACCAGCCTCATTGTCCCCGCCGTCCGCTCCCGCAAGTCCGTTTTTCTGGTCGGTGACCACCGGTGGGGGAAACGTCACTTGCTCCATGAGCACGACGCGGAGAATGGTGTAGTGGTAGTACCCTGTGAGGTTCGAATCCGCGAGGGAACGGACGCGGATGTACTCGCCCTTCGCGTCGATGACGGACCCGACGTGCTCCGGGTACAGCGGAAGTTCGTCGCTCTCAAAGCCCCCGAACTGCAGCGGCCCGGCCCGCTGCATGTCCTCGGTGAGCGCGACGTGCTGGCCGTTCGAGAAAGGGGTCGTGTTTTTCCGCTGCTGCTCTTTGTGGGGAAGGAACGCGTGCTCCGCGTCCACGACCTCGCAGAGCTCCGCCGTTTTGTAAATCCACTCGAGCAGGTGCCAATCGATCAAGTTGGGCACTAAGCGGAAATCAACGCAAAACCCGGCGAAGGCAGCCAGCGACATGTGCCCGGGACGGGAATTCAAGCCGTCGTTGCTCGTGTTCTTGAAGGACACGAACCGCGCGACGTCGCGCGTGTTTACTTCATCACCCCCACCCCGGAGAAAGCCCTCCTCGTCCGGCGGCGGCTGCTCGACTGGCTTCGCCTCTGCTTTTGTCTCTGCTCCTGCTGCACCATCCCCTTCGATGCCTTTCTTGCTCCGGGCGGCCTTGAGCTTCTTCGCGAGTTCGTCTGCCTTCTTCCGCTCCTGCTCCTCTTGCAGCCGTAGCTGCTCGTACTTGGCCGCCGCGGACGAGGCTTCGGGGGGAAGGACGGGCAGAATGGGAAAATCCATGTACGCCTCGAAGATCTCGCAGATCAGCGGGAAGTACATGTCCGCAAACTGCACCCACTCCGGCTCGAGCAGTGTGGCCGACAAGCACTCGCCCTTGACCACGCAACTCGTGAACAGATTCATCTTCTGCTCGAACGGCACGTTCGGCTTTTCGGTCTCCAGTTTTTCCAGCAGCGGGTTCGCCCTTTTCTGCTTCTCCGCGTGGATCGGTGACACGGTGAACGAGGAGGGCACCTCGGACCCCGGAATTTCCACTTCCGGCGGGGCTTGCAGCTTGCTCTCTTTAGCCGCGGCGGAAGTTGCCGTACTGCCCGCGGCGTCTTTGTTTTCGATCAGATTCTTGCTCGTCGCGGCGCGAATGAAGTTCTTCGCCGACATGTTCTTGATACTTTTCTTCCCGGCGCCGAGCAGCGAGGTGGTTGTTGCCTCGCTGGGCGCAGTGGCCGCTGCACCACCTTGATCTCCTGCCACGGTACTGGCGCCGTCTTCTGGAATCGTCGCGTCCGTGGGAGTTTTCTCCTTGCTCTTCAGCGCCTTTCCGAGTAAGCCGCCGCCCGCCGCGCCGCCGCCTCCACCGCCGCCGCCCAGCAGGCTCATCGCGCTGCCCTGTCCTTTCATCAAATTCATCACCGACTGGCGCTTCTCGTCGTCCCGATCATGGATTGCCTTGCTATCCAACAACAACTGATACACATCCTGCGCCACTTGGGCCAGCGCGGGGATGCATTTGTCAAACAGCACGGCTTTCACCGAGTCTTCGGAGGCTTCGAAAACCCCGCACCGCAGCAGCGAATCCAGCTCGAACCGCATCAGAAGCGCGAACACGCGGACCCACTGTCGGGCCTGCAATCCGCACTCAAACTGCATCGCGTTCGTGTCCTTCAGAGGGGTGGCGTGGTAGTCGCACAAATGGATCATGAGCCGGTAGTTGGCGCACCGAAAAAACGGCTGGATGGTGGCCATGATCCTCGCGTAAGCCGGACGGTATAAAATCAGCTGCTCCGTGCTGTCAAGACCTCCCGCGGCGCTACTGGCCGAGGAGCTACGCGCGGAATTTGGCTGCGACTTCACGTGCGGGTTTTGCGGCGATTTCAGTATGTTGCGCGTCTGCAGCATGTTGGGGTTGCGGGCCGCGTTTTCCCGGGCTTTTGGCGCGATCCACAGCTCCGCGTAGCTGGCCAGCACCTCAAACAGGATCGACGCCTCGGAATCCGTGAACCAAAGCGGGCGGTGCTTCAAATCGTCCTCGTCCAACTCCGGAAAGGGCCACTTGTGCGGCAGCGAGTGGCGCAGCTCCGCCTGGTAGGCGGGGAGAAAGGGCAAGGTGTCCCAGGCGCGACACGAAGTTTTCGTGTACACCGTGCACATGTTGGGCGGGTTGTGGATCGGGTGGAAGAGCTGCTCGTGCACCACCTGCTGCTTCATCAGGTCGCCGCCCGTGTCCAGCAGCGTCTGCTTGTTCCGCTCCGCGTTGTGGAATTTGCTCCACGCCTGGTCTTTCAGCACTTCCTCCTGCGCGCGCAGGCTCTGGTAGTAGTACTTGACGGCGTTCTGGTTCTCGGCCTCGGACAACTCGGGTAACGGCGCGGACACGTGGATCGGGTCGGAAATCACGTGGTTGAAGGATTTCACCCGGCCGATCCAGCGGTGCGCCTCGGAATACCGGGCGTTCATCTCCTGTTCCACGACGTCGGGGTTGTCGCGCAGCAGCGGTTTGCGCCGCTCTTTTTCCAAATTTTTGAACAGAATCTGCCGGTGCGTGACTGGAACGAAGGGCCGGACCGGGTCGAAAACCATTTTGTTCTCCGACGGACTGTGCGGCGTCAATACGTTTTCAGAAGCGTTTAAATTAATCGTGGGCATGATCTTCGGCATGTTGGCCCCCACGCGCCGGGACGCCACGGCCGCGGCATTCCCGGTGATCGAGAATTTTTGCCTTCGAGCTAAATAGTGGGCGGTCACTTTGTTCTTCGGCACGGTTTGTTCCTCCTCGTCCTCCTCCCCGGAAGTTGCGGCGTTGTCGTGGACGTATTTTTGCAAAATTTCCTCGTTCCACGTGGCCAGCATCGGTGCCTCGGCGATCGGGTGGCTCAGGCCGCTGACGTCGGCAAAATTCTTCACGCCGCCGAAACCGCCGAAGCTGCTGGCCGTGTTGGTGTTCGTGCGGCGGCCGCCCGTCAGCCGATTAGACGAACTGCTGGTTTGGTTGAAGATGCTGCTCAGGGAAAGCCCATCATCGGGGCGCGGGGGCCGCGTGTCCTTGTTCGGAGGCGGCTCCTCCTCTTCCTGCTCCGCGAGCAGTTTGGCTGCCATTTTCGGTTGTTGGGTTCTTTGGATCTATTCAAGAAAAAAACGGCAAGCCACGACCTGAAAGTGCAGACACATATTGCAAAAATGCGGCACTTCTGGTACTCGCGAGTAGTAAAAAGGTTTTTCACGAACGTACGTATGTAAGCAATTGGTGGAAATTATATTACGATCGCACTAGTTTTACGTGACAAGTACTTTACGTATTTTGTGTGGAAAACACGATCATGGGACCGAGAGATGGCCCTTTTGTTTACGAAACACGTTGACAGAAGGAGAAGCCGTTCTCCTCCTGTAAAATGTTGACGTTCAATTCAGAAGATGATAGACCGTGACGACCGACAAGGAAACATCTGCAGTGACCAGATGTTGCGACACGACAAGTGACAGATACGCCTACGATTTCTACGACCACTTACACGATTGGTTGCATTGTGTCATGCCGCAGCACTACGATCTAATCTACACGACCTACGAAGAACGAAGTACTTACACCTACCTGGTTATACATCGGGGTGCTCGTCGTCGGCGAAACGAACACTTCATGTATTAGGTTTTGCAATAATTTTCATTTTGTCTATATGTATGATGCTGCACTTGACTTCGAGTTCGAACGCGAGACGTGTACTGTTTCACATGAAGTCCAGCTTTTGCTTCCACCCTTCTACCTTTTTGACGGGATCGAATTCCGTGTATCTATCGGTCACTTTTTTCCGGCTTGCCAGACCCATCTTGGTTTCAAGATTCTGCACCACGAAATCGCTGTAGACGTTTCCCGCGCACTTTCCGGAGCAGAAATCGACATACTGCATTTCTCGCGCTTCCGTTTTGGTTGGGAGCTGTACTTTTTTCAGCATCGTCTGGCAGCTTTTCAAATCGATGCCCACCCCGTTCGCCGGCTTCTTACACCTCTCCCCGAAGGGAAGGAGGCAGGTCACTTCCAATTTCTGCCCTGGTGCCGAGATCGTGCTGCTGTACTTGCTTTTCTCTCGCGCTACGGGCAAACAGGGAAAAAACTCGGATTCCGGTTTGCGGCAGCGGACGTCTAGGGTCTGGCCGTTTTCTTGCACGGTGTCGGGCCGCAACGGCATGTCCGCTAGAGAAGCAATCGCGGGCTGGTCCTGGCACCGGCACCGGACCTGCAGTTTCTCTTCGGGGCAATTCACCACGTCCAGACGGGTCGCTTGCAAGTTTCGGTAGACGACGTTTTTCTCATCTAGTGAATGCGCGTGGTTGCCGCGAACCTCCTGATTTTCCTTTTCCTTATACGGGAAGGCGTCGATAGGACGCCGGCATTTGGACGCACAGGGGTCAAAAATCCGCTGGTTCCCAACCCGCGCTCCGGCATAGGAGAGTTCTAGTTTCTTTGTCGACGTTGCACTATCCTTGCCCACGACGGAAGGCGACGGCACAGCGTCGGGTAGTTTCAGCGCACAGACAAACTTTCCGTCGCCCGTCGGGGCCGCCTCGGTCCTCGCCCGTTCCAGGACCGATTCCTTGCTGTCGCAGGCGACCCACGGCGTCTGGCCCTCCGCCTGCATCCCGTTTTCCAGTGTTTGCTTCGCGTGGTTGCAGCGGGCGAGGAGTCGCTGCTCTTGATTCGCGGTACACGCGCACTTCATCTGCAACTCACCAGTGTCGCAATCGGCGACGAGTTTTCGCGCAATGTGGTCCGCCTGTTCTTGTTCCGTGCGCATGCTGCCATCCGGCTTGCGAAAGAGGTCGTCCAACTTCTTCGCAAGCGCGAGTTTTTGTTTTTTTGCGTGCTGCGCTTCCGTCTCAAGCCCCGGCTGGACCATCGCTGCGGCCTCCCGCGCCGCCGCTGTCTGGTTGCTGTCGTCTGTCTCTCGGGGGCCCGTGGCATCGGGCGGCGGCTTCTCGTCGTCGGGCGTCACTGTCAGGAGATCGGAGTTCTTCAGTTCTTCTTGTGTTTGATCCGATGTCGGATTGGGCGTGACTCCCTCCTGCTGATGATGTTCGCCTGGTGGACTATGCGCAGCTGCATTTCCTTCTTCCGGGGGCTGAAGTTCCGGGAATTTCGGATCGCCTTGCTCACCCGCTGGGTCCTCGTCGAGGGGCGCCTGGTTCGGCCCATCGTCCTCGTTGGCGCTGTTGCTATCCGCGACCTGCAGGTCTTGCTCAGACAACCCGATGTCGTCGCTGTCGTCCCTCGAAGCCGTTAGCGCCGCACCAGGATCTTGCACAACTACCGGGGTGTCGTCGAATGTTGATGACCCGGGGTCCGGTGCCGTTGATGCTGTCCCCGCTGGATCTTTTGGGTCCGCGAATGAAGTTCTGATGGTCGTGTGCGAAGGAAACAGATGACCGGAGATGAGCGGATGTAGTCTTCTCCACGACACTACTGCTGCAACATCTGAGAAGTGGTCGGAAACATTAACTGAGAAATGGTCGAGAAGCTGCAAAATTATAGTGCGCTCGAACATCACGTACACGTGAATGGAATACTCTTTGTGCTACTTAAAGAGCACCAAGGCTCCGAACTGACACGACTGACTGCATGTAGTTTAATCTGGAAGAGCTGTGAGTGTGACAAGACCGATGGCACATGATCAGCACCTGAAATAATGCTTTGCTTTTGAAGCAGGAAACGAGAACGATTTCAGTCTACGAAAGAGAAAGCCAACACACAACAGAAGTGGTCGAGTCGAGTGGACACTTCGATTGTGAAACGAAAGGCGATCCTGTGACGAATGACGTATGGACATAACGACTGAATCGATGGACACGACAGTGTGGCTAAACTAATGCCAACATATCTGGATATTTGTTTGAACACTTCTGCAGCCCGTGCGCCTGGAGTTCAGTATCGGCAGCACTTGCGGACCAAGATAATGAGTTGACAGATGTCAACATAGCGCAAGGAGCGGCTTTTTTACAGCGTGAAATAGGGGACAGATTCGGGTTACTTAGGTTTTCAGCAGCCGGGATCGACGTACAATGCTCCGAGGACCCACAGAAAATGCGAAAGTCTACAGGGTACAACTGATGAATATCTATGTGCGGCGTGGGGTCAACATCAAACTAGAATACCAATACGAAATTGATTTGCACGAGGAGGAGGAGAGCTGCTCTAGTATAATTTCATCGCCAGATGATAATTATCAAATAATTTACAGGTCTTTCAATGCCGGCCTTTTTGGGGGTCGCTTGATTTCGATGACCTTTTTTCTCTTCTCCCTAAACGTGCGGACCATCGGCGCTCGCGTGTTCGCGGCCCTTTGCAGCATCTCCCAGCCGTGCGCGGGGGGTGCGTGCGCGGGTCCGGAAACCGAGTAGAGCCCCATGCCAATTGCCGAATCGATCCACCACTGACGGTCCGAGGCGTTGCGGTAGATGTAGCAGTCGTTTTCCGAGTTTTTGTACCAGGGGTCTTGGTTCCACTTGAGCCACATGGTTTTCGCGTCCCAGTTCTCGCTGCGACAGAAGATCGTGAAGGCCATGGGCACTGACGTGGGGTCCTGCGGGAGGTAGGTGCCGTTCACCTCCACGTGGCCGGCGTAGTTGACTTTTAGGTACAGAATTTTCTCGTTCCGGTAGACCTGCAGCCAATCGGCGTTCCTTTCCGCGTCCCGCAGCACCTCGAGCGCCGCGGCCGCGCCGTTGCGCTCGGCCTGCTGGGTCGGCGTGAACCCGGTTTTTCCTCGGTAGTTCATGTCCGCACCGGCGAGCAGCAGTGCGCGCACCCCGACGGGCAAGTTGTTGGCTGCCATTTTCTGCAGGGGCGTCATGCCGTTCGCATCTAGTGCCTCCACGTCCGCGCCATGGTCACAGAGAAATTCCGCACTGTACTGCGTTACACGAGTCATCGCGGCCATGTGCAGCGGCTGGGCGCACCCGGTGCAGCGGTCGTTCACCAGGTCGGGGAAGCGGTGGAGAAAGGGCTTCAGCAGCCGCTCCGGGTCGGTCAACGCGATGATCACCGGCGGGTAGCCGCCGCCCGCGTACGCCGGCCGGCCCATAAACTCGATCACCTCCCCCGTCTGCTCGTTGCGCTTCACCCGCCCACCGTATACCTCAGGGCCGTCCTGGCTAATCACCATCAGCGCGGACTTGTAGCTCGGAGAACCTGGTGGTGTGGGGATGATGAGTTCCAGTGTGTGTGTTGTACTAGAGCTAGCGTACCAAAATTTGAATTACTTTATCAAAGATCTTCTTGTAGTTGGGTGCAAATTAGTAAAACATACAACTTACTCACGTTCAAATTTGCTATACCTTCCGGTGGAGGTGGTCCGTACATCTCCAGCATGAGTGGTCTGCTGGGCGCATAGGGATATGGGCTCTCGGTCTGGACCTTTTGTTTTCTCCTGGGCAGCGGGAATTTCCCGTCCAGTGCTTTTGTGACAGCCTCATCGCCAGACGCAGTAGCCGACCCGAGAAAGGACGCACTTTCCAAATCGATGGACTCGCTCATCCTTTCGAAAAGGGAAAAATGTATAGTTGGAAATGAACTGTTGATAAAGTAGCAAATGTGAATTTCGTTTCTATCGAAACAAATTCCAAAAAATACGTGGTAGATGATGAAGAGTGGCGGTGGGTGGAGGGTAGCTGTTGATTTTGTCCAAGGGCACTTAATTAATACGATGATTTATTACTCAATGAAGCACATAGTTGGAAGGATAGCCGAGAAAGTACCACCAGTAGTGAACGAAGACGTTTTACGAATTGCTAGTTATCACGAAGAGGAACGAAACCGAAAGAACGAAGAATTCAACACGATTACAGTACGAGGAGCACAACCGATGTTTTTTTGCAGCGGTGTGCACAGAACGAAGACCGACAAGAATTATCTTGTGTTTCAAAAATTTGTTCAACTTTGACACTAGAGAACACGATTGCTCTTGCTCTGAGAAACAAGCAACGGCGCACAGGTTTATCATGCAGCAACAGCATCACCTGAAATACACAGAAGCGACGCACGGAAACGTGCTAAAGTGCAAGTTGCGGATATACGTATACAATGTTCACATGCGCTCATACATCAGTACAGCACTTCCGCATTCTGGCCAACGTGAATCCATTCGTAGTCTACTTGTGAATCTTCACGAGAAGCTCCTTGCGTGTTTTGTCCTTCTCGTTCCACGAATTCTATGCCCATGTTGTTGCCCACATACAATGTTCCAGCGTTTTTCATCCGGTCCGCCTCGTAGCACAACTCGTAGTGCCGCGTGAAGTCCGGGTTGTAGGGTATGGTTTTATTGCGCCGTTTCTCATCGTGGAGTTCCATGCGGTGCTTGCCAAGATTGTCGCAGTCCTTGATAATCTCGCGGCTTTTCGACTGTGGGAAATCAAAGATTGGATCTATCTCTTCCCTGCACTGCTCCAGAGAAAGGTCCAGGGGAAATTTGGCTTGGGTTTGCCGATTCTCGAGCTGGCTTCGGAGGGAAGACTGCCTTGAGTTCGCGAAGGCGGTTCGGAAGACCGACAAAAAAGCACTGAAAAAGTTCGCAGGTGCACTACTATCGTGCTTGTACTGCATTAGGTCCGCACAGGAGCGCTTGTGTTTCTGCTTCAACGCTTTGCTGAGGTCCGCTCCGTCATTTGCCGCTGTCGCAGGATTGTGCAGCGGTACGGAACACCGGGAGCAGGGCTTCAACGCGTTGAGCTTGAGTTTACTGCCGGCCAAGTTGACGGTCGTCCAGGCGTCTTCGGAAAAAGAGTGGTCTGCATCAAAATTATCTGCTGAAGTAGAAGAACCTTCTTCACTGGTCAGGTTCTTCTCGTCACCGAGAACGACGTTAAACCGGTAGCGGCGGATAATTTCGTCACACGAGCGCGTCTTCTTTCCGCAGGTCGCCGCGATGCCCTGCACGGTCGCGAGGGAGGAAAGCAAAATCGGCATGCCGTCCGCGAAGCGCGGCGGTGGCATCCACCGAGGCGGCTCCCACTTACGGGACGTGCGGCCGTCGCGCTCGTGAAATTTGACCAACCGTAACCCCGGTTGCTGGAGGTGCTTCTCAAGCCAATTTGCGACTGCGTCGCCCTGATCAGTGCCACCGCAAATGGTATCCCACAAGAGCATTTTGTTTGACGCTGTTGAAAATGGGCTTGTTGCGCTGCCTTGTGTGTTGTCAGTTGACGTAGACATTTGTTCGCGAATAGCAACTGTGATCTTGCTAATCTCCGTTTCCCCGTCGGTATCGAAGAAGCGCAACGTTATTTCGCTTTTCGCGTAGTCTGGCAACGTCGGCTGGATCCGTAGTAGGAGCGGGTTCTCGCGCACAGTGAGGACTTCGGCTTGCGTGAGTGCTTGGTTTTCTGGGGAGCTCACGTCTTTCTCGCGGTGAAGCTCCGGCCGCATCACGCAGAATTCGCGATCAAACTCCAAACCCCGGGGGAAGACGCGCGCAGTCGCCACCTCGACGCCCGCACAGCTCTTCACTGGGTAGACGCGAAGTGAGGCGACAAAGTGGGTTTTGCCTCCGTTGCGTCGTGTTGTACAGGTGTTGTTAGTCTTAGCTGCAGTGCTGTTAGTCGTGTTGCTCGTTTTATTCGTGCCGGAGGACAAAACGCTCAGACCGGAAGGGGGTTCCAACAGTGTGAGTTTTTTCAGTAGGAAAAGAAAAATACCCAGATACACACCCATGGCGACCACATGCGTCAAGCCGTAGAGAAGTGCGTGGTGCTCGTAGCTGAAGCCGAGGTCTCGCAACCGGTAGGTTGGTGAGCCGAAAAACGAGAAGAACCCCGCGAGACACACGCCCACTACTAGCCGTGTGCGCCCGGCTGCCTTCCGACTGCTTTTCGACGTCAATTCCATGATTTCTTGGTGCCAATACTAAGTTTGGATCACCAGGATTAGCTCATAAGGAAAAATCAGATGAAGTTGATAGAGTATATTTCCCTCGTCGACAGAGGTCTTGTATGTGTTCTATGTGCCTACCGAGACTGTGAATACCATCGAGAGCACAACTTCAGTTTTGCGATGCACAAAATAAATTAGCAGGCTTATAAGTGGAGCAGCGGATGTGGCGCGTAAAACTACATTGGTGGATCAAGAGATGATGTGGGTGCAGATCTGTAGTAGATACGTACGAGATCTTCCTGCATCCTCAAAGTATGCACCTGTACGCTTCTTGTTGTTTTTTCGTGGATCGGTTCGTGATCCGTCAATCCTGTACTTCTTTCTGGTTCTGTGGTCGTTGAAACACATTTGTCTTCGCTTGAAGATACGAGGCCGCTCCTTGTTTTGCGCTAGAAGTGGTGGCATGTCTGGAAATATGGATTTCAGTATTGCGCGAAACGGAAAGAAGAAACGGAACGTCTCGAGGTTTTGACACACTGTGCGACGACGATTATCATACACAACATTACGCAATTTGTTTCACCATCACAAGACGACCCACTGAACCCCTGCTGTGCGAGTAGGCTTTATTTTCGACGCCGCGACCGCGAGGCTGGTACACCAGTACTCACAGAAGAGGGATGAGTTTCCCCTTCAACTGCGCGAACTCCTCCGCAGTCATCGCCCCCGTGTCCACCAAGCCCTTCGCCGTTGCCAGTCGTGCGGCGGGATCGTCCGCGGGAATGCGTAGCATGTAAAACTTGTGGTTTTCGCCGTACATCGCGCCTCCCTCGTCTCCCCCCGTGAGCGCCGCGCCGGGCCCGTGCCCCGCCCCGGCGACGGACTGTTTCTTGGCGGACGCGATTAGGCGCTGTGCCTCCATCGAATCATGCACGAAAAATTGCGGCGGGTTCTCCGTACCGCCCAGCTTCAGGACGGGCATGCACAAGACCTCCCCGGGTTGCGCCGTGCCCGTGTTGGTGGCGAGGTCGAGCTCCCACTCGGCACCCCCGCAGCAGCAGCCGCAGCACGCGTTTCCCGCAGTGCCAGTGGGCAATGCCTGTGGATATAAAGAGATCGGAGGTTTACGTTGATTGTTCACGCACGATCCGCTTGCGGAAGCGAAAACGAGAATGAAAACGAATTTTCAACGGTGCTACTCTTTCATCAAACAAAAACAAAATCGCAATGAGACTCAGCCCTTCAACGAGAAAATTAGAAACCTTGTTCTGCCGAATTTGCACTTTGAAGATTAGGTCCTTCGTCAACACCACGAGGCCGCCGGTCAGGTTTGGTTTCATGCAGCACAGAATCACGTGGCCGACAGTGACGTGCGGCGCGATGGGGACCGCAAAGTACAGTTTGGCTAGATTGCACTGGAGCTTCCGGAAGCCGCCTGGCGTGAGCTTCCACCAGTAACGGAAATCCTTGCTCGAGATCTGCTTCATCTGCAGCGCGGCAGCGACCTCTGGCGTGATATCAGACCCGTGGTCCACATATTCACGTCCGATTTTCGTCGGCTGACACCCCATAGTTGTTCCTCGTGGAACTACTTCTGATATTTACTGTTTCGAAACAAAAATGCCGAAAGCTCTGCAGTGACGAGAGAGTCGTCACATGTGTCCGCAACAAAGGACCACCAAAGAAATTGGATACGCCCACCAAGCTACTTGAGTACGAGAGTAGATGCTTCCAATGGCAATAGCAACATGAAAGAGAGGAAAAATGATGTGTGTGTACGACGAGCTTCATGCCCGGTAAGGCGTACGTTCCAGAGGAGGGACACTCATATTAGCTTTCTCTGCCTAAATTGAGCACTCTTTTGCTTGTGTTCGTGCTACAGAAATGCACAAGATTAATCCAGGTCTCAGACGTGTGATGTTCTTTTTTCTGCTTCAGAAATAAACACAAAAATATTTTCAAGGCGCATTTGTCTAGGCTCCATAGCCACCAGCACTCAAGTGGATGAGCTGCTGCATGAGTGTCTTTTACTAAACAGAGAGTTCGCTTTTCTTTTTTTTTGCTACACACTGAAAACAAAAGACGTTGTCAGAAAAGCGTTTCCCGTTCCCACGCTTCCACATCACAAGCTCCCGCGCAGCCGAAGTGCAGCACCTTTTTTCTCCTCATTCCCAAATGGGCGAAGAGCATGTTGTACGGGCCCGTTTTGTTGTGCGCGACCGCTTTGCCGCTGGTTGCGAAGGCCATCTCCAGGGTGTCGTCGCGTTCCACCACGATAGTTTTCACGTAGTCGAAGAGGTTCGGGTTTTTCCGAAACTCCTCCAGCAAACAGCCCTCGCAGTCCGCCATCACGAAGTCGATGGGTTCCGTGAGCATGCCTCGCAAAATCCACACGTCGGCCTCGACGGGGTTCAGCGAATGGTCAACCACTTGGTAGTGCGCATTGCACAGCCGGCGGTTTCGCGTGAGGGCGTCGGCCTCTACGTCTAGCATCAAATTCTCCAGCCCCTCGTAGTCTGTGCGGTTCAGCGCCTCGGCGTTGGGCTGGATCACAATGTGGTTGCGCAGATCAATTTCCCGGTCGACGGGGGCGAGGTAGGTCTTCGGCGGGACAGAGTACTGCTTTTCGTACGTGACATGCTTAGGCTGGTTCACTATCCTCGTGTCCGTCGCGACGCCAAAACTCCGCGTGGACTGGAACTGCTTGGCAAGGCGTGAAGCGACTTCTTGTGAGCTCGTTTCAACGCGACGACCCGCCGGGTCTACTATAGTCGCTTTCTCCAGCTCTTTTAGCCTTCTGTTCCAGGTTTTCATGCCCTCCTGCAGCACCACGCTGACGCTGCCCGAACCACCGCCGAACTCCAGAACGGACCGAACCCGGCCACTGCTCGCGTATTCCCAGGCCAGCTGCCGCTCCCCGTGCTCCTCCCACCCACTGCCGGAAATGGACCAATCGAAGCACTTAGGGACGTACTGCAACAGTTCCAGCGGAATGGCACGACAGCTGGTCGGCTTATCGTTCCGCGCCGTTGTAGTTCCATCGTCTTGCTCCGAGGGAAGATTTTTTACCTTTTTTCCGCTCGGCAGCTGCTTGGAAGAGGAAACAGGGTTGCCCTCGCTGTCCACGATGGTTGCGGCGGAGGACTCGGGGGTCCAGTTGGTGTCGTTGCTGTACACCTCGTACACGCACCGGATCTGCTGCGCGGGCTCGCCCGTGTGCGGATCGGTGGTCCAGTGCTTCGTGCACTTGGCGTTCCGGAACTGCTCGCGGTCGCTCTCAAACAGCTGCTTCTCCGCCCGATCCGACTCCTCCCGGGAACATTCCACAAGCGGCCGGACGGGAAGAGGATTTTTCGCGTTCTTCGCATTCTCGTTTGATGTTCCATCGTCCTCTTGCAGTTCTTCCGCCGCGATCGGACACTGGACCACGGCCGTGCTCCTGGTCGCCGTGCCAGATGGTTCAACGCTGTCTAGTACTTTGCTCACGTCGCCCCCTGTCGTGGCCGCCGTTCCACTCCTGCTTCGCGGTCTTTGTCTCGTTTCGACATTTGCTGCTCGAACCTCTGGGTCTCGGTAGCCGCAGGCACGCAGGGTGTTGCTGGAGACGCAACTTTGATAAGTATCGTTTTGAAAAAAGCACGGGCCGAACTGGTTCTCAGGGTCTTCGTGGAACGCGAGATTGATGCGGTCGCTTTCGCTGTCTGTGGCGGGAATGCGCCCGTCAATCGTGACCCGGGAATTTTCGGGGAGATACCCTTCGTTCAGCACGGAATTTATGTTCCAGTAGTAAAACGGTCGGCGGTGGTTCACGTTTTCTTCATCTCCGGTATTTTTATCATCTGCTCGCACGACCACATGGAAAGAATCCTGATGGTCCGGGAGGTAAAAGAAAAAAAATGGCAACGCTGCCCGTTGCAATGAAGATCTCATGATTGAACAATGTTCAAACGCTGGCCGCGGAGGGCCACGAGACTGGCTGGCGCTCTCCGCTATTGCGAATGTTTTTGTCAGCGGATTAAGGCATCCGCATGAGGATCAGCAACAATGCAAAACACGATAGAAGCAATTGACGAGCAGTACAGCAGGAAACCTCAGGATGATTTTAACCGATCATAGAAGAGAGCGACTGTGATCCATGACACGTCGAACACTTGATGAATATCGGAATGTGAAGGAGTCACAGCTGCGTGAAACTTTCCCTTTTTGCGATTGTAACAGGAGGCCTCAGGCCTGCGCGCTGGAAAGTCGAAAGGGAAGAGAAAATCGTGATGTCGTTCGGAATTTCTATCTTGCGTGACGGTCGGTTCTTGCGCACACTTGCCGCAAAGAAAGAACTACTTAGGAAAATGAAAATTATCAAGTGAAAAATCACAATGCTTGATTGATGCGCGCGCTAAGCGACGGCGCTTTTGGAATCAAAGCGCCTGTTGGTCCACCTTCTCCTGAGGGAGGAGGTGGGGTGGTGTTTCTCGGGGTTTTTGTCGCTTTTCCGAGTCCAGGATCTCCCTTGGGTGGACCGGGCGGTGGTGGACCGTAACCGTATTTTCCCCCGCCGGCTGCTGGGGAAAAACCCCCTGCAACCTGCGGATTCTTCCCGGGCGGAAAGCCGTATTTGCCCGGGCCGCCGGCGGGAGAGAGATCCGCGGCCTGCTTGTTGTGCACCATCGTCCCCTTGTGCGGTGGAGCAGCACCGTAGCCGTACGGGGTCGACATAATTCCGTAGTTGTGCACACCCATAGGTGCTGGCTGGGGCTGCTGATGCGGCGGATAGGGATGCGGATGATGTACTGGCGGTGGTGGCTGATGGTGTGCTAGGTTGCTGTTGTAGGCGGGCGGTCCGTAGCTGCCTTTCTTGCCGTATAATAGTTCGGATTGCTTAATACCGCCTTTCTTTCCCCCGTCTTTCTTCCCATACAACTCCGCACGCGAAACCTCAGAGACAGCGACATTCTCAAACGGGGCCGCGGGTACCGCCAGTCCTCTGTGCTGCGTTTCTCCCATAGTACCATGCCCAGAAGAATCGTCTTCCTCGTTGACTTGCAGATAAACACTGTGCGTTCCATTGCCACTGTTTGCTGCGACAGGGGCGTTCCTATCTTCTGGCTCACCGTTCTGCTGTTCTCGCCGGAGTGCTGCTGGGTCGTGATGTGCAGAGCTGCTGAATGCGCCGCTAACATAGTTGTAGTTGTGGGAGTCATAGTACTGCCCTCCTCTGCTTTCGTATTCGCTCGCCACAGTACCGTAGCCGTTCTCCGGGATGTGCGCTGCGTGAGGATTGGCGCCTTTGCTGCCGATAGAACTAGTGGCTAGAAAGTAGTGACTCGTATCGTCAGGAAGCGGACCTTTTTGTCCCGGTCCCGCTGCACTCCCGCCCTTGTAGCCAGGGTGTTGCTTCCCGAACGAGCTGTGATCGACTGGGTGCTGGCTTTTAGAAGTAAACTTGGAAAATGCACCCCCACTCGTTTTGTCAGCATAGTGGTGCGCCGGTGTTTCTGCGGGTCCTTTTGAAGTGCCGCTCGGATACAGGCTCGTCTTGGTACCATTCCCTTTCTTGCCGCCGAAGAAACCAGTCCCTTTATAGTTCGCAGTGCCAGCTGCCGTTCCCTTACTTCCATGCTCGCCCGTGCCCAACGCGTACTGTGCGGCAGCGGGAGCTCCCGCGTAGTCTGCCAGAAAAGCGCCCTTTAGCCCCGACGGCTTGCCGCCCTTCTTACCGGCGCTTGTTCCCTTCATTTCAGAGGCCAGACTGAAGTTCGAGTAAAAGGATCCCGCATGAAGATTTCTCGGTGTAGTTTCCTCCTCTTCTACTTCCTCCTCGCACAACATCTTTTGCGCCTTTTCCCACTCGATCTGCTGTTCCCTTTGAAACAAAAAGCCACGCACGCTCGGAAACAAGTGACAAAGCCACCACCAGGCCACGGGCTGGTCGAAGTCCTTGACGAGCGGCGGGCCGAGGCAGCTGCGCCAGAAGGGGTCGCTGCTGTAAAAAGTTCGGCGCGACAATCGCTGAAACGCCTTAGACTTCGGAGAGGGTTGGAAATCGAAGGGGCTCTCTTCTTCAACGACAACGGAGTTGTAAGGAGGGTCATCCCCCACTAGGTTTTTACTGGGCGGCTCATTTTCATCGACTGCAGAAGCTCTCTGAGGAGGTAGCTGCTCTCCGAAATCGTTCTCCCCGATGAAGTTGTCCGCTCCTACGCGATAACCGTGGCTACTCTGGTCCTCTATTTGGTCGACAAATATCAACTCTGGCTCGTCTTCTTCCGCGATGTGACGTGCAATTTGAGCATCTTCATGCTGACCGCTTGTCGCAGTTGCAGGCGCTTCAACTACTTCAATCTTTCGCTTCTTGGACGTGAAGGGGGATTGGGACAAAGACGACCTACTTGAAGAAGACCCTTCATCGTCACTTCGTCCTGTGTTTCTCCCAGCCACGTCGTTTCGAACATGCTCCGTTTCGACCAGGGAAGCGAGATTGCTTTCGAGGTTCCCTCTCTTCTCCGGGTTGTCAATCCTGTAGTTTCCGCCGTCGCTTTTCGTGAGATCTTGTTTTTTGTCAGCAGGACTTCCAACACGCGCGTTCTTTTCCTGTGCGGCGGGCACGGATTCGAAACTTTGCGCTGGGATTTCAACATCGGGTTCTTCCGCATGTCTGATTGAAGGTACAACAACCGGCGCAGGTGGCTCGTCGTTGCGCTCCGCCGGGGCTTCTCTATTGCCCAGATCTTCATTGTGGCCAGCTTCTATAACATCGCGTGCTGCTGAGTCAACGCCTTCGGCACTACTAGCTGGCTGATTCGGATCGTGCTCCTGCGGCGATTCATCTAGAACTTCTTTCTGGTCGTTGTGAAGCTCTTCCGAAGAGGACAGATCCGAGATACTGTCCTCGTCGTCTGCCCGTGCCTTGCTCATGATGCTGGTACGAATACATGAAGCTTTACATCATCTATCTATCAGCGATGAAGTTGTAGGTCATCGTCGGTCTAGATCTAGAAAAACTGTCACATTTTTACCATTAGGTTGTCCTTTGTTTTCCAAACTGATAGAACATGATGAATACTGTATCAATTCTCTCGTGACGAGATCTAGGCATGATCTTCAAAAATGTTGTAAAAGCGCCTTGGTGTCGTGTGGCAGTTTCGGACGAGGACCCTTGAAGCAGTCGCGAGGTGAGGAGGACCTTGTTAAGATCGCCAGCGGTACTCTACTACGACGGACCTTCCTGTAGAACTACCCGAACCCTCTTCAAGCATGATGCTGCTGCTTGCTCTAGTTTCTGATCATCAGAATTTCAAACTGTGCTGGGTGGGCTTTCTTCTTATCTTCTAATTGTATTTCGGTTTACTCTTAACAGCTTTGAAAAGGAACAAGAAACGCCTGAGAGGTATCATTTTCTATGGATTTAGTGGCAACTGAATGCATTGGAATTTCAATGGATTTTGTTCTGCTACAAGTCGCAGTTGCAACTTTGATTTCCGAAAGCACCAGAGTTTAGTGCACCTTCTGTTCAGAGTTCTAGGTAATGGCACTTATTCAAATACCGCTTAGCTTCCTTTTGCAAAAAAAGACAGGCTGCAAAAAATCTTCACAAGATCGCGAAAGAGCGCAGACAATAGAAGATAGAACTGCACCTGAAAAAGCATAATGGTCGTCATACAGATCGCTCTTACTTCGGCAAAACTTTTAGAGGCGACACGATAGTTGTAGATGGAACGCATCTTTCTATGCAGGCGACCTCGCAAAAACTCCAACATCTGAGGCTGTCCTTCTCCTTTCTCGGTCCAAATTAGATCTGCTATCGTACATTATGATGATTGGCCCAAAAAAAGTGAGCTTTTCTAGTTGTATCTTTTCCCTTCCACACACTGTGGTTCTTTTCGCCTGTCCTTTGCTCACGCAAATCCCGCCCGCCTTCGGAGGCCGTTGAGTCGCTGCTCTTGCGCTTCTGCTTCCGCCAACGCCGTTTCGAGTTCGCGGTACTGTTGTTTCAACGTGGTTTTCCGGAGGGACGTTTGCGACAGGGAATCGTCACCGACTTCCGCCGCAAGGCGCTCGCTTAGAATTCGGACTCGATTGTTCAGCGCCGCAAGGGTTGCTGTTGAAGTTGACACAAGCATTTGCATTTCTTGCAATTTCAGACGGACGAGCACGACATCGACATGAAAAAGGAACTTATACATAGCATTTTTCTTTTTCATTCTCGAACTGTAAACCATATTAACCACAACTCGAACTGCATTACACCATCTAGTCTTTTTCTTGCAATTACCGATCTCCTCCTCCGCGGTCGTGGGCATCCGTAGCGCCGAGCTTTCCTCTACTTCTGGAAGGAGGACCTCCACTTCTCCCCGAGTTTGCTCTACCCGATTCACCGTCGAAGCAAACTCGCTGTAGTCTGCTTCCTCAGAACCTGCAGGAATAAATCCAGTAGTGCTGGACATTGAGGCAGACGCCCGCTCATTTTCGACATCTCGGTCGACCTCCCCTGCATTCACAACGTCCAGATCCTCCAGAATCTCATCCGCATCGGAGTCCTCCCCCGTGCCTGCGCTCTGCTTACTGGTTGTCGCAGATTCCTTGGACAACTGCTCTTGCCGGCGGCGAACCAAGCGGCGCGACCGCACAGTGCTACCGCGGCCTCCTTGGTCGGGGTCGATCTTGACCCAATAGCCAATACAAACCAGCGCTAACCCGATCAAGAGCAGTGCCTGCACGGCATAGGCCGCAAAGAGCGTGATCTGTTTTATTGTTTTATTGCGAGAATAAGAAGTCAAGTGGATCGAAGTGCGAACAAACTATACGTATAGTTTTTGTACCAGCCGACAACCACAAAGTGATCAACAATGAAAGCGCAATTTTAGCGGCCGGCCCCAGTCCGACTACAACTACATATTTATGCGTAAATTATCCTGACGACCCCAGACGGCCGCGAAAAAACCAACCATACCAGAGTCCAGTGTTCCTCCTGCAGCACTTCCAAAAAGGACTTTTGTTCGGGCGGTGCGCCCATGTAGAGCGGGGGTGGTAGGTCGTGGCCGTGCGCGTTCCCTTTCCCGTGCGAACTGACCCCGATTGCGATGTGCGCGGAGGGCACGCCGGGCAGCGTTTGCGTGTGGTGCCACGTGTTTTTGGGCACGAAGAGGCCGTCTCCCGGGCCGAGGATCAGAGTTTCGTTGGTGTCGAGGAACCGCCACTTTTTGTAGCCAAACACCTGCACTACGAACTCGTCCATGTCGTCCGCGTGAGGGTCCAATGTTGTCTTTCCTCCTCCACCTACGGGATCACGAGATGGACCTGCTTTATTACCTGCTGTTGTCATCATGGCACTCAAGTCAGCCTTGGACTCGATTTCGAGGTACGGTGGCGGCGCGGGACTGTAGTACAAGTTGATGCCAACATCGCGTTTCGGGAACAGGTTCGAGAAATCCGTGTGTAATGCACGCATCCGGCCACCAAATCGTTCGAGGCGCTGAACGCGCACGGAGCGCTGGTGTTCCTGCGAGAACGTCACCAGTTCGCGTAGTGAAGAAGAAGATTTAAGTTTCGTCGGACCTCCGTCACCAATGGACCTGGGGGCGTGGGGAAGCAGCATGTTGTCGCCGGCTGCTCCGGGGGCTCCTGCCGCGACGGTTCCTTGTCTGTAAAAGGAAGGGTCCTGGTGGTTGTTTTCCTGGAAGTGCAGTCGCTGCTCCCTGTCGAACTCCTCGAGTTCGTGCTGTAGCGCCATGCTGTAGCGACTAGACTTCCTTGGCTTGTTGCTGTTTGTCGGCGTTGCAGCTTTAGTACTTCCTCCTGAAACACCACCAGAGTTTGTTCCTTGCGTCGATATGCTCCCGCGATCGATTTCCTCTACAGGTCGGGGAAATTGGTGTGGTTGTACAACTTTTCCGCTGATGCCGCTCTTTGCGCCTTGTGGTGTGTGCGGCAGGGAAGCTTGGTACAGAATTTTCGAAAAACTTTCTTCCTGCGCCTGCCAGGGAATGTGCAGTAGGTGTCGCAAATTTCGAAAGGAAAACACCGTTTCGAAACTGTGCTGCAGCGCCGCGAACCCGGTGCGCCGCAGTTTCGTGGTCGTTAATCTGCTTTTACTGTTGTGGATCAGAGGTTTTGTTGCACTTGCGCTCTTCGCTTTTGTTTCGTTTCTGGTTCTCGCTGCAGAGCTAGAACTCGAGACATTTTTGGCAGCTTCCAAATTGCTTTGCTGGTTGTCCTCTCCTCCGGGCAATTTCTGTTGTTCAGCAATATGTGCAGCTACTGCTTTCGGTGCCGAAAACTTCTTGCCCTCAGCTTCCACTTTGGCCGCAGGTGTTTCGAACGGCGGAATGAAGTCAACGCCCATTTTCCACCAGATGTTGCCGTCCATTCGCAGAGCGGATTCCAAAACACCCGCGTCGCTGTTTTGTCGCATCGTCTCTGCAAGAGAGCGATGCAGCGCGGCCGCGCAGTCAGCAGAGCGTGGCGCATTCTGATGCTGTACTAGCGTTGATGGTGATCCGTCAGCAACTGGATGTGGAAGAAGTTCCTGTTCCTCAACTACAGCTGTATCGGTAAGGCATTTTTGGTCGGTATTCACAAGTGCGTGGTGCCGACGCTGGAACAGCACGGACGTAGTGTTGCGCTGTTGGAACCATTCGAGGCTTCGCGGTTTGAAAAAGTCCTCGGCCCCGTCCAGGCGAGTTCCGCTCTGGGAACGGGCATCGTCGACAGTAATGACCATTTTTGAAAGTGGCAAAACAGAGCGCTAGTTGCAGAGTGGAATCTTACCAAAACCTCACACAAAAATTCATGTTTGGTCAAAAGTATAGCAATCACGTGCAGAAGCTGATTATTTTCATATTAACGTCCTTCCAAGTCCTGATATCTACAACCAGCATCGACAAAACGGAACATACGGGGAACGATTTGGAAGAGCTGTGACAGGCTGCAAATGCCCTCGCTCTGTTCCCTCCTTTTTTTCCGAGCACAACAGCTGCGTCCTTCCCGAGACTCTCCACATCGCTCTTGAACCAAAGCAGCGGTGTCCTCGACAATGGCGACATCCGAAGTCAAACACTTCACTCAAAGAGAAAGATAGACTTTAGCACGTCCTGCGAACCACTTCTGCGAGAGCGACCATCTGGGCTTCATCACGCGTCCACCCACTGACATTTTTCTTGTAGAAGCTTTCGTTGTTCGACATTGACGAATTAGTTCACGATGGGGCCATCCAAGGAAATTTGCGACTTACAGGCTGCGATTCAACATTGGATTTTGAGTTCATCGATGGGACATTGTTATCTCATTGATTTACGAATCCGGTTCATTTTGCTCAGGTCAGAGCACGAAGTGAAGGATACAAAGTGAAAATGAGACATCATCATCATAGTCATAGCAAATTGATGGTCATTAATAAGTAGTCGTGAGCTAGAGTAAGCTTTGACTACCTTTCTTTTGTCTGTAGGTACGTGTTGTTTGTGGTTTCTTGAATTCTCGGACTGGTAGGTAGGGTATTGCAAAACACTTCCGCGTCTTCATCTCCTTGGCTCGCTTCTCTTCCTACACCTCGCGACTGAAGAGGATGTTGAACGACTTGCCTCCCCAGTCCACGTCGCGGCGGTAGGCACCGGGGCCGGGCCCCTGGCTTTTTCCCAGATTGGAAAACCGGTCTTGGCTGCAGGAGAAGGGGCACTTCAGCTCGTTCGGCGGGCGGTTATCCAGTGTGTAGGATCCCGGACCAGGCTTCTGGTCGCCCTTCAGCTGTTTGAAGCGATCCATGCTACCCAGAAAGCCCTCGCCGCGTGGCGGTACCCGAGCGACCCGCCCTATCTGACCGGGGAGCCGCGGGCTGTAGGCACCTGGGAGAATCCATTTTCATGTGTTCGGATGCGTCAGCTTAATCTTTATGTTCCAGCGTTGAAAACAACTACTAAACTACAAGCACAAAATTCACTGCACAACCTGCGTGGTTGTAGCAGACACTTCTGCGGTGCCTTTTCGATGTAAATCGGTACACGTACACTGCCTCGAAAAACCTTAAAGAACAAATGTACCTGGACTCGGCCGTGGTTCGTTGGAGCCGCCGAATTTTTCGCTTTTTCGAAGTGGCTTCTGGAAGGCGGCGGACGTCCTGCCTCCTCTCTTGAAGGAGGATGGCAGGTCGTACGCACCAGGACCCGGCTTTTGGTCGCTGTGGAGAAGTTAGTAGGTAGCGATTTTTGCGAGTCAGAGCCACTTTTTTACCTGGAAGCTACACTATGAACAATCATCGATCATCTTCTGCTCCTCCTCGACGTCTTGTATCTCATCTGCAAAGAATGGAAGTGATCTCCACCGCCCTATCTGGTAGAACTGGTGTTCCATTAGCGAAATTTCTGGTTTATTCTTGTTTGATGCAGAAGCAGAAGCTCATAACTATGTATACCGCGAGTCCCCCGCGGGCTCCTCCGGCGGGAGTTCTCCGCGCGCCATCTGCTCCGCGCTGGGTTTTGGTTTTCCCTCCCCATAGCGAAATCTCCTAGAGGTGGCGCCGAACGCGAAGCTGCCCTGGTTGCTGAGGAGACTAAAGCTGCGACTCACGGTGGACATAGCATCGGGATTTTGCCACCCAAAAAACCCGTCCGTATTGGCTGCGTTGTAGGTGCCGGGGCCCGGTTTTCGCTCGAAACGCGACGTGTGCGACTTCCACCGCTCGCCGTCGCGGGCGAAGCAGGACGCAGATCCTGTTGATAGAGCATGTTGATAAATTGATATATTCTATTGCGTGGTCCTATTTTCTCTGACAAGTACTATAGCCAAAGCACGGCACTGTAAGTTTTCGACCAGCTGCGGAGCAATGACAAATTGCAATTGAACATGAACCTCAGGTAATTCCAAGTAAAGTACTTGTCGCTTCCTCGGAAATTGAGCCCGGAAAGCTGGAGTACGCGCCTGGGCCCGGTTTGGTTTCTTTTGCCGCTGGCTTGAAGCGGCGGGAAGTGCTGCCAAAAAACTGGTAGTCGCCTCGTTGGAAGGAGCTGGAACTGGAGGAGGACGAAGAGGCGACCGAATACGCCCCAGGACCGGGCTCTTCCTCGTCCCCGGAGCGGAAACCTGGATGGAAAGGATTTTTTTTCTGGTTTTTCCGAAGCTGATGAACGAACCAGGCAGGAAACAAATGCTAATGCTACTGTTAGGACATATTCCAGGGATTACTACTTCGACAACTTTATTTGCTTAAACAATACCTCTTTGCGTCCCGGACTTGAAGGCCGCGCCCGGGGTCGTGTGGCGCTGCTTCAAATTGGTTGTCGCTTGATAGTGGCCGGGCCCTGGTACGTCTTGCAAATTTGACAAAGCCTTTCGGACGCCGCCCCCGAACTTTCCTCCCCGGATGCTGTTGAAAATATTGGGCAACTAGAAGTACTCACACAGGAACTACAAAGATCCAATGAAAAGACAGACATTGATGGGATAAACATAAACTTTCAGAACCAACAGAGACCAAATACTTTTTCGGGCCGGTTTTCGTGACGCCGTCAGACAGCGTGTAGTGGTTTGAGCCTATTCGGTCAGATCCGATGCCTGAAACTACCTGCTGCGGTGGCTCCTGCTTCACCAGTACGCCTCCTGCTGTCTCTCCGTACCCGTACCTGAGCGGCATTTTGATTTTGCTTTTTCGACGACATGTAGCCAGATACGACGAGACAACACGAATTTTGTCTTTCTTTGACCCTTTCTTTGTGCGAAGATGACTCACAAGCATAGGGAAGATGACTCACAAGCATAGGGATAGGGGGACAAGCAACATACGATAAAGTACTCTGCCAAAAAAAAAATACGCTTGTGATGGCTTCGGTATAGAGGGCTTCGAGTAGCGCGCTTTTCGTATGAAGTCGGATCGCGGATCCTCCGGAGCCCGGCCCATTGTCCGATGGCCGTACTCCACATCTGGCTCAACGGGTGCCGCCACGTTGTATCCCGCGGGCCCGGGTCCCGGCGGTCGTGGTCTCGTCCCGAGTCGTGCGCCCTAAGAATTAGTAGTTTTGATGAAACGGTCTAGGTATACGAAATCTTGATCTTCTTACTTCTGTATCTCTTCGTTATAGAGAAATGGCGCCGTCGTACTGACAAAAACGGAGCGAAGTCGCAGGGAATTTTTCGCTTTTATGCGTATAATGCCAACAACAACAAAAACAGCAGTACGCTGACGCCAAAGGGGACTCCGAGGCCAGGAAATTGTTTTTGTTTCGGCGGCAGTTGCGGTGTATAGGTACCGGCGTCGGGACCCGCTGATATGCTGCGGTCGGGTATGCGGGCACTGGTGCTGGTAAACGGGGCGCAAGACGGATTGTGCTCGTAGACCTTGTGGCCCATGTAGCTACCGGGCCCGACACCCTCATCGCACCCGGTGACTGCGCTGTAAGACTTACGTTCCGCAAGGCTCGTGATCGCCATCCTGCTGATTGGCGTGCCGTTGAGACCGCGAAAGAAGCTTGGCTTATCTTCTGTCTATCTCAGATGAAACTGCTGTATTTGGTTCTTCGGCCTTCTCAAGCTCGTCACTTCTGTTGGACCCGAACTACAGCTTATCTTTTACGAATCAGCGGGGTGCGATGTGCTGCACAACAAAAGCTGACAAGTGACCGCGAAGTTGATTCTAGTATATGTCGCGTCTGGGTCTGTGTTGTTTTCCTGGACGACGTCGCCGATTCACCGATTTTGAAAGCGACAAGGAGGTGCTATCCGCTTTCGTGCACGACGTGGGACAAGCTTTTGCTTGTCTCTATCTCGCAGGTGTCTCCCCTGGTGATCCGTTTTCTGCACCGGTGCGCTTTCGCCGAGGCTCCCACTTATTGCGGCGAAGGATGCCGAGGCTCCCACCTAGTACTGCTATCGGGCACGGACGCTCATCGGAGCAATCATCTACTTCGTTCAATTTTTCGACGTATAAACGGGCACGCGTCGAAGATGCGAGGTGTCGCTTTTTCCTCCTTGTTCCTCTGAACGTGCCTTGGAACGGGAAGCTACAACAACTTCGCGGCAAGGTTTTGGAAGTCGTCGCTATTTTTTTGCCAGTCGGACCTATACCCAATTCTCCCAGGAAAGGGACACTGCGGAGTTGCTTGTCTAAGAGAACTGAACTTGTCGTCTTACAGAAAATGACTTTTCGATTTGGAGTTCAGCAGAAAGTCACAATAATTTATCAAGACGATCATACGCAAACGAACGACGGTAGTAGAGTACTACACGACCGGAAAAGATGATCTCCTTGCGGTCCCTCTCATCGTCGAATGAAACGATTTCTAAACCAACGATCTCGCGTGATGAGAATCGAAAACGAATATGATTTCTGATGCATTCTGCGACCTGTGCTTGTGCGGCTGTGGCTGTGCTGTTGTTCACTGCGCAGACGCAGATTGCCGGCGCCAGATACGCCTAGAGGCGACGACGGTGGCATATATATTTATTTTTATCATTGCTCTCAGGCTGATGTCAAGTGCAGAAGTGACGACGACGCTCCTCGACATTGCATCTTCTGAAGCGACCCATGAGCACGAGCACAAACTCTCACGACTCAACCAAATGCACGAGGAAAAATGACCACCTGAATGTGGCCACATGCGCGTGAAGATATTTCTTTCGTAGGAAATCTCGCACTAGATTCAGCCGCATTTCCTTTTTGTTCTTCTGTCGCTACATCGTGGTTTCGAAGTTGTAGGTTACTTTGAATGAGAACATGTGAGCCGTGCTATCTGTCTTCACAATTTTTGTCATGTTCGTGTTCTTCGGGAAAACGAAAAGTGTTGACTCAAATACACTACAAGATTCTGATTCTCTATCAGTGTGAATGTCTCCACAAATAATAAGAACTGGTTTGTTTTTCACATAGTGCGTTCTATTTCTATGTATTACTTCTTCATCTTCTTCTTGACCTACCAGATTAATCGCTGCACAAACCGCCTCTACAAGTCGGTTGAAAACTTCATGCGTGCAATGATGCTATCCTCATCGTCGGCTTCGCTTTCGTTGTTCTTCGTCAGCTGGTTGGTGCTTGTGGTAGGGGCCCCACTTATTGCGTCCTCGAAGGCCGCACTGAGTTTGATACCCTGCGCTTGGCGAACCCTGCGCCGACTCAAATCGCACCCACTGGTCCACTCAAAGCCAAGTGCCTCTGCCACTGCCAGGACTGTGCCGGAGCCGCAAAACGGGTCCACAACCCCATCGAAAGTGAAATTGTCTTTCACCCAAGAGAGCACTTGTTTCGTACACTCCACACCCATGCACCGCGTGCGGTGCTTCAGCTGCGCGTCGGCCTTGCCTCCCTTGTGCAAAAACGCCGGCAGTACGTCGTGCGACCACGCCATTTGCTGTTCGTACACCTCGTTTGCGTTCTGGGCTTCTTTGGTTTTCTTGTTGCCTTTTTTATTGTTTTTCGTCTCCTCTTCACCACAACGAGCAGGTTTTGTCGTTGCATCCGCACTGCAAAGCGCACCAGTTCCAGAAGTAGATGTTGTGGAAACGTTTTTTCCGCTTCGATCAAAGAACTCAGCGATCAACAGGTCACTAGATGCGGCACGTTTTAAGTCAAAGCAACTGCCCGATCCTCTTGTCCCAGTTCCAGAAGTGAAGGTGTCGTCGGGGCTATCTTCACTTTGAACAGCCGGAACTCGCCGGAACAGCATCTTTTTCACGTAGCCAGCTGGGTTCGACTTGTTCCCTAGTTTCGGAGAAGCGGTTGAAAATGCACAACTACTCGCCCCAATCGAAGAGTTCCCGGACCTCGGCTCCAGGACAACAGAGCCTGCAGCATTGCCCTCAACATCTTCGGACGAGGGAGAAGCGTAGCTTCTTGGGACAGCAGGAGCAGCTTCATCAAGAGTGTGTGCAGCTCCGTCTGCCGAACAGGATGATGAATCGTCGTGCCGCTCCGGTGTACTGTTTGGCGACGCAGTTGCAGCCACGGGAGAGGGCTGCAGGATGCTGTCACACGTTGAGTCCAAATCCTCCGCCGAGGTGAGTACCTCCTTCGGTGCAAGAATCTTTTTCGTAGGTGTGGTGCACGCGACAGCGATGGACTCTGCAGCATCGGTGGAGGATGAGGCGCCTTCAACATGATCTGAAGCCTCTTTTTTTTCATCCGTCATGCCTTTGTCTTCTAGTACTTCTTTTTTAACGTGATTGTTCATCTCTGTCTCCTTTTTATCGTTGTGATTTCCGGAAGCTGTCGTCGATGCCACACATGACGAGCTGTTTTGTTCCTCCTCTATTTTTGTCACTGGAGTGGGGCAGGATGCAGCTGCTTCCTTGCTGCATATTTCAGCCGTCTTCATCCCCTTTACAAAAACTTCATCCTCTCGACTATCGAGGCAGAAATCGCTTGCGGAGCAGCTGCTACTCGCCGAGCTTTTCGCATCGGAGTTGCGATCCGGATGGTGAAACAGTGTGACTTCGAGCAAGCAGTCGGCCGCGGCTGGAGAGGGCCTTTTTACGCTGTCCCGACTGCTTGGCTCCGCCAGCACGCGGCAGACCGCCGTTGGAGCCACGGGTTTCCCGTCAAATTGCCCGTGCGAGGCGAGCACCGACGAGCGAATGTGGATTTCCTGCTTCCGAGAGACGGTCGTGACCACCTTCAACACGTCCTTCCGGCGGATCTTGGCCCGGACGGAGTGCTGCAGCTTGCCGAGACCACAACCCAGTTTCTCCCAGGTGCCGCACAGCTCGTTCTTGAGCGACGGGCGCGGATTGCCCTTGCGCACGCACAGCAGGTGCGTGAACCCGGGCTTCTTCCCGTTACTATTGGGGACGTCGAACGCGTCCGCCGCAATCTTGTGCCACGCGAGCTTCAGGTGCAGCAGGTTCGCCTCCAGCCGCGTGTTGCCGACGGCCCGGTTCGCCTGGATTCGCTGCTCGTCGATGGCGACAAAGTCTTCCTCCAGCTCCCGCACTGCGTCCGTGACCAAACTCGCCTTGCTGACCTGCGTCTGAAAATCCGGCTTCACGTCCGTTTGGTAGAACACTGCCAGGGAGTCGGTGGGCAGAGCGCACAGGACCGCCTTCACCGCGTTTTTGAAGAAGAGCTTGTACACGAAAATCTTCAGCTCCTCGTCCTCCAACTGCAGGTCTTGGTCTTCCCCCACCATCTCGCAGATGTCCGGCAGGCTGGTAAAAACGCACCAGCTGCCGCTCGGAAACGTTTGGGATACCCAGCTGTCCCGCGGCGTTAGTCCGGTCTGGCGCGAGGACCAGTCTGCGCTGGCAATGTGGTTGAGTTCCCGCCGGAACCCTTCCTTTACCATACTAGCCAGCCGCAGCTGCACTCGAACGCGTCTGACGGGGACACTACGGCTGGACGAAGCAGCTGCAGCGCATGGCTGGTCGTTCTTCGTCTTGTTCCCACTGCTGCTGGTGGTGGTTGTCGTGGGCACATGCCATAAACTTTTTGCCTTTTCGGCAATCTTGGCCCACCGCCCGGCGAAAGACCCGATACCAAGCAATTCCAATGCGTCACCATGCTGCACAGTCCGGTACGGCCGCAGAGGGTCCTCCCCGGTGACGGAGGGCGATGAGGACATTTGTCGTTCGAAAAAAATAGCGAAGTTGTAGCTGTAACTGTAAGGATTTTAGGTTCTAGCTGGCAGTACGTGTCGCAGTTCTTCCTCTCCTTGTGACCTCAAGAGGCAGAAGAAGCGGAGGGCAGAAAAAAAGTTCAAACTCTTATGACTGATTTCAGACTCGGTCTTTCAATGTCGGTACTTGTACTCGAGTAGAAACACAGCTCACAAAAAAAAAAACTTCGTCGATTTGGTGGAGCGCATCATACTCACTGTAAATTTCTAAGTCTTGATGACAGGTTGACTGTGGTCATTGTATTCGTACGAAAAGAACATCGTCACTTCTTTACAAATGAAATCAGTCACTTCCTTCTCGCTGTGTGTCAATCATCTTGAGAAACATGCACTAAGAAAAGGCTGCTTAGAATGTCAACATGACGTGGCGCCGGAAGTTGAACATAATCATAAGGAAGCGGATGATCATGATCTTCATCTTTTTGAACTCGCTGCATCTATCTTGGATCGTTCGATCTTTCGACTAGTACCTTCATCTTTTTTCACTCATTGCCATGCGTACCTGCTGTTGATGTTGGCTTCTCCGTTTCAAAAAATGACGCGCGACTTCGAGCGCAAGTGTTGTTTCCAGAATCTGATTCTATATATGTGAAGTGATTCTTCTATCACTATCACTATCAAAAAAAGAAGAGACGAAACGAAGGGGGGGATCTTTCGGTTGAGCGGTTGAGAAGCTTCCTTCTTCTATTCCCATCACACATTTTATCTCAACATGTCTATCTGGCAGCGCGCTCTTCTCAACATGACGTTCTGCATTTTCGTCTACACGAAAACTTCACGACCATCTCTTTCATTTAGCGTTTGTTTTTGTTTCTGACGACCTCTTGGAGTCACACTCGCGCCAGCCCTGTTGACCTCGGAAGTCACAGCTTGAGTTTTGATTCCTTCAAGTTCTCTTTTTTCCGTTATGATACCCATACCATCATGAGATGACAGAGACTCCTGCGAACGTCCAACGTCCGTAACAACAGCCTCGTCTGGAAGACCTACAGGCACAATGGCCTGTTCATACACGTAAACTGTTTCTCGCCACGATGGTCTTCGTCTTCTTTCTTGAAGAGTTTTACTTTTATTCCCAGCACTTGCACTGCTTTCCTTCTCCGCTCCTCCTAAGACTTGGCTCTCCCGTCTGATATGAATTGTGGGTGATTCTCCTCGTAGCTTGCTCGGCTTTGAAGGCACTTCGCCAGCGTTCATGATCTGCGCAACTGGAGCCCCCAACTTTTGACCCGCCGCGCCAGAATGTACTGCATGAACCTCGACTTTCACCGTTATGCTGCGCTCGTGGTCTGGATCGTGATTCTGCAGCGTCAGCGTCCTATGTTGCGGCTGGATTTTGGTACCAGCATGCCGGTGATCTTCACGACGCCCGTTCTTATGGGCGTGGTCGTCTTCGTCAATGCGCAGCCACGTGACTTCGATGACTTCCTTTGGCGCGAGAACAGCGGTAAAACGAAGTCGCGGGCCGTCGTGGTGGATACTGGAAAATCGCTGGCGTGATCGTGGCACGTATTTCTTCCACTCACCCAGGAGAAGGAGACCAGGCGTGGTTTGTGTTGGTTTCCAGAAGCGATACATCCAAAAGAAATCGTACGGCACATACGCAGGAGAGTCATTTCGAGGAGCAGATGCTGTAACTGTCTTTATTTGATGGTCGTTATCTTGGGGTTGCTGTAGTTCTTCATCTTCTTGCAACACCGGTTGTTGCATAATTTCCTGAGCTGTCACTCCTGAGTTTGCCGCGGTCGCTCCTTCTTCTTTGCTCTCCCCTGGCGCGCGGCAAGAAAAAAGCTTTATTTCTGCAGTGTGAGGAGCATGCGCTGGTGCTAAGTCCTCTCCAGCAGCTTCGGCGTCAAGGCTCGTTTGCGGAGCAGGTGTTTGTTGTAGACTCGCACTTATGTAGTTGCCGCGACCTTGTTCATCTTCTTCATCCGTATCGGAAGCGGCCGACCAAACGATCCGGAGATCGGAGGAATCGGAAGAAGATGGACTTCCTTCTGAGTTACGCGATTTTCCAGGGGGTAAACTGGTGTCCCATGGAATGTCTTTCCCCATCCCTTCGCTTGCGCGGTGAATTGCAAGCATCCACTTTTTCTTTTGGAGCGTATCAGTCTTCGCATCGGTAGTTTCGTCTTGGACGTCGACATCTCCGCTGTCGTCTGCAAGAAAGCTTCCATCTGTGCAAGCGCGCTCTACTTCTGCCGATATGACATGTTCATCGGTACTCTGGGTTTGAAGTAGCGCGCGGCTCCTCGTCTCGATCTCTTCCAAGTTTTTGGTCGTGAAGTTCGCCCGCAAGACTGCGACCGTATCGTTGTCGATATGGGAGCTCGCCACGCGCCCCGTCCGGTGGTAACCCCTGAGAAACGACTCGTCCTGTACCACCAGGGGCGTCCGCGGCCGGAGCAAAAGGCCGTCGCGGCGCGCACAGCGCTGGAGCAGAGAAGCGTCCAGCACCATGTCGCTGACCCCCACCGGCCCCAGGGAGTAGGTCGCCGTCAGACTATGCACCAGCAGGTTCTCAGCCGGGTCGCCGTAACCATCGAAGTTCGTGTCGCTGGGGTAGTCTGCGGAGCTCCAGAAGTTGTCTTTGCTCGGCCGGAGACTGCCCAGGGCGTCGAAGAGCAAACTACTGGCGAAGATGTCCCACGTGTGAAGTGCCGCGTAGTCGTCGCTCGCGCGGCCATTCGTGGCGCGGTCCATGCCCAGGGCCACAAACACGTCGCTTGGGAGCATCATGCAGTACTGGACCCAGACGTCGGCTCGTCCCGCGGCCTCATCGAGACCGGCAAGCCAGGCCTCGTAGCTGCCCAGAACCTGTCGGTAGTGGGCCGAACGCAGAAACAGCTCGTTCATGAAGTCAATCTCGAAATTGCGAAACACAGGAGTGGCCGGCGATGTAGAAAACCGCTTCGTCGGCTGTTTTTCTCCTGCCCGGTCCAGGTCGTGCTCAATCGTGGCAACATCGGAATCCACGCGAAACGCCTGCCGTGCGCGTCGGAACAGCTCCGCATAGACTTCCACCGCAGATCCGTCAAGTCCGTTCGGCGTCAATACGGGCATGGTCCCGCTCTCTGTCCAGGTCCAATGAGCGTCGTCGTGGCCAAGGCTGCTGGTGGTTGTATTTTGTTCTTCGCCTGGAACAACGGCGTCCTCGCCGTGGTGCAACCGCATCAGCGTGTTGTTTGGACAAAAGAAAGGGCCGTAGAGCATCAGGGAGGCGTTTGGGATGCTAGTAGCGAAGTCAGAGAAATTTCGGCTTGCGGGAACGTCCGGAGCAAACCTCCAATCTTCAACGCATTTGACGCCCCAGTCTTGCGGACTCGGATAAACGCCGCGGTACCACCAATCGTCGAGTTGGAGGTAGCGAAGCTTGGGAACTTCTATAGGAGCTGGCTCCTGTGTTGGCGGCAGTTGCGGCACTACACGGCCATGGCTACGGTCGGAATGATCGGCAGGATCAGCTGCTGCACTCTGACCTTGTCGGCCGCTTCTGTGTTCCATCGTTTCATTTCCTCCACCAGACTTCCGAAGCACGGGGTAGATTTTGTCGCTCGTGCAGCAAGTGACATTGATGTCGCGTCCGGTGCCACGCGGAACATTCCTGTTGTACGAGTCTCCGTAGAACTGTGCGCCGTTGTCGGTGAAAAATCCGAGATACGCGAGAACAGGATCCTCTGCGTCCGGCAACACCTTTTTTCTGTTTTCTCCACGTCGAACAAAGCTGTGCACAAACTTCCCCCAGGCGTAAAGCGTGTCGCGAATCAAAGACTTTTTGGTTTTGTTCGTCTGGAAAAATGGCACAGATTTTCGGTCTACCGCAGAAGATTTCATCTCTGGAACCACGGTTGCTCCTGTTGGGGACGTGGTCGAATATAAAACCGCTGAGTAGACTGTTCCGCTTGGGATGCTCGTGATCTCCCCCGACAGGCCCAGAGCAAGTGCATCAGCTGACCGCATCACAGGAATGTCATCCGTGCTCGCAGTCGTGGCGTGCATTACTGCGTTTTTGAAATGCGATAGGTGGGAAAGAACAGTCACCCTCTGACCCTCAGCGTCGAACCAGGTCAGCGGCGCCGATTTGTAGCCCAGGTGGTTCTGCCGTGGCAGCACTCGACCGTATTCCGCATGCATTTCGGCTATCTGACAGCCCGCGAAAAGAAAATAGTTCCAGTGTTTGTCGAAGTAGTCCATGCCGGCGAGATCAGCTGAAATTCGGATTTTTTGCAGTCTTTGATCCTGGTCGTCTTCGCCGGCACTTTCTTCACCCGGGCGAGGAGGCCCAGGCCTCGTTTCCGAAAGGAACACAGGAAACGCCGTCTGCGGTTCCGGGTGGCTGTCTTCCAAAAACGCTGAAGCGTTGCGATATGCCGTTCCAGGAAAAGAATCGCCTTCTGCCACTGATGAAACCGCGTAGTTGCTCTGAATGCTCTCGGAGTAGACGAGCGTAGTTCCTTCCGTCGCGCTTCCGCCTTCTTTACCGCTAGAATTTCCAGTACTTCCAGTTCCAGCCGAGAACAGTTGCTGAAACAACAAAATATCCGCTCCTCTATGGTCTTTGGTTCTGATGATGCGCAGTCGCAGCACGTGGTTCGTCTGCGGGTCCAACGTGAAGCGTAGCGTTCTCGCTTGTCCGGGGGGGAAGGAATCGGTATTATAGGAAATGCGGGTGGTGGTTCCGTCATGGTCCTCGGTTGCATATCTTCCATTTTGCGCTTCTTTTTCTTTTTCATCTCCTACTTCCTCAAAACCCCCGTCGGCAAAGACTTCGCGCCACTGCCCGCGGAAAAAAGTTCGCACGGGGGACCAGAGCCCTATGAGACCAAGGTCGCGAAGCGCAGCGTTTGAAAACCCGATGATGGTCTTCCTGAGGCTCTTGCCATTTTTAGACGTGTGTTTGTCCTGTTGGTCCTGTTCTAAATGTTGTACTGGGCTTGCGGTTTCATCCCGCCCGATTGTGGTTTTCGCTGCTAGGGACGAGGCGATGTTGACTGTACCCACTTTCACCTCGTCACCGTGGGCGGTCGGAAAGAAGGCGACTGTGACGAGAAACAACGACCAGATCACAACGAGCACACCGGAAGACCTGCACGAGCAACGTGCAGGCAGTAGGCGACGCATGCTCGCCTATCTGGAACGAATTTTTTTGCGGCAGATTCTTGAAGAGCGTCACTGTCTCTTTGCAATAGGCATGGGAGCTTCGAGAAGGAGGACAAAAATAAACGACCAAGATATAATTCTTATGACTGCGTACGACTACGAATACGATTCTTTCAGCCCACCTAATCATAAGGCGATCGATTGTGTGTGCTACCAAGAACGAGCTTCATCGCCACGAAACAGATGGGCAAGAGAAAACTTCCGTGCTTACGCGATGTACAAGCCGCTCTGAACTTTTGTTTTCCTCCGTGCTAGCGCGCCTTTTTGTATATACGCACACGCAGCATTGCGATTGCGTGATTTTTTATTTGGTCAGGAATTGATATGAGCGACAAAGTCGATTCTGAAAAAAATGAAAGGATATGTACCACTTCTCTGTCGTGTTTGTGTTTGTCCTTCTGATACTAGCCATAAACAGAAGGTAGCGTTTCAAGTGTGGCGAAAATTGGAAGCATTCTTCTCGCTTTCCTTGTGCTATTTGATTGAAATTGTAGATCGATGGAAAAATAAGTCAAAAAGAGTGAGCCTCGATTTCGCGGTCAAAAGTCAAAACTTAGAACATACGATAGATACATTAAAAGAAGAAGATGAGCAATTGAAAAATCATACCAAAAAAAATGTCTTTATTCTCTAGATTGAATACTTTCGTACTCGAGAGCCGACCGAATCATGAAAAAAGTGAAAGCACCCGATGAAACTTCTTCAGCATCAGTGCACCTCCACCTCCAGGTCTACTGGACCGTTGCAAATAACACCGCTTCCGGAATTGTAATCTTCCGCAATTCTAGTCGATATTCGTTTCATGCCGGCAATCGAGGCGAAGACGAAAAGCATGCCGCCAAAGAGGAAGACCACGCTGTGGAAGACAGAACGAGAGCACGAACGAAAGCAGGCCGAACAGGTAGTCTCCCTTCTGCGTTTTGTTCCTGCCCGCAGGTGCTTCCCTCTCCCTTCATGCGTTTTCGATTCCACTTTTTCGTGCAGCGGGGCATGCTCTGTCCTTGCTGCATAATCGTCCGCGTGGAGTAGGGGCCGACAGTCCTCTGCTAAAGGAGCGTTCGCAAACGATGATCCACTGTGGTTGGTGGTCTTCAGGCCGTCATCATTTCTACCTAGTCCTGTAGTGACCTTGAAATCCGGCAGAATAAGCCGCACTGTCGTATCTTCTCTTCTTTTTGCGTCGCTAGTATCGGCCACGAGATTTTTCGAACGGTCTCCACCAGAACGAGGCGAAGAGTCGGGATCATCATCATCGTCCTTTGCGCTTGGCCGCCGATCAAGTGTTTCCGCTTCATCATTCGCAGTGCCCGTTTTCTCAGTTGATTGCTCCCCACTGTCAGGAGCCTCACGGTCGTGTGCACCAGCACTGCGTAATTTGTAGTAGGCGTAGAGCGGGATGATGAGCTCCGTGAGCGCAAGCGAGAGGCTAGTGACCAAGCCGGCTATTTCTACGATGTAAGGGACCACGAGGGAACAGAGCACGCGGCCGCAAATAGTGCTGATGCGAAAGCCGGCGTTCGCCCAGCGACTCGTCCGCAGGCAGTGGCACTGCTCCTCCGAGGACGTGAAGAAGTTGGTGACGTACAGCAAATCGCAGGTGCTCATGCAGAACAGCACGAGCAGGTTCAAGCCGCGGGACACCCAGGTGGGATCCCCCATGCTCCAGGGCGCGTAGTACTCCGGGCCCCCGCCCGGCGCGGCCTTGTTCTGCGGCCACGCGCCCCGGAAGAGCTGTAGGGGGGTCAGTTCCGTCCGCACCCCGAAGCACTGCGCCGGGTCGGTCGCAGCGGCCCGCTGTGCGGCGTCGGTGGAAAAACCGAACACCATCAACCACCACTTGTCCGGGCGGTCGCGGCGAAAGGCGTTAGACACCACGTCCGGAATGCTGTTGCCGCAGACGCGGTAGGAATAAAGCAAAATGCAGGAGAACACCGTTGCGACGATCAGCATGGCGGAGTAGTACGCGGTGCTGATTTGCGCCCGCACGGCCGGGCGACAGCGGCCGCGCAGCGTGGGGATCAGGGAGGCCGCCATGAACGCGTAGCTCTGCACCGCGCCCACCCGCAGGAATGTCAGCACGCCGTCCACGTTGCCAAAGGGGTGAAACCTCCACGTGTGCCACGCGGCGGCGAAGGCAGCGGTCGGGGAAGGGGGCGAAATCCCCGACTGAATTTCTATCTCTGTCGGTGTAATTTCCGGGCTCGCTTCATGTTCTTGTCGGGTAGATGAAGTTTTGGGCGAAGACAGGAACAGCCGTTCTTTTGCTTTTGGTGGATTTTTACTGATGTCAGACTCGTTCCTTTGCTCATCAGCAGCATTGAGAGCAGCAGTTGATGATGGATTAGTTGTTGTACTCGTCGAGTAGAAGTCCAAAATGCGGCTGTGTTCGTTGACCTCTTGCGTGTGCAGCTCGACGAGGATAATCAGGGTAATCATACCGAAGGCGTAGGGCACGAGCCCGGCCAGTTGCTTCGTCGTGAATTCGCGCACGTCGGCGCTGCAGAAGGCCTGGAAGAAGTGCAACGGCAGCAGAAAGGCGACCGACCAAAACGCACGGGCAGCGAACTCCGACAGCCGCAACTCGCTCTGCAGCTGCGGCACCAGTTGCAGAAGCGCGTTGCCGAGCACAATGTCGCCACAGATTTGCATGGTGAAATACCCGAAGAACGTCGCTCCGGTGGCAATGCCCCGGACCACGGGTTGGTCTCGGAAGCAGAAATTTACGAACGCCGCATAGTTCGAAACGAAAGCTGGTTGATGGTGAAGTTGACTCTTGCGTTCTCCCACTTCATTCCGTTCTTGCGCTACGGAGGTGGCGCTGTCTTCGCGGAGGTGGCCGTCCACACCTGCGCTCGCTGTTAAGGGTTCGGCACCACCGATCTGCGCGTCATCGTGGTCCTTCGTCCCGTGAATACTACTGGTCTCCATTTTCTCCAGCAAGCCGCAGGCTCCTGCAACGAGCCGGGCGGATTCGGAGTTCAATACTGCAGTAAAAAACAGCAGGAATACCGCAGGCCACGGGCCAACTTCGCGGGCGGTCGAAGGCAAGGTGAGCACCGGAGTACCCAGGGCCGTCACCATGATCGCAAAGACCAATCCCCAGAAGGAAAGCCGGTTTTCCGAGGACCGGTCTTTTTGTTCATCACTTTCCGACGAGAGAACCATGGTGGAAATTGAGGCCTTTGCCTGAAAGTGATAAAAGTAAAGGCACGGAGAGGATGGACACAAAAAAAAACAGATAAAACCGAGCGCAACAAAAAAATTGGCTCCGCCACAAAACAAAGCTTTCACGGTACAAATAAGTACCCCGCTCTTATTGCAGTTGTGGCATTTGCAAATTGATGGTCAGGAAACAATCTTCACGATTGAGACCTACAACGGTAAAAACCGTAACCGAGTGCAAAAAACCGACTACAGCGAGTGGCGTTGATACAAAAAAGAACGACAATACCACAAAGAACCGAAACCGAAAGTAATGCGAAACTTCAGGAAGATCAGTTCCTTTGTGAGATCGAGATGTACTAGAAGAGGGAAAACCAATGTGAACAACGAGATGAGCTTACTCCTCATTTTTCCTACAGGCGTGTTTTTGTTTTCCAAGGGGTGCTGGTGCTTCTTCACGTAGATGTTTGTTTGTTTTCGTACGAAGATTTCTTGTCCATTTTCTTTGGAGCTGAAAAGTTCATAAGTCCAGATCTGCTACTTGCACGTAGTGAATGATACTGACATTTACAAATACACAACAAGTATATGCCTTTTCAAAAGCGATAGTTAAATATCTATACTTCACTTCACGATGATTGCGCTATGGATAAACACATTTCTAAGAAACTATGTTTGCGAATCAATAATATCAAACAACTTTTGCATCCTCTAGATCTACGATATCGTGCTGGTCTACGCCTCACAATTTCAGTTCTTGGTGGTATAGAGATGAAATAGGTGATCTTCAGCGCTGTTCTTATCCCTAAAGAAATTCGCAGCATACCGTCGGGATTTGCCCTTTTTTTTTGCGCCAACGCAGGCGCTGCAGTTTTTATGGTCGCGCCTGCGTAGGAGTGCTGTTGCCTCCCCTGGTGGGTTTTTGCACGCGGCCCAGGCGTCGCTCTAGAGGAACCAACAGGCACGCCAACACCCCGACGAGCCTAGACATAGACTAAAGTGGCCCCCCCACTGCGCAGATCGACGCGACCCACGGACACTCACAACACGCCCAACAGGCGCAGGCGGGCATCTTTTTCGCGGCCCCGGGCCCTGCGTACTCGCGACCCAAAAAGGGCCGCAAGCCGGCTCGTGCGGGCTTGGTACGCAGGCCCCTCGAGACCCCTTGGAACTCTTCAAACGAGCCTCATTCTCTCACCCACCGCCCCAATCACTGACCGCTGGCACCGCTTCCGCGGTGATGGTGGACGCACTGGCAGAAGACCCTGAAAGCTTCCCGCCGGGTGCTCGAATAAACATTTCGGGAAGATAGATAAGAACACCTACTGCAACGACCTGGAGTTGATGTTTTGGCATGCAGCAGAGTTGGATTTTCTGCGCCGAATGTCCCCGCTCGCGAAAACTGCTGTTCTTATCCTCCACGCCGTGCATAGATAAGAACATGTTTGTAACGACCTGAAACTGGTGTTTGGCACGAAGCAGCATTGGAGCTTCTGCGCCAAATGTTCCCGTTCTGGAAAAATGCTGTTCTTATCCTCCACACCGTGCACAGATAAGAACACGTTTGTAACGACCTGAAAATGGTGTTCTTATCTATGCACGGAAAGGAGGGATAAGAACAGCACTTTTCGAGAACGGGAACATCTGGAGGAGAAGCTCCAACTCTGATTCGTCCAATCATCCTGCTTCGCCTTCAGTTCAGGTCGTTACAAACATGCTCTTATCTATGCACGGCGTGGAGGATAAGAACAGCAGAAAACGAGAACGGGAACACTCGCAGTGAAGCGCCGCCTTTGCTTCATCCCAAAACGCCGCAGCAGGTCTCTGCAGTAGTGTTGTTATCTATGCACGAGCGGGAGCGTGCGGAAGCGGAGCTGAGGCGCCATCTTTGCTTCGTGGTCCCATATGCATATTATTTTATAGAGCCAGCGTCCCACCGGTCCTAATTTAGGACCGACGGCACGGCGCAGGCACCAAAGACAACACCGGAGGGGTCACCATCTGCTGCCTGACACAAAGAGAGACGGATGGGCGCGCACACTGCCACGGCCCGGCGCGACCGCCGGCGTTGCCCCAGCTTGGGGGGGCTGTTTGGGTGGCGCATCAGCGCGCGCCTAGGCGCGCGAACTTGGATGTAGTGGCCGGCGGTTATTCTGTCAGTGTGCAGCGCTTTCCGGGCGCATGAGCTGGGGCTGCGCTAAGCACGAAAGCGCGACCCTCTGGAGGATGCGCGGCGAAGGCTTTGGGTAGCCCTGGGCGGCGGCGCTTTTGTTGGCCTCAGGCACGCCAGGCCTCGCCTAGAATGAAAAAAAGCACACGAATCGCGACGGTATGGCGCGATTTTTCTTAGGGATAAGAACACACGGGAAGATCACCTTTTTCATCTCTATAGGTGGCCCTTTTTTTTTCAACAATGACTGCGATCTCCGCCCGAGATCGTGTACCTTTTTCTTCGCCGTCCCTTTCCGACTCATACGGAAGAGGCAACGAAACTAGACTTGACTAGCCGGGAAGGGGGTCGGTGTGTTAGAGGGGAGATCGCAATTCCTGACGTACTAAGAGCCTATGCTGTCTTGATGAGTCGAAGTTCGGCATCAGGAGTTGCAACGCCACATAGTGCAGCCCGCTACTATTTTTTCTCCGACTATGTCTATCTCTATGAATTCCTTTTGCTTGTATTAGATACATACTTAGATTCTTGGCCACCATCGGTTCAGCGGAGTGAGGTAACCTTCACACCATGTTTCTGCAAGTACAGAACGCATAGATTTTTCAACGACTTGCATACATAAAAATTTCCTTTATATCAAAGCGGAGCTCCTTCTCGGGGGCTTACTTCAAATCCTGTTCTTACATCCTGATATTCAGTTGCTTTGGCGAATCCTATCGAAACTGAAGGTGTACAGGAAGAGAACAACGGAGTGTAGTGTTTGTAGTATGAGACACCAAAATCCGAAACTCACCAGAGCGATCATTGGTGGGTTTCGGAATAATTTGGAATTTATTGAGCAGCAAAACAGACGAAATACATAAAGTATTAGCACGTATCAAAACCTGGTTTAGAAATTCGTCCTCCCAAGTTTGATGATAATAAGGATATCAAAAATGTTCAAATTTCATGTCCTGTAGATACGATACAACTTGGACGTTGACGCCCTATGCATCAAGCTTGGCTGACTTCTGTGCGCTACTCTTTATATTCTAGTAGAATATGGATAGAAAACGGGTGGCTGGAGGTCCAAAATACTCATCAGCACTACTGTATAATGGACATCCAAGTAGCAAGCTGGCGGGCTGAAAGTGAAAGCAATTCGTTGCGCACAACGCTAGCATTGGGGATGTTGAGACAATGCCAAGAAGTACGTGAGCCATCATCGATGGTTTTTCGCGGAGCGAAACGAGGTTTCCCGTCGCGCCACATTAGCTAAATTCCGGTGGCAGTGATCGGGACTGCGCCATGTGTGCGCGTCTGGTTGCAGCTCAATACGGCGCAGCTTCGAGGAATGTTGCGGAAGAGTGTATCGCATGGGTTCCAGTGGAGTTCTCTGGTGCGGCCGCCGCACTGTCCTACAAAAGCTGACCTTGATGATGGTGCGAAGAGTTGTTTGCTGGATGCTCCATGTTCATTGGCCAATGGCTTTGTGTTTGCTGAATGCCGCCCTCGGCAATAAGCTGCATCAGTGCACCAGTAGAGGGCGTTAAAGTGTTGATACCCTGGTGTGGCAACACAGTCGCTGCCTGCTGGTTGTAGCCACTAGTACCGGGCACGATGTTCCCAGAAACACCCCCAAATAACGCTGCTTCCATCGGGTTCGGGAGGAGCTCGGAATACGCGCTCGCCGTAGCAGCGAAATGATGATCGTAAGAAGCAGTAGAAGTTCCGCCCTTCCCGTCTCGGGGATGAAGAGGAGGCGGTGGAGCAGCGCCTGCCGCAGGCCGCATCATCTCAAGCCCCCAAACGTTGAGTTGGGAATAGAGCGGATCGTCAGGAACTTTATTTGCGGAGACAGGGGGCTGCGCCGGGATGTTCAAGTGCTGGTAGCTGCTGGCGTCGGTTTTTGTCCTCTGCGTTGGTACAACACCGTGGCTGTGCCAGGCACCATCGTCCTGCGCTCCTTCCAACGCCGATGGCACGGCCCGAATGCTGCCCGGCGGTGCAGGTACGGCTGGTGCACTTGCGGTACGCAATCCATAGTAGCTGTCGAGAGCCAACGAATGCGGGCGATGCATGCTTTGCGCCACCTCGAACATGGAAAAAGCAGGATGGTCAGCCGGCTTTATTTCACTCGGGGCGTAACCACTACGTTCGTTCATCTGTTGAAGGTACGAAGCTGTGGCTGCCACGCCACCATCCGTCGCTCCTTTTCTTGCTGCTGCGGGGGCAGACGTGCTGCTACGAGGTTCTATGGCTGGCGCTAACGCGTACGGCGCCGGAGCGCCCGTGTTGTACTCCTGCGAGCTAGAGACCTGGCTTCTACTGTAGTACGCGGCATCGAACCCGTTCAAGTCTTGAACATGCTGCTGGTAGCCCCACAACTGGCCTTGAGGGTTGCTGTTGTGAAACTTGGCACCCTTAGAATGTTTCCGGGCCGCAATATCCATCAGGTTGTAGGCACCTTTGTGCATTTTCCCATTTTGCGTACCACCTCCTCCTGCGAGATACTTGCCCTTGGCCTTGGATGCAAAAGCTTTGCCCCGTTGCAACGAGGAGCACTGGTGCTCGCCGCCGCGCAGATGATGTTGATTGATGTGCGATTCTTGCTGGTGCCACGATGCGGTGTAGAAATCGTTGTGCGCGGCGTTATGGGCATTGTTCTTCGCGAAAGTATTACCTTTGTTCATCTTGCCATTCTGAAGATTTTTCTGATGCGGAGCGTAGGCGCTACTGTTTTTGCCGTGGCCTTTCCCCGATTTCCAGTGCTCTAGCGGCCCTTGCTGCGCCTGCATCGACGTCGTGGCATGATTTCTTTCCCGGCCTGACACTGCCGTAGCTAGTGCTTCGCTACTATCCTGCCCTTCGACGACGGCAGGAGGTGGAGGCGTTGGGACGCGGGGGTTGGTCGGATCTGTCGCACCATCAAGCCGTGCAGCAGCAGCAGCAGTTTTCACGGCAGGACCGTCCCCTCGCTCGTCCTCTCGTTGCGCCCCCTCCGTTGTTGACCCCACGACATGAAGCGCGGCGTCCGCACTCCCTCCTGTGTGGCTGCAGAGGGAGCTTATCGTGCTACTGTCGTCTATGTCTTCTTGCTCCAACGCCGGGGCTGCAGGCAAGGCTGGACCACCGGAACCATCTCTGCGGCAGCCGGCAGCTGCGGAGGAGCTGGCGTCGACAAAGGAATTATCGGAGTCAACATTTTTCATCGCGGACAGCGAGTTCCTTCCAATAGTCGTGCTGCCACGAGAAAAGCTCGGTGGGAAAAGGTTCTGGTACAAGTGCGGGACAACGGGTAACTGGAAGGTATCAGACGGACGCGGCCCAATTCGCGAAGTCTTCGTCGCAGATGATGAAGATCGAGCCCCGCCGGCAGGGGAGCTGGAAGGCGTTCGTGGGTCGGAGTCGACAGCGTAGTTCCTGCCTCCCGTGTTCTTACCGTCTGCAACAGGAGTTGTGCTGGCCACTTCATCCTGAGTCCGATCTGCTGCTGGAGATGTTGGAGATCCTTCGGCTAGATGAACGCCAGCGCTGAATTCATGATCCTGCACCACAACGCCGCCCTCGGCACGAGCAGCACTGGCCGCCACAAGTGGTCCAGAGCAGGCCGGCCCGCCGAACAGGGGCCACAACTTATCGCGCATCTGCAGAGCCGCGGTGCACTCCTCAGGGAGAGGCTCGACCTCCGCGACCACCACTTTCCGCGCGAGAGACTCAAGGACTTTGTGACCTGCACAGTGCGTAGCGATGAAGTGCGTGGCTCATAAATTGTTTTTCGTTTGTATTTGTTTTCACTTCAGTTGCCCTTGCCCGAAACGGGAGCTTGGGTTGTTCAAGGCGGTTTCTTTTTTCATATTTGTTCCAGTTCCAAAGCAAAAAACGAGGGGAAATGTTCATCGTAAAGCTGCAACACAAAAGATTCTTTCTTCTACCCATAGCCCACTTGCGGTCGAGGAAATCCTGCAGGGCGCTGTTGTAGGTGTTCAAGGAGTCGTGTATGTTCAGGAAATCGACCGGCACGAGGTCGTGGTAGGCGACGTATCCCTTGTGCACATTTGAGCGGTAGCTGAGGGACCCGAACTGTTTGGTGCGTTGCTTCAGCAGCTTGCGAAAACCCGCCACGTTGATCTCGAGGTAGTCCGTGAGCAGGTTCACCGCAGTGGTCAAACTACCCGCCTCCGCGACGGTCTGGCCCAGTAGCATATCGTGCTCCCGCTTTTCGTCCGCGCCGCATTTGTCGCTCTCTGCAGCTACACAGTCGATCTGGTATGTTCGTTTAGTTGTTCTTTTATAGCAACAGAAGTCAACAGAAGTGCTCGGTCGTTTTGAAGCAATTTTTGCAAGAAGCGGCACGACCCGCTTGTTTTGAGATTCAGTGCGATTTCTCCCTCGTGTCGTTGACGAGCTGGCGCTTTCAATGCTTTTACTAAAATTGGAAACACCGATACTGATCACATCTAAATTTGCACCATTTTGTCAATGTCGTCCCTTTTGCAGTTGAACTTCTCCGCCAAATCCACCATCTTTTCTTCCGTCGGTGTATGCAAGGAAACAAGACAAAAGAAACGCTTTTTGCTGCCGTGCTGTCACTTGCGTCGATAACGCGTGTGTATTTTGTCTACGTCTAGGTTTTTTCACACCGACACCAGTCTTTTCGATTAAGGTCGTCCAGGTCGATGCGCAATTCTTTTTACAGATTATATATACAACATCTACCTTTACATCTCCGAGGGAAGCGCGAGGACCGAGGTGCTCACACGTCGCATACAAAAGCGCTGGTCTTTTCATCATTTTCTTACAGTACGAACCCGATTTGCGTGCCGCTGTGCTGGAGGTGGGCCATCCGTGTGGCGAAGAGGTGCAGCCGTTGGTGCACGTACTCACACAACTTAACAACATCGGACTCGACCATCTGAAAGAAGAAATCATCCTGGCTCTGCACCAAGTCCCGGCGGCCACGCTTGACCTGCTGCACCATGCGCTCTATCGACGTCTTCAGAAATTTGTGGTTCACATACGGCTGCGTATCGTGGCAAAATATTAAAGGAGTAGTGCCAGAAGACTGTTGCAAAGCGGAAACTTTTTGTTTCGGACTCGGAGGTCGAGGCGAAGGTAGAGTTCTGTTTTTTGCAATTCTCGAAGCAGGCATGCAACAAAATGATCGAATACTATTCTCAGACTTGACTCCAAAAACGTTCTCATTTCATCTTCGGCCACTGTTATTTGGCGACGAGCCACATCGGCTGGCACTGCCGTCTATGCCTAGTCTCGACGATGAAAATATGAGCAGATTGGCAACCAGAAATTTTATTTGTCCTGATTGTGGCTTGACACTGAGACTGACCCGACGTTATTTTGCGGTGATACGCTTCCGGATTCCGATTCCGGTGTAGGGCCAACTTCTTCCCATATCGCATTTTTGTGTAAGTATCTTCTTCTTCTTCTAATATACGTTGTCCAGGGCCCAGAAAGCAATACTACTGGATCGCATGATTCTTGTTTGCTTTCACTTTGCTTAAAGCTTATGCTTGTTTTCGCTTGAGCTTCTAATCATATGATCCGAGGGCGTTTTTCATAAACTCATAAAAAATGATGGGACGACCTCTTTCTGCTGGTAACGGCCGTACGTAGGTAAGTCTAAGGAAGTGGCTTCAAGCCACTTCTACTACCATCAGCAAAAACAGAAAGTTTTCCTAGTTGTACGTAGCGTTACTACTTGTTTGTAAATCTTTAATAAGCACCTCATCCGTATCTCGCAAAATGAATGTGACACTCTATCCAAAAAAAATTTTGTTTCTTTTTTCATATTCCGTAGTTATACGTAGACGACCGAAGTGTCGTGATCATCGAGGACGGAGCCAGCACTACTTCTTAATTAAAGGTTCTGGACAAAATGCTGCAGATAAAAGTGCGGCTCATCGCTCTGTGTCTGTAGTTATACTCAAAATGTTTCATCTGTAGGTAGGATTGAGAAAGAAAATGACAATCACGACGAAAATTTTAGGCTGGCGTAATTATGTATTTGCAAGGCTGCGTTTGTTGCGTGCATAGCAGAAAAGCCCCACGACAACATTATGCCACGGAGATGCTTTGACAAAAGCAAAAGGCGCAGGGCCGAGAGTACTTGGTGTTCGAGAGTGTCTACATCTCTTTTTACATAAAAGCAAGCTAGCATGGCGACCAAGAAGGATCACGCAAAATCTGGGACCGGGAATACAGATAAAAGCGTTCTTCCACTTCTCAACGTCGAATACTTACTAACTTACCTGGTTGCGTGGACTCACATGAGATCAGACATGTTCGGTTTTCTCGGATCATCTCGAAAATCAATGCTATTGTTCGTCTTACGGGAAGGGGAACACCAACACAGTCACGCGTCACGGATTTTTTTCAGGAAACATCGCAAGTATCATCAGCACGCACTGCTGCGACCTCGGGGGACTGCTCTCTTTTTGTCTTTTTTGCCATACAAACTTAAATCGCCGCAAGCAGACAACTGCGCTTTTTTCACGCACGGAGTATTCTCCAGACAGACACGATCGTGACCACACCTTTGACTTTGTGTTTAGTTTGCGATTCTTGCAACACAGCAGTCTATTTCTTTGCTAGTCAGAATCGCTCTCGAGTACTACTAACTTAATACAGCAAAATTGCAAATCAAGACAAGCAAGAACAAGCGGCAAAAAAAGTTCAGGATCTACTTCGATTCTTTCTCGGTTGCGACGAAGAAGATGACTGCAGCGAGCAAGAATCTGTCAATTACCCACAGGCGTTCGGACGTTCGGTGTCGTGCATCTCGGTGAGCCAACCCTTAACTTTCAGCAACAGGCGCTCCTTATGCTTGTCCACTTTCGATTCTTCGACACCCTGGCACCAAAGGGGCAGCAATCGACGAAGCAGGGCCCTCCTGTACCTGGGTTCGAGTTTGTTTCTACTTTTTTTCGAATGACATTACGTGTGGCAAGGACATCGTTGTGTTTCAAAGCAAGGCTCTGTGAAAATATGTCTCTTTCTCTATCATGCTGAAGATGTAGATGCCCGAAAATGAGGACAGATCGCAGTAGTACTGCTCCTGTGCCCTGCCGCAGCGAACGTGAAAGCTGTGCCGCGCAAAAAGCCGGAGGCGCTGCAGAAACACGCGGAGAAGCTGCGCGTGGTACAATTTTTCTCCTTCCGCTTTGCTCTGCCGATAGAACTCAGCAAAGCCCTGCAGGCCGAGTTTGCACCTCTTCTTCCTCTGAAACCGCATCGCCTTCTGATGCAGCGCGTGTTCGGCGGCCAGTCGGGAGGTTCGCTGCGTCTTGCTGGTCTGGTGCCACAGCTCCAACACAGCAGCCAGCATGGTCTCCGTGTGGTAGCGGGCCGCAATCTCCAGTGTTTCCACAGCTTGCTGGCGAGAGCGGTGCAGTGCGTCCAGAACTTTTCGCTTGAGACGGTAGTCGCGGTACTGTCTCGCCTCGACCGCCTGTTGCCGCCGTTTTTCTTGCATCTCCTGCACCTGCTGCTTCTGCGCCTCCTCTTTTTTTTTCCTTTCCTTGGCGTCGCGAACGCGCTGCCGTTTCTCCTCCACCTCGCGCTCCGCCGCCAACCGCTCGCGCTCTTGCGAAAGCTCCCGTTTGCGGGCCTCCGCCTCCCGCCGCCGCTCGTCCAACTCCGCGTGCCGGGCCTTCCGCTCCGCGGCGCGCTGCTCCATTTGCAGGACGAGCTTTGACTTCTTCGGTGGCGCGAGTTGGGATTTCGTAGTTCCCGGACCGCTTTGGCTATGGCTTTGCTCAGCCTCATCTTGCTCGGCAGGTTCGTCGTTCTCATCTGTGGATCTCGGGCGGCGGGTATCATGGCGATTTTCGGCTCGCGTTCGGTTCGTTCCAGGAGTCGTGCCCATTTCCTGCATGACTACTGTAGATGAAACTCCCGCATCTCTGTTTCCGGTACTCGAAGAGGCAAATTCTGACGGAGATGTAGTTGTGCGGGGCGGAAAACCCCTGACTCTGCTGGTCGAAGAGGAAGACGTTGCACCGGCACGACTACGTGACGGATAGCGCACTGCATAGGGATTATTTATGTTTTTACCAGATCCAGTCCCTCCTGCATCACCACAGGAAATAAGCGAGTCAAGGTCTTCCTCGTCTGCGTCTCTGTCTATCGTAACACGACTTGTGCCGTCGTGGTTTGCAGAAGCGGATACTGCTCCACCACTTCCTGCTCGGAGCTCCAAGAAGCGCTTGGTTTTCTGCTTGAGCGTTTCTAACGCCCTCAGGTGTCCGGCCTCGCGCGTGAAAAGCGTCCACGCCTGAAACGCCCGGCGCCACTTCTTAGTGGCCGCGAACTCGCGCGCGCGGGCTTCGTTTGCTTTCTCGCGGGCAAGGGCGCGAAACCACTGCTCTTCGGCGCGCTCCGCGAGCACGAGCTTGACGTACTGGTTCCAGCTTGCCCAAAGCGCTCGCTGCAATTGGAGTCCGACTTTGCGCTGCAGACGCCGCAGTTTATGCGTCACCTCTGTGTGGCGCTGCCGCCACGTCTGCCATGCGCCCTCACGGTTGCGTTTCGAAATCAGCTGAAGAGCAAACTGGACCTGGTTTCGGGTTTTAGTTGTCAAGCGAGAAATCTTGATCACGACTTCTGTACAGACCTTGCATCTTTTGTAGTGGGCACAACACACAGTTCTGCAGATTTCAGTCTTATTTCATTTTACTCAACAGATCTAGAACGAGCAAGTGAACAGTTCGAGTAGCATGCTCAACATAGTACCGAGGAAACGATTCGCTTGCATCCCAGGTCTTTTCGTTTTTGTTTTTCCTGTTGCTCTTTTGCGGCCTGCTTATTTTCCTCGAGTCGTTTCCTTTCGCGGACCCGAGCGGTTTCCTCCTCTACTTCCGCTTTCTGGACGGCAAGCCGCGTCTCTTTTTCCCGAGCACAAAGAAGAGACTTGTACCTGTTTTGAGGTATGCAACAACGTCAGTCGAGGGGCGATCGGCAGTACAGGCCAAATTACAGGGCAGCAGAAGCAAAGGCAAACACAACTAAACTGATAGAAACCTACACAATTTCTTACTTGCATGGATCTTGATACGTACTACAAACTTGGTTCGGTTAGTCGCGCCCACGTGGACGTGCCGACGAAAAAATGCAATACGCGTTGGTTTCTTTCTTCAGCTCCGCTCTGGCGTTGCGCAGTTCGGTCTCCTGGTGAGCCACGCTGTCTTGCAGACTGGCCACGCTGCTGCCCTCCGGCTGAAAGATGCTTGATAGCCGACTGTCGTCGATAGTGCTGCAGCAGCTCGTGCCAGGCTCCACATAATCTGCCACACTACCGGTTGTGGGCGACGCGCAAAGCTTGTCGCCCGGCTTGTTCCCCACCGAGGACCTTGGACTGGCGTCGGCTGCACATGACGTGCTTGTCATCGTGGGAGAGGAGGCTGCGCCGATTTTCGCAAACGCATTTGGTCCCGCAGGAAAAGAAGCTCTAGTACTCGGTCCACCTGCTTTCGTACTGCCAGTGCAGCTGCTGGTGCTTGGTGTTGGCGGACGCCGCGTCGTGCGCCACAGAGGCAAAGAGCTTGAGGACGACGAGGTTCTTGACCCCCGACTACCCTGGCCGACCACCGGGTGTCCCTCAACATCACGATGCTCATCTTGACCGAACGAACTTCCTGTTGCCGCGAGGGACGCGCGCGAAGCTGCAACAGCTTCCTGCCGTCGCTGTTCCCGTTTTTCCGCGATGAGACGATGCCTTTCCTCCATCACAGCGCGGGGGTCCAGCTGCCGCTCCTCGTCTTCCATTTTATCTACGGCGGTCGGGAGCGCCTGCGAGCAAGCCTTGCTGCCGGGTCTCGATGTTGTTGAACCGTGATGGTCATTACCCCGTCCATGTTTCTTCCCTGTAGTTGTAGGACAAGAAGGTTGCTCGCGTTGCGCCCGGCGCTCCTCCTGGACTCGCGAAATGGCTCCCATAGCGACCGCCAGATCTTCCTCAAACGAGGGGTCCAAACTCTTGCTCTCGTTCCGCAATACGGTATGAAGCACTTTATCTGTAGTTCGATTGTAAAAAGCATACTAGCGAGGCGGTCTTTCCGATGTCGAGTACTGCTCTAGTCTCTGCCGTGAGGACTCCTTCATCTTTTGCACCTCCACTGCAAAACAAATTCCGAGCCTCTGGCCCGGATAGCGATACGATAGGACACGGACAGATTTTCATTAACATCAAGGCAAATTGTGCTTCGGATTTGCAGGCACGCACATGAGCAAAACTTATAATACCGGTCAAAAGAGGCGGCGGCCGCGCACCTCCTGTTCGCGTAGGAGCGAATCCGCTTGTAGTTTGGCTCGGCATGCGGACAGGACCACGAGGCGGCCTTTGGGCAGCATCAGAGGTGCTAGTTGAAGAGGATGTTGCGCACTGTTCTCGGCCAACAAGATCGGGGATTCGGCGGGGCGGAAAGCTGCTGGATGTCGAAGTACAATCTAAATTTGGAACCTGCCGCGAAGTAGGGGCGTAGACCACGTCTTCGGAGTTCATTAGATCGATGGTGTCGACAACAACGTCTTCTGTGCCCCCGCCCGTAAGGTCGTGAACAGGGCCACGACCACCTCCCGAAGATGCTGTAGCGCTGCCACTGGCTAGCCACGATCGTTTGTTTTTGTTGGTCGTATGCGTTTTTGATGTTTCCCGAGACGGAAGCCGCACCGCCCCCGTTGGCCACTCAGTCTTCGCACCGACCTTGCGAGAGATGCTGGCCGCCTCCTCTTCGCACTGTAGCCAGTGCGACAAAAGTCGACGGGCTTCTTCGCGACAGGACGGCTCCTCCGCCGGTTTTTGGGCGCTGGTAGATTCACCTGCTCCAGTTTCTTGTGCCGTCGCCATTTCGACGTCGCCTGTGAAGGTGCTGTCGGGAAGCTCGGGCGGGTTTCGACCTCCGGCACCTGTCTCAAACATTCTGAAGGGCGTGTCCATGTCAACGCGCTAGCAAGAAGATAGATATGAACCAATCCAGAAAACTTCCCAATAACAGAATCACTGTAGGGATTTCTCTCTGTATCTGTTAGATTCGATTACCCTCGAGAGAAATGAAACAAGCACAAAAATGAAACTGTTCAGCAGGTCTGTACAGGTGTCAAGACACAAAGCTGCTTTACAGTAGCAACATCTCCTTCTCGTTGAGGGGAAAAATACTGGAGCAGGCTAATTTGTTGCAGATTTTGATTTGCACACAGAGTCTCTCAGCATTCACACACCCCTTGTTCCATCTCTCCGAAGCCGCAACAGAAGTCCGGCGCAACAAAGCGGAAAACACGTATTGCTCTCGCGATCACAACACTCTATTTGCATTTTGTTCGTGCGTTCGTATCAAATAAAGCTAAGCAGAGGTGCCCAGCACCACGCACGACAACAGCCCTGCGTGCTTGAAGTAGAAGTCAGTCCTCCAAACGCGGTTCGACGTTAACAAAGAAATGTTGGACGCTGCTGGCATAGACACTGTTCTTGTCGAAATACGTCCAGCGATCATGGCTCGTGCGCGAAAGCCGCCAGACGCGGGACAGAGATTCAAATTCAGGTCTGCTTTCAAAGTACATTCATTACTTTCTTGTTGTGCTTCGTAGGTATTTTGACATTGAGTTGAGTTGCTGAAACGAAACAAAAGTTGTGAAAAGTAAGTTCATTGAAACAAAAAACGTATTGGTTCTTTCGGTGCTCGTTCTTTGGCGATAGGTGTGAGTGTGTCCTTATCTACGTGTCCGCAGAATGTCGGAAAAAACCTAGACCGCATATGGGTCTAATTACAGTTGGAAGACAGCTTCGGTAGGCATTTATTCTCACTCGAGACCGTCACGGTCTGGAAGTGGTGCAGGTGCATTTTCTTTCATTGTTTCTTCGTCTGTTCCCGATCGGTGGCCTGGTTTGCTTGCAGCATGACGGCTGCGACTGAGGTCATGATGAGAAACAGGGATGAGGCGCTTATCAACCCCCAGGTTGCGGCGACCTGTGCAAATGCGTACTTTCGCACTAAACTTGTGGCGCAGGGTCCCAATTTCGACGACGCGAGCAAGGTGCTGCCGTACGTCAACCACAAGAAGGACCCGATACTGGCGGCTGTTTCCACCGCAAAAGCGTGACGAAAGTTGGCGGCACGCTGGCGGTTGAAGACAAAGTCCTCTGTGGTCACAGTCCTTCTCTTCGAAGCCTCGTATGGCAGTACCCCCGGCTGAGAAGTTGAAAGTTCCGCAAATTTTTCCCCTGCGTTTTGCTGCTCGTCAAGCAGCACCCACTGAGAAAAAGACGCTGCATTTCTGCTCGAAGTATTTGCTGTGGTCTGCTTCTTGGTACGACAACCTTCGAGACGCCACGAAATCGGAATGGCAGTTTGGTCGTGACCTCGGTGGTCAACGTCGTCACTATGTCCCGCGTTCGCGGACGCTGGCGATCCGCTGCGGCGCCCGACGCACAGAAAATAGCGGTCAAACGGCAAGGGCCGGTCAAACGCGATTTCGTGCGTGCGACCCCGATCGCGCACGGCGGATGCGATTACGCGGTCACTATGCGTCCACCCGTGGGAATCGCGGAGAAAAAACTCGAAGTGGACCTGCAGAAGTTGTTCATATTAGCGCAATAAACGACAGGGGGATCATTACTCCATGTAACGAACCGAGAACGGTTCGTTTCTTTATTGATCACGCACAGGCACCACGCATCACTCAGGAGCCTACGTCATTCTCTGTTCAGAATCATCTCTTTTTCATCTTTTGCATTTTCTCTCTTGAATTTAAGTAACAGCAACACAAGGAAGATGAATAGCAGAGCAGCAGCCTACGCATAGTGTATACTTTCTTGGAAGTATCGCCGCCCGCAACTCCGGTGATGCGAAGACGGAACCGCGTATAGCTCCACCCAGAGCGGCGGCTTCCTCCCGCGGGCGGGAGAAAATAATCCATTGGCGAGCCGGTCGCCACTTTTGCGACGATGTAGGAGACCGGGAAGCCACACAAAACGCTGCCGGCCAGCCAGGTTCGCAGCGCAGCGTCACAGGGGCGGGGAGCCGTCGTGCCAAGCAGTGCCAAACTCGCCGCATCGACCACACCAAGACCAAACAACACAGTAGGCAGCCAGTCGCGCATTGTCGTTCGAGGTCTGTTCGATGGCGCGCCGTCGTTGTCGTCCTCGACTTCCTCATCATCTTCCACTTCATTCTGGCTGCCTGTCGTCGCCCGAAGAAACGGAGGGGCTCGGTAGGCGTTGGTCAGTGCTAGGACCGACACGGAATTAGAGGTCCCTGTTGTTCCGGAGGTCGGAGAAAGACCACCGACGCCGGATAGCTTGATTCGCAGCTCTGCGTGTGGTTCTTCTCTACTGATGGTGTAATCTCTTTTGCAGCTGTTGAAATAATCACCGTGAGTGACATAGTGGCTGCTCTTGTCGTGTGCATTTCTGCTCGTGAAAAGGAAGCTGCTTGCAGCCCTGTTCTTGCCGGGCGCGGCTGGAACCTGCTCCGGGTTCACGCCGTAGAGAAAATCCAGCCACTCGGAATGGCGGTGGGCAAAAACCATTTTTCCTTTTTCTAATTCTATACCTTTTTCATTACTTTGATCACATTCACATTCAGAGCTCCATAATTCAAACCGTACTGTTTTTTCCGGCACACGACAGTTACAGTCATGATGTTATCCTTCTCACGATAACTTCAACTCTCTCTCACTCTGACGCTGAAGTTCGATTTCCCCTTGCGTGTAAACAAGCAAACACGGCGAAATTATTCGGGCTTGCGTAAAGGAGCGACGTACTAGGAAAACCTCTCAGCATACGACGAGTCGCGCCGGCGCCTTCTCTCCGGAAAAAACATAAGGGAAAAGTAAACTTTCATGGCCACGGAAACCAATACAGGGATGCGACAATCAGAGCTGCAATGCCCCTGATGTCAGTGAAATTTGCGTATCTATTTCCACTTACGTTAGCGTCGGTCTTCATGATATGATTATCCAGCTGGTATAAGAGGTTTGTCGCGATCTCGGTCATTTTACAAAGGTTTTTACATCATACACAATCGGGATAAAAATTATACTGACGGAAACATACTCGGACTCAAGATGCGTAAAGTACTTGTACAATATGGAGAGACGAAGGAAAGGTGCTTCAAAGTTTGCGATGGTGGCGGCACAGAAACCCTGGAGACTTGTGATGAAACCAGACAGCGCTGCTGGAAAATTCGGAATATTTGAGAAACAACCTCTTCTTCTTCTGCCCACATCATAAAGCCGTTTTTCTTTTTTCATAAACTTCTGTACAGTAGCATTAGGATTTGGGGACGCAAGGTTTTATTTGGTATACAATTTTCCTGCTCGTTGTCGTTCATTCGAGCCACCTTTTTGTGAAAGGTCTATAGTGTCATATAAAGAGAGAGAGACTGCTTTTTTTGGAAACGTGAAATTTTTGCCAACATGATCATCAAGGATAAGGTTAAATGTTAACTTCAGGCTGCAAATTAAAATTTCCTTAGGTTCAGCATCATCACACACGACGACGAGTCCTTCCTTATAACTAGGGCACGGACGAGAACTTGTCATCCGCGCTCTCTTTGTGGTGCCTTCGCCGCGTATCTCTTCCCGTTCGCGTTCGAACTTCTGCCAACTACACGTCGACTTACTTTCTCGGAACGGGTCCGAGGAAGTCCTTTGTCAGAACAGCGTGGCAGGCGTCGACTTCCTGCTGCTTACGGCTCGAGTTCCACCCGAGCTCTTCACCCATGATGTCAACCACACGGCCCACCGCTAAATGCGCGGCGTTGGAATTCACAAAGGCCAGCCTGTTTTAGTTTTTTCCTCGTGACGAGTCAATCTATCACAATAGTGGATAAATCGTAAGTATCATGATTGATGAAAACCAAAACTCTGTTGTCATACTGACAAATTCAAAATCTGACGGAGACGGTGGGCGTGCGGTGAATGATTTTCTCTCCGATACAAAATTAAGATACTCTTCGACGATAGAAAAGGAGAAGCAACAAGCGAACCCACGACAGAAGGACGTACGTTCGAAATGTTCGCTCACTTCTTCTTTGTCGAGTAGGGTGGGATTCGAGGAGCGAGGGACTTCACTTCGACAAATGCAAAATGAAATGTCCTGGTACGTAGCTGCGAGGCAAGCTGTCGACAAATGCAATAAATGAATACCTGGTTCTTCGTGCGAGAATGTCGGCAGCGGTGCATGCGTGTTCGGTTTGGACGGCGTAGCGCACCTCGCACTCGAGGAAGGGACAGTTCGGGCTGCTCGTCAGGAGGGGATAGGAAGCGTAGTTTCCGTCTTCCGTCTTCCCGATCTTTGCTTTCTCGAGCGCCAGCACGTCCGCGGCCCGCGTTCCGTACGTGTTAACCTGAGAGACCGTAGAGCTATGATACATTCATCCGTCAATGCGGCGGAGCTGTCCCAAAAAAAAAAATCAACGCGCTAGTAAAGCTAACTCCGTCTGCTCTGATCATTTATTTTTGATGCACGATAGAAAACACCGACCAACAATGAGGCGTAACAAGTTCGTGCGTACTAAGACCAGATCTTCTCTCTTAGTACAACGACAAAAATCGCCAAAAGCACTACCACTAGTACAACAGCTGAAGAAGTAAAAGAGCTGTTGTGTTGTAACCAGAAAAACCAATTCGAACCAGATGGGCAGCTTGGTCCGGTGGCAGGCGGAATTGGCGAGCGAGCGCCGCGTATCCACTACAAATATGTCTGGGTCTGGAACCATGCAGGCGGTTGTCACGTTAAACAGAAGTTGTGTCAACCAGACACAGACTTAGCGTCACCGACTTGCAGTTTCCCAGACCCAGACACATAATTTGCAATGCATATCGCGGAGAGCGTGGGCGTCCACCCCTGCGGAGCGAAATCCCCGTTTCGTCCGGCACCGAGCAGGGGCGTGTCCAGGGTGACGCAAGGGCCGGCCTTGGCCTGGAGCGCCTCGTCGGAGCGGAGCAACACCTTGTCCAAGGCGTCCTCCGCCATCTCGCGCCAGGTCGTCCACTTCCCGCCACTCACGAAGGTCACGTCGTTCTGCGCGTTATAGCTAACAGTGTGGTCCCGGGACGCGTTGGTGGTGCTGGTGTCGTATGCATGGCAAAAGCATTGCGTCGCACGTAGTCGTGATTGCATCACAAACCACATTTATCTATCACAAGAAGAATGAAATTGAAATTGGTCATGCATTTTTAGGTGATAGATAAGGCGGCTCTGTCATGCAGTATTGCAATCACTGCGAGTGCAACACTTTTGCAATTCATAAGTCGTTCGGGTCCTTGGCGAGCGGCCGGGTCCCGTACCACGCGGACAAGACGTCCTCGCGCCGGGGATGCATGCTCGGCGCCAGGTACTTGCAGCTCTCTTTCAGCTATGCACTGCAAATATTATTCTGGGTCTCAGAGGACGGAGCGTGTCATGCGAAGTGGTCCCGATCGATGTGTTGCATGCATTCTCATGCGGCGTAGGCAGCACGAGTTTGAAGGCCTCGCAAAGTCTGTGATGCGTCTGGGTGCATTTTTCCAGACAGCCATGTGTGATCATGTGGTCGGCGACTCGCACGACAAGGCTTGCATTCTTCCAGACCCAAACATATTTTCCCTGGATATCAACAAGTATTCCACGTCGTCCTCGGGGACTGCTGGGTGCAGCTCCGGGTTCGACGTCTTCACGTCGGTTGTACCGACGAGCGTGTGGCCCTGCCACGGGAGGTAGAACATGAAGCTGCCCCGGGAGGTCTGCATGTCGCACATGCCGAGGTCCCGCGGACAGAAGTTCTCGGGGAGCACGATGTGTGTGCCGCCCGCGCCGGTCACGCAGGGCTGGAACTTCTTCGCCTCCTCGGGCGTCAGGCCCTCGGACAACTTGCGCACGTCGTCCGTAAACGGCCCGGCACAGTAAATAATCTTTTTAGCGCGGATCTGCACTTTCTTACCGCTCAACGCGTCCCGGCAGACGGCACCGCGCGCGTGGCCGTTCTTGTCGAAGACGATCTTCTCTACGACTGTGTAGTTCGTGACCGCGGCGCCCTTCAGCATGGCGGTGCACGCAATCGCGAGGTTCGTGCGGGCGTCGTTGTGTGCCCCCTCGTAAAAGACGCTGGTTTTTATGAGGGATGAATAACTTCACATTTCTTGACAAACAGAAAACACGCGCGACACAAGTGAGCGTACAATGCGTCTCTATCGTGTTGTAAAAAATGTTGTCAATAACAATAGTCAGAAACAGTTCAGCTGTGTGGCTATTTTGTTCCAAAGACATTGCTCCAACTACTTACGTCGGTGAGGTGTTCTTCTAACTATCGCTCCACAGGGAGATACTAAATCACGAACCGAAAAGCAAAAGTCTATTGAAGTAAAGGATCTCATCGTTACTTTGCGTATTTGAGTCTCGGTGCGTCCATTTGCGGGAAAGCCTCCTGCAGCTTTCGCGGGAAGATCGTGTAGCTGCTGGGAGCGGCGAAATACCCGAGCGCGTCGTAGCCCTTGAAGAAGAAGCTGTAGAGCCCGCAGGCCGGCCCGATCGCCGCGGGCGGGTAGCCGAAGGGGGGCGGCCAGATGACCCAGTGCTTGATCGGTACGGCAACCGGGACCCAATAGGTCAGGTGGCTGTTCAGCTGCAGCATGTAGGAGCGCTCGCGGAAGTATGAAATGCAAATGTGTCTGGGTCTGGAAGATTCTAAACTTGTAATGCTGTCTCTGGATCCTAAAAAAATTTTTGTTGCATGACCAGCAAGAGAACTCCAGTTCGTGCTACGCGGAGCGGGCGTTTCTCATGCGGTAGAGGCATCACAAAGTCCTCTGAAAATCTGTGATGCTAGGGCATGCATCACAGATATCATGGGTCATTCAAAATATGCATGACAAGCCTGGCAATCTTTCAGACCCAGACATTTTTGCATTTGATAGGAAGCAGCCCAGCACCATGTTGAAGGTCGACGTGAATTCCGACACTGCGTCCGCCGGCGCCAAAAGACTCCCGGGCTGGAAGAGGGACACCAGCGCCTTGACCAGGTACCGGGATCCGGCCCAGAGGAGCTTCGTGCTCTTGGAACTCGTTCCGCTGGCGAAATCCTCTTGTTCGACACAGGCGGTCGTCAAGCCACGGGTGGTGGCGTCGAGCGCCAGTCCCGCACCGGTGGCACCCCCGCCGACTACCAAAACATCAAACTCCTCCGCGTCCAGCCGCGCCAGCATCTGCATAGAGGAAAACGGCAATAAATACGTCCTTGTTGTAGGCCAGCATCATCATAAGTAGGAAATGCATACGAAAACAGCAATTCAAGAATGAAAGCTACGTACCGCAAGTAAAGCTACACCCAAACGAGTAATCCTTGTCAATACCTCGTCCCGGGACGGAATTCGCTCCTCGATTACGGTTTTTCGCAGCTCCGCTGATTTCGCCAGCGCCTCTTCATTCTTGTACTTGCAATACAGCACGCCCGCTCCGACGCCGGCACCGATTCCAAAAACTCCTTTCATGAACCGCGATCCGCGTGGGCGTTGCGTCGCTTGCACCGCAGCGGCTTCCGAGCTAAAAGCACGGAAGGAGCCTGCATTATTTGCGCCGGCTGGGAAGAAACGTGGATTTGTTATTGCGTTTGGTTCATACGCACCACAGAAATCAAGGACTGCACCGCTGCGCCCATGCCTACACTGGTCCCACTGACGTAACAATGGCTGATTTCGCACTCTTATGCTTGACAATCTTGTAGCACCACGTACAGCGACGGACCCACCTTGTCTTCCGGAAATGCTGTGTCGAAAAAAGACCACTCGCGCCATTTTGATGAACGTCCACAAGGCTGTCTGAGCCTGATGATTTGAATCTGTTCAACTTAAAAAGCCTTAGATTGTCCCCGTGCGATTCACTCGTTTTGTTTTAATAGAGAAAGAGACTCACTCAAGGCTGTCTGAGACTAAGTGCCGAAAGCCAATATGCTTCGTTTCGCACAGTGGAGAAGAACTGGCGCGGCCATCAACTTTATTGTCTTTTCCCACTCGCACTCGGCGTCGCGTCAACATATAAGGGATACTTAGCGGAGAACTAAGTAAATAGGTGCTGATCATTTTGAAAAGCTTCTCGATTCATCGGAATGATCATGCGGTGCCTGCTCTTACATCTGAGTTCATTGTTTCTCAGTTTTGTGCAGTTTTCTTTTTCCCGCGAATCTTTTCTTATTCTTCACAGCGTGAACAACAAGGACGCTGCCCTCTTCTAGAGTGCGTTTTGAAACTTCGAGCACTGCTTCGCCTACTACCTACTCTCGTATCTATAATTGGCTGCGCCTGTGAAAAAAATTGCAAGTGCAGAGCAACACATTGGCATGTCCGGCCTCAAGCGAATTCTCCTCGGTTATAAGTGTCCTGGCTGATGCTCTGTGTTTGTGCTATTTGTTTTAGCGCTTTGCGGGCATAAAGCGGCGGACTTTTTTTGCAATAAAACTAAAACTAGGTACGGACCACGCCTTCGCTTGTTGCGAAAAGACCTTGGGCGCCCTTCTTCTTGCCATGTAAGGGGACACATTCTTGGATTGCCTGCCCTTACTGGTTTCAGAAGACACGCGCTGGCCGTCCACTCTGTCACTTCTAACAAAATTGGCAAATGGCGAAAATTGAATAAAAATAAACCGAAAAACCGGAAAAGGAATAACCAAAAAGTGCAGTCGGAAGGACATAGAAAAGCGATAGAAGAAAGAAAAAATATAAAAAAGCTGAAAAAAAGGAGCAATGAAAAGAAAAAAAAAAAGCGAATGAGAAAAAAAAGGCCATCCAATAGAAAAAAGAAAAGCTGCGCATACTTGAAAAAAGAAAACAAGGGAAAAAAAGAATCAAGAAAAAAGGGCGGGAGAAAAAAATAAAAAAGGCGAAAAAACAATAATAAAAAAAAAAAAGAAATCGCGAGTAGATGCCCCCTCCGTGGCAAGCAAGCTATCGCATCCCGCGAGGCGAGGCTCCACCCGTTGTAGCGGAGAAGGCTACACAATTGGACTCGGTCAAAGCAGCCACCTCATCAGGAATGGCGTCCAGATCTGGCTAGAAATGGCCCCCAAGTCAGCCCAGAAAAAGATATCGCGAATGTGGCGAAAAACAAAACAAAAAACTGCAAAAAGCTACTTTGCGTCGACGTCGGGGTCGCCAGCGCTCTCTTCTACCTAGTCATTTTTTTTCTCATTTTACTTTTCGCGAAGACTTGTGCCGGTGACCGTCATTTTGCGAAGCTCTTCTGTGCGCTCTCGCACTCTCTCGCGCATTTTTGCGACGCGGGGGCCGGGGTTGTTCTCGCTCTCTTCCTTGTCACGTGCTGCAGCCTCACGCCACGCGGAATCTACGTCAACACGTGTTTCGCCAGGGCGTTCTGGCGGGGCCAGGAGCTGGCTCGGGATGATGCGCCGTTGTTTTTCCTTGCTCGGGGACTGGCTCAGAAGTAAATTTTCCCAACCGAACATGATTTTGTAATACACGTATCCGGAGAATTCTCGCGCCCCTTCATTTGCTTGCCAGCCTGAAGGCCTGAACTCCTGTGCCTGATTTTCCCCACCAAAAAAATTTTTAGGGGAGGCGAAACACATGAGCGCGAAACACGGATAGCGGCGGAGCATCTTTGCGCCACCCGCGGCGTCCTTGGTGGAGTCCGACAAAGAACAGGAGTTGTCGGGCTTCGCTGCTGGGACGCAGGCAAATTCCTGCAGGCATTTCCGAAGGCCGTCGTGTAGATGTAAAAGTGGCGCATTTCTTTCCTGTGCGAGCGCACAGGCGAATTTTCGGTTTTTTTGCAACAAGATTCTTACGACTTTCTCGGAATTGTCGCTGGGCTCCAGAAGTGCACCGCGAAGCTCTTCGATGTCGTTTTTCTCGATTATCGCCCTGTCCGTTGCGTCAAACCATATTCGTCTTTCTGTTTGGCGAAGCCGCTCGCGGTCCTTTTCGTGAACATTAACTAGATGTTGATCATGCCCGGGATCACTACAAACAGGATTATTCGCGGGGAACAAGACGCACTGGTTCTCAAGGTCTTGCTCGATCGCTTTAAGCTGCCCGTGCGCACCGTCCAGCGATGATGTGCTCTGCCGAGTATACGTTGCAAATGATTTAGGACCTGTGTCCCGACCAAAAAAAGAATGACGCGCGCGCTTCTCAAGGTGAGCGGTAAAGCCTCTCACATACTGTATTGTAATTCTCAGTGGTAAATTATTCTGTAGTAGTGGTAAAACCACTCCTACACCCCCAGTGACGTTTCGCCGCCCGCTTTAGCAGCGCCCGGCCACCAGGGGGGAGTTTGCCGTTGGCGTCGCCTCTTGCCGCTGGCATTCAAGATCAAGCGCCATTACCTCCTCATCCATGGCACTAGACCTAATCTCCGACCAAAAAAAGAAATGCTGTACAGCCTATCAAGAGTTCACCACCAAAAATAAAGTATCGCGAACATGCTTGGGCCCCAACATATCCCGCATCTCGATACCCCACGGCCACTTGCTTTGACGTTGTTCCACGGCGTAGCAGAGCGCATTCAGCAGGTGCAGATATCACATATGTATGACAACATATAAACTTCCACCAGGCCGTTATTTCGCCACAGCCAATTGCCATTGCGCTAAAAGGATGCAGCGTGGTTTTTTGGCAAAAAAGGCGGGCCCTAGAGGTGGAGGCCGGTTTGGCAAACGACTTTGATCACTGGGCGCTGGCGCAGGCGGGCTGGGGCCGTCTAGGCTTCTGCCGCAGCGATTTTGACCTCCGCCACCCCATCCGCTACCACGACGAGCAACTGACCCTTTCTGGCCGGAGCCGGGTGCCGTGCCAGACATGACCACCAAGGGCCAGCTCACTTGAAGTGAGCAGGGCCGTTGCGCATTATTTTGGGTGATGTACTCCATCGCCCAAAATGGCAAACCCCAACAACCAACCCGGCCCTCTCTGGGAAGTGCAAAGCGCGCGGCACTTCTGACGCGGAAGTGACGCGCGTGCGACGTAGGTAGGAGGCGTCACGGGGCACACTTCTTGCATGCCTGGCGGGTGCATGGTGTTTCTATTAATTTGGCACTTATCACCAGAGCCGGCAGTCTATAGCGTGGAACGGCATAAAGCAATGGCATGACACGCCTCCAAGAGAAGGCCATCGAACACAGGTCCAATCCCTGGCGCTCGCGTTTGATACGCTGCACTGATAGACGCCCGTGCATCTATGATCTGCGGCCCATGGGTAATTTTGTAGAAAAAGGACCCAAGGTCTGCACGAGGGCCAGACTTTGCGCCCCCCACATCGTCTTCACTCTTCGGGAAATCGAAGTTCGCAGCGGAAGATAGGCAGGACTGGGAATGGCGGCCGCGTCCTTCTCGCAGTTCTGTGCCGCCATTCAGTGCAGACGTCGACTCTGCGGCTCCTGCGGCTACTTGGCCGCCATCTGTTGCCTGGGGGCAGCCTTCGGCGGCAAGGCATTTGCGAAGCCGGGGCTGGTCTTTCACAAGCCAATCATGATCAAGCAAAAATCCGCAGCTCTCCGGGTCCTGAAAAAGCGACACCAGTTTCTCCGAAGAGTCTAGGATTGCTTTCAGATCCGAATTCACTCTAACAAGAGATAGCAGCTGTGCGTTGGAAGCCTCCCGAAGAGCTTCGCGTCGCGTCTTGAACGCTTGTCGGGGCGCATCGATGTCCGCAAAAGCAGAAAACACGGCACCTGAGTAGAGCTCGAGGTTCAACTCCGTGCCTTGCGCGCTGAGGTACTTCAACGGTTGTTCGAACTTGCGAGTAAAGAACTTATCGGGCGTGAGGCACTGCCTGACTCCTTCATCTCCATTACCAGTCTGGTCGGCTTTTGATGCTTCCAAGCAGCGGGTCACATCAGGGTGTTCTCGTAGGAGACTTGCTAGTACAGTGTCGGCGTTATCCAAGGATTCCAACCAGAGATGTCTGAAAAGTGGGAGCCCGGAGCGTTTTGCCTTTGTGCGCGCAAGCGCTTCAATTTGTTTCCATACCGGATCAACGCTTGTCCTCATATGCTCAATCCTTGCGATACGGTTTTCTGCCTCCGCCTCGCGCTGCCACTCTGCGTCGCTGGTGGGCTGTGTCCCCATGACGAGGAGGCTCATAGTCGCTTTGAGCCGCGTGGCCCTCTCGCTTTTGGCATCTTCTCGCTGAATTTCCAAGCCATCCGCGATTTTCAAGTACAGGTACCCGGAGTAGTTGCGCTCTTGTTCTGCTGATGACCGCGAGCCTTCCCCTTTGTTGGTGCCGACATTAACATTTAGGGCGCCGTGGAGATCCGCATCAAAATACAGCTGTGGAAGGGAAAAGCACTCGTCCATCACGTTGGACGAGACTGAGTGGAAGTGCTTGCCCTGTTGATCCACATCTTTAGGAGTCCGCTGCAGCTCACCGCAGGCGACACGCTTGAGGCACTTTCTCAGGGCAGCGTGTGCTTTCAAAAGTGGGGAGTTCCGATTCTGTGCAAGGGCACAGGCGAACTCCGGGCTTGATTCTTCCAAAAATTTGACAACGCGCAACCTCGAGACCTCGCTTATATCTGGCGCGCTGTCCAATAACAGATTTCGAAACTCGGCAATTTTCGATATCTCCTCCCTTGCTGCAGCAAGGGCCCGCGCGCCCGCTTCTCCCGATGGCGCCGGGTCCCACGCACAAAAATGAACGAGCTCGCGTGCGATTGCAAATTCAGATTGTTTGTCCTCCTCGCTCCGCTTTTGTTTGCTGACCGGATCCGGCTGCCGAATATACACTGAAACACGACCAAAATCTGGGCAGGCTCTTTAGGTCTGACCTTGCTGCAGTGCCGAGAATGGCAGAAAACATACGAGGCATTTGCCAATAACGATAGAGGGCTCTCGCAGAGCTGTTTGGGCTACGTCCTCGCCGCCAAGATGAGCCGGAAAGGGCAGGCACACATCCGCAAATCTTGCGGGCTACTAGACGAAACAAGCACATACAACAAGACCAAGAGATGAAAGTAAGTAAGCTGGCGCAACGCCACTCCCTCCTTCGCTTGTTTCAACACGTCCAGCCGTGGTGTCTGTGCCAATGCCAGTCGGCACACGAATGGAGGAGGCAAGGACGAAACCGAAACGCCGGCCCGTCGAATATCACAGATGCCTCAAGAACTAAGTACCCCTATCTCGTGGCAGAAGCAATGCAATTTCTTAAGGATAAGGAAGAGGCGCTCTCGCATTACAGAGCAATATATGCTCCAGCAACAGATAGGCAATATCATAAACCTGAGCCGCGACCCAGACCCCGAGCCGACGCACTTGCGTGTGATAATGTGCTCGCCTGCGCACCGCTTGATCTTCAAGCTCCAGCAGTGCTGACCCACCAGTGATTTTGTAATAAATTACACCAAAAAGTGACTCAGTCAGATGGTAGTATGGAACTCCCGCAAGGTTCAAGGATTTCTGGTCAGTTTGTCTTGCACTTATTGATGCGTCGGCACTCGCCGGGCTTCCCATAGGGACAACGAAGTTCGCTGCGGAAGAAAGGCAGGGCGTGGAGTAGCCACTTAGTGCAGGCGGATGAACTGTGGCCACGGTGACTGCTTCGCCGTCTGCTGCCTGGGGGCAGACTTCGGCGCGAAGGCATTCGCGAAGCAGTGGCTGCACTTTCAAAAGTGGGTGATCAAGTAAAGCCTGGCAGCTCTCCGAGTCCAAAAAAAGCTGCGCAAGCTTTTTCGAAGAGTCCAATATTAATAGGGCGTCCGTCTCCGTCTGGGTCTGCGCCTGATTCAACCCCGAAGTGGTTCCGACAAAAGCATAAGCAGCTAACTGTGCCCAGGTTACCTCCTTAACTGCCTCTCTCCGTGTCTGTTGAGGTGGGGGAGGAATGGCCGCATACTGGGGCCTCTGCGCAAGGTTATAAAAAAGCTGACCTGCAGGGTTATCACAAAACTGATCTGTAACCCCAACTCGTGCAGGCTCAAGTAAATATCGGGTGCCTGAGACACCCGGCGGCTTTGTTGCAGCCCCGTCCAGCTTGATGTTTTGGCGTCTTGCTATCTGAAATTTCTTCGTAAAGAAGCGCTCGCGGCCGAAACATTCCGGGGTGCCGAGACTGTGCTTCACCAAGCAGGATGTGACTTCCGGATGTTCGTCTACGAGCGGGAATAGGCTCCAGGCCGTCGCGGTTAGCCTCGCGTGGCCGAGCCAAAGTCTTCCGGCTTCATCTGCATTTCCGACTGCGATTCTGGCCTTGCGAAGCTCGTCGAAGTCTGCCGCTGCCAGGTGTTTGCGAAAGTCGTCGAGCTCTAACAAGAGCGCTTCTTCAGTGTTGCTCGGTGCATAGGAAAAGACATGGCCTCGGTTTTGATGAGCCACTTCGAGAATCCGCCTCCGCTCGCCGACAGCATAACTTTTTGCCTTTTCCCAATACTCGGCGAACATGTCGCTACTGAGCGTAACGCTCATGAGCGACCGGGTCTGGGGGCCACGAGGTGTTTTTTGCGCGGCTTCTTCTTCGCTTTTCGCCGGGGCATGCCAGTCGGGGAGGCCGTCAAGCAATCTCTCCGGAAGGGGGGCCGCAGTCTTCAAAAACAGAAAAAGTGCGCGCGTGTCCGCTTCCGTGTCCGCTTCCGTATCCGCTTCCGTATCCGCTTCCGTGTCCGCTTCCGTGTCCGCTTCCGTGATTGGCGTATTCCGCCGTCCCTCTTCCACTCCTGTCCCGCGCTCCCGCTCTGCGGTGTCATCGAAAGAAGAACCGAAAAACATCGACGGCGCAAAGCACTCCGCTCGGGGGAGATAACCATATGCACTGCAACCACATCAATGCCAGGGACAGCTTGAATTCAAGGCCTTTCTGTTTTTTTCAACGGGGGAGGCGGCAGACTACCATCTCCCTATGGCTCGGGATCGGCAACAACATGGCTGCATGAGCGAAAAAACGGGCCGTTGACTGCATGAGCGAAAAAACGAAACTGGCTGCAGTTTGTCTCAGCTCTGTCCCGGTATGCTCACGAAATACCCAATCAAGGGCGTGACGCTCACCACCCTAACGCGTGCGTCCCAGCGCGCGCTGGAAATGCAAATGGAGCTGCACACGAGAATAGGCCTGAAGCGAAGAGGCTTGAAGAGAAATTGGGAAACTCTAAATGGAACATACGAGAACGTCTCAATTTCCGCCGTGCTGCTACACCACGGCGCAAATGCATACACTCTTCAAGCCTAATAGTGCAGCAGAGAACTTTCTTTTGCCGCTTGCTCAACATGCGCGGGAAATTCGCCAAAAACTTTAATCACACGCACTTGGCCGCAATCGCCCGCCCTGCCTGGCTTTCACTGAGAAGTGCCCGGCGGGCCCGGTAATCCGAACTGGGGGCGCGGGCGGCTGGGTGCGTGCGAGAACCCCTGCGGCGCACCACGTCTTTCCATGTACTTACTTATGTAAACGAGGTGTTGGGCCGGGGTCGCCGCACGCCGGAAATAAGCTCGAAACCCGGCATCACGAATCCGCACAGAGGCTATCTTCCACCCTGCGCTGGCGATAGGGCGATGCCACTACAAAAAATAGAAAGGAGCTCCCCACAGAGCGGCCCATAGCCATAGTCTCGGGACACCTTTGTCGCCTATTGATAATAAATCTGCTGAGCAGATGGACAGCTTCAGGGCTGTCTGGTGCGCCGCCAATACGTGGGGTTCAGGGCGCCCCCACACACCCAGGTCCGGACACCGACACGCCATGCACAAGAAGAAAATAAGTAGCAAAAAAAGCTTTCGGCGCGCTGCCTTTTGCCTTCACAGTGAGCAGTTTAGTATGTACAGCACGTCCCGCTATCAAAAGAAGAAGCGACACGAGGGTCCACGCCTCTTCCCCGACCCTGACATCATTCGTGGCAGTTGATAGAAACGCTGGACCGTCTTGTGCGCGTCGGTACAAGGGAGCAAATTTGTTGCTGTTTTGTTCCTCTTCCGGCAGCGACTGCAGGAGTCCACATCTTCTGATGAGACACAGACCCAAAAGTGGGTGCGTCTTGAAGAGCGTGACCAGCCACCTCTTATCTGCGCCGGGGTTGTTGTCTGAGACAAAAGCGTGGCACTGATTTTCGTCCATCAAGAAACTTCGCAAGTACTCATTCTTCGTTCCGGGAGCTCCCTGCTCCCACAAGTGCTCGCTCAGCAATCGAACGCTGAAGGTCCTTTGGCCCAGCCATACGTCTAGGTCCTTTCGTCGCGGTAGTCTTTCTTTGTATTGCTTATCAAAAGCGATTGTTTCTACTACGCGACCATGTTCTCCATCTGCTTCACGAGCAAGCCGCGATTGTTGAATTGCATTCCAGCGCGCATTTAGTCGACTCGCTAAAGACCAGCTATCTAGAACTCGATCCACCGCTCTGTGAAAGTCTCCAAGCTTATAGCGAAGGAAGCCCGGGGCATCAAGAATTGCGCTGTCGATGAAAGATATTTGCGGTAGTAAGACGCCCCGTAGTTCCTCTGCCACGCCAAGTCCCCTGTCCTCGAACAAGTGGTTCCGCAGGTGGGAGATGATTGGCAGTTTTTGAATCAGAGCTTCGGCGCTTTCGCTTTGTTCCGTTTTCTCGCCACTTGCGGAATCAGGACCACAGATTTGGCCCAGGAGGTGTGCTTGCTGCGTCTTGTCCTCTGCGTTGATGTCTTGTGTCTTGTGACGCTCAATTTCGTGCTCCAGGTGTCCCTTCCAGTCGAAGACGTCTCGCAAAAAACGACCAACCACCTTGCGTGCTTCCCCAGGAACCGCAGCCAGCCGATGCAGTGGGGGCTGCTGTTGACGAACAGCATCAACATCATCTGGCAGCCCTGGGAAACGTTCAAGGCTTTGATAAACTCTTTGGCTCCACAGGGTGTGTAGTTTGTGTGGCACAACGTCCTCGTCGGCGTCAAAACCGGGTTTGTCGTCGAGGGAAAAGACGGGTTTACTTTTTAGAAGCCGAAAGTCTGCCGCGTAAGCTGTGTCTTGAACTTGATGTGCCTGAACTTCACTTACACCTCCGCGCTGCACTTTGATTTCCTTTTCCTCTGAGAGGTCACTGAGCACAGCGTTAATATCTTTGATGCGAACTTCCAGCGCGGTCACTTGCTTAGCCCATTTCGCACCGAGTGCGTCACAATGCTCACGGTAGCTTTGCCAATCTTCGAGCAGACCCGTCATCGTTTTGCAGACTACTTGCTCAGTCCGCCGCAGTACAACATCATACCCATTTGGCTGTCTTGACACCGGCTCCAAACCCGGAGTTGTAAATACTGTTTCGTCAATGCTGAGGATAGCCATCCGGAGTCGGTGTCGTAAATTCTCTGTTTCGGTATTCCTGTCGTGGATCAGCGAGCTCCTCAAGCTGGTGATTAGGGGCATGCCTTGCATTACGGTAATGTCGTTCTGAAGCAGCTTCTGTACTAGATCTTGATCAGGTGCATTGCCGGGTTCATTTCTGCTTGCAGTCGAAAGCCGATTGCGAAGCTGCGATGTCTCTCCTACCAGACTGTCTGTCTCTGGTTCTCCACTGTTGATGAGAGGCTGCAATGCTGTTCCAGGTATCATCACGAGTTCCGACAATGGTTTGTTGACCCGGTCGTCGTTACCGTAACTCTGCGTGAGCTTCAGGAACAGATACCCTGCGTTCAATTTCGTCTTGCTCATGGACTGAAAAAGCCAGGAAACAAAGAGGCGGCTGAGAGAGTCAGGATAGTGTGACTAATATGCTGCTTACGCCTCCTAGCGAATGCAAAAACGATGTCGATGGCTTGTACTTGTCGCTTCTATCAAAAAATAAATAGTGGCAAAGAAATCCGCCATTGTATTGCAATCCAGAACAATCCGTGAAAAGCAAAAGCCCACATTTGAATCGGCAGCTGATGCGGTTGCGGATTGAGTTGTAAGTAGTGTGAACTTGATGTTGTTCCTGTTCGGTTTCGGGAGGACTCACTAAAGGAGCTCTGCCAAATTTTGCATGAGCTAAAACCTCGCCACACGTTCTGTACATCTAGTACTTACAGACTGAAAAAGAAGCAGGCAGGGAACGCTTCGACGAATTTTCAATGTGCGTCTACGCTAGAGAAGAGCAGTGACTCCACAACTACGGTGAAGTTTGTATTATTTATTTGGCGCGATGAGCTCAACAGCGCCAAGCAATCTATCGCAATTTAGCAGCCCTCGGGCTCATCATCAGCGTTTTAGTTGCTCCCACGACGATGATAATGGATTACAGATGACCAATTTTGGCGTGCAGTCCATTTCATCGTAGAGACCGGGCGCTTTTGGCATGCTAGTAGGGAACGGCCACAGCCTGAGAGTGAGGCCATTGCCTAATATTAAACATTGCTCTTTTCTGCTGCTGCTGGTTGTTTTTTGCATTCTTTTAGACGCACGCACTGTGGTGCTGAATTCAAATTTATTGCGCTTTTCTGATTTTCATTCTTAGTACTTCTTTGCATATTTTTATGGTAAATACAGACATGTCTGGAAGGTGAAGACTATGACGCCTCTCTCAGGCCGACACTTGTAAGACCCAAGCATCCTCATCATAACATCTCTGGCTCCGAGGTTGCGGGTAAAAAAGTTTTTTGGTTTCAAACAGGAGTCCACGGTTATCCGATCCTGAATGGTGGTGCTGGCTTCTGGTTCTGATTTTGCCGGAGGCTGGCACTCAAAGGACGTTGTAAGGCACAACCGAAGGTCCTGATGCTCACTGAAGATCTCACTGCGCAGTAAGGACTCACAGTTGTTTTTCAGATCTTTGATGACCGCGTTCGCGTTGTATACATCCTCTGCAACCAGCTTATTGAAAGAATCTTGAAGCTGGACAGCTCTATTGCTTGGTGCGGTCGTGGCCACCTGGCTTTCCGGTGATGAAGCAGGCGCCAGGTGGAGCTGCTGTGTAACCGCCACCGCAGCTTGTTTATTTGGCGACAGGGACAGAAGCTGCAGTTTCAGAGTTTCGCGCGGAATACTGCCTGGTCCCGTGTGCGCGTTCACGACCTTCGCAATCTCAGAAATTTGGTGATCGATCAAAGGCTTAGCCGCTCTCAGATATTCCTCGTGCTCCAATTGCTTTTTTTTTTGCTCTTTAGTTAGCTCCTCTATCAAAGTTCCTTGCCGCTTCACTTTTGCCACTACCGTGCGAACGTCTTTCCCTTGAAATCCCTTCCGAACCTCGTCCATTATGTATTCATAGCGATTCGGTTTCCCGGGGCCGCCGTACTTTTCAGGCATTTTCTCAAGTTCGTCGAGGTTGAAGCACAACCGTTTGTGCTCGGCATTTGGATCCTCTTCGAGATCAGGAAGCGCCCACTCCTCGCCGCCATACCGTATTCTATCGTTGAGGTCCTGGACCGCATATTTCGACCACTCTTCGTCTCCGTAGTTTTTCCTGTTGTCAAACCAACGCTTCCAGTTTACTTGTGACCTGTGTCTCAAATATATGGTCGCGGCAAGCTGCCGTTGTTCCTCCTTGTTTTTTCTCGATGCAAAAGCATCGTCTGCTCCGATGACAAGTTCAACTGCAAGTAGGAAATTCATTGGTTCGAGTACAGGGTCGTCGCCACCGCCAGAGGTCGTCATCTTGCTTTTGTCGCCAGTTGTGAAAAAATTCTCTGGCTTGAAGCAGCGGAGGTCATCTCGATCCTGGCTTTCTTGGTACTTCGTTGTCCCTTTCTCGTACTTCGTTGTCCCCTTCAGAACAGTGCTCGTGGCCAGCATCTGGCCCTCCTTGGTCTGGCATACGGTGGCGACAAGGCAGTCGCGGACTCGTTGGTGGTGGTGTGCAATAGGGTCCGCATCGTCCTTCAGCCGAAGCCACAGCGGTGTGCCGTCACTGCCACCTTCCGCTTCGACGCGGTCAGCTGGAAGCACATCTGCGCCACCTTCCAACAAAGGACAGTGGGTAGCATCTCGCAAAAAGTTAACAGCCACAGGGCCCTGATTGGTTGGGGTGAGGCCCTCCCAGCGTTGCCCTTGCACGGGTGTGAAGATGAGTTCTCGAAAAGCATGTAGCTGCGCCAACTGTAATGCTCCTTTTCGGGCTATGCATTGCAAATATGTCTTTATGCAGGTCAGAGTAAAAAATAAAAAATTGTCATGCCAAGAAACAGACCGCGCTAGCTAGGGCTAGGACTACCGCTTCCAGGCCGGGGGTGCGGGTGGTAAAAAAGGATCCATGGCTTGCACCACGGAATGCACAAGCACAACCTCTATCGTAATCCTAAAAAACAGGAGCGCAACACACGACTTTGCGTTTGCGTCCCCCGGATGGACGCTCATCAGGGCGAAATAGAATCGCATGAAACTGTGATGGTGTCCTTTTGCAAACGGCCGCAGATGGTTTTCCTTTTCGCGACCGGAAAATGAAATAGGCGGACGCCGAAGCGCCATTGCTATCGTAATCCGTCAACATCTCCCGGCGACTGAAGTGGCTTTTTCTTGTCAGCCGCCACTTTTGTGTGCCGATCTATTTTTTTTTTCGAGCTCAGTCTCGTTCTCGGACTAGCATCTGTGTGGGCGGATTCCAGAGTGGAAAAAGGTCATCCAAGGTGCCCCTACGAAACTTACTTCGCTATTTTCTATCGTACTTCATCTTCGTCTACTAGGTAAAGAAAATGTAAATCATACTGATTGTATTTGTATTTGTACGTGGGCCAAGAAAAAATGCAAAAGCGTCCACAATCATAACCATTAACCTAAGTATAGTACTCCGAAAGAAGTTTTTCTAATAATATAATTATTTTGCTTTACCTTTATCCGCCCCCCCGGGCTACCAATACTTAGCGTAGCGTCCACAATCATAACCATTAACCTAAGTATAGTACTCCGAAAGAAGTTTTTCTAATAATATAATTATTTTGCTTTACCTTTATCCGCCCCCCCGGGCTACCAATACTTAGCGTTAGCACATACGTTTACGTCTGTACTGAGAAATAGAGATAAAGTCCCCGCCAGTAACATTTGCCATGCGTGTACCGTAGGACGCAGGACGAGGACCACACGAAATTCCTTACACCCGCATCACCACCAGAGTGAAACAAATCCGCAACAGTTTCTGGGATGCAGCGTACGACGTTCACGTTCTCATGCCAAAAGTGAATGAGTTTGAGTCTGAAAACGAAACTAAAAGAGGTAAGTAACGTGCTCTGCTCTCATGCCGTACAAGCACTCTAGCTGCATGCAATCCAATGCAAGAAAAAGAATGAGCGGACACAAATCTTTCGCATTTTTTGTCCCGACCTGCTCCGTGACACATTTGCAGTGGATATGTGCTATAGGCAGAGCCCGCTTCAGCGCGAATACACGGCTCGTTTCGTCTCGTAAGCCGCCCCCGACTGGAGCAATGTAATAGTCTCCGTATTTAAGTTCTGTGGTCATCCTATTTTCGTCGAAATGAACGAAACTACGCAAAATAGTTGCCCACTTCGTCTCAGGTTCGTGTGTCAGGGATGGACGCATTCGATATGAAGAGCGTGCCACAACTTATCCTGTGCGAATTGAGAATTTGACACTATGCTTATGCTGCTTGTCAATATCATCATGATACTCATCAACAATCTTAGCGACCTCCATGTCCTCGTTGAAGCCCCGAGACGTTCCTGGATTGTTTTTATCCCATCACGCCCAAGCTCTAGAACTAGAATGAAAAGCGAGGGCGCCAAAGGAGAGGCATGCATGACTACGTGACTGATTCCATGCCTTCGTCTTTAAAACGAAGGCACTCCTAACGATCAGGACATCGCCAAGCGCCAGCCCGCGGTGCTGATAACAATCCACTTTAATTATACAAATAGAACTCCACTTTATACAAATAGAACGAGGCAACCAGATCAAACTGCGTGCTTGCGTCTCTTCTGACCGCCACGCGGATGATAATACCACCACACGTCGTGTGGCAAATCAAGACAAGATGCCGCCCGCTAACTCGAACGCCCTCCTCCTCCGGTCGAGCAAGGCTCTTTTTTTGTGGCGCCACCGCCAGGGTTTTTTTTTCTGACTGCCACGCGAGCCTCGCAAGGAAGAAGCGACCGAGCCCCGAGCCTGTCGTTGCCGTTGATGCGATTCAGTTTCAGATATGGCCGCCGGTAGAGCGATCTACTCGCTCACACGCGGACATGCAGTTTGATTTTGTTACCTCACTCGCAGAACCTCCAAAGGGCACTTTGACATGTCGCATGGCCAAGCAATGGCTTCGAAGTGCATCGCGCATGAGATTCATGTTTTTCGTCTTTGCCCTCCATTGTTCTGTTCGCATTTGCATTTCTAATTTCTTTATTTGCAAGCTCTCTGCGTTTGCACAAGTGCTTGGATAATTTCTGGCGTCCTTGGGCTGTTTTTGATCTGATTTTTAACATGAAAAATCTATAAAATAGATACTAATATAATATTTTGCGTTTGCCACCCTGAACGCCCCGTATTTGCAGGAGTCGCGCGACAGCTTGGCCATATTTTTTCCCGACGTAGTGCCAAAGCTCTTCACACATGAAGCAGCCTTTACATTTCTGAAGCATAAGCCTGTGTATACATAGATTGACTTTAGCACCAATCTGCCAAATGTGAATATCAACAGGACAACTCAGGGCACGTCTTCTCATTGAGATAGGAAGTCTTTCTCGTCTTGGCGGTGTTGCGGGAACGCCGTTGCCGCACGTCGTGCCACTCCGCTGACTATGTCGAAAAAGAGCACTCCAGAGATCATTTTGACAGTTTGTAGCCCAGGACCGCTTAGTTCAGGAACGCTTTTTGCCATATGATCGGATATCGCAAAAAAGTTCGCCGGCCGAAAGCAAGAAGGTGCGACACGCTCTTTCCCAGAAGTAGATGAAGCAGCGGTTGACAGCTGTGAGCTTGATTCGCTTTGCGTCTCTGCTTCTTCTGTGTTTGTCAGTCTGGGATCGCTGCAGAAGGAATCGAACAGACATTTTTTCACTTCCGGATGCTCACGAAATGCTGAATTTTCTCCACCAATGAATTCACATTGTTCCTTGTTCTCGTTCGCGAGGTAATCGAAGACAGGATTAGCTTCGGCTTCGTTTTCTCCTCCGTTAACAAGAGACGAGAACACCAGCCTCACAAAGTGCAAAGCATGGCGGCTATAGCTCCACGAACTCTTTATCCACTGCGGAGTCATCTTCATGGACCGCTGCCCTACTCCTCTGGATTCCTGGCCCGGCCAAACAAGAGGCAAAATTTCGTCGGGTGAAACCAATGCGCAATAATCCACACTGTCGTGTAGTTCATCATCGCCGTCTGCCTTCCTCGGCTTCGACCCGTCCTCGTGAAAGATGATCAGTTGCATCACAAAGACATTCTGCACGGTTTTGGAAGACTCCCCCGAATACGGCGTTGTTCTTCCCGGCATAAAGCGTCCGTTCTTTTCTTCGTAAATTCTATCGAAGTCTTTCCAGAGAACGTACTCCGAGATGATGCCCTCTGTGGGTTGTAGTTGATTATGATAGTCGTCCGGCCGTGCATCTTTATCTTCTCGACGCGATGCATCCCGGTGCTTCAGTCTCTGCAAGGCTCTCTTCACCGAAATATTTTTTGCTCTTTGAAAATAATCCAAACAAAGTTCTTGAGTCTTATTTTTGTCCTTCTTGAGTCTTTTTGTCCGCATCGGGTCGTGCCGCTCAAGCAACTGAAGACATAATTTTTGGTAGCCCTCCTCCGTCATTCCTTCAACCAGGCCATATCGGTCGGGGTATGCTTCAAAGTCGTTGAAGAGATTTGTAGAACGGTAAAAAAAGAGTGATCTTCATCATGATCATCTTGCGTCGAACGATTTAATAAACTGAATTGCGGCACGTCGAGGTAACACCGCCGGTTTCACATCCTCCTCAAGCATATCGCAGATTTTACCTTGCAGCAAGTTGCAAAATTAGTAGCAAGCATTATGCTTCAGCTTCTTTTCTTCAGATGACCACGCCGGTTGTCTTTATTGCTATTCACAAACACTGACGTAGATCGATCTGAATTTGGTTTGATCTACGCACCGGGCTATAGTGTTTGACTGTCTCGGCATGCACAATGGCAAAAACACGAAGCATCTCGATATCCAAAGACAGTGAAAAATGAGATATCACTCATTTCCGTTCCATAGGTTGTGATAGGCTCAGCGGACGTGACGCCTCCGAGTCCCATTGCAGCGTCTCTCCAGGTTCGGCAGGCAGAGGCAATCCCTGAATAACAGCACTTCTTTCATTAGCATCCTCCGGGTGTTTTCCAGAAGCAGTGTCTTTGGAAGCCTGCTTCTTGTTGGCGTTGAAGGAATCAATAGCACTAGCACCAAAACGAGCACCTAACGAGGGGATCGCACGGTTGACGAGCACTGTCCAATGCAGATTCTTGACGAAGATGTCATTTTCGCCGGTCGTCGCTTTCGTGATCGCATTTACGATGTTGTCTTCTAGTGTTAGCTCCTCTGCAAAAATTGTTGCGGCTTCGAATTGTTTTCGTGGGTCTTTGTCTGCGCTCCATCCTGCACTCGGGGCTTTGGCCTGCGCAGATACTGCTTTTGTTAGTGCCTCACGACCAGCCGACATCACACTGTTGGCGAGAGATTTCGCTACCAGTGTCCTTTCCGATAAAATTTGACTTACTTTGTCAAACATTTCAGAAGTCTTCTGCTCGATCTTTGTTCGGAAATGGGAGGACAACGCGACTTGAATAGCGAGTTCGATAGCGGCATAGCGTTCGAATGGCTTAGACTTCAATTTCTCGGACAGACTATTCAGAAATTTTGCAGCCTCCTTCTCGGAGAGCTTCCGTATCTTGGGAATTATATTGGCGTAGAAGAAATCGTGGTCGGTCTCCTGGGTCACGCGTTGACTTTCCTCCAGCACAGAACCTGTGCCATCGTCTAGCTGCTGTTGATAGAGATGGAAAGACTCTTTCACAGCCAATGTCAGGGATGACGCGAAGGGCAAGGCCAGGTTACTCCGGACAAAACGGATCCAATAGTCCGTGAGCTGCAAGAGTGAGATGCTTGGCCCTGTGTTTTGTCCGCGGGGCGCTGAGGCGGACACGGCACGCACAGGCTCCAGCAGGGAAGATGGTGTTGAAGAAGGTCTCCATGGTACGAGCGCTTTGCTGGGGTCGCTTGCACCCACCTGTCGGCTCTTCTTCATCATGAAAAGCGCTTTCACACGATACTCAGATAGTCCCAAAGACATGACGCATTGCTGGAACGCAAAACGGCAAACGCAACACGCTTCGTGATGATGTCGATTCAGACTTTATTCGCAGAGTAAAGGACAAAGTTGTGCTCGGGATGAACGCTCGCTGTTGCTAATTGATGCAGGTCTTTTGTGTTTATTTGATCATGGACATACATCAAGATGATTTGGATTTAGGTAGAGAAACGAGCAAGGCTGTTGTTGTCAAGATGATGGTGCCTTCGACTCAATGCAGGCAACTTCAAGTTGTAATCCAAGCATCAACATATTAGCCGCAAACGAGCACTAAGTCACGATCTTCGACATCACAGCGGGAATTTCGGACGTACATCTGTACTGAGAAGTACTTCTTCAAGCTGACGCTGCTGCTCTCTGTAATACCACATGTCTACCAGCAATGCCAAGGTTGGACTCGATTTTGATTTTTGGGCTGCTCAACCAGCAACCTAAACCTACGGATCAATCATGCATACATCGCGCGGTGCAATCGACTTCGACGTATGGTGTGACAACGTTTTGTATTTGCATACTGCGCAAACGCTGCAACACGTCGTCCGAGTTGCTGCTTGGTATGTCGTCCTGGCTTTGCGCGCTCAGCTTTTCACCTTGTGTGTCCTTCGTTTCCGCGCTGGCGTCACGCGCCGCAGGCTTTGGATCCACGCCTGCTTCTTCCTTATCCTTATTTTTTTTCCGTCTTGCTTTCGTGCTCGTCCTCTGCTTCCTTGACTTGCGGTTTTTCGTCTGCTGCTTTTTTACTTTCCGTGCTTGTTTCTTCTTTCGCTTAACCTTTTGCCGATGTTGCATGAAGACGACTTGGGAGGGTAAATCGTTCGGTCCACTGCATATGCAAGAGAAAGAATCAAGACAGAGGTCATCTATAATGTCCCTTTCTATGCCCTCAATATGGCAGTATTAGTTTCTTGCGGATCTGCACTCCTTATCACTGTTGCTGTTCTGTCGTTTGTTTCATAAAAATAAATTAAAATTTGCGGAACAGGAGTCAGGGTGTTTATATATTTTCTTAGTGTATCGCTTTGTGTTTGTAAAATCCCGCAGGAGAGCGAGAGCCACAGTTTCGTCTAGCACTACTCAGGCAATTGCGGAGTGCTAGCAACTAGAACATGCGTTGTAGTTCCGCTGATGATACTACTTACATGCAAAACGAGGACCGTCAAACGCTGGAGAGAGATGAAACGCGAGAGAGTAGTACACAGCTATTAGCGCATCTACTATGCAAACGTGGTAACTAGATGTGGATGTCACAATTGCCGCGGGTCCGGCGTGGATATTGTTTATGTACTAGAAGTGCCCAGGAAAAGAGTGTCGAAAGGGAGCCTATAGAAAACTTGAGCTTTTTTCTTTTTGTTTTCCGCTGCATAACAATTCCCCCGTCCTCAAAATCTTCATCGTAGTCGAAGTCTGAGGGTATGAAAGTGCAAAAGAGGCAGGCTCTAAATTGTGTTCCTCTTTGTTTTTACACGCAAAGTTATGTTTTTCTTGCAAAACGCCGCGAAAATATGGTCTGCCGTTTTAAGTGTACAAGTTGAATACTTTCTTACATATGATTTGAGCATCTGCGCATACCGCACCCGACGTTTACGAAAAGTCCAGACAGAAGTACGCTCCAGATCTTGAAGTTGAAATAACGCTTCAAAAATCGCTTGTTATCAAGAATTATACAAGCACAAAGATTCCAAACGACGTAGCTTGGAGCGTCCTAATCGTGAGTGCTTACATTGCCCAAGGATAACATACATAAGACTTTTTTGGGGAAAAGAAAGACGAAGAGGTAAGAGCAACGTTTTTGCGCTTTCGTAACAAAATCTTGCTTCACTCCGTGGTAGGCACTGGCCACGGGTGGCCCGCATTCCCACAGGACCTCCGGCGACAACACCGACCAGTAGATCATGTGCATGACTTTCCGTCGCATCTTGGGTGCAAGAAGCGCCTCCAGACTCGACATCTTCAGGTCCAGACACGTGACGGTTGGTTCCGGTAGTGATGACCCACCTGAGGAGGAGAAACTTTTGATGCCTCGGCTCTGCCACAACCTGTCGAGATAGGTTGGAGTCGAAGTCGTGCGTAACGTGCACTTGTATTTTCTTTTTTTAAACACCCATACCTACAGCTGCTCCTAACAAACAGATGACTCGTCGTTGTCGGTACACGTAAGTACACGTACATATTAAGTTACTTAATTTTTTCTAAAAAGGGTCCTCATGCTGGACATCTACTTTTGCAGACACGCAAAAGATGTGCGTTTGTTCTTATTTGGTGCGTTCAAGGATGAATTAATCCAGGAGAGGCAGCTAGTCGAATGCAGAGGATGTTGTAGAAGTCGACGGTAGGGTGATCGTGATGAAAAGGCTTTTAGATCATATAACTAAAGCTTGTTCTTTGCAAGAATATAAAGGTTTTCAGGAGATAGTCCAATATACCTGCCTTTCGCAAGAAATCCAGAAAAACCGGCGGCGCAATTAAATTTGAAAAAGGCCCTTCTCTTTATTTTACTGGTTGATAAAGCTGCCCGTGCTTGCTTCCTTCAAACTTAGTTCACTCTCTTCACCTGTCCTTGGATCTCAACACGGCCGTCGTGACAAGAATATCGCTCCGGAACGAGCTTGCGCGGCGCAGCCGAGCTTGATACCCAGAAATGTCGGTCGAGGGCGGGGGAGTGCTCGGTTTTACTGGAAGTCGTTCCGCACCAGAAATCGGTTTTCAATGAGATTGAAAACGAAGCCTTTTTGTGTTGATTTAGCCAACTCACATGCGGGTCATAAAAGAGAAGGAAAGTAGAGCACCGTCGCATTTCTTTTTCTATGGTAGGTAGCGGTGAACGATAACCATAACTCACCCAAAAAAAAAACTTGACAAAAGATACCTCCGCGCTCGGGTTCCTCGCCTCTTCGAAACACAGCACTCGGGAAAAGTGCCGCCGCGTCCACGGGTGCAAAGGAAACCTTCTTGAAGGGCACCAACGCTTGCGTTTAGCCCCGTTTAAATTGATTTCCGTACGCTCTTGTCGACGGGGAAACTTTTCCGGGACGACGCAACCCTGGAGATGCGGTCGAAACTCGGTCCTGGATCAGGGGAAATCCGAACACGAGATGTCCGCTGCTGCTGGGGTGTTTGGCAAACAAAGTGAGGTGAGACTGAGAGCAATTTTTTTTTTTGGTAAGTAAGAAAATTGTGGGTTTAGATTGGAAAGTCGTCGAGAATCTTGGAAAGAAATTGATGTGGTGGTAAACAAGTGCGCAGCACGATCTGCCCAGGTGGGAGGGCTTCACGTAAGCAATTGCTACCGATACAAACTATGCTTAAAGGGGGTGGCCTTGTAGCACCGTTGCATCAACTGCGTTTTTTTCTTGTGAGTGTTCCCTTTAGGTTTCGCAAAGTAGATGCCAACGAAAAAAGAGCTCGAGCTATGTCTACTTTCTTTAGTACGTCGAAATGCAGTTAGTATTGTCATGAGCTTCGTACTGCACCTGCAGCAAGAAACGAAAGTAGGGTGCGCAGTTCCTAGTCAACATACTGTATTGCACGAGGGAGGACGACGAGACAGATGCCACAGGCTCAATGGACGAAAGGCAATTTGGACGACCGAAGACGTGATAGGGTCGTATGTACTACATGTCAATGTGAATGTATCACAGAGAGACACGCCATGAACGAGCGTTTGTGAATGTCTCACACAGAGACACGCCACAAACTCATACATCAGACTTCCACGTTTCCGATACCATCTGGAGCTCATGAGCGACGATGTAATCTAATTGAACGGCGAGGACCACGACAGAGACAGACACACATCTTGTGCACAACAATTCAACCGAAAAGAGCAAGCAATAGCCAGCTAGTAGGCCAAGCAAACAGATTCATATGACACGCACCATTAAACGCTTTCGACTTACAACTCTCAAACCGAGCTTTTAACACGTTCCAAACGAAATTCAACACATCAAGATGGCGACTTTCACCAAAGACGACGAGGAGGGACCGACACAGAAGCGAGAATCTCAATCAGAAGACAACCGAACAAGAATGAACATACGGCCAGACACCGAAACAGTGGCACAGTTCTACGAGCGTAGAAAGAGAAACAAAACATGGCCACTGTAAGTTGCATTATCTTATGCAGTGGGTAGAACCTAAATGAAAGAATTATGTGATGCTATGGCTTTCTTGTCTAGAATCTGATGCGAAAGCGTGAAACCAAAACAGTACATCCATCTACCGCCAAATTTTGTTCATCACATGTCGTGTCGTGTGCAAATAACGCTTCACATATAAACGTTCTAACAACGAGAAGATGAACTGCCAACTGTCGACTCGCGGTCTTCCTCTCATTATGCAGGTCCCCATGTGAATGTTCAACTTCAAAATCCATATGTGTCAGCCGACTATGTTTTCTCGCTTTAGTTTTTTGATACCATCCTCGATTTCTGATTTTTCACAAAATAGGTAATTGTCACAGATGCTGTTGGTGCTTCTTTTCGCAAGAACGTATACGTAATGTCTGTAATCTTCGGCAATAAAAATGTTGAACAAACGCAACAAATCGAAAAGACTAATTCAATACTCGTCGAGTAAATCATACATTTATTAACTTGTTTCATTGACCCTGAGTCTGAGATCCGTGTTCGGAGGGATGAGAATTTCATAGCATTTTTTAAGAAGTTTCAGGAAGTACTACGACGGTGTGGCTATTGTCGTAATCTTGTTGATTCAGATTCTACATTTATAAAGCTGAGACGCAATGGCACCACCTCCACACATGGTAGACAAGCAAAGTGCCTTCGCTAAAAGTAAAAACACCTGTTCCTGTAGCAAATATAGTAAAATAAAAATATGTCATTGGTTTCACAACTTTTCGTAAATAGAGTTCAACACGCTTTGAGAGGCGACTTTCAGCATCCCCGCATGGTCCGACGATCCATCAGGCATTATGGAAGACAAACCTCAAACTCTGTTCCATTATCACCATGCATATCGCGCAGTGTCGGGACGCCAGCCGGAGGGCTGCGCACACTTTTCGTCCGTGTTTGCTTTCATGTCATCTTGCTCTCTTGATGAAATTGAATTCTAAACTCCAGTTTTTCTTGCTGCATTTACACGGTTCTCGATTACGAAGTTCACCAGGTAGATAGTGAAAGCTCCATCCCTGCATCGCGACGCAAATCCGACGCAACTCATAGGTTGCATCTATGAGCAATGAAGACTCGGACGAGCACGACCGTGCCTTTGCACCTTATACAGCGAAAAGAAGTTACATACCATTTGCATTTCTCCTTCTACTACATTAACATTGCTATCGGACGGAGTTTGTCATATTCGTCCCCAGGGATAACCGCTGTTCCAGCTTGATGGCTACCAGTCGCAACTACCGCTGAAGTAGCAGTCTTCTCCGACGTCGCGTGAAAATCGGCATTCGCTACTTTTCCTCCCGGCATTGTCATCGAAAAGCGCCACAATCGCGTGTCGTTTTGGGCGGTTTCAGCTCGGAGGTCTTCGACCGAATAGAAGCTGTCTATCGCGTTCTCAACTGTTACACTCTCAACTGTTGACGCAAGAATGGCAAAAGTGAAAGCGGGGACCTTATTGTGGCGCGTCTTGCATGGCAGATTTGGCACAGATTATCAGCCTGTTTGGCCCTTCGAGGATTTGTCATGCTTAACAGGCTGCGCGGCTGAAGCCCGGGGGGGGTGCGGGGTCCGCAGGCTTTGTCATGCAAAACAACTTGATCGCGTCGATTTTTGACGATAATTTCGCATGACAAATCACGTAACCATTGAAGATGTAACGTTTGAGATGAATCCCATACTGTCCGACTCCAGGAGCTCTTCGAAGAGGAATTCCCCAGCAACCTTCATCGACACAAGTTGGTGCCCGTCGAACAGCATGGCCTGTCCGCATGTATGAAACTGAAATAACAGTCTTCTACTTCTTTTGAAAAACCAGAGCAGACGCGAATGAACTTGTTTGCTAAATGTCAAGGGAACAAGCACAAAAAAAGCTTGCTCTGGACGGCATCAACGGGGAGAAAAAGAAATCAATCTGACTGGGTTTTTCATTCGACAGTCGTGTAGTAGTGAAGAACTATTTTCAAATTGATAGCTTTCGACGTAGCAAAGCTCCGATTTTCGCACGGCAATTTCCGTCCCGCAGACGGCGTGGACTTCCTCCTTCACCGTACTGAAAAGCCCGCGCGCCTCTTCGTCTGACATCGGTGGCGTCGTTACGAGCTTTTTCACGCGGCTCAGGAAACGCTCTTCGCCCTGATTTTTTAGTTTTTTCTCGGTGTTTTTCAGTTATTTCCTGGAGGACAAATTAACAACACGAAACTAGCAGCAGACGATGCTGGTGGGTGGAGGCCGTGCCCGATTCGGTTCACTAAAGCGTATTTTCGGACAAAGGATCAAGAACGGAACCACAGAAGCACACTCAGAAACGGGGATCATCAACAACCGAAAAGTCAAGGTCAAGCTAAAGGTTTTACATTCATATTCCAGGCTGTAACGGACTCGGACACGTCGACGTGCGGATTGTCGTAGGTGCGGTAGTACTCTGAGGAGTGGTTTTATCCCACGAAAAAACTGTTTCACTGTGATGATTTTGCAAGATTTGCATTTGCATTACACATGACAAAGACAACTTGGCATGCGTGTGTGGCAAGATAAACACATTTGCGCTCCGTTCTATACATCACAAGTTTACAGTGAAACAGTTTTTTCTTGCGATAGGTTTGCCAGCAGCGCCGCGTTGCCCGCTACCAGCTCCTGGAAGTCCCCTCGCTCCAGCGCCCACAAGACAGCGGTTTCGCTCGTCAAATAGCAAGTTGCCTGCCGCGGGGTACCATAGATGAGAGAGAGCTCCCCAAAGAAGTCGCCTTCCTGCAACCGTGCGACGACGTGGCCCTTTCAGTATCAAATTCAAAAATAGTGCTCGCCCCACTCCAAAGGTGGTATGGTTCGTTGTGCCCAATGGTGCCAAGAATCTGTTTGTGCTTGATGTTTTGCGTGAAAAATATTTGTATTGCATTTTCCTACTAGTCCGAAGCAGTAGAAGGCTTGTTGTTCCGATCAAGATTGAACCCCGATTGACAACCACAAGCACGCCTGAGTAAAACCATTGGAGTGGCGGAGCACCTTTTTTGAATGGGATATGCGTTCGACTTTCACCTCCCCGGACTCGATCAGATACATGCAGTCGGTGTCTTTCAGAAGCGATTCTGGTATGGGAGCAAAAAATGTTTCTCAAATTCCGTCTTAACAACTTGCCGTGCGGGTGCGTATTTTCCTGATGCAATGCTTATTTTCCGGTATGCCGAGTGCGGGGGCACAGCACGACAATTTTTCATGCTTTTACTTTCCCGAAACGTAGAATTTGCTTGGGATGCAAGATCTCAACGTCACGAAAAAAAACGACTACTGAAGTATACTTACCAGTACTTTGACTTCTCAACTTACACATCTGACCATTGTACTGAAAGAAAGACGTGTCTCTGCATGCTTGTGAAATGCTTCTTTTACATCAAGTACTTACTGCGAAGACGAGACAACACTTTTCGGTTCCGTATCTTGTTCCTTGCCTCGGTCTGCATTCAATCCACCCGCTGATCCAGGAGCCACGCCATCGTTCACGAGCAGCTCCGCACCTTCACCTTCTTCCAGCAGACGCATGTTCATGCCCGGCTGCGTGGCCTTCTTGACGCGCTGGAACCGCGTGGCCAGCTCCGCTCGGTCCGCGTCACTCAGATGTCGAAACACCCAGGTACGCTGCAGCATCATTTTCAGCCGCAGTTTGGACGCGCGTTCGGAGACGGTCTTGCCCACTCCCATGGCCGCAGAACTACTTCCGGTAATGCCGTCGGCATCGTCCTCGTCGGAGATCATTTTCTTGGCACCACCTTTTGCACTGAGGTCATCAACAACATCTGGGTCGTTGCTCTGGAGCAGCGTTGGCGCTTCGTGCGCTGCCCGTGGCCCCCCGGCGACTTGTTCCTCGGTGCTGGCGCCGGCCCCGCGCGCCAAGTCCGTGATGTTGTTATCTACAACGTTATTCATGCTAGTTGTGCCGTTTGCGGTGCTGCTGCTGGATCCCGCGGCCGCTTTGTGGTAGGGATTGCGGAAAAACTCGGGTTTCGAGTTTACGTCGGGGTTATTGCCGAGGAACTTGTCGAACGCATCGTAAACGTATGAAAGTGGAAAATGCTCCGTCACCCCTACTGCAGAACAAATGCAATCATGACAAAGCCAAGAATGCTCCCACGGCCGTTGCCTCTTCGCAAAAAAGTAGTCTAGTTATGTATCTGTCTCTTGCATGACAACAAGCTTCAGCACCCGGATCGGCAAGTG